GCGGCGACACGATCCGCTGCCGTCGTCGGCCCTGCTTGATCATGAGTGGATCCCCGACGGCCCTGTTGTGGCTTGCATCTGGGCCGCCGTTCACGATATTAATGGCAATTACGTGTCCCGAAAGAGCGAAATTAGCCCGCAAGCCAATCTGCACAGTAGCGAATCGGGGCTGTCTCACGCCTCTCAACGCTGTAGTCTAAGCGCCAACCTAAACCTCGACCAGCATGCGAGCGGGAAAGCTCCGGATGCACATTGGCCGCCGACCGGTGTCTGTAGCAGACTCGAGAGTCCTCAGTGGCCGGTGCCAGCAGGCATGCGCTGTCCCATGCAGCAATAGACAGTGTGATACTGTCCAACCACACTTCCCCACCATCAACGGCGCCCAAGCACTCTCTACAAAAGACTCGCAAGCGCTCTCCACCCGTAGGGTCCTTTTCTCCGTTTCCGACCGTTGTGCTGCTAAAGTGTGTGTGTGTACCATGCTCGCGACAATTGCTCGGCATAGTTTGTAGCAGTCCGACGAACAGCCATATTCCCTACTTCTGGGAGCAAGCCGACCAAATCCGTCATCATGGTAAGCTCGAACCCGGTTTTGATGCACATCCCACTTCTTCTAACATACCTTTAGCAGGCCATGACACCCATCACCCCGCTGGAGCCGGGCGTGGAAATGTTCGAGAGGGGAAAAGCCCAGTCGTTCTTTTCAAATGCTCTGACGGCCCGGTCGTCGCTGGAGCGTCCGCTCTCACACATTAGCGTTGCTTATACCGACATTGAGGATGACTCCAGTGAATTCGAAGAGTTTGAGGAGGAATTCAGTGGCTCTTCTGTACGATCGCCCTAGTCTGAACACCATGTCTGATACTAATTTTCCACAGAGTGAGAACAGGCGGAGTCAAACAACAATATCGACTTTCGAGGAGGTACGAACACCTTCAGAGGAAGTACGGCCACAGTTTGCCTACTGGCCTGAGCAGAAGTCGGTAGAAGGCCCCAAGGGACCGCATCTATTCCGCGCATCTCAATCATCCAATGACTTCGCATATGATACAGTCATGCAGATGTCGCCATTGTTGCCCAAAGAGACTTCATTCCGTCAACCGACCGCATTCCGTGAAACCACACCAGCAACGATAGTCCCCCAAAGAGAATACAACAACATTGCTTTCGCAGTTTCCCACCTCGACAATGCCGAAGTGCGTGCCTGGACTTCTCAAGACGTTGCTACCTGGATGTACCAGAATGGTTTTGAGGACGAGGTCATCAACAAGTTCATGGAACATGACATCACAGGCGGAGTCCTGCTTGATCTACAGTTTGAACATCTTAAGGAGTTGGAGATCCAGTCATTTGGCAAAAGGCACCAGTTGTGGAACCAGATCGATGCTCTACGCACCGCTGATGGTCTCATGTCACCGACTGCTCCCGCAGCCATCCCAACCCCGTTCGAGGACGTCGAACGCCCATGTCGAGAGGCAAGGAACAACCGGTCCAAGAGCAAGGGCAGGAAAGCTAGCCGACGCGATAAGTCTCGGGGACGTAACTTGGGAGACGATCTCATCACTCCTGCACATTCCGTCTCAATCGTGGCGATTGAACAACTGCTACCCAAGCCACACGTGTGCGCAAAGGGTGAGCGATGCCGCAAATGGATCAAGCAAAAGAAGCAGCTCGCAAAGCTCCAGCAAGAACATGGCTTCCCCATCTCTCCCGAGAAGGGCGGTCACATCTTCATTGCTGGCGACCCCGGCAATGCCCAAACAGCGCCTCATGCCGTTGAGAACGTCCATCGTCCAAATTCAGAAGCTACCCCTTCTGTCGTCGTGCCATCTGTAGTAGCATCATCAGATGTGCTGGGGCCTGGCCAAATGCCCGAATTTAGCCTTGATGATCTCCAGAGGTTCGAACAACGCGACCCGCAAGACAATGTACGACAATTCCTCACCTTGCAGGGACAGCAGCAGCCTTTCACCAGTGCTACTCCCATCGAGGCTCCACCAACCCCACCCACAGAATCATACCCACCCCGGCCTTTCTTGGTAATACCGCAGCACCAGCCATACCCGCAGGTTTCGGCTTTTTCCGCATCCACGTCGGCGCACACTACCAAGTCATTTGATCCATTCACCCAAACACCCCAGACCCCAGCTCTGCACCCTCCGGAGTTCATGCCGGCGCCTCACTCGAATCTTAAGAGCCTTCCCAAACTGACGATACCTCCGGCACGGTCCATGTCCGCCCAGCCCGCTGGTAACCCACGCAGTGGCATCCCAGCAAACCACTATCTCGCGCCCGACACCGCCTTTTCGCCATGTAGGACAGCGTCACCAGGTGGCGTCTACCGATTCGGTACGCCATTTTCCGAGATGGACGTCCCCGTGACTGCTGTGCAACCAGAGCCACTTAGCCGCGACACAAGTCAGTCCGTGCCTCCAAACATGCAGTACCAACCTCAAATCCAAAGGGCTGGATCCCGCCATGACCGGAGGCGCCCGTCGTTGCCCATGCCAGCGCTAGCTGAAGACCGCGTTTTCAGTCCAACGGCCCACTCCGATGACGATACTCTGCGCGGGACTATTTTCGACGACTCTGTCAGTACTAGTAACAGCGTTAGCTCCTCGCCACTAAAGGCTCCCAAGGCCCTTGACAGCGAAGCCGGAGACACTATCGCGCCTTTGCCCAAGGGAGGCTTCCAGTACAAGGGTGTGAACCACCATGGCTGGATGAAGAAGCGACGCACCAAGCTCTTGCGTCACGAATGGCAAGACCACCACTTCCGCCTCCAGGGCACCATGTTGGCCATGCACCCCAATGAGCTGCCGTCATCGTCTGCACTGCAGACCATTGATGTAGATGACTATGCTGTAGCATGCTCATCGCTTGCTTCCAACAAGCTCTCGGCCAAGTTCAGGGCCTTGAAGCTTTCTTCCGGCCATCACAAGGAAAAGACTGCCGCTTCCGCACCTGCATTTGAGTTCCAGCTTGTACCTACCGCGCCTGACAAGGGAGACTTCAAAAAGGTCATGCCCAACGGCAAAGTACAGCACTTCGCTGTCACTACCAAAGACCAAAGGATCGAATGGATGCGTGAGCTTATGCTGGCCAAGGCCTTAAAGGCCAAGAAGGACGGCTATGAGGTCAACGTGAACGGTGCTAACATGTGATGAGTCCATCTCAGGCTCATCAATCTCTCCTCTCCTGTCCCCCAATTTGTTCCTGTGTTTTGTTTTTGTATCTAGCCAGCGAGCGTGCGTTCTGTCTTTCTTTGTCTTTCCTTTTTATATTTGCTGATCATGACCACTATACCCTTTCTGTATTCTGCTTCCTTAGTCAACATCTTGCTGTCTATCTTTTATCTCGTTTTGTTTGGAGCATTGCATAATTATCTTTTACTACATATCTCTAAAGACTTGGAACGCTGCGCGGGGCCGCAAGGTCATGGGACACACTGGTTTCGATTTGGAGCATGGTAATGTACTGAGTAGGCCGCTTAGCGCGGATTTCTTGCGCTCACTCGTTGAATGTATTGGTGTGGAATGTCTGTTTTGACCAAAAGCTCTCGTTACGTTAGTGGAGGATGCGATGGATGCAAACTGAAAGAGGGAAGGAGAAAGAAGCATTAGGTATTACGACGAACATAATGATATCCCATATCCCCTAATATTTCTTCTTCATTCAAGTTGCTTGCGAGACTTCACATGATCATTGCAGCTCGTGTGTATGTACTCCCTTTCTGCGTTTCAAACCGTCGGAATCCGACGCCGCACACCGATCATGCTGCCAGCCCCATAACACGACTCCCGGTCTACATTCACACATAAAACGCACATGTCCGCAAATGACCATTAATTATCCTCGATTGGAAAATACAAATCACACCGTTCACTAACGCAGGGAAGGATTAAACTTTTCACAACACCACACCTCGCTTCGAACAAAAGTCACCTCACCCGCCCGTCCAGTTCGCATGAACGAAACCAACCAGTCACGGCGACTCTGAAACCCGCCTCACAATGTGATTGAACATACATTGTATGCTAAGCCCATCACACCTCGCAAACCCAGTCGCAGCACCCCACAATACGCGAGTTTGGGGATTCGCATTGCGCCTTTTATTCATTGCTTTTTCCTTCGGCCCCAGAAAGTAAGAGTCGCGTAGTTACCACTTAATGCCGTCGCGGCGGCTTGCAGCTCTACCACATTGTCGGGTGTGCTGGGTTTTCGTTCAGTGACAAATAGGCGGGGCTTATTGCGATGTTCGCGTGTTTAGGAGGGGGGCAGGCCAGGGGAAGTGCGGTAGCGAGTAAAGTGACAAATAAAGCCATTGTTACTCTGGAGAATATGGTTATATTGTGGATTGGCTTGGTATTGCGTGGTTCGGGGTTAGGGGGTTATTGGTTCATGAGTCGTGTTGCCGCAGAATGGTCAAGTACTACCGGGTATGTATAGCCAGGGTACAATACTTACTCATGGAGGGAGATATGGTGTTATGTTGAAGCTTTTCGCATTGGAGGGGTAAGAGCAGGGAACGCGTCATGCTGTACCAAAGTTTTCTTACTTGGGGAAATATGCTTTGATTTCCCAATGGCTTGTTCCTGCTTTCCCCACTGTTCAAACGAGTGATCGCTGCAGATTCGTCGCACAAGGTCTAATTCGTTAATGCCCAGCAAGTTTGATAGTACCAACCCAATGCTCAGCCATCGAGCAGTCCAGCCAGATCCCATCCCATGATCAGGGGGTTCAAATGCTACCTGGGAAATCACCAGAGCCCTCCCACTGGAGTATCGTACCAGACACGAACATGTGAATGGCAGTGGGCACCCGCATAATGGTGTTTCTTCTGGCAAGAACAATAGACTGTTACAAGTTGAGGTCGCACTGACAGCTGTCAGAAGTTTTGGCTCGGTGTAACGTGAAAATCAACGGGTCGGGAGTGCTAGGCCGCGTCTTTGGAAATGGCTAATTTGGTGTTATGGATTCTTGTGCAGCTAGGAGAGTGCGAGCACGTGTGATAAAAAAGGAGGGGGACGTCGTACGGTGCCTGATGTTAGGCGTTGGGACATTGGCAGTAACAGACTATATGTTACTGGTTGCAACTGGATACCAAAACAGAAAGTTGTCCTATGGTCTCGTTTTTGTAGCAAATAAGACAACGTTCGAGGGGTGAAGATGAACCAAGTGTAGGTCATGGAACCGTCACATCATCACAGCGAAAGCAACGTCCTTGCGTGAGTAAACAAGTAAAATAATTTAAATTGGATACAGAAAAATAGACCGGCTATACTCCCACTTGTGCAAACATTCTTTCGTAGACAGAATGTTGCCAACACATGGGAAACCGGCCCGCTCTCTATGCTTTCCAGACCAATCGCTGGAACCTGCCGCGTCTATGGCGACAGTATTATGAAGAGCTACTAGATAAAATGTACAAGACTTAAGGAGTATCGGTTGTAGTCGTGGGTACAAGCGTCTACATGATATGTATGTAGCTTGCAAATGACCAGGCGTTCGTCGAGTGTTTCGAAATACAGTAATGAAATGCGTTGATATATAAAAAGTAATGCATCATCGGTTGTCGTGATGCCTATAGTGGCCGTTGCATGTCGATTTGAGGATTTTGAATTTACTGCTCGTCAGCCTCACGCTTGCCGACAGGCATTCCGTAGGGACGCTTTTGTCTCCAACTGGCCTCTGCCTCGCGTTTTCCGACTGGCATACCATAAGGGCGCTTCTGAGTCCAACTGGCCTCTGCGTCTGCGTCTGCCTCACGCTTGCCGACAGGCATGCCGTAGGGGCGGTGCTGAGTCCAAGTTATCCTGGCCTCAGGGTCTGCCTCTGCCTCTGCCTCACGTTTTCCAACGGGCATTCCGTAGGGGCGATGTTGGGTCCAGGTGACTCGGGCATCGGCTTCAGCTTCACGCTTGCCAACGGGCATTCCGTAAGGACGCTTCTGTGTCCAAGAACGCTTTTCGACTTCATCCTCAAGAGAAACCTCGATCGACGCCGGCTCCTCGACGATGGTGGGGGTGGTAGTTTCAGCGGGTGCTGGAATGGCAGCACCGGAGACGGTGAACGCCAGAATGGCGGAGGCGATAACGGCGTTGAATCTCATGATGATAGATCAACTATAGTATAGTAATGAATGATGTAAGTTGGAATGGATCGACTTGTGACCAAAGGATTGATGGCGGTCGTTGTAGTGTAGTCGGTGATGGGAAATTTATGTGCTGGAAGAGAGTGGTATTTAAGCTTGACGAAGACTCAGCAGACATACAAAGGAAAATATTCCAGGGCCATTACCTAGCGTCGTGAATAGTGGCCATGACGATCAATAGGCTCGGGGACAGAATATGAAAGGCGAGCGATCCAATAACAGAACGTCTATTCAGGTGAAGCCATGCCTACAAAGGGCTGGTCCTGAATAGGCCTGAATAAACTTCGGTTAAGCCGAGTGAGAAAGGAGTTTTGGAGGCAAACGGTGGTACCGTCCAGATCGCCAAAGCCCGATGAACTTGACGGATGTTGCCCTTCCAGAACGGTCTTGGCTCTCCCTGCCGATGATTAGAGCGCAAGAATTACAAAGAACATGCACGCCAGTTGCAATGACGACAAGGGATTCCCTTGTTCACGAAGAAAGGCGTCGTGGTGGAGTTGTGGTGTTGAGATTACCTCTTTTGGGTCTGAATAAGTTCAATAGAAATCATGGTCTTGGCGCAACCGGAGGGTGGTCAAACTCGAGCAACGGTGCGCCACCGCCCCGCAACTGAAAAATTACTGGACCTAAGGACAATTTTTGTAAAATAAGCTAGCAGAAGACCCAATACTAGGACAAATACAAATATTGAGGCGGCTCGTATGTATACGAGCCGTGTGTGATCGCGAACTATGACGTACTGTGCAGTATGACGATACCATCTCCACGCGAACTACGCAATTCTGTATCGATATGTTTTTCTTCAGAAGGATTCTGTTCGTTCGATACGCGAGGCGAGATTCTGTCGGGACGAGTTTTGCGAGACCGTATCAGTGTTGTGTTTTGAGACGACAAGGCCGAAATATCTCCGCCAAAGAAAGGACGGCAGAGCCGAATTTATCATCTTCCATGGTCAGCTAACCTTAGGAGGACAGGTGATAGGGTCGGTGTGGCAATGGGGGTGGTGTCAAGGGAGATAGTTATCGGCTGAATGAAAGGTACCTAGGTACGGTAGGAGGATTCAGTGCGCCATCGCCCCGATAAGGAAAACTAAATCCTGTCTTGATCTCTCTGCTCGAATGGCTTCAGAGCTATCGTAACGATGCCTTACCCATACTTATTCGCGCCTGCGATGGGTTACAAGTAAACGGCTAGTATATGACTACTACTAGATCTACTCCAGCCCAAAATAATCTCAAATAAGCATGCAGGCTATCTTTTTTCCCTATGGGGACTGTGTTAAGGTAGGACTTTGGTTGCAGTGGATTCAATACCATGCTGCCGTGTGTTCGGTACCGTGGGACACCTCTGGACACATTGAGATGCACGGCTAGTGTAATGGCATTTCTGACTGCAGTCCGTTCCGCTAGCGTGAAATCGTGCTCGGTGTCATGCTGGAAGGTTTTCCTGCATATACCTAGAAATTTTGTTCATCCAAACTCCCGCCTATGGTGCGGCTTCGAAGGGGGTCGGATATTGGGTGTAGTTATTCGCTATCGTTGGGACATAGCCGCGGTGAGGGGCATTACAGCAGAGATACAATCACACAGAGTAGTAAAGCAAGATGTGTATGCGCTATACGTCATATACGAGTGAGGAGAGGCAAGCAACGTGCAGGAGCATTGGCAGTGTCGAGATCTGGGGTTTCGCTGATTAAGCTAGCGCCGCAGCCGCACGTGCCGCAATTTCACGCTAGATCTGTTTGCGAATCGAATTTCGAGACTGCCACGGAAAGCATGCAGGCCCGCATAACGAGTACTACAGCTCCTACATTTCGGAGAGTGCTTTCGGGCTTCTCGAAAGGTTCCACATGGGTCTGTTCATCTTGCCAAATTCGCAGCAGACGCGACCAGAGGAATGTTACTACGCAGACACCTTCTCCGAAACCTTACTACGTCACCACTCCGATTTTCTATGTTAATGCCGCCCCTCATGTAGGCCATCTTTATACCATGGTCCTCACGGACGTTGTCAAAAGGTGGCATTTATTGAAGGGCGAGAAGGCGCTACTTTGTACAGGGACAGATGAGCATGGCTTGAAGGTAGCTTAATCCCAGTTAGGGAATTGGAGCACACACGCTGATAGCTTGATAGGTACAAAGAGCAGCCGCAAAAGCTGGTATAGATCCAAAGTCGTTCTGCGATAAAGGTGCCGAAATCTTCAAAGTAGGAGTATTTTAATGCTGGAAACCATCACTATTACTCACATCTTGAAGGAACTGGCAAGGAAAGCCGAGATCACGAACGACCATTTTGTACGCACAACGGACGGAGAACACAAGGAAGCCGTTCAATATGCATGGGTAAGAACCTTAAGAGAGATATTTGAAAGAAAGGTCAACTAATGATAACAGTTTCTGTTGCAAGAAAAGGGCCTGATATACGAACAAAAGCATGAGGGCTGGTACTCGGTGACTGACGAATGCTTCTACCCCAAATCTGGAGTACAGCCGTACCTAGACCCGCCTACGGGAAGAAAGATCATGGTATACCGTCTCCATGTATATGCTTGTTCGAACTGACCATCCCATAGACGTCAATCGAAACAGGTAGTGAAGTAGAATGGTCTTCAGAGGAAAATTACCACTTTCGGCTGTCGGCATTTCGCGACAAACTACTGGAGTTCTACAAGAACAATCCAGAATGGATAGTGCCAGAGGCCCGTATGAATGATGTGGTGCAGGCTGTGGAGTCAGGTTTGGAGGATCTATCCATCTCCAGGCCGTTCGACCGACTTACATGGGGAATCCGAGTCCCCGGAGATGACTCACAGACGATCTACGTCTGGCTTGACGCCCTCATGAATTATGCCACCAAGGCAGGCTATCCATGGACTCCGGGTCGCGAGCAAGAGGGAGGCTGGCCTGCAGACTGTCATGTCATTGGTAAGGACATTGTTCGGTTCCACTGCATCTATTGGCCAGCTTTCCTTATGGCGCTTGGGCTTCCTCTTCCCAAGAAGATATTGACACACGCACACTGGACACTTGGAGGCTCGAAGATGTCCAAGTCGACCGGTAAAGTAGTAGACCCTTTCCTCGCAATTGATCGGTTTGGGTCAGATGTCATGCGCTTCTACATGGTCCGTGAGGGTGGCATACGGGATGATGCGAGCTACGACAACGCCCGAATTATCATGCAATATAACAAGTTTCTACGCCAGCATCTCGGAAACCTAGCCTCTCGTGTCGTGAGAGGTAAGAAATGGAGCGTGCGAGGCGCAATTGAGCGTATCGGTGGAAGATCAGCAGAGGAGTGGGAAGAAGGCCCAGGCTCCAGGTTCCGCAACAACTCTCTCGCCACTATTGCCTCAGAAACCGATGCTGCATTTGATGCATATGACCCAAGAAGGGCGGTGTTTGGCATCACTGAGTTCATACGAAGTGTAAGTTCTCACATTGCTGCTTCTATGCCAATACTGATCTTAGTCAGACGAACGCATTCTTCACAATGTCATCTCCGTGGGACAAGATTTTGGATTTTGGTCCTGGCGAGCCCGGAGAGGATGTCGACAAAATCATCTATCTTAGTGCTGAAGCCCTTCGCATCGCTGGTATACTGCTGCAGCCGTACATGCCGAACAAAGCGAACCAACTACTCGATCAATTGGGAGTAGATCGCGACCGCAGAACGTTCGAATACTGCAAGATTGATGCCGATTTAGACTACGGAACGCCGCTGGTAGATGTGGGTAAAGCGCAAGAGGGCGTGCTGTTTCCGCATCTTCCAAGCGCAGAGTAGGACCCTGTACACTGATGTAGTATATGTAATGTAAGACTAGATAAGAGATTCAGAATATCCTGATCGTATCACATGAAACATATTGGACGCATGTTAGTATATAGTGTGCAGGTGCTGTGACGACTGGAGTGAAGCCTGTTTCACGTGACCCTGGTACAGGGTTGGGCGCCAAGGCGGGGGCCTACCGTACATCATTCCTAGGTAGTCGCGCGAACTTTAGATTTCCAAATGAACATTTCACATAGTACAGCCAGCCACCCATACTTTCCGCCCCAGACTCGATATTCACGACTAACAGTCCCTCCTCGATCGCCTTCTTAAAGGATACAATAAATGATCGAGAACGCGTCCCCATAAGCGCCATACTTCACCATGGCCGCCCCCAAGCAGGGCGGCTTCAAGATGTCGCTGGGAGCCTTAAAGGCGAAACCAGGTCTAAAAGCATTGCCGGCGCAGAAAGATGTAAAGAAGTCAAAGCTCATGCTCGGAGATGACGAACCCGACGATTCGAACAAGCAGCAAGAGATCATAGGATGGGACGCAGCAGAGGGCGGCGCGCTTGATGCCAACACCAAGAAAGAGAAAGAGCAACCGCGCGTCATCCCAGCTTTACCGAATCGCGATCGGCGCGAAGAAGCGCGGCGGAAACAACTTGCGAAAGCTCCGCATACACAAGCGCAGAAGGGCGACGTCGATGAGAAGCAGATGGAAGGGCTCAAGATTCAGTACGGGCTTACAATTGTAAAGAAGGACGAGACGCAGGATGATGGAGCTGCGGAAGCCCCTGGGCCAGAGCCAATGGAGGTAGACAAGGATGAGCTCACGGAAGAGCAGCGCCTCGAGAAGAAAGCTCTCGATGCGCTAATCAATGGCAAATCGGCCGCTGACGAACTCGTGATTCCAGCCCAGACGGAAGAGGAAGAGTACATCAATGATATTCACAATGCGCCCGATGGGCCTACCCTCGAAGCCTACGAAGCCACACCGATCGAAGGATTCGGCGCCGCGCTACTTCGCGGTATGGGATGGAAAGGCGAAGAAACAACTGGCAATAGTACAAAGTCGAAGGAAGTCAAGCGGCGGCCGGCGCTACTGGGTGTTGGCGCGAAGGCAGACGCTGCGGTGGGCGTTGAGTTGGGAGAATGGGGTGTCAGCAAGGGAAAGGGCAAGAAGATGATGCAAGACTACAATCCAGTCGCGCTACGGAACAAGAAGACTGGTGAGACAATTACAGAGGAGGAGCTAAAGGCAAAGCTTGAGAACCAAAATCTAGTACCAGACAAGAAGCCTTCGAAACGGAAGAGCAAATACAACGATGGTAGTGAAGAAGATGAGCGGAGACGGGAAAGACGGAGAGAGAACCGGGATGATAGGGATCGCGACCGACGCGACGACGACTACGACAGCGAGCGACGACGAGACAAAGACCGTCGGCGAAACAAGGACGATTATCACGAGAGCGACCGCCGGCGAGATAAGCTGAAGGAGCGCGTCCGGGGCGACGACTATGATGGTGAACGTAGGAGGGAGAAGCGAAGAGACCGCAGTCGTAGCCCTGATGATCGGAAGGAGAAGCGGAGAGATCGCTACCGCAGTAGGAGTCGAGGTTCCGATGATCAGAGGAAACGCAGAAGGGATAGGGAATACGACGACGTTGACAGACACGAGAGGAAAAGGCACAGGGATGACAAGTACTACAAATAGGGTGTGTATATAACGGGACGGGTCTTGCAGGGGGATCACTTGGAAACATTAGGGACCGGCACGGGCATAAAAATAGACATGGGTACGAGCATGAGCAATCCTGGACTGGGTTTTAGCGATTTGGCATTGCAATGATGGAATCTGGTAGTGGTTCCATGCTCATGTCGAGGGCAACTGCGAATGTTGGGGCAATATCATTATGCTCGATAGGACTTAAAGATACTCTATAGTCTAATTCAGACAAACGTGTACCTTTTCAATACACACAAGTCATGCATGTTTATGCTGCTTCTTGTCTCCTCCTTCTCGTACACCGTCATCAAATTTAAATATCCTTCCATGCTTCATTATATGCGTACTCTTATACAGTGTTAAACAAAACGCAAGTGGTATAGTTATGTACAGATAGCTCGAATCGACATATACGTACAGAAGAAAAAGATTAGAAGTTCCTGGAGGGGAGGGTAGGGTCCTGAGCTGGCGTTGGGTAGCCGTTTGCAGTATGTGATACGTAGCCGTTGGTGGCTCCGTTGGTGTGTCCAATGCCATTCGTGTAACCGTTGGCCTGTGGTACAGCCATCTGCGAGTTGCCACGGTAATACTGCTGACTATCTGCTGCGCCGTCGCCCATGTGCGATTGAGCGGGCTGGCGACCTTCCTCGAACGCCTGCATTTCGGTCTGCTTGGACTGATGGTTCTTTGTGCGTGTCGCGGGGAGGAAGTCGATGAAGAAGCTAAACACGTACAGGCAGTAAATGAAGGACACGATCCATTCAAGTATAGCGGCAGTGTTGTAGAGGTGTTTCTTGGAGCATACGGCGAAGGATACGGCAAGACAAATCTCGGTGATGATGAAGAATAGCTTGATCCAGAACGAGATTCGAAGAACCGAGTGTTCGCGGTAGTGAATGCCCAGGCGTTGGTATTCCCAGCAGATGAAGATGGCGCTGATAATGTAGGCGATAATAAAGACAGCAAGGAAGATGTTGTGTAGTCGGTTATGGTTCTTGCAATCGAAGATGGTAAGAAGGATCAAACCGGCCGCGCCGATAATGGCGGCGACGGTGGCGCATATAGAGTATATCTTTTGCCAGTGTGAAGTGTTTGGCGCGAGTTTTGCTGAATGTCGCAACCAGCGCTCGGAGATGAAAGCGAAGTCGAAAGTTACAACGGTGACAGCCGACATGGCTATGAACATGGCTTTCAGGTAGTCGGCACCGATATCTTCATGTTATCAGTACACTCGACAAAAGCTCGAGGGTTGAGATATGCGACTCACCAGAGATGTATGGAATCGTCTGCCCTTGACTCATTGTGACATAATGCGGTTTCCCCGTGGTAGCCCAATACACCAACATGGTTATAAGCATGGCAGTCCATACTACAGAGGAGAAGATGGGAATAGCCCAATACGATAGTCCCAGCATCTTGATCGGTTGCGCTCAGGCAAAGCGCAAGGGTTGTGGTGTTTACAGTGACGTCCGAGTGTTGTATGCGCCTACGACGGGAGTCTGCGGATTTAGGCAGGACGGCACGCGATCAGATGCTTGGGATGGCAGGAATAATGGAGAAACAGCGCAAGGCCCGGACGTGGAGCGAGTCACATATATGAGAAGGATCAAACAAGGCAGAGGAGAAAAAAAAGCGCAGTCAAAGTCTCATGGCAGCGGTATTGTGGCTAGGCACGACGATGATGTCACAGTTTGCGTGTAGCGCCTGAGTCTAGCCGGCTTCCACGGAATGCCACCTTGTTCTCGTCGATCGGCTTATCCAGCCAAGGCACAGACTCATCGACTGCGTGTGTGGGAACAATGCCGATCGGCCTCGGAGATGACAATTTGATGATGTGTTGTTGAGGCGATGTAGGTACGGTTGTGGCTTATGCACAAGCCGCGTAGGGATCGTCGATGACAAACACAGGTGAAATCAGTAAAGAAGTCGGTTTCGCTCACAGGACGTCGGAGGTTTCATAATCAACGCTCAGCCACGGGCAAGGTTGCTGCCGCAATGTGCAGAGCAGGCGCGTGATTGTCCGGACCCTACGCGTACAGTGTGAGCATTCGGTGTTACAGCGGGTTCTCCAGCTACCTGTCGTCAGCTTTGCAGCTACCTGCTGTTGATGTTGCGACTTCATCGCCTGGCTTTGCGCGCGAAGCAGGACATAGACATGGAATTATAATGTCGAAGTTTGGATTGTCCAAGTCGAGCGCAGGGTACATGTACGCGATGATGTCGGTGTGGTTGATCTTGGAAGGTTGCGACCTCCGAGGTTCCCACATGGGCAGTATCCACCCACGTGATGCCAGGTCCGCGACGGACACTATAGTAAGTAGGCGGCTCCTGATATCATGTCGTCCAGGATCAGGCTTGTGCCAAGTGCCTTGCCTCGGTTCCGGGCAGCAAACGAACACAGCGCAGCTTCTTGAATCTTCAGTGTTTTATTGACCGTGATCGAGGATAGCATAGGACAAGTCTCCGGCGTCTGGGCCTGGCAGCTTGTCTCGCATCTGCGGCGGTCTGGAGGCTCGGCATGGTCAGCTTGCTTACCTTTGATCCTTGTGCAGCTGATGCGCGAAGGATTTGAGGGTAAATCATCAGGTAGCGCGTACACCATCATTCTCGTACTGTATACAGAGTTTGCATATCATTACCCTCTCTGGCCGCTTCACCTACTTCACCCAATCGTGCGAGTCAAGCTGCTTAGTCGTGCCAAGTGCAGTTATTCGCGCATGCCTTGGCCCGACTTACTTTCATGTACATAGCTATGTATTTGCCAGTCCAAGTAATGCATGATAATCGTGCCACGTGTTTAGGTATAACATGGTTGGTGTTGGAAGGTCTATAGCACTAGTGCTGAAAGGAAATAACGATAACTAGGAATGCATTCTGTTCGGTGATGGTGATTGATTGTCTACGAACATAGCTGCTACGAAGGTATACCTAAGCTCTGCGCAAGGTGGGCCGAAGTCGGGCCGAAGTGTCCAGCAGCCGACGTCTCTACCGATACTCACGATCCGACAGTTGGCAAGCGAGTCGGTCACCCAAAAACACACCAAAAAGCTGAGTTTTGGCAACTCGATATCTCAACAACCACCTAATAGATTTTTCTTAAAATCTTATTGTAAAGCTGCACATACATAAGCATGTAAATTCTATAGTTACAGGGCTATAGCTAACTTGATTGTAGAGTTATTAAGCAGAAACGAAAAATTCCCGCTTTTTTAGCCCCCAAATTTTATATCTCTATATCTAGAGTAGCTAGGGCCCTATAATTATAGAATCTTATAGAGTTATAATCCTAGAGCTCTAGTAAAACCTTTGAGAAAAATCTATTTGGTGGTTGTTGAGATATCGAGTTGCCAAAACTCAGCTTTTTGGTGTATTTTTGGGTGACCGACTCGCTTGCCTGTGTTACGAACCTGTGGGAAGGGGCACGGCGGTTAAGTTAAGGAGCGTCGGCGGGATAGCTGACCCCTCCATATGTGACACGGGAACTTAATCACGTGACCTCCTCGGCTTGGCATGCACGAGGAAAAGTCTTGGCACACCCCTCGTACATACGCCACCGAGGAGTGCTCCTCGCGCGTCAGCCACCGAGGAATCCTCGGACTCCTCTGAGCGAGGACAGCGAGCACCATAGGTATATAGCATTAGGCAATGAGCTCCTATAGCTCATTGTGTTCAACTTCGAAATCTAAGGATTAGTACTTGATTCTCAACTCCCCGTATATTACATCGATCTACCAATCGTGCTATACACCCTCGTGTCCATCGCATCACTCTATCCCCGAGAACCAACCCAAGATCATCTTCGGACGACCTTCACAGCCTGACCGACTCGCTTGCCAACCATGTTAAATACAAGACACCCTTTTAATATCAAGCAACAGCAGTTATATCAATACGTCAATTGGACACAGCACCTTAGTACTTACTTCTATCACAACATGCAGAATTTCCTTCCTATAGCTCTTATCTTACTTGCTCGTACAGTATTAGTTGCATCTCAGCAAGTAAGTATTATATTTAACGCCCCCGGGCTAATATTATAGACAATACATAACCAATAGACTAACCTATAACGAATAGTGGACTTCTTGCTACTGCACGGGCAAGGTTCCGGAAGACGCTGATAGAGTCGCTCTATTTTGTTGTCAACAAGATTCTGATGGAGTTACCTTCCCAAACTTTCCTCACGATGTCAAAGGAAGATGGGACGGGAGGGTCTGCAACTTCGAAGGTCCGGTGACGCTTGAAATCTCGGTGCCTTGTCTCCTAACAAAGAAGTTAACCTTGGCAAGGCTAATTTGTTCAAGGAAAATGATGCTTCTGACGGATTCGCTACATGCTGCAAGGGAAGTAGCTCTGGAACGACTCCAATATGGGGAGGTGCGTGTTTCACGCCGGGCCGCTAGACTCACAAGGCGATGCAGACGTCAAGTGGTAGGTATCACTTCCAGCAAAACTACAGCAATCGAATATCTTGCCAAGGCGTCTATAGATGAGGAATTCCCAATCGTCAATACAATCTGCTTGATGTAATGTAACCAGTCTGTCTCCACAGTGCCAGTGTACCCGTGTCGCATTGTGATGAGTTGTTGATGTCGACATGAAGCGTCAGGTGTTGAGCGGAAATGAGGTACGATTTGAACCAGAGTGGAGTGCCTGGCGTTGTCACGGCGCACAGCCACCTATATAGCATTCATCCATTCATCCACGACGTGCATCGGCACGGCCCCAAGACGGGCTCGGTTAGTTTGTCCGCTGTGGAGATCAGGTGGAATTGCATGAGGAAGCGGGATTTTGGCGGGTTTGACCACATTTGACCAGGCATGCGAAAGTGAGCGAAAGCTGAAAGGGCAGACAAGCGGTAAAAAAACCAGCAGCGGCGCTGGGATGGCGGCGTCGGGCTACAGGCTGGTGCATGCATCCAGACGCGACCACCCCACCTGATTGGCCTTGTCGTCTGTGCGCCGAACCAGTTGATTGGCACGTCAGTTCAATCTACGACGCTGGTCTATCGTCCGGTTTCAAGTCGACGCTCTTTCAGGTTTGTTGCTACTTGGACATGCACTGTCTCCGCCTGCGACACGCAGCCGTCTTAATTGCCATGCTTGCCGTCCATCCATGAATGCCTGTAGTCCGTCACTTAGCCGTGCCCCAACGCCTGTTCTTGCGGGGACATATTCCTTATTCTTCAATACCTTCGCCGCTCTAGGGTACCGTCGAACTCATGTTGATGCTCACATACCAGCCTCCGTATTGATAACGCTGCGCGCTCCTGAAGCTTATAAGGTGAGCAGCCAGCCGAGACTTCGCTCCTCAGCCGCAAGGACAACTGTTCATTTACTTTCTAGTTGTTATAAATCAAATGTCTTTCACTCGATAGTCTTGAGCCTCGTCGCTCTCAGGCACTGTGTTAGCCTTCGCCAACATGGGTAATCAACCTAGCACCGCGAACCACAACAGGCTGTCCAAGCCGAAAACAAACACAAACTCTCCCGTTGGAGCCACCAAGGCCGACTCGCCCGAACCCGTATCGATATACGCCGACCTCAGCACAGAGGGACGCCAGCAGATCAAAGACACGTTGCTTTCGCCTACCACCACCGAGTTCGGGTCCCCTGTCTGGGCGCATAACGACGAGACCGCAGGAGAGTCTACCCATACCCGGGGGCGACCACTGTCGCTCGTCTCAAGGTCCAATTCAAAGGCAAACTCGAGGACACACTCGCGCTCAAACTCGCTGTCTTGCTTCGGAAGTAGACATGGCTCGTCGGTCAAGCTTGGTAGTCTGGCTGACTCCAAGACATCGCTAGCCTCTATTTCACATGTGAACATTGCTGAAGCTATTCGGCTCCTGCAAGAAGTCAAGAAGAACGGCACCCCGGACGACCTCGCCGCTCTCCAAGGCATTCTGGAAGCACCAGATGAGCCTGACATTTCGACAGCAGATCCGGTTCACGACAGACATTCTCCTCAGATTGGAACATCGACTTCGTCTCTTACGCGCCGCCAATCTCTGGTCCAGACACCCGGAGTCGGTACCCGGAATTCTCCAGTTGAAGGACGTCGACGAACGTGGAATTCATGGAAGGCCCCGAAACTTGAAGCTGACGAGGAAGCGAAATGGCGGTCGAGCCACAGGGCTAATTCCCAATTGCAGTCCCAGACAGTTGCGCGTCTGACCAAGGAAGCTCGCGATGAACCAATGCCCAGGGCAGAGACACCGACGGATATAGATTATTCGCATTTGGGAAGCTTGGAGCTTGGGTCTCTTGTAGTTACGAATGGAGCGCCATCTCCCTCATTCAGTGCAAAGGACTCAAGACCCCGTCAGACTGACCCAGACGAGTACTTCGCGTCATCAGAGGAAAATTCTAGTCCCCTTATGATGAAGTCTACACGGCGCCGTGGTCATGCGAAGAGCATGTCGGCCGCACTCCCACAGACCTCTCGACTCTACCAAATGGACACCCCTGACGTACCATTACCATACGATATTCGAAGCGTAACAAATACAGCCATCATCAAGCCTTCCTCGTCGCCAAAGCTAGTCGATTTAGCTGCTTTAAATGAATCGTCTCCAAGATCATTGCGAGTGACGAATATGAGTATTCCAAGCGCCTCGCAATTGGCTCACAGCTACCAGGCGGATATTGCAACCAGCCCTTTTGAGCCATTGGCGGAGAAGTTTCCAACCAATGGAGACAAAGAGTGTGCCTCATATGACGCTTCCTTCCAAACAGCTCCTATATTTCAGGATGCCTTCTTCACGGAACCCGAGCCACTACCCGAGCTCAAGGTTTCAATGCCTTCCTCAAGACTGAGTCTACCAACTCCACAGAAGTCGAAGAAAACATCTGATCAACGACCATCGCCGCGAACGATGGATTCTGGTTACTCGTCCGGTGGCAGTCTGCGCATGAGCGAGCAAGACCAGCTATATTGTCGGTGCAGTGGCACGTCTCAACCCGATGTGACTCCGCAGAAGGGAATGCCCAAGTCGATCCTGAGAAACAAAAGTACAAACTCTTCTCACTCCCCTGCCCCGTCGTCTGCAGAAGAAGAAGACTCGAAAGTGAACCGCAGTCCATCATACCTACAAATTCCGGTACATTCGTCAAGCTCTTCTGCGAGGTCGTCAGCTTCCGATTCTCTGCTTTCGCCCCAAACACCGAGGTCAATCACTTCAGGCTCGTCGTTCGAAAGTACTTCAAGACCACAGAAGAAGCGTATACACCGGAGCCGACCGTCACAGGCGCAGACTTTAGTTGTCCAATCGTGTCAGCCGATTCCAGAAGGAACTATTCCAGAGGTTCCAAATAAGGTCCGAGCCAATTTCGAAAGACGCGTATCGCAATTTCCCGAGGTCGAATGCCTAACACGTACATACCCAACCAAGGATCACGTCGTTGTGGACGATCGTAGTGATATCACCACATTTCCAGTCCTGGACACGATCGAACCGCTTACCGAACTGGAGCCCGAACGTCCAAAAACGGCGCCGAGCCACCCTCGTCGCAAGAGTCTGTCGTTCCTACGCCGAAAATCATCAGTCAGCAAGCATGAAATGGAGAAAGAGGCCGAGAACGATGCTCGTCATGTGATCGACTTCGGTACCAGTGCAATGTCACTTGGTACTTCTCCGTACGATGCAGCAATGTCCCAATCGTCGAAGCCGAGTGTTTCTTCTCCTACTCATCCTCATCAAATGGGGTCTATGCCCCGAGCCAAGTCGATGGTGAATATGGATAGTAAGGCTGCTACGGAGTATGCACGCTTGCACAGCAAAGATCTGGCCTTTGCCGATCAACAAGTATCCCGGCAACGCCGTAAAAGCTGTCACAATATCAAGATCGAAGCTGGTGAGGCCAAGGCTGTGAGACGGCGCCCCCAAGGCTCCGATATTCCACCTGTCCCGTCCATCGACACATCAAGGTTTTCAGTCTCACCCGTTGCCAAACCTAGGTTACAGCCATCCAGGTCAGAGCAGAGAGCCTCTCAAATTGCGAGCAATTACGAGTCACGTCCCCAAACTTTGGCTGTACGCCCTCAGGGTGGGCACCAGCGTCGCAAGTCGACGGGAGAAGTACTGCGTTCGAAGAAAGCAATCGTCAATGTCTCGGCATCACCAAATCCCCAGGCTATGGGGGATATCGCCAGCTGGGGCCGCTTCAGCGGTGGTTTGCAGTACAACTACGAGGGCCGCGGGGCCGGCGTAGGAGGCAGCGCAGGTACGCGACAGCTCCACAGCTACGCATCTGTGAAGTCGCTCCACTATAAGCATCAGTACGGTGTAGACCTGTCTGATGTGCCCATCATGCTACAGCGCGTATAGGTGCGTTGTTGATGTTTGTACACATTCGGCGTTATTTTTCCTTTGTTCTGAGGTCTTGGGCAGCATTGCATCTCATGATTGTTTTAGCATTTTCGCATTTTCGCATCGGCGCATCGATGCATACACGCACACGAACTAAGCATATGGGTACCGGGGCAAGGCGTTTTTCCTGTTTTGAGTACATAGTGCATAGCCTGCATGTTGCAACCGCCGGAAAGCAAGCAGCAACACATAACCACACGGCATTTTACCAAGGGCTGTTTCCCATGTGCCGTGCGCTGTTTGATGTTGGTGGTGTTGATGTTGATGTTTCAACTGTCCATGTCTATAGCCACGTGTATACTATAATTGGGTTGTCGTGCGCGAACCCTCGCGTGCCGATTTGAAGACACCAAACTTTGGAAGCAAATCGCGGGGTTGTCCCGTACGTCAACATGAGCGTCGCGCATGTGTGATGTTGTTCACATACTAGATTATTCATGCTAAAGAAATTAACCACAGTGTGTACGCGTAGAAATGGCTCATTCGGACCAGCCAGGGCGTGCATGCAGATGCGCCCTTTTCTGCAAACTGGTGCTCCGCCTCAGTAGCTGCCCATCGAGCCGATCAGGCACCACTGGAAGTTATGCACGAGCCGCGGTGATGTCAGAATGAAATGCTAGTGGCTACAGGTCCTGGACAGCACAGGGATGCTAGGTTGTCTTCGGTCCAAGACGCAGGACCACAACCGAATGCGCGAAAATTAATCACTCCAGCTCCTCCCCGCCATCGCCTCCCTTCTCTCTCACACTCACCTACTTTTCAACTTCACCGCCTGCCTCCCAGACGTCGCTTTCCTATAAAGCGTCCACGTCTGCCCCCTTGCGACTGCTCAGTCCCACACACCGACAGCCTTTGGTCGCGTCAAAGGCTCCCATCTCAATACGGCTTCGGCCCTGATCTTACTCAACCTTCAAGTTGTATCTGCTCGACCTGCGCCTCACGTTTTCAACAACATCCCCCCTCCGCGTCTTGTCGTCATCTAAGAAGGAACTTGAGCGTCTTTTCTTTTTGTCTCCTACCCAGACCCTTGACCAGCTTGAACTTCAGCTGCCGCATAGGACGCCATCAGCGGTTCTTCCTCTCGCAGAGGAAGCGGCCAGACCTCGCCCAACACCAAGCCTCGGCTTCGCCCCCTTCAAGCCACCTTAACACGGCACCACGTCTCAGCAAGTAAAAAACACAATTACCCAACTCTTGGAATCCACCACCAAGGGCATGGCACCTTCTGCTATCACAACTACTGAAGAGTACCAATACCCGTTGAAAGACATACAGTCGTTCAACAACTATTCAGCTAGTAGTGTTGACAATCATGGCGCCTGCTACTCCAAGCAGTTGATTGGGGACGCTCTCAAGAGCCGTGTCGAGGCTATTGATTCTGATACCTGCAATGTTGGCGAGGAAGATGCCTTCTTCATCGCTGATCTGGGCGAGGTCTACCGCCAGCATCTACGCTGGAAGACGAACCTGAGCCGTGTTAAGCCCCACTATGGTAAGTCTAATGTGCATAGCTGTGTGTAAGAATGAACACTGACACTTCAACAGCCGTCAAGTGCAACCCCGACCCTCAGGTCTTGCGCCTTATGACTGCCTTGGGCCTCGGCTTCGACTGCGCTTCCAAGAACGAGATTGAGACGGTTCTCAACTTGGGTGTTGATCCTTCCCGCATCATCTATGCGCAGCCTTGCAAAACCAAGTCGTACGTGCGATACGCCGCTCAGTCTGGCGTTAAGCAGATGACGTTTGACAACGCAGACGAGCTCTACAAGACGAAGCAGCTCTTTCCCGACGCTGAGCTATACCTGCGCATCCTGACCGATGACTCGGCCAGCTTGTGCCGTCTCAGCCAGAAGTTCGGTGCCTCCCTGGACACCACCGCCGAGCTCTTGGAGCTGGCGAAGAAATTGGAACTCAATGTTGTGGGAGTGGCTTTCCACGTCGGTTCCGGTGCATCCGACCCCAAGGCTTTTATCAAGGCTGTCCAGGACGCCCGGTTCGTCTTCGACCAAGCGGCTGCGCTCGGCTTCAACATGCACACTCTGGACGTGGGCGGTGGTTTCACGGGCGATGTCACTTTCGAACCCATGGCCGCTGTCTTGTCTGCTGCCTTGGACGAATACTTCCCGCCCCACATTCGCGTCATTGGGGAGCCTGGACGTTACTACGTTTCCACGGCCTTTACCCTCGCCTGCCACGTCATTGCTCGCCGCACTGTCAATGATGCTACCCTTGGCACCACTTCGTACATGTTGTACATGAACGACGGTGTATATGGTAACTTTTCGAGCATCATCTTCGATCACCAGCACCCAGTGCCACGTGTGTTGAAGAATGGTAATGACGTCTTGTATGACGTTCGTCGTTCCGGATACGACACGCCGTCTCAGGTCGAGTACTCCATCTGGGGTCCGACTTGCGATGGCATCGACGTCATCTCATCTTCCTGCACCTTCCCCGAACTGCTTGACGTTGGTGACTGGCTCTACTTTGAGGAGATGGGTGCCTACACCAAGTGCTCCGCTACCCGCTTCAACGGCTTTAGCGACAGCCACGACGTCGTGTACGTGTGCAGCGAGGCTGGTGCGGCTGCTCTCATGGGTATGTAAGGAGAGATGAGATGGCAGTGTTGATACGGCGTCCTCGCTTTTGTATAAATGCCAAGATTGCAGAGAAATAGGAAGTATTGTTGTTAAAAGTTTGATAGATGTATAGATGTTTGCTGTTCCTTAATATAACCTATGTGTATTCTTATATGTATGAGAAGCCTGCTCGTGTGACTTGATCACAATTGACATCTAATTACGTCATATATAGCTGTCCAGAATCGAGGGTTGTATCAAGTAGAAGGAAGCTTTCACGTCGGCCATTGAAAGCAAGTCTGTTCCTAAATTGACGGGCAATATCAATGTACGGATTAGGCAGGTCGCCAGCTCGGACGGTTGATTATTCCAAGACTATCGAATCTGTCTCGTCCAATGTCCCAATACGCCGCTAGTGTAGACTAGCGCTAAGCCAACTCGTCGTCAATGGTGAAAAGGCACCCGCGACCCAAACACTCGCTTGCCAACTTGCGACTTCCTTTGTATTTGTTTCACAGAATTGAATGGGCATGCCTGGATAGGTACTCGGCCTCAATGCGAGTAGATCATTTGACTGATCGCTTCCAATCACCTCTCGCTGCCTATTGCTTATCCATCTAGCAAGATAAGACACATTTTATCATTGCGCACTTATGTATGTTTCGCTGTTCTCCTGATTGAGACGAGTGCACCCGTTTTTCTCTCTGCATTCCTCCCTACAGTCCCTCTTCCGGCCAAAGATGACAATGAGGTTGCTTCTCTGTGGCTTAATCAACTACGAGCTAGCGCTTCTTTTACAGATACTTCGCATTAGCTAGCCCGCTTTTTGGAGTGTGGCTTTGATGTGCGATAACTTTGATTTGTCTGAGCCGTTTTGTTTTGTTGGGTTACTATTATTTGGTTCGTTTGATGGAATGAGATTGCTGATTATTGCATAGGCTTTGGTTGCTAGACGGGATAGTTGGGGGTTGAGTCGAAACATGTTGGGTATGTTCTCTCGGGAGTTGAGTGTAGGGAGAGGCCATATCGTCTGTCTGTATGTTCTGTCACGGATTGGAGGCTGCAACAAATCAAGACGTACTTGGGCCCATGGACAGAATGAAGTATGGCTGGTCCCATTGCACAATTGCACTTGATATACCATTCATAATACAAAGAATTGCTACATAATTGCCATGTTCTTACAGTTCCATAACTACCTCGCCTTCTCCTTATTCTCGGCTGCCCTCCTCTTCGCTCTCACCTCTGCCTTCCTCCTCTCACCACCATCTACCTTGTGTCCCCTCTTCACCTCCCAGATACCCTCTTGAAGTCGGATCCTCGCCCTTAGACCTTGGCTTCCCTTGACTGTCTCCACAAAGCTACCCTTGATCGTCTTTGCACCCTTCACAATGACGCCCTGTACTTTGGGTAATGTCTCTACCGGCTCAACTGGTCCCTCAGCACCAGTGGGTATATTGACCACGAGCTTTCTTGTTCCAGGATCATGATCGGCCGTCGCGATTGCGGAGCGAGGACTTATCGTGTTGCCCAGTTGAGGGTTTGGCGGTACTGGCGCCTCGACGACCTTCAGTTCGGCGATTCCATCTGTGACGTGCTTGCAATCCCCACCAATGCCGTATTCCCCGTTCCTGTACTTCTCCCGCCACTGCAGTAAATAGCGTCTAGACCGGGCAGGCTCAACACCAAGCTCCTTCAATTGCGGCGATGTGAGGGTGAAGAGGGCTTCCCAGGACGGTATTTTGGTCGCGTGGGCGGAGAGGCCGCGGCCAATTGCGCTAAGAAAGGCAGTGTGGTCTGGAATGAAGGGTATGGGTTTGGGAACTGGGCGCATGGGAATCGAGTGTTGGAGATTGCGCACGCATGTCTTTGGTATTAATATGGCAGAGGTCGCGTTGAGAAGTGGGCGCCTGAGAATCATGTTGACGGCTACTACGCGCACAATCAGTATTGAAAAAAAAACCCCTAGAGAGGAAGCCAGCTTACTGTAGAATGACCCTCAATGCCAATCGCTGAACCTGCGTCGCCGTCTAAACTGCGGTGTTCCGTGAACTTTTCGGAGGAGCCAAGAAGGACGCCCGTGCACACGAACAGCATCGCAGCCCCACGTCACCCAGGCCGGCCAGCTCCACAGCCTCCCAGCCCAACACCAATTGCAGTAGTAGAGAGTCTCCTATTGCAACACGAATCCTCATCATGTCTGCTCCCGAAGCTCACCACCTTTTCAACCACCCCATTGCGGACCACTCCTTCTCCGCAGACCGCCAGACGCTGGCCGTCGCCCGCGAGAACAATGTCGACCTCTACCAGAAGACGGGCAGCGGATACAAGCTCAAGGATGAGCTGACTGGACACGACAAGACAGTCACGGGTGTAGATATTGCACCCAATTCGGGCAAGATCGTGACGTGCTCGCAAGGTGAGCTTGGAGCTATTTGCTGTGTTGAGACAGGCAGCTAATGCGCTTAACAGATCGCAATGCGTACGTCTGGGAGCCCTCACCACAGGGCTGGAAGCCTACACTGGTGCTTCTCCGTATCAACCGTGCCGCCACTTGCGTTCGCTGGGCACCTTCGGAGACCAAGTTTGCCGTTGGATCTGGTGCTCGTCTGATTCCCGTCTGCTACTTCGAGGAGGAAGACAACTGGTGGGTGTCCAAGCACATCAAGAAGCCCATTCGCTCTACCGTCACATGTGTGGCCTGGCACCCCAACTCGGTCCTGCTTGCTGCTGGCTCCACTGACGGTCACGCGCGCGTGCTCTCTTCTTTCATCAAGAATGTGGACGAACGCCCGGAACCCTCGGCGTGGGGAGAGCGTCTCCCCTTCAACACCGTATGCGGCGAGTACCTGAACAACACAGCAGGTTGGGTCCACAGCGTCGCCTTTTCGCCCTCTGGTAATGCTCTCGCCTTTGCGTCTCACGACAGCACCCTCACCGTCGTCTACCCCAGCGGCCCCGAGCAGGCTCCCCGTGCCCTACTTAGCATCAGCACTCAAGTTTTGCCCTTCATGTCATTGGTTTGGAGCTCCGAGGACGAGATCATCGCTGCGGGATACAACTGCGAGGCCTACCGCCTGAAGGGTGACGAGTCAGGGTGGCAATTGACTGGTTCCTTGGAGACGAAGAGCAGGCCCGGACTTGCCGATCAGCGCGAGGAGAGCGCACTGAACATGTTTAGGCAGATGGATCTCAAGGGCAAATCGGGCACGGATGATACTAAGCTCAAGACTGTTCATCAGAACACCATCAACACTATCCGCAGCTTTGAGGAGAGCGGAAGTGGCATCACAAAGATCAGTTCCACTGGTGTCGATGGCAGAGTTGTCATCTGGACTTTGTAGGTACATGTCATGAAATATGCAAGTAGCATTTTGAAATGAGAAAATCAAATTCAATGACGCATTGAAGCGACAGTGGTGTCTAGGGGTACGAACATACAAACTCAAACTCAAAAAGCGCAAGCTGGTATCATATAATCGTTTCGCTTTTCCCTCATGCCATGGGCGGTAGTAGTAAGCATGCATACATGATGTAGTCCAATAACGCCCATATATATATATATATATATATATATATATATGCACACTCGTCGCATCGTGACATCCTTTAGCCAAAGCCAGTGAATCCAGAGGCATTAAACACATCCAGTGGCACCCCAGTAGGGGCCGGACCGCCAGCCGTGCCAGCTGCGCCACCCATACTCTGCGTCGTCTGTGCATCATTCAGGAACCAAGACCAATCCTGATCAATGTCCATGGGCATATGCTGCCACGAAAAGTTGTTCATGCTGTCATCATTGACCTGCGCGCTAAAGCCCGCATTACTCGGTGTCGAGTGTTCGTCTCCACTCAGGTTGTTCCAATTGTAGAAGCCATCGTACGAGACAAAGGGCGAGGGCTCGGCGAGATTAAAAGCCGTTGTGCCTGTGCCGGCAGATATAGACGTCTTGGGCGTTACGTTGAGCGACTGTGTAGCGCGGGAGAACATTTCCGAGCTGCTGGGTGTGTACTGCTGAGAATTCGCTGGCGATCTTGAGCTTAGCATGCAGGGCGAGGCTGATGATGGGGGACTTGGAGGTTTCTTGATGACCTGTCCACCTCTCTTGATTGAAACGGTGCCAAAGTATGGAATGACGAAGTCGGATTGCTCGTGAGAATTGTCGCAATCGTCGGTTGTGCCCTTGAACTTTCCCATCATCTTCTCTAGCACCTGGGCGGATTGGGCGGCGACTCTGCCTCCTTTCTCACTGGATGCGCGACGGAAAATGTCGATGCTGATTTCGATCAGACGTACGTCTTCTTCAATGTCTTTGGCACTAGGTATTGCTGAAGGTTGTGGGGGCATGGTGGTGTTGAGCAGGCCAAGTAGTAGGAGTACAGCGGCAGTGAAGCCGATGAAGTCGATGGCTTTGCATTCATAAAGTGGCTCGACAGTGCCAGTCCGGAGCGACTGATAAAGCCGCAGTACTTCTCGTGAGCCGTTCAGACACGCTATTCGCGAGTAGGAGAAGCGCGAATTTAACGCCGACTTCAGCATGAACGGCAGGTGCAAGTACACCCGGATCTGATGAAAGACCATCTGGCCCATGATTCTTTCTCGCAGCTCAGCGGCATTTGCCTTAGCGTCGGCTAGTAGCTCGGTGTAGTCGATCCACACGGGATCAAGCCGTTTCCACAAGTCCTCAAGTTCCTGGTCAAGTTGTAAGGCCCAAGCGAAAGACTGCTCAGCTACACCTTGATTGCGGTCGATAACCTTGCCAGCAAGCTGTGAGAGTTTGGTCATGGCAACCATAGGATGGATGTATGGAGCCTCGCTAAGCTCCGGCATCGTCAGGTCGCAATGCGCATCGCTGATTCCATACGGAAGGCCTAGTAGAAGAGACAGGAAACGATCTCCGTGGTACAGGGACCACCATATACTTTCGTGGGCTGCAGAGGATGTCCGTTTACGGTGAAGACCCTGGAAGGTGTCAGGCATCATATATGATTGACTGGAGATATTGTAGCTTACCATGAGCTGGGCGTACATCAAGCCCTTGCGGTACGCGATCCATGCTCGTCGTGGTTGCCCAACGTCTGCGTACCATTTTGATTTCAAAATGAGACACTCTATACCCTCTAGACTTGCAGCATACTCATCATCAGATAGAAACCATCTGTCAACGGCCTCAAAGTACCGTTCGGCGTCATCATAGTCGTCTGACGATGATATGCCGACAGCCAAGACAACAGTAGCAATAGCTCCGATGTTCCCGGTAGTCAGAGCGTGTGCAGCAAACCGAGGTAGGCTCTGCTCAGTTCCGGATGTACCACTGCACTTTCGTCGCCATGTTTGCCACCATTCACTGTTAGAATTCAAGATCTTAGTAAGTTGGTCAAAAGGTGGTAACATCGCGATTAGCCCCTGTTTAGCCTTTTCTCTCTTTGCAGAATGCGCGATCGTATTGCCGACCGCAATATCGCCATCATGTCTGCTCTCTATCGTATATCTCTCATCAGGTGCCGGACCAGGTTTTGGTGTCGTTAACTTCTGCCGAGGATCATCGCGAGCTTTGGCTTGTGCCTCGGCGTCATTCAGCTACGAAAAATAAGCATGAGACTTTCCAAAAAAGTAACAGATCAGCTTACCGCGTCTTCGAAAGCGGAGAGAATAGGCACATGATGGCCCCTGTCAGGTGCTGCACGCTGATTGTTCGATAGCTGGAAGATGTTGGATGAGGATTCTGTTGAGAGCGGAGTAGGCGGAAAGGTGTCTTTGGTGTACACGTTATTCGGCCTTGGTGATGATGTGTCCGCTAAGCTTTGACTCTGACTGCGACTTTCTGACTTGACTGTTTTATCCTCGAGTAGGGTGTCTACAAGAGCCTCCAGCCTTGACACCCTCTCTCGGAGATTTTTTCGATGATCAACAATGACTTCTGGATTGGCGTGCTCTTGATCGATGCACCTGCTGCCACGCGCAAAACATTCCGAGCAAACGTCCGGGTTATCGGGTTGGAATATGCATCGGATCTTGCGTCGACGACCTATACTCGATTAGAGAGGCTCATAAGAATTTGAGTAAGAAGTATGAGTATAGAAAAGATGAAAGGGGATGTAGCGATGATGCACGTATGGATTGTGGTAGTGGAGATGTTGAAACAGATGGAGCGAGAAAAGTACCAGATGGGAACTAAGATTGTGTTCACGTACACTCAAAGCAGCTATGCGTACCCTTACGCATCTTTTTGCGTGTGGGCAGCGTCTCCTCCTTGGGCATATCGAGAGAGTGTGTCCCACTCACACAGATTGGTCCCAGGCTCTTGCGACGAATTCGTCCGGACTAGCAGAACGCCAAACCCTTCGGCCCACGACTGTCTGCTGATATATAAGTCGTCCGGAACGCACTTCTCCAGTAACCCGAGCCTAGCTGATGGGATAAAAGTGGAATAAAAGACAATAGTAGAAACAGACGTGTGGTGAGAGCTCTCGATCGATGATGCAGTTTCAGAGCAGGTCGAGGAGAGTCGGACGCCGCTTTCGTCCGCTAAACTCTTGTGTTAGGTCAGCAAAGGAAGCTGAATAATGCCGCACGTTAACGCGTGTAAAGAGTGACCACTAGGTGGACTAAAGCCTTATAGCGGGCATGAACCAGGCAGCAATGTTTTGGAAAAGACCGGCTCTCGCGGAGCATTCGGGCGGATCGGATTTGTTCTAATCGCCGTTCCCTTTGTGGTCAGGGATACGAGCTGTCGGATCGCATGCGAATGGTTTAGGGTGCGAAGAGCGGTTAGTGCGAGGCTATGTCGATCCCCACGCATGGAGATTGCGGATGGAACAGCTCTCTTGAAGCCAGGGCCGGAGTCCGCGATGGCCCTGTATCCCGACCTCCGCGTACCGGTACATATACCTACGCCCCATCTACCCTGCTCGAAACTATCGTCGAGCATTTTCCTCATGTGCTCCGTTTCCTCCCGTAATCGGTAAGCCTCGATCGGAGTTCGGAATGGGTCTTGCTCCCAAGCTGAGCCAACATATTGTTGGAGCTATATGGTAGAGTGTGGAATGTGGGTGAACGCCTAAGACTAGCAGCCCTACAGACAATGTGGTGGGCACACTGCGTCACCGTTCCGCCCTAAGCCGCAAGCTCAAAGCTGTCACTGCAGCGCTGCGAGACCTTACGTAGCCAAAGGATCTACCGCCTTACCCTTCCACGCTTAGCATTCTATATATGGACTGTGGGCTATACTGAACCGACACATCTTCTTTTGAATTACTCGAGCTGTAAGCATGTCTACAGCGAGCGCACACGAATACCACCAAAGACAGCATCTGCCACCCAGTCCACCGCCGTCACCACCTGTGCAAGCAAAACCAGAACCCAGAAAGCGACGGCATAAGAAGAAGCCCGATCCATTTGAGCAACTTGCGACTACACCCATACCCTCGCTGCCATCCTCTCCCACAAATGACGTGAACGCCAACGATGAGCAGGAGCCCCTTGTGAAACGAGTACGTCGCATCTCCCAGCTTTCCATGGCCAGCACCCGTGTACTAACACACCTTTGAAGATTATTCTCACACCCATCTTTTTTATATCCTTCCTCATTTCGCTGTTTCTCGTAAACTATCGCAACCGCGCGCGTCGCACAGAGGCACAGCGTTCATCGGGCTTCTCCCTCCTCGCCTACCTTACTCCTTCAAGCTGGCTCGACCCGGAGCCCTACCAAGACCCTGATGACTCTACTTGGGGTCGAAGAGGCACAATTGGGCATGTAGAGCCCCATGACGCCATAGGGCCCAGGCAAGATGGTCAAGGCCAGGGCCAGACCAAGAAGAAGAAGTCCTGGCATTTGCATAGGAAGATTAGACAGGTGGCTAAGCTGGAGATTGGAGATGCCCTAGAGATGCGTGGACGTGTCATCGTGGTTATGGTTGCCATAATGGGATTAGGGTGTATTGGCTTATGGATGGTCCTGAAGTGGTTTGTTGTGTGCATGTCGAACATGCTGTTTGGGACAAAATCATAAGGGCTTCACAATTTAAGAAGCTGAATATACGCATGCAAGGGTTATCAGCCAAAGGCATATGATGGAAAAACGGTCTTGTATGGCGGACGCTATGGTTACACTAACATACGATCCAAAGAAACGAAACGATCATGAGTACACCCAAACACCCATGCTATCGTGAAGAGACCGTCTCGTCATGAAAGCTATTGGATCTTTATCACAATGAAATGCTCCTGCAGGAAATTTTCAAAAGGGGTATCGCAACCTTTACTAACGCCAAGTAAATATGAACAGTCTCCGTAGACCAGCTTCAGAAAGCGGGCATCGAGCATGGTTAAGAGATGAAACAGAATAACTGATTTTACAGTTTTGAGCTCAATAGACGCGCAACCAATCGATCGAAAAAGTAGCCCATGTCATCACCTTCTCTGGTCTCATTCGCTTTCTGAGCCAGATAGCCCGCATTATCGGCCATTTTTATGGTTGACCGCAAGCCTTCAATGAATTTGGCTTCAGGGGATCCAATGTTGTGCGACTGCACAGACTCGCCTTCCCAGTCTGGCCTGATCCTGGCGTGGCATCCAGAGAAGCATGCGCTGTAAAAGTCCAGCAAGGCTTTTACCCCTTGTTCATCGAACTTTAGGTCCTCTTCGGCACTGGGTCGTGGCATATCGTATCGGTTGTGGTAAGGCAGCTTGGCAGCATGGTAGTGGACAGACTCTACCGTCATGAGTATACTGATAAGAACGGCCAGGACAATAGGCCAGTCACTACAATCCTTGTTCAGGGAGAGTTGTTCCAGTGATGATAGGACATCCTTCATTAGCTTGAGGGCCAGGTCGGGCATAATTCGACCAAATTGGGCGCGGATGAAGCAAGGTGTGGGGGTGATTTCCTTAGGTATATCCATCGTGTCGCTGATGAATTGCTTCACCACCGAACTTTCTGAAGGGGACGGTAGCGTGATGTCGCCGCCGACATGGACCAGTACCAGAAGCTTGAGTGCTTGATGGAGTATGCGGTAGTGTGTGGAGTTTGCTGGGATAGAACACGAAAATACATATATCTCGCGCAAAACCCTGAGAGGTGAGCGGAACAGCGGGAAAGCGTGGAAGTGGCGTGTCACCAGTAGCGATAAGTGGGAATCCAACGTCTGCATCAGATGGAACTGGGCAGCGTCGGTCAGTACAGCTGGAAGAACAGCATGCTTGTGTGTGTGTCCGGTGGGGACTTCTGGCGGCCATGCGTAGATGATGTGTTCGTGTACTAGGCGGCGATTGCCCTTCAACTTTATAGCGTGAACCGCGACGGGGAAATTTGGGCCAAAGCCGAAGTTCAAGGGAACTGTGTAGGTAAAGTCTGTGGATATTTCGAAACTGCCAGCGGGAATGAACGACTCCACGGGTCGATCAGTCGGATGCCACCCGAGGCGGTCAGAAAGGAAAGCCGTAGATAAATCGCTAAGTGTATGGTCCCGACAAGGATGGTTTACCAGATCTCCTTTATAGTATTCAACACAAGCTTTACACGGTGTACCAGGATCGCATTTTTCTTTACGCCTTTGGCAGTTGGAGCAAGCACGGACGATGCGCATTAATGCTGCGTGACTTCGCTGCTCAGCGGTAAGAGCCTTCTTACGTCCCCTTAGCGCTCGTCCAGCCAGGCCTTCGGTGCTCGTAGGCGCTAACCTATTGGTCAATGGGTTTGGCTGGTAGGCGACCCATGCATACGAATCGGAGGCGGGTGATGGTATGGAGGTCTTGCGGCGGGGACGTGAGGTGTGTCTGGGTGACATGGCACTGCGAGATGGGCGCAAAGCTCCGGGCGAGACGGATAGTATTGGAGGGACTCTGCGTGTCGATTCCGAGTGTGATGTTCGATTGTTGTAGTTCGTACGTACGCCGGCAGGTATCGTAATGGCCATGCTGCTGCTATGCAGCTCCCTCTCCCTATTCGATTGCCGATAAGATGAAGGTGCTGGATTGTAACTTTGCGAGAAACTTTGTGGTATAGTGATCGGCGCGACTTCTGCACTGTTTGAAGCATTCTCGTCAATTGGCTCGATGATGCGTGGCCTATCCGCCCAGGCACTAGGGTTCGAGAAAACACCAGAAACCCTCACATCCAAGCCACTGAAGGAGTGAGACGATCCTGTTATATAAGGGTTGAATACCGTCTCGGCTGCGCTTTCAAGAGAACCTGTTGATGACGGGAAGGTCTCAGGGATACGATCGTAACGTGTGTCTAGGATCGGTACATCGTCGAAGTTTTCCAGGGGTGATAGGAGATTATTGTTGTAGATGCGAAAAGACCCAAAGTCATGGCTGCCGGTTGGGAAAGGCGAGCGAGAAGTGGAATGGGCGTCGAAGGATAGCGAGGTATCATACATTCGCCCACTTAAGCACTGTTCGTCAGGAATCGATGGCGGGGCTGAGTACTCCAGTGACGGGGGTTCATCAGCAACAGAAGGGGGCGCTGATACTAGGTAAGACGGCTCAGAAGTGTAGCTGTCCGAAAACTGGTAGCTCGAGGTGTAGCTGCTCTGTTGTGCACTTAGGTAGCTGGTGGCGCCCTGGAAGAATGGATCCAACAATTCCTCGTCCCAGACGACAAGGTCCTGCCAACCTTCGGTCATTGAGATTTCGTTTTCCAGATAGGACATGTCTCGATGTTAGGGTTATTGTGAGTCTGGCTGGATAGCTAAGGAAATAATGATCGGGTGATGGAAACCTGCAAGGCTCACCCCTTTGCCGAGGGTGTCATGCAAGAAAGCGGTCGAATTGTTTGGGCAATCGAGGACCAAAGAACCGTAGCGAGAAGACTGTGTAAAAACGCCCTTAGGCTGAAAGGCCGTGGAAGTTATATCCTCTCTTGAGTAGTAGGGCAGTGTGTAGGGTGCGGCTGACAGCACGAGCCTCCCTCTCTTGCCCCAATGACCACCAGGGCAATGGACGAGTAGCCGTCTACGGCCTTATCACGTTGTGCCGTTTTATTAGTCAATCCCTAGAGTGTGCACATCCCATGGCCGTAGGCTGTAAGCGCTGGCGAACTCTGAGTCGAAGGTATGATGTCGGCAGTGCCATCTGACCGTACATCAGCCTGTGGTATGGCGCCCGGTGAGCTTGATCTGTGGTAGCTTGGTTACCCGTGCTCCCCGGGCAGCTCCCCCGCTGCACACGGTTGATTAGTCGTCAAATCAAAAAAGAGACGTGAACGACAGGCGCTGCAGAGCGATGCAGAGCCAATGCAGCATTTTGATGCACTTGCGGGATTTGATACACCATGACCAGCAAGGCAGGCTTCCAGAAGGTGTCGCCCCGTCGACGGGTTGTGGCTGTGAAGGAAGCCCTAGTATCCCCCCTCTACCCCTGCCCCCAAATTGCTTTTTGCCAACGTCTCGACGACGTATTGGAGAAACGCTCATGCCGGGCGTAGACAGTGGAGAAAAGGGCAACGGGTTTGTGCCACGTTTTTTGTTAGGTAGCGCTACGTTTTCCCGACCCCAGACGTGGACCACCCGCTTTAGTTACTTACTCGGCGTGTCGGACTGTGTACTGCCTCGTCGCTAAACTATGTACGTACTCCCAACGACTGCCGCGCGGGATGTAGTCGTTTGTACGCGCTCATGGCCGACGCGGCTGTCTCCTCTTCTGGTTCTACTGTCGCTGGTTCGTTACCTACTTAGGTAAGTAGAGATGCCGGGGAGTCAGGGTTGTGCGAACCTCTAGCTGAGTTGAGTGAAAGAAACAGTGCCCTACCCAGCGCCAAGCGAGAAGCTGCCTGACGGACTGCCTTGGTAGCTGTGCACCAAAGCATTCATGATCGTCTCACAGCCGGCAGAAGAGGTACGCCCTACTGCGCTTTGTCTCTGCGCTAAGAGCTGCAGTACTCAATAGCACCTGGGCATGCATGCACTCCATGTCGATTTGAAAGCCAGCTAGCGAGCCTCACTATTTTGGCTGCTTGTAATCCCATGCGATTGCGGCTCTGCGCATTCGCTTTGCTATTGTGTCCCAATAACAAGTTGACATACACCTGGCTCTATGACAGTTTGAACATGCGCAGTAAGCTTAGCGTCCGAACATCCCGTATACCCATTTGTTAGGACCTCTCACTTCATTCACAGGAACCAATCACAATTGAGTCGAAATGTCGTCAAGCAATCTCATCTGGCATTATTCGTATTCAGGGATTCAACGCCCAAGACGGAGCGGGTCCAGCCCATGGAGTATTAGGGCAGGTGGTCTGGCCAAAAGATACCAAAGACAACAACGCAGACAGTGTATACAGCCGTAGCAGCAATGGATATGCTGACAAAAAGACATGCGATCTAGAAGATACAAGCGTAATCGAAACAATACATGTACAAGAACATGCCCACCGAGCCCACCCGAAATAAACTGTTGACTTGATGTCGGGTATCATCTAAGAGAAAGAGCAGTCAGAGGGAAAGTGGTATCGTACAAGGCCACCAGAGTACCCCAAACTGCGACGTCTCCTTTTCCATCACATACTTTCACACATCCATCATGTCGTCTGATCCCTAGCTAGGCGTCGGGTCGGAACAAGACCACGCACGCATACGAATGATGATGTCGACCTCCCCGTCTAGTCACGAAGCCTCTGATGGAGAAACCTCGCCTGGAGCGAAGAAGAGGACGATTTCGCCTCTATCGTTCTTCTTGAGGCGCATATTCTTCCAGAGTTCCTTCTCTTCATCAGCCTTGGAAGGCGCATGGTCGGGAAGCTCATTTCGCTCACGATGGAAGCGTTTCAATGCCTTGTTGACACTTATACCTCGCTCAGAACCTGGCCCTTTGTTGACAAAGGACATGAACAGCTCCGCGCGAGGGTCTGCCACGAAAGGTGCGACATCCCCATTAGGGCGTACGATAAGCTGGCCTTCGCCATCTGGTTCCGAGTCTGAAGTGGAGGGGTTATACTCGATGGCCTTGATGGCCTTGCGATCCAGCGGTGCGGGTGATACAGAAGATGAGTATTGACGGCGACGTATACGGCGAACCTCCGTTGACGAATCTTCTCTCTTCTTCTTAGGTCTAATCTTCACCAAGGCCGTGGTAGCCTTGCGTTCTTTTCGGTCACGGTCACGTCCCCTATCCTTCTTCTCCTTCTCCTTTTCTTTCTTTTCTTTCTCCTTTGCCTCCTTCTCCTTCTTTTCTTTCTTTTCCTTTTCTTTGGCATCCTTCTCCTTTTTCTCCGCCTTCTCGCGGGCCTTGACATCTGCCTTTCGCTGTTTCTGTTGTTCCTTCTCATACTCTCGCTGTGCGCGGATGAGGGCTTTTGTGTCGCCCTGCTTAGCGCGTTTCATGGGGCTCAGCGGTGAGTTTGCATAATCACCAGAGTCATCTGGCGACGGCGGGAATTCAGGAGGTGCCAGCATTCTGTGGAGTCCTCCAGTAAGACCAGAGTGAAGCGACGGAGTTGCGTCAGTCATGATGGCATCCCTTCCATCCTGGGCGCGAGCAAGCGAAAGATCGAGTTCAGCAGGCGAGTTACGCTTACGTTTACGGTCCGTCTTGGTCGTTGTCTCGATATCGGTATCGCCTGACTTTGTCCTGGTGTGTTTTGGCTTGGAAGCAGGCGTCGTGTACGAATCAAATCGCTCTCGGGACGGACGTACTTGCCCTTGGCCGTAGGAGCCATTCTGCGCGCCGTATTTTTCCTCGTCGTCGACCTGAAACTGCATAACGTTTGCGATTGTAGGCATGTATTGCTGCTCGTACGCAGGCGGCTGGCTATCTTCGAGCATGCGCGATTCGTCCATTGGATACTTTGTTCTAGGCGCGTTGGGCGTCTCGGATGCGTCGAGAAAGTCAAAGACATTGGGAGCCTCAATGGCAGCCTGCTCATGTTCGTAGTATCCTAGGGAATGCGCCGCTGGTGGAGGCGTGGGCGCGCGAGGCGGGGCATCGACAACCGCCACGGCATTGTCTTCGTCTCGCGCATCTTCGACGTGCGCATTCTGCGCCGTAAGTGCTTGCGAGTTGTCGTGATAGGCACTGTCTCTTTTCTGGGGCTTCTTCTTCTCTTTGTAGAGTTTTCCCTGGTACTTCTGGTCTTCTGTTATGCAGGCCTACGTCATGGCGATCAGCGAGTGATACAGAGCGACGGTGATATTGCAATGCGCAAGTGCAGCGCAAAAACAGCGACTACAGCTTGGTGCTGGTACACCAAGTGCGACTACTTTGGATGGGTCGAGGGCGTTCAAGACATACCGTATGAGATTTATAGGACGTTCCGGGGAAGTGCACCATGCAATCGAGGCATGTAAAAGACGCACCATAGCATTGGTTGCGGTGTCCGTCGAGCTTCTTCTTCGTAAGGACGTCTCCACAGCCCTAGACGGTCGTAGTAAGCATCTCATGCATCTCCAGGGAAGAGGCCCGTTGGTGGGGATTGGGTAAACATGGGGCTCAAATACCTCGCACGAGAACGACACCATAGTGGGCAAAGTTAGTTTCGATATTCCAAGAAGCGGTGAACAGCTGGCATTCGATCAATCGAGGAGGGGAATGAAGAGTCGGTGTGAAGAGGGGGTGCTGCGTCGTTATCACCCCTCGCTGGCCCAGGCAAGGTTTCAGATGTTTGGGCAGCCCGTGGTCGCCGTGGTCGGGTAACAACATTTTGATATGCGCTAAGTTGCTTCGGGAACAAGGCCCCTGATCAACCCAAAATACATCATGCGACCACCCATCTTGCATGCAGCTGCTTAGCGCCAGCGACTTGGATGGCTGCCATAACAAGCCACGCGCCCAAGGGAACCGGTGGGTTTGTTCCTGTCCGTCGCCCAGTGGCCCGCCGAATAGACGTTAGCCGTCGCGAAGCAGACCATGACGCACTTGGACGACTTGATTGAAGACACATGTGCAGAGACGCGGCACCGTCGTTGCAAGTAGAGTGGTACGCTTTACATACTCCAAGCTGATAAGAACATCCTTTGTCGCGCACGTATTGCTTGCGTGGCTTTCCCCACGACAGGCCTTCTCCTGTCATCAGGGCTGAGAAGGCTGATCATTTGAACACCGATTCGCCAGAGTCTGCTTAGGGCAATCTCGAGTCCGGTTTACACACACCATCTCCCCTCGAAGCAAGACAGTTCCACTTCAAATCCGGCCGACGAGCCTATCCCATCTTCCGCCACATGCCGGAGCTGCACCGTCGACTGTCACTGTCATGTCGATTAATTCCTCCATCAGGTGCAACCTGCCGCGCAGTGAGCATCCACAAGGCATGTATTGTCTTGCGAATACGAGAAATCCTTTGCCCAGCATTCGAGCAGTCTCAGATCTTACGCAGGTGCTGAAGCAGTATCCTGTGCCGCCCAGCGCCGGGCCGCATGCGGGTCGCATTGAAAGCGTTTCGAAATGGGGGCCCCGCTGTTGGTAAAGAACTTGGAACTTGACGACAAAGGAACACAAGGACACTTATCAAATGGACTACGACCTAGGTCTCACCCGGGCCTAATAGCTTTGCCTGATGATCTGTTCTTTGGTGCCTCGTGGCCTTAACCCTCGCTCATGTATCTTTGTCTTTGCTCGACTTTGTACTCTCCTCATCGCCACAGCCACAGTCATAAACGTCACCGAGACCTTCGCAGTTGAATTCTGGCTTCTTCAGCCGTTTGTTGACGACGTTATGTACAAAGCAACCCCACATTGCTGCCGCTGTCCGTGATGAGACTTGAGGAGGATACTTTGCGAGTACTTGTCCAAAGTGCTCTGCGCACTCTCCGCTGTAGCAAATTTCAGCTTGCGCATGACTTTATTGGGCCTGGGTAGAATAAGACATACCAAGGGTACAGGCGTTGAAACAAGTGTACATATGACCGGAGTGCTTCTTGCTCGTCTTCGGTAGGCTTCTCGGGGAAGCGAGCGAACGTTGTGTGGAGCACTTTCCATGCTGCGCGACCGAGTTCTGCCCTGAAGTTTGCGTGTCAGCTGTGCCTCATGTGGTACATATGAGCCGTTTGCGCATAGGATTATCGTAAACCTACTTGGCCGTCGCGTTTGCCAGCTTTGGCGCAATCGCATGTCCCTTGAGAAGAGCTTGGCTAGGGTGGCCCACGCTTTGCCCGGTCGCCCTGTGTGATATATGTCCTGGCGTCACTTTGTATGGTCCTACGAGCACGAATGCGCAGATGGCGAACACAACAAGGGCAAGGACGGCGACACGCGCCTGTAGGCCGGCAATGCGAATCATGATGAGGTTAATATATTAGAGCACTGTGTTGAGATAGGGAGAAGTCTGATTTTATACGAGGATTCGACGAGTGTCATGACGGGTTGTGGGCTGTCAACTGAGAACGCAGTTACAGATGACACGCTACTCACTCTAGATGCCTCAGGTTGTGCCAAGCATTGGGGCACTGGGAACATCACGTCTGAGTGGTCCCGCCCTGTCCGCTATGCGGGTTAAGCTGCAGGTACAGATGCGCGGGCAAAGCTAGATCAGATGCGGAAAATATTAACATGTCGATTTGGACGAGAATCCAAAAGCTGCACTCGAGCGCCTTTTGGTATATTGCAACGGCTGCGCAAGGATATTGCCGGCTGTACATGACCGATATCGCAGCTATCGCAGCAAAGATGCAGCTTAGTGAGCTTCAGAAAGTATTCATAACTTTGAACAACTTGCACGTTTGTTTGCACCAACACATCCCATTTGCAAACACCACAACTACCTACAGCAACCATGGCAGACTATCCTCCTCAACCAGTAGATACTATTGGTGCGTCAATTACCACTTGCGTGAAAGGAAAATTTGTCAAAACACGCACGCTAACATCCAGCCAGACTGGAGCAATGTAGGCTTCAAGATTCGAGAAGGTAAGGCATTTTGGTTTCTATCAGGAACCGAGTATATCTCATGCTGGTCCACGATGCAAATGAAGAGCAGCCCAAAATCACAGTCGCCTTGATACCCGGACCATACCACCTCATGTGACTCACCCTAACACCATACAGTCGCCGGCCATGTGGAATCCCACTATTCCGTCGAGACAGGGAAATGGACCGAGCCAGTCTTTGTCGAGGACCCCTTCCTGCGCATCCACGGTATGGCGCCAGGCCTAAACTACGGCATGCAATGCTACGAGGGCATGAAAGCATTCCGCGCTCCAGATAACACAATCAACATTTTCCGACCAACCAAGAACGCGGAGCGAATGCAACACTCGGCATCGTTCATCTCCATCCCTGAAGTACCAACCGACCACTTTCTCGCCTGCTGTAGCATGGCGGTAGGAATGAATGCGGCGTACGTCCCGCCCCATGAAACCGGCGCAGCCATGTACATCCGACCGCTGCTATTCGGTAGCTCGGCACAGCTTGGTCTCAACCCGCCACAAGAGTACACTTTTGTCGTTTACTGTATCCCGACGGGCGTCTACCATGGATCCAACCCTGTAGACGCTGTCGTCCTGGAGGATTTTGACCGCGCCGCTCCAGAGGGTACTGGGTCAGCAAAAGTTGGTGGCAACTATGCCCCCGTCTTACGGCACAGCGAGAAAGCATACAAGGCCGGGTATGGAATCACTCTGCACCTGGACAGCAAGACTAGGAGCGTTGTAGACGAGTTCTCGACATCAGCTTTTATCGGTGTCAAAAAGGACGGAGACAAGGTCAAGCTTGTTGCTTCCAGCAGCAAGAACGTTATTCAGAGTGTCACTGGAGACAGTGTGCTGAGAATTGCAGAATCACTTGGCTGGGAAGCCGAATCTCGAGAGGTAGTGTCTGAACTTGATTCGCACGTAGCATGATTCTAACATGTGTAGATTGCATATGACGAGCTCAAGTCGTTCGACGAGGTTCTGGCTGCAGGAACAGCAGCTGCCCTTGTTCCCATCAAGTCCATTACTATGCAGTCAAAGGGTGACAAGTTCACATACAAGGAAGCTGAACAAGAGCCGGGCCCAGTATGCAAGAAGCTCCTCACAACCCTCAAGGGTATCCAACAAGGCAAGATCGAAGACCAGAAGAAGTGGCTACACAAGGTCGAAAGACCAGCACAGTTTGGGAAGCATAATCAGGCGAACGGAGCCAACATAGTCGGTCAACTGCCGTGAAGCGAGCCGGATTAGACGTCGTACATGATGAGCAATATGTCGATTAATGTGGATACATATAAAAGACACGGACGTAAATAAATGGCCATTCCACGAGCTAGCGACTTGTCAGCACTGTCGCCATAACACGTGTTTCTCTTATCTAGGACTCTGATTGGACTTGAAGATGTAATGTGTACAAAATTATATTTCGAGTATGTACATGCATGAAACTGAACTCCGGTACCATGCATAATCAGCGAAACATGACTCATTCGATTTTGGTATTCTTTCCCATATCAAGTACCCTGGTGTCATCATGTCATGTAACATGGTCATAAGCATAGTGCTCTCTCTGGCACTCAAAGTCTTGTTCGCCAGTAGGTTTTCAGGCCATTATAGACAAATGGCGGTATCATGTTCCAAATCTCCAGTACGAAGGCGGCGGTCCTTGGTAAATCCAGGTTGCTCCTAACGCTCCTGTGATTGTTCGTCGCCTATACGCGGTGGGCTCTTCGAGTGTGCGGACGGATTCCTAAAGGGTGAGTGACTACGCCTGCACATTATTTAGTAACTCATCAATACCGCCACCATAATGAGAGAGACTTACGACGATCTTCGCTTTCCCTCGATGCGCCTATCCTCGATCACCTTGAGCATCGTCTTCCGACCATCCTTTGCATCGATATGCGCATCCCGCATGCTCATGCTAACCTTCTTGCTCGCATCTGCCCGCAGCAATCTCTTGAGCAGCAGATGGCGCATGAGTACGCAGACAAAGACGCCACAGTCACTCCCATTCTCCTGCTGCGGACTGTCCGCCATGGGTATGAACCTCAGCCTCTTTCCCAACAGCTGCTCGAGCTTCATGGTGGTGCTCCGTGCCTCCCGGTCGTTGCACCCTGCCATGGAGCTGTAGTGGAAGGAAACGCCATCGATGATGGAGACGAGTAAGAGGGACCAGTGCGATCCGCCCTCGGCTTGCGCGTCCGAGTTGTCGTTTATGGGGAGAAAGATGTGGGTGGTACGGCTGAAGTTGGGGAGTGCCTCCTTGACGGCGAGAGGGTCAGCAGACTGCCGGAGCATGTAGGCCATAGAGGGACGGAGGAGGACGATGGAGGCCTTGGGGAAGTTTGTGAGTTCTTCGCGCTCAAGATATTCTTGCCAGAATGCGATGGCCTATGGCTCTGTATCAGTCTGGTGTATGTGCAGAGACGGAATATACAAACATTGTCCGTCAGCCAGTCATTTGACTTGATACTATCCAGGTCGCCTCGCGTCACTGCAGCCGTCAGTTCTGCTGTACTCGCAGTCGCAAGCGCGAGTTGGGCGCAATGCGAGGAACAGGTGACGCATACACACCCCTCACATCATAGTCTACTTGCATGTCAGTTCTCTGCTCTCGCAGCCTTGTCATTCACTACTCACAAGAAAGATAGGGCTCGTCCGGGCTAGGGTCGCCGAGACGCCTCATCCCAGCTTTTTCGATCATCCTCGAGAAGGAGCCAGGCATGCTTGTAGCCGTTGGCGCTGTAGACTTACCGAAGGATTCCGTGGCGCGGCTGCGGTGGATGTTTTGTGCGAGGCCGAAGCGACAAATCAACGTTGCAAGCCTCGGGGCGTTTGCAGACAAGGCGCGGGGAGAGGGGTTGGCTAGGAATGGGATATCTGCCTTCTTTGTTGCACCGTGTGTTGCGTGCGCCAAAAGCCCCGTCACGGTCACTTTGTCTGCCGGTGAAATGCAGGGATGACGTACTAGTCTGCTTTGTGTGGGGTTTGTCGATAAGCGGTCTGGCCAAAGGACTTTATGATCTTTTGGTGGGTTCTGCGGGGCGCTTCTTGTGCGCAGTGCGAACGCATCATGCTCCCGAGGATATCTACATTTTCAAGAGGGTGAATAGATATTAATATATTTAGTCTCAACTGTCTAATGGATGCTGAAATTCACTATCCAACAAACGCCACTGATGCACCGACTCCTCCCCATGCTGAACGCATGCCATATGATCCACTGCCTTCTACCAAGGTCGTCTATTTCGTCTTCTTGGCCTCCTCGGCTTTCTTGGGCACGAGAGTGCCCTTTTCGTCGCGCGGAATGCGCTCCCACCCAGTCTTGAAGCGCTTCTTGCTAGCGTCAAAGCGGGGGAAGGGATGAGCCTCTGTGTTGAGAACAATTTGGTCCAGTGGGAGAAGGTCGTTTGGACTGAAGAGAAGGTACATATATTTCAGCGTCTCGGCCTAGTTCGTACGTTAGTTGCATTCTACATGATGCTTCCCAGCATCAATTGAAAGAGAGGACTTACAAGCCAGAAGCTTTCCATGTTATCCCTCGTCGGCGGGGGGACCTTCGTCACGTCGCCCACGCTAGAGAAGCCACCGTTGTCCTCCACAATGGTGTGTTTGACAAATGCTTCAAACATATCCCAGCCCCACTCGCGGTAAATGTCATCACCAGTGATACGCCACATGTACAGCAAGCTCTCAACTGTCTCCGGTCGCTGGAGGTTATGTGCGTCCGCAGGCTTGATGATAAAGTCACTCTTCCAGCCCTCGCCTTCAGGCACATCAGTGTCGAGTTCAGATTTCGACGCTAGGATCTCTGTACGGTACATCTTAGGTGGATCGTCAAGTTCAAAGTGGGCGATCTCGGGGGCAAGACCGGTGGCGGTGACCTTGTACATGCCCATGCACGTCTTGGTAAGTTCACGTGCAAGTGTAATATCTTCTTCTTGTTCCTTGCCCCATGTAGGGAGCTTGCGTGCTTCGGCGAGGGTGGCGCCGCCAGTAGTTGCTAGGGCTATGGTACCGGGGAGGAAGCAGACGAGATGATCCATTTTTGGGAACAGTTTACCCTCTATGCCGCTTGGCAGCTCCGCCAGGACGGTGAAGTGGCTGTGCTTTGTGTAGGTAAGGAGGTGCTTCTTTGCGCCGTTCAGCGACTCCTTCCACATGTCCAGATATACAGGCTCCTGTTTGTTGGTCTGGAGATACTGCTTAGGGAGGTATTCGTAGTAGCTATCTCCACGACTACCCCATCGGATCTCGCTGCCGCGGAAAGTGCCCTTGTCTGCGTAGATGAAGATGGGAAGAAGACCGTCTTTTGCGCCGTTGTTGTCGACGACCTGCATTACTTTCTCCGCTACCTCCCAGTAGTGGGCTTCGCCGGTCAAGAAAGCTAGATATTTCATCTCGAGTTGGAGAGTAGTTGCTTCGGCCGTGGAAGACGCACCGCCATCGGCGTGCGAGGCTTCGCCTTTGGCGTCTCTCAGAACGACACTGGCCCAGGGTACACCGGAAGGTGACTCGTATGCGCCCATGAGGCGATCGGCGAGATCAGTGGCTTTTTCTAGGAATAGATCTTCGTCATTCGAATTCGCTGGTTTCAGGCCGGGGAGGGTATCCTGCAGGTAATGTGCGGACAGCAGACCGCCGAGCATGCGAATCGTGGTTTCGAACGTGTTGACGTCCTGCTTCTTGTCGTAGTCGAGACTCGTCGATATCCATTCGCGCGCGTGGTTGATTTCCTTTGTGCAGTTCATGATCATGAGAGTGTCGAGCGCATCCACGATAATCCAACCCAAGCCATTGGGCTCAGCCATGTACCGTCCTTTTTTGGAAACAGGGTGGTATTCGTCGTAGCCCCAGCCATGCTCCTCGTATGCGTTCCAACTCAGCAAAAAGGCATCCTTGACTGCTTCTCTCCGCTTGTCCCAGTCTATCTTCTTCTTTTTCTTCCCAGTAACGCTTCCGCCCATGTTTGATGCCAAGCTCTTGCCCTTGTCCTTTTCTTCTGCTATGACGCTTGTCCCTTCACTCGACCATCCAAACCAATACAAGAGGCCCAGTATGACCAACGCTACCAACCCCATCCCCCTCTTGCTCCTCATGAAGCCTCTCCTCCCCCTCGCCCCACCATAACCGTACACCTTGCCTGAAGGCTTATCTTTGTACATTGGCAAGCCCTTCTCGTTTCCGGGGATTTTGCTCCAAACATTATCCTCAAACTTGCGTTGCGCGCTCTCGAAATTGGGTACGTTGCGTGGGATGGCGAAGGACATGTCGGAGTCCTGGATCGCCTGTCTCGTGGCTTCGACTGCCTGCCTGGTCGATTGGACGGCTTGGAAGGCGGTCTTGTTTGCGGCGTTCTGAAGTATACCGAAGGCGGTGGGTGTCTTGAACGATGCTTTGCCGCGGAGGTTGAATGGATCGCGTGTCGAGTTCATTGGACTCTGCGACGCGTACTTGTAGGCGGCAAACAATGGGGAACAGAGCGAATGGCATTCACTCTTGCGGATAAATTTGTTCAAACATCCTGCCCTACGCCCTCAATGGCTCCAACAATACAGAGTTCAGGCCGTACCCTTATTCTGACTCGCCAGGTGTTCATTGCTCCCTTTCCCATGTAGACAGCTTGGCCTGACAGGGGTCCTGCACCTTGCGCTGTCAGCCATGGACCTAACTAGCTTAACGGGAAAGCTTCACCCTCACAGCCTTCCTGCGCAGCCCTCTCACACATCACTCCAAGCCTGGGTTACGCGTACTACACAGTCAAAGCCTCCTTCTCCAAACAAACACGTATCCACTGAAGATGGAAAATAGATACAATAGAAGTGCAGCTGCTGCACAATTTCTTAGAAGCTCTCAAGCAGTTTCTTCCTATGATCACCACATACCCTGCAGCATTGCTAGCATTACCGCGTCCTGTCGTCATTGCAGTTTACAAGTTACGTGATGGCGTTCTACACCAAGGATGAATGGCGCTTCCTTGTCTTTGCTCTCTTTTCCTGTTTCCCTTTACACCGTTGTTTCCGTCTGGCGACATCACCTACGAAGAATACTGCCAATATTCCGACATCCAAGTCGCAAGAGCTTCCACAGAAGGAATGTCATCCACAAGCATGAAGCGCCTCCAAATCACCACAAATAGTTCTGGCCCGCCCACAAAGCTCGATACTACCGTACCTGCCTCTCTACCCGACGCCAAAGAGACCAAGATCCACCCCCAAAATGCTCCAGATGCATCCACAAACGCCTCCCTCTTCTTCGTCGGGACTGCTACCACGATTCTAGAATGGGAAGGTCTTCGCATTCTCACAGACCCAAACTTCCTGCATGCCGGCGATCACGTGCATCTAGGACCAGGCGTCAATGCGACTCGCCAGACAAACCCAGCCATTGATTTGGAGGACCTGCCGAGAATCGATGTCATCTTGTTATCGCATTACCACGAGGATCACTTTGATCGAGAAGTTGAGGAGAAGCTGTCAAAGGGACTTCCCATCATCACTACGCCGCATGCCAAAGAATGCCTTACAGCCAAGGGCGACGAGTCCTTCAAGAACGTACACGCACTTGACTTCTGGAACAGCTTGATCATGGACGTATCGCGATCTGACAGCGCACAGGGCACAGGTCCAAAGCCGAGCATCAGAGTCACAGGTATGCCTGGAAAGCATGTACCCCCTGGGCCGCTCAATGTTGCGAATGAGATCCTGCACGCTGTTCCGCCTACCAATGGTTGGATGCTCGAACTCGGATACTCTGATGCTTCCTCCAGCAACGGTAGCGACTTCGAGAACGGATATCGTATCTACATTTCAGGAGATACACTAATGGTAGATGAACTAAAAGAGATTCCCGAGCGGTACAAGGGCCAGAACATCGACCTGATGCTGATCCACCTTGGAGGCACTACGATTCCGGGGCCCAAGATGCCATTGCTGATGGTCACGATGGATGCCGACCAGGGCGTCCAACTGATGCAGCTCATCAATCCTGATCTGACCATCCCAATCCACTATGATGACTACGATGTCTTCATGAGTCCGTTGGATAACTTCAAGAAGGCAGTACATGCAGCAGGCCTAGATAGCAAGGTTGTATATCTGGATCGAAAGGACCAGTACAAGTTCAATGTCAAGCAAGGTCAGAAGCCGAAGCAATCGCTGTATTAGCACCCGTAACGCTATGGATTCGGTAGTTATTTAGCAATCATAACCACATCATCCACTGGACTGCGTCAAGAAACGTGCATGAAACTCGGAATGAAGTTTTGACTTTTTTCATTCCTAGGTAACCCAACGTAACGTGGTTCCGTAATGCCATAACAAAGGTTATCCGTTGTGACGCCGTCCGCCCATGCTTTCATGCTTCGTGCGCAGAGCCCGTCGAGTTGATCCGCACACTCCCGTCCTCAGTTTCTCATGCAATGTCGATCCGTTTATGCAGTGCGCTTGCCCTTGGGGTTCTTCTTGCCGACGTCGGAGATGGTGAGACCTGAGTTTGATTAGACTCCGAACTGAAATAAGTGTACATATTTTATAGGTAATGCGTACCCGGGGGAAGACTCTGCTTGAGCTTCTCGGCCTTGTCGGTGTCCTTAAGGACGAGGGTGTAGACGTTTGTTGAGCATCGAACCTTGAACTTGATGTTGTTGACCTTCTTGTTCTTCTTTATGCGGGCGGCTGGGATGTTGTCAGTCTACTTCTCTCACTTGCATCATGTCCCAAGTAGTCGCAGATGGCTCTACCATCGCAATGCGCATCTTCTCTTTCTGCGACCGCACCCTCTCGCCCATGCAGATTTGGTAGACGTACACTTGGCATCCTTGCGCCTGCAGATCTCGATGAACTGCTTGATGTCGGAAACTTCGGAAGGCATCTTGACGGTAATGTGTTGACGAGTCGTTGGAAAGATCGTGAAGTTCGAGTTCGCGGGACGACTAGCTGGGCAGCAAATTGTTGTGGAGAGAGACTCTCGCTTGGGTGCACGGGCCGCCAAGGGGCTGAGTGCAGGCGTTGCCGCATCAGGCTTGGTGGGATGACGACGTGTGTGGCGTCCGCGCGGTCGGAAGGCGATAGACTTGCATGTGCCAGAGTGCTGCCTACCTACAATAAGTAGCAACAACTTTCTCATATATATTTTTATCGACACTCTCCACAGCGGCTCTTGCCAACACTCCACTTCTTTCGCCCTCGATTTACCATCATCGCCCTCAATCTTCAGCATGCCGACCCCAATTGATCGTGCGGTGCAACAACGTGTAGGTTATTCATGGCTCTCCTGGCGTCTACTTTACATAGTGGGCCTTCTTCACTTTTTTATATTTGGCTGTTGACAAGATTCCAGGGCCCTTTCTTCGCCTTCGCCGCTGTCGTTGCCGGCGTCGCAGTTTGGAGTATCTGGGGTCAGGATATGTTTCCTAGTCAAGATCCCACCGGTGGTATGTCATTCAATCATATATTGCATTAGTTTTTACCCTTCAATATTCTACGAAGGGACAACAGGTAGCTCTCGTTCTCTTGTATCCAGGATCATTCATTGTTTCAATAGACAAACAAACAGATATTGACGCTGGATATGAAGCTTTAATTCGTTTCCAACAAGTACTTCTCTTAGTATGGCTTTACTGACAATCTTTCAGACCCAGAGACATGGACCCACGAACAATGTACCACCTGGCTCAAGCACGTAAGTCTTCCAAACTGGATCTAGCCATGGCTACTTTACTCTGCCATGAATTGTTCGCACCAGAAAAACGTTGCATTTCACGTGTTTATCTCCATTTCCAATATTCTGACCTTTCACAGAGAAACCTACATCCGTCCCCACTCTCAACAACTGCTGAGTTACTCGAGCGAATCAAGGCAAACATGAGGATATCCAGAGAACAGACACCGGGTCAGTGAGCTCATACCGCTACCACCAAACCTCAAGGTATCTTCCTCGTAATCACTAAAATCGCTATATTTGTTGCATATTATGTACGGATAATTTGTTCAATTATGAATAGTGATGTCGATGCTTAACAGCAGATTTTCACAACGCAGTATTGTTGTAACAGCAATACAATAAAGCAGTCAAGGTGCTATCCCAACACTTTGTACTCTGTAAGCGACAGCATTTTTTAGGTGGGCCCATGACAACATCCCATGAAATTTAATCATAATCTCTCAAGTAACAATTGGCGTAATATTGCTGGAACCCACTCCGATCGTCGTGGACAACAGCACTTTGGGCACACTCGTCGCCAGATTCGAGACATGCGCTGTACTAAGTAGATACGAAGGTCAGTTTTGTAGGCACTTGAAGCGATAACACGGTTTGTGCAACGTACCTGGGAACAGTCCTGGCATAGAGTAGGTAGATTACTTTCCACGTTGAATGAGCAGCAAATGCCACTGCTAAAGCTAGAGCTGAAGCATGTCTATAGACAGCCAGCGTATTAGTGATTTAAGATCAGAGATTGGAAAGTTGGGTGGGAAATACCAAATGAGCAAAAGCGCATACGCCTAAGTTAAGTATGAGGATAGCAGTTCGTAGGGTGAACATGGCGATATTTTTGAGTAATTGGTCCAAGTGGTGGATGTGTTCAAGGATGATGGCGGATGCACAAAACAAAACTAGAGCTGGAAAACCCAGTTTATATAGGATGTGCCACAACAAGCCCAGTCATCGTCGTTGAGTCACCCGATGCTCATTCTCCCCAACACAACCGCCCAACAATTCTTCTCCCTTCAATCAAACATAGAATTGATGGTTCAAACCAATCATTCCGAGGTGTTGCTTCTTCGGATCCATTCCCCTACATCATTAGCATCATCCAGGGTAAACCCCTACGAACCAAGAAAATAGAGTATTACGATGTTGGTCAATCGCCATTTAGAGGTTCAAAGAGGCTGTAAGAGATGACCATAGCAATTATGTGTGTGCGTGACAGTAACATTGCGCGCTTGACGGAAACCTACTAAAATATATCGAATACAGCGGTTGGCTTTGGTCAACTAATTAACCTTTTTCGATATCGTCTCGGGCTTTCAATACCTAGGTACAGTTGTGTCTAGCTGTGGTATAGTCATGCTGTGACAGCGTTGGTTCATGACGAATTGTTACTCTGTGGAAATCGACACGTAATCAAATATCATGAATAGTTCATGGACGATTACGTATGGGTGAAGATTAGCCGGCGCAGGGATTAAGATCATGTTTGAGTACCTAGATGTTGAAAATGGCCAAGGCAAGACGGTAGATAAGGGTTAACGAGTAGGAGAAGAGGTTGCACGCTGGACACTCACGCCATCTTCTCCCCTAATTTCATGGACTTTTGGAACTACTCAGAAGTCCTCCCTATACGCCAATAGATCGAGAGCTCAGCCACACCCGTAGTTGCCCACATGGGCAAACCTAGTTCCGTTCGCAAATTTGACTGCCCCCTAAATGCTCCAAACCCCTATTGTTGAGACGCCGTGGCACCGCAAAACACTTTTGACATTTCCTTGGTACCTCCATCAAATTTCACCGTCAGCCTGCTTGAACTTTTGAAGAACTTCGACACTAGCTTTATAGTGCTCCACCTCCTCGGTGTATGCGCCTTCCTCCTTGAGAACATCATTGTTCAACCGTTCCAGCTCTGCCACCATACGCTCCTTGTATGCCGTAATCTGTTCATCGATCTTTGATTGCTCCTTGGCCTGGCTGTCGCGCATTTCTTTGACCTTGTCAAGCTTTTTCTGCAGTTCTGACAGCTGATGCTCCACTGAGTATGTTTTAGGAGCTACAGAATGAGCCTCTGTAGCCATCTTCGTCCGTTTCGGATCGGGGTTGGCCTCATTTGTGGGCGATGTAGGTCGTTTGGAAGGCACATTAGGTTTTGTTTGAGCGCTCTTGACCGGATGAGGTGTAGCAGGAATCATTGGCGAGTTTGTTTGTGATGGTATGACTACATCGGTCTTCTGGGGCTTTCCGCCAAGCATGAGCGGGGGGAGGGTGTCGAGTACCAGGGTATGGGCTTTGATATCGGCTTTATCGGCCGGATCAAAGGTCAACTGGAGCTTTTGCTGTTCAATCTCCTCACGGGTGCGATAGTGGAAGCGGAATATGGCCCATGGCTCAGTCCCTGGGCGCCTCGAATGGAGCCTGCGCTGCTCGCGCTGGGCTTCCTGCGGTTGTAGCACACGGCAATTCTTCTCGGGAATCATTCGTAAGCTTGGAGCGATGAGCTTGTAGTTGACTGCAGCTTTGTCCTTTTCCTTGGTGTCGTCATTGTAGGTGCAGATACCCTCAATAGTATGGTAATCATCTAATTGTCGGATAATATGGAGCTGTAGTTCGATCGTTCCAATACTCTCTGGAGCGTCGCTTTGAGTTGATTCAATACCCTGCAGTTGGCTAGCAGTGATGACCGTATCTAAAACGCCTTTGTCGGTCGCATACAGAAATTTTCCAAACTCCAGCTTCTTCTGTTTCTGTTTGCTGACTGCTTTGCCCATATAGGGGTACGTCTTGCGGAGTGTGCCGTCTATGAGTACGTCATGTGTGATAGCCAAAGTCTAACATATTGTTCAACGGCGCTATGTAGGCTCATACGAAAGGTACTTACTGTTCCTGAGAACCAGGTCCGGATTCTAAGTTTTTCGCCCTCATCGATGGGGATGTAGCAGCCTATTGCTTTGCCATTGTTGGGGGCAACGTACTGCCCGTACTCCTTCAGTTCAACGAGCTTGCCTTCGATATAGACGTGCGCTGAGGCTTCGCGATCAGAGTTTTGCTCGACTACCTTCATGTCAACGGCGTAAGAAGTTAATGCCTACAGGCAAGGTAGGTAAGGCCGGAAGAAAGGGACAAGGGGGAAAGGTTCAAGGTAGTGTGGATGATGAAGGTAAGTGAGGTAGCTGGGAAGTATGAGTACAGCATGTGTAGTTTTAGTGAAGGGGCGTGTCACGATTGGCAAGGTCTTCGTGAATCTTCTCGGTTCGAGGATGCTGCAAAGCTGGTATGATGCTGGAGTTCGGATGCCTGGCGGATGCAAGTAGTGGCTATGAAGCCCAACCGTTATGAAGTATGAAGCATGAAGGACGGTGATGTTTGGTGATGATGAGTAGTGAAGTGTAAGAAGAATGGAAGAAGACGAGAGAAGACCGTCTTATGTATCAGAAGATGGCTGAACTGCAAGGTAAGATGAGATGAGTGAGATGTAGGTAAAGGTGGTATATCTCGAGTCCGGCAGATGTGATAGGTGCCGGTGAAGGTATTTTGGGCGACTGCACTCTGCTATGTCTTTGCCATGACTACCACCTGGCAAAAGAATAGCGAGCTGTGGCGAATACAAGAGGCGTTTACTGTAATATGGGCTCTTCGACGAGAGCATGTATCCATCATAGGTATAAATAAGGGATAGCATACAATCGACTATGGACAGTCGTGGCAGGTCAGGGTGAGAAGACTGTAACATTCTGTAACATTTGAGACATGCATAATCTATATCTTTTGGCATTTAGATGTTTGGCCTTGCAGGCCTTCCGACGCACATTGTCCGTCTACTGTTGTTTTTCATGATGAAGGCTGGATCACACTGTCACATGCAAGCGATGATGCGTCGTGGTAATGATTTGCAAGGGTTGCGAAACCAGGGCAACAACAACTCAGGCTGGACGAGACCCGAGGTCAGTCCACGAAGAAGACGTGCTAGCCTGGGCCGGAGGTAATAGAGAGAGCGAGCCGCGGCGGAAGGTCGGATGGGGTCGTTCGCCAAGCGCGGTTTCTTCCTTCGGTTCGGAAGGACCAGGCCAGGTGCTTTTTCGGCGAGCGGCAGCTTCAGCTTGTTTCTCTCTACCTCAAATCCCTCACCACCAGCCCCACGCCGCAACTACACGATGCTGTCGAGGACCTCCCAAAGAACGGCGCAGGTATGATGACGTCTCTACCCTTGCAATTGGGGTTTGCGCGGGACATGCGAGTGCTAATGCGCCCATATAGACGCTCCTGCGGGGCGCGAAGCCTGCCTCACGATGGGCGCCCGCCATGGCCACACGATGTACGAAGACCACCTAACATGTATGGAGATGGAGTCATGCAGGGTCTAACTTGGCGACAGCAATGGCCACGGTCGGCCAGGACATCTTCAAGCCCACAAAGTTCGGCGGCAAATACACAGTTACTCTGATTCCTGGTATGCGCGATAGCCGCCTCTGATAGACGACTATGATATTGAACATGCGCAGGTGACGGTATCGGTGCTGAGGTGTCCGAGTCGGTCAAGGAGATCTTCAAGGCGGACAATGTTCCCATTGAGTGGGAGCAGGTCGACGTCTCCGGTGTTGACTCTGGCAACGTCCACTCCGAGGAACTCCTCCGCGAATCTATTGCGTCGCTCAAGCGCAACAAGCTCGGTCTCAAGGGTATCCTACACACTCCCGTCGAGCGATCCGGTCACCGTTCCTTCAACGTCGCCCTCCGTCAAGAGCTCGACATCTACGCCTCAATCGTTCTGTTGAAGAACATCCCCGGCTACGAGACGCGCCACAAGGACATCGACTTCTGCATCATCCGTGAGAACACCGAGGGTGAATACTCTGGTCTCGAGCACCAGTCGGTCAGCGGCGTCGTTGAGTCGCTCAAGATCATCACGCGCGAGAAGTCGGAGCGTATCGCCAAGTTCGCCTTTGCCTTTGCGCTTGCCAACAACCGCAAGAAGGTTACCTGCATCCACAAGGCCAACATCATGAAGCTTGCCGATGGGCTGTTCCGCAACACGGTCAAGAGGGTCGGTGAGGACTACCCCACCCTTGAGACCAACGACATGATCGTCGACAACGCCTCTATGCAGTGTGTCTCCAGGCCCCAGCAATTCGATGTCATGGTCATGCCCAACTTGTACGGAGGTATCCTGTCCAACATTGGTGCTGGTCTCGTTGGAGGACCTGGCATCGTCCCCGGTTGCAACATGGGCCGCAACGTTGCCGTTTTCGAGCCTGGATGCCGTCACGTCGGTCTTGACATCAAGGGCAAGGACCAGGCCAACCCCACTGCTCTGATCCTCTCCGCTGCCATGATGCTGCGACACATTGGTCTTGATGACCACGCCAACCGCATCTCGCAGTCCGTCTACAAGGTCATCGCTGAAGGGTAAGTGCTAGCAGTATCACGATACGGAAATTCAACTGACACGGTTACAGCACCGCCCGCACACGCGACATGGGAGGCAACACCACCACCCACGAGTTCACTCGCGCTGTTCTGAACCAGATGGAGAAGGCATAGTTTGATCATCAGGACTTTCATATTTGCTAAGCTTTGATCTAGCGCGGTAAAACCGTTCGAATATGGGGCTCGGCTTGATCTATGACAATAAGATATGTGTTACGGAGCAACAACTTACTTGACGACTGGATGCATTGAACCGTGTACAAGCACTAGCCGGAAGATCAATAGAGGTGTACTTGTAGATGGTATATAGCATGCTGCATGATTGAATTGACCATTGTTATACCCTCTTCCAAAAGCCAAACCAGAAACCAAAACTCCGTGCTATGCATAACATCGTCATGTCGTGGGTATATCTAAAACTGAATCCTCCTCTTGCGGCCCGTGTACTTGGAGGAAGCCTTGACAACCTTGCCTTGCCTCTCCATCTGCTCCTTTTTCTTCATGATGTACGCCTTGCTGCCTTTCCTCTCCTCGCCCCTCTTCATGCCTTTTGATTTCCTCCTAGCATCCTCGACATCCACACCCTCCATACCCCTCACCACGCCCGTAATGTCGCCGTCCAACGCTCCACCGCCGACGGTCAAAACGAGATAGGTCTTCGCGCTCTTGGTACCCATATCATCCTCTAGCAGACCTGCCCCGAAACCGGCTTTGATGGCCGCCTGGGCTACCATCTTCTTCTGCGCGTCGTTCTTTGGGTAGAACTGACACACAGCCCTGCCGCCTCTCTTCAAACTCGCATACAGTTGGTTGAAGAATCTCGACAGTCTACCCGCCGGGCTCTCCTCGCTTGTCTCGGCGTTACACAGCCACTGCACCGCACTTATACTAATGGCTGCATCGAAAGTTCCGGGTCTGAAGGGCACGCCTTGTCCCGCGTCCGCCAGCAGTAGGTCCCCCTCAACTTCTTTCTCCAGAGCCACGCCCAGCATTGATGCGCTGATGTCGAAGCCAACCCACACATGCGGGCCACCTGGAGTGCCTTGTTCTTGCGTCTGTGACAAGATTTCCCCAGAGAGGCCGGAGCCGCAGCCAATGTCGAGGATCAGGGAGGGAGAAGACAGGGCGAGGAGTGAGAGAGCGCGGTGGGTCATTGTCGATTGGATCTTTCGGATACGAGATGACGTCGTGTATTTCCGAGACTCGGAATCATTGTAGAAGAGATCGGGGGGTCTGTAGACGTTCTGTTAATCTTTTGCGCAAGTCAGGTCTCGGATGGTGGGAGTAAAAAGCGTACAGAATGTCTTCGGGGCGCGACATGATTGCAAATTAGGTTCTGAGCCCGAGTTCGATCGTGGATGAATTGGCTCCGGGTATGCGCAGACTATGCGATTGTGTATAGAGCAGCGGAGTAAGCGCATTCAATGCAAGTTGGTTGCTCAAGCCAAGAGTTGGACGACTTTTTGGTGTTCACCCCCACACTTTGGCGCGGGTCCACGGCTTTCTCCGCTAGCTTGATGCCACCTTGGACTGACCTCATAGTGTGGCGACCAGACTTCCAGATCTTCAACCCTTTACACCTCCCACAGGCACAACTCACCATGTGGATACTACCGCTTCTTGGTTATGTCGGAATCGTGCTCGGCTTTGCATTCTTGACGCTTGCGATAGGTATGCACCTGCCTGCCAGCGATAGACATGTTCCTCTATTGAAGACATGTAAAGGCTAATGTCTTGAAATTAGCTTCCGGCCTGTACTACTTGTCTGAACTCGTCGAAGAGCACACCGTGTTTGCAAAGAAACTGCTGTACCGTCTCATCTATGGCGTCGTGGCTATCCAGATTCTGCTCCTCTTCGTGGACAAGTTCCCAATTGGCCTGAGCGCTCTGAGTGTGGTGTCGCATGGCATCTACGCCCAGAACCTCAGACGCTTCCCAGTTGTCAAGCTTACCGACCCCTTGTTTTTGCTGTCTTGCGGTATGTTCCTCTGCGCACAATCATGCATCTATCCTAGTATTGACTCCCTCTCTAGCCCTCGTAATAGCAAACCACTACCTTTGGTTCCGCCACTTCAGCGCACCGCCTGCCCATTCCTACAACTCATATCCCTACAGCCGCGACTTTAATATTCCTACATTCACCGAGATTGCAGCTTTCTTCGGACTCTGCGTCTGGCTCGTACCTTTTGCCTTGTTCGTCTCCTTGTCCGCCGGCGAAAATGTTCTTCCCTCGATGGGCTCCGAGTATGCGACTGGGGATGGCAGCAGCTACATAATGCCCGGTAAAGCACCAGAATCTTTTGCCAGCGGTTCAGGCGTCGGCGTGGGAGGAGTCGGTGGTGGTATCGAGGGGAAGAGGCGGGCGAGGAGCGGGACGAACGCTGGTATGGCAAAGGCCGTGGTCACCGGTGTTCGAGAATGGGTGGGGGAAACAGGAGAGGTCATGGGGTTTTGGAAGGGTGAGAGGACGAGGCCCACGTTTTAAGAGCTGGTCTCTTATGGTTTATGAAAGTATGAGTAATGTAAGGATATTTCACAATCCAGCGCGTTGCCGAGATCCTGAGAGCAGCCTACGTTCGACTTGCGCCGTTTGTACGCTGTTAGTACCTTGGGATGCAGCTCGTATGTGCAAAGACGAGGATGGAGCATTGCAACAACTCGTCGTGGCCGCAGTCCTCATTCAAGAGACCAAATTCTGGAAAGAAGTTGCTCGCAAGGCATTCACGGACAGTGTTCAGGGCCCCGAGTACGATGGCTTTCGCAATACCTACAACATAAGCATGCAAGAGAATCAAGACCTGCTCATGGTTGGTGAAGCCGCTAAGCAGTTGGCTGCGGCGCGACAGCAGGTGATGGATCAGCATAAGAAGGCGAGGTCTGCGATGGATGGTTAAGACAAAAGCAATAGGCTTCTCAGCACTGGTCGGCCAAGGAGAACTTGATGAAGGCGCGGACGATGCAGAAGACCCATTTCAAGAAGAAACACGAGCCGAGGTCAACCGCCAAGGTCATGGACATGGAACTGAACTAGAAATTCAGGATATGGCTTGGTGGCACAAAGCAGCTTCTTCATGTATATAAGAATATTACAAGGAATTGGTGAACATTGCCCACCCTAATGAGGGTCACCGAATATAGCCGCTGTTGAAAAATGGTGCAATCTCAGTGCTCTACGCTTGATGTATGCTCCAAGTGACTAGAAGAAGGATAGAATGTATCAAGCAGACATTACAGTAGTTGCCTGGCGGAAGGGCATGAATATAACAATATCTCGTTAGGGCTTGTGCTTGTGTAGCATCAATGTGTTGTCAAAGATTTCCACTTGGATTTGTCTTGTACTAGACGAAGGACACGCTTGGCTGATTCCAAAACTGGAACGTCTACATATAGTGTTGACGGCTGTGTCGAGCTTAGAAGGCGCCATCAGACCAATGCGGAGCTAAGGCGTGGGCGGAAGTTGATCGGGCCGTGGCGGGGATGCACGATTGTGGTTTTGCGGCCCGCGATACACTGCTGACTGCACTCTTTTGACAAAGTCAGCCCACACCAGCCACAGGCAGTCTCGACCAGGCGGCGCACGATTCGCTGCATCACATGCGTAGTGTGTGCCACTCAGGTACGAAAAGCTGCTTGCATGCGCCCGCCAAGTGTGACCAGCGGTCGCCATTTCGGCCGCAGCGCGTAAATGCTCGTCACGGCCAATCACATGCTGTAGGCCGTCTTGAGCCCGGGAGGTTTGTATAGGCAGACCCGCAGCAGCCCAACTTGCAGCTTGCAGGAGGGCCATGGAAAGACAGGCTACGTAAGTCAGCAGTGTCGCGTAGGATCAGGCAGGACAGAAGGGGCGCATTTGCCGTCATGCCCATCTCCTTGGTGTAGGCCATATAAGCCTGACGGTCCTGAAGCTGCGCATGTCCCCTTGATGCACCTCACCCGTGTCGCAGCGTCATCTTGAGCCACAGCCACTACCCCACCAGCAGCAGCAGCAGCAACTTCTCTACATTGCGCCCACGGCTCCCTGCGCACATCGACCGACATTACGCCCGTAACCAGCAGAGTAACTTGGGCCTGTCATCGCCGGCGATCCAGGGACTACAATTTCTAGTCAGCCAGAATCGCATACTCGGCCATGGACGGGAGGAAGCAGGGACGTCCGGAGGAGGAGCTCTTCTTGCGATACGATAACCCAGACACGCCCACGATTCCCACAGTCGGGCCTCTGAGGATACAAAAGGGTCGCGATGGCAAGAGTCCCCCTCCGCGAACAGACTCGGCCGGCAGTTCGAGCCAGCCAGCCTTCTCGCGCCCGCCGCCCATGCCCTCGTTCCCCGCACCGCCCACGAGCCCCCCAAATGCTCCCCTCCCATACCCCGATACAGACCGGCCACCCAACGCGCAGCCTATCCTAGGCACCGGTAGATTTACGCCCCTCAGCGAAAGGGAGCGACGCGCGAAGAATGCCACACCTCCTGAATCCAGCCAAGGGCAGAGGCGAAGTTCGAATGCGACAGGGCCGAGTCCCACTTCGCCCAGCCAGCGCGCTCGCTTCGATGCGAACGACCCCAACAGGCCGACGATAAGTGGTTACGGCGCTAGGAACCCGGATGGCTCAGTGCAACCGTCGAGGCTGGCAGAGCGGAGAGGAACAGCACCCAAGCCCCTCCCAGACTCGCCGGGGCCAGAGACGCCAGACAAAGAAGGCCTGTTCCAGAAGGCGCCGCAGCGGAAAGGCAGCGCAGATGTCGCCGCGAACCCATATCCCGAGTACCACCAGCAGTACTTTCCCCCTCCCGCTGCGAACCCCGTAGTATACACAGGCCCTAAACAAGATGAGCCGGTACTCAAAGTGCCCACCCCTGTAGGTGTCAATCGTCTCAGCTCCACAGCCTCAACGTCGACAGTGAGGGCGCAGCGGGGTTCTCCCCCACCTCCCGAGACGCCCATCATTCCTCCGTCTGGTGGTGGCATCGAAGCACGCTTTGCAGCGGCTGGCATTGCAGGCACCTCAACCCTCACAAATCTCCAGGCGCAAAGCGTTCAAAACGCCGCAGCTGCTCAGCGAAACCAGATCTATGCCAACCAGCAGCCCCGTCCAGGCCTCACAACACCACAGCCGAGCCAGCAACAGCCAGCGAGGAGACCATGGACACCTACAGAGCAACCAGGAGGCAATCCACATGGCCCGCCAGCAGTGTACCAGGGCATGGATCAAGTGCCTCCCTCGAGCACCCCTCCTCAAGGCCCTCTTCCGCAAGCACCAAACACGCGCTTCTCACCTCCTCCCACAAATGCCAACGTGCCACCAGAACACCCACTGAATCATGAGATGGGACGGATGAACCTGAACGAGGAACCACCACCAGCCTACTCAAGCATAACAACACCGCCAACAGGCCAAGCCCATAGCTATCCCAACGACAAGGGACAGCAGCCAGCTGCTCAGGGAGCCATGTTCCCTGATCCCAACCAGGGCCATCCTGCCTTCGCAAACGACGTGCGCCAGCAAGCCGGGCCATCACAACCTGCTGCGGTAGTGGCACCAACACCTACACAGAACCAATTCCCCCCACAGATACAGACAACCCAGCCAGCACATACGCCAAGTCCAGCTCCAGCGCCGGGACCAGGACCAGCCTCTCCACCACCACTACCCGAAGGCTGGATAGCCCATCTTGACCCCAGCTCTGGACAGTACTACTACATCCATCTCCCCACACAGTCTACCCAATGGGAGTTCCCCAAGGGGCCTACACCCCTAAACCTCAATGAGCCCATGTCGCCGACAGGCACCTTCGTAGGTGGTCCTTTGGCGTCCCCCTCGTTCGGCAAGGCCCCTATTGCATCACCTGGCTTCGCTCCCCAGACCGCCACATATCCTGGAGACTTTGGCATGGCTCCGCTAGCAACGCCAACTACTACAGGCTTTACTGGGCCGCCTCCACTTGCTGGTGTTGATCAGTACAAAGTTGCGCCTACCAATGGTGTATACTTTGGGCCATATCTCAGATACACCAACATGGACATTGAACGAGGCTTATGGCTAGGATCCATTCTTCTCATCACAAACACTCCTCATCCACCCACAATTCACATTCATCAGAGTGCAGACTTGTCACCAAACCCACGACAATTAAAAGCCAATCCCATCTATACCCACCAAACATGGATCTTCTACAGATACGACATTGATTTAAGGATGGAGGAGGAACATGCTGCCAAGTGGACCTATGCCATCACCTCACATCTCGGCTGCACTCGATTTGAGTTCCTGGTTGCAGGACGAAACGAGACTAGTTGGCGGTTCATTGCTCATTCTGGCAATGACTTCGCGCTGAATGTGAATGCGAACGAACGAGCCAAACTCGGTGGCGTGGGTCTGATGTGGAAAGATATCTTACAGAAGAACGCCGAATGCGGTGGCTTCCACGTCCAGCTGGGTTTGGGCGGCCAGATTTATGCCGACCGGCTGTGGAAAGAACTTCCGCTTCTCAAGCAATGGACAGCAACAAGCGGCAAGGATGTCCGGAAGAATGCTCCTTGGACCGCAAAGCACGAGGAAGATGTCTGCCACGCATATTTTCACTACTACACCAGCCACTTTGATCAACCGCACCTGAGAGAGGCATTCGCACAAATTCCCCACATCCTTGCTCTTGATGACCATGACATGTAAGCCTCTAGTTCCCTCCAAACTACATAGTACTGACGGCGGTTAGATTTGATGGGTTTGGGTCGTATCCTGAGTACATGCAGTTTTCGAATATGTTTAGGAATATCGGAAGACTGGGTATCGAGATGTATCTGCTCTTTCAGCATCACACAACGCTCGAGATTCTTCGGAATGTCAACAACGATATGGACCTCTTCACAATTACCGGTACAGGCTGGCACTTTATCAAGTATCTAGGTCCTTGCGTCACAGTTGTTGGCCCCGATTGTCGCTCTGAGCGTAATCCGCATCAAGTCATGGCAGGCCCAACATATCAGGGTATCTTCCCAAAGGTGGCAACATTACCACCGAGCGTTCAACATTGCATCTGGATGGTACCCGTTCCCATTGTGTACCCTCGTCTCGAGTCGGTCGAGCACTTTGCTCATTCCATGGCTACAGGCAAGAAAGCTGTTACCGGTACTTTCAATATGTTAGGAAAGGTAACAGCCGGCGTCGCTGGCGTTGTAGGGGCGAAGAGCGTCGTTGGTGATGGCTTCAACTCGGTCAAGAAAGCTATCGGTAAGTCTGGTTTGATGAGTGGGGTCTTGAGTCCTTTCGGAGAGATTGATTTGCTGGACGAGTTGCGAGATCAGTGGACGCACGATTCAAAGGTTAGTGCGATTCAAACAGTTTTTGAACGACATATTAATGTAACACAGGACCTTGAGCGGACCTACCTGATCCGAACACTACAAGGCATTGCTCACAACAAGTCATTACGAATGACGTTCTTCTCTGGCGCTGTCGACTGTTGTGGTGCAGGACTGGTGCACGACCCGTCAAGGCCACAGGATCACAAGACCATGTACCAGATCATATCCGCTTCAGTTGTGAACGGACCACCTGGTAACTACGTTTTGCGACTACTACACAACAACCGGGCGCTCTATGTACCACAAAACGGACATCGCAGCAACAACCAGCCTTCCGACACGAAAGAAGATATGATGGAGATTTTCACCCAAGACGTCAACGGGCAGCCGCGGGAGTACAAGAGACTCATGGGCCGGAGGAATTATGTCGCCTGTGTGATATACGACCCAGAGATTGTGAATGGCAATTTCGGCCAAGCAGTGCCGGGACAGGGAAGTGGAAAGCTGAGTCTGGCGGTTGACTTTATGGTGCAGAATGATGGCGGCTACGCTGCGCCAATGAAGTATGGACCAGTCATCATCCCGAGTCTGGAGTATGGCAGATAGAAGAGTGATAGATTTGTGTTTTGGGGGGGTTGCATAGCAAGCGTTGTTTATGCTTTCAGGATTGTATGTTTAGGTGAAGCCTCTTCGGGTGACGACAAGCAATGAAGATATCATTACAAAGCTTTGTATGCAGTATTGTAAACAAAGGTCGGGTTGTGCTTACGGTTTACGGCTTACGTAGGTGCCCGTTTGTTTCCGAGCCCGTGGAATGGTTTTCCGAAATCGGCAAATGACATGTGCAGTCGCTTGGCTGGCTACCTGCGGCTTTGAATTTCTCCAAGGTGAGAAAGGCCAATAACCAGTAACGACACTCACTACACAATGGCAGCTCCGTCAATGCAAGCGACAGCGATACCGCGATTTCTTCTGCCCCAGCTTTCCTGGTCCGCGAGAGCTTCGCAGCCAGTAGCGTTTGGCGCAATAGAAGCCAGGCGACACTTGCATAGGTCGTACCCTACCTCCGAGCATCGCACCGTACTTCCGAAAGCCTCGCCGTCCCAAGCCCAAGCAGCACCAACAAGACAATGGCGGCAACCTTCACGAACATGTGTATCTGCGTATGCCCCGGCCTTGGGACTTGGGCGCAACTTCAGCGCAACTGCGCGACAGCCCAAGGACCACCATTTTGACACGCTGAAGTTTGTGCAGCGGTTGCAAGAGGAGGGCTTTACCGAGGAGCAAGCAGAAGGCATGATGAGGGTTCTCAGTGATGTAATTGAGGAGAGGTCAGTCTACCATGTACAGCAGCAATTCAACGTGTGGCAACTGACATGTCTAGCATACAAAACCTCACGCGCACTATGGTCCTGCGTGAAGACCAGGAGAAGGCCACGTACACGCAGAAAGTCGACTTTGCCAAACTCCGCTCCGAACTGATGACGGCCGACTCGACAGAATCCAGCCTGACACGCGCATCGCACGAGCGCCTTACCAACGAGCTTGCGAAACTGAACTCGCGGTTGAGGGATGAGATACAGCGGACACAAGCGTCTGTCAGGCTAGATCTCAACCTGGAAAAGGGACGCATCAGGGAGGAGGCAAATGTGCAGGAGCTCAAGTTGAAGGAGACGGACACACGCATTGAGCAAGAGACGGCGCAGCTGAGGGAGAGATTAGAGGCCGTCAAGTTCTCGACGCTGCAGTGGCTAATGGGTGTGTGTACGGGTACTGCGGCGCTGATGTTGGGTGTCTGGAGATTGTTGATGTGAATTGCAACCGACTTGGCTGATGCCAGACATGAATCGCTTCAGGAGACTATGAAGGTCGACATGTCCCTGCGCCGCACCACGCATGTGCGACAGCGGCCGTCAATGCCGCTGGCAGGACATGAGATAGCAAACTGGCAGATGGCGCGGGTTTTAGATAGGACTTGATATCGAGGCGTGCATATGCAGCATGTGGAAACGATGCTGTTCGGATATGCTTTGCAGTGCACCCGCGCTGTCCTGACACGCGGGCAAATGGTCCGCATGCCGTATGAGATTTAGGGAACAAGATGATGTCATTCAGTCAACCCTACGGCTCTGCAAACAGGTACGACGCTCGACATACGACATGTGGAATTAGCAAATACCGAGATTGCTTATTCTTGAATCTCGGCTATGCCTTCTGTGCAGTATACATGGCCAGCTTTCATAGCGTTACGAGACAGGAGATGAGATGGGCGAAAAGGGGGTAGAGGTTCAAGCGACACAAGGCCTCGACGTCAAGGCATACAGCGTGGTACATTGTCCGGGAGGGGTGGCGCGAATCATGGCACTGAGTGTGGCTCCACGCAACAGCTTCCGTCCAAGTTTTCTAGCTGTTTCCAAGGTGCACTGATTGGCCCCCACCCCGACATGGGACGGCAGTCGAGGAGTCAGCCTCTGGCCATGGGCCGCGCTTCAGACCGTGACTGGTGTGACAGGCTGAAGTCGAGGTCACCAGCAAGGAGCATAACACGGACATGTGGTGAATAGCATAGATTGTGAATGAGGCTTCGGGGACGCTGTCAACAGTCGTGTTGGATGGGGGCAGCTAGGTAGACCCTGAGTCCGCTCACGTGCCCTCCTGAGCATGTACCCGTACCCCTCACTGCCACCTGCCAGCCGCCAGCCAGAAGGTGTGAGACGGGCTTCAACGTCCAGAGATGAGGGTAGTAGTGAGCACTTGGGAGCAGTGGTGAGGGCTTGCACGGACACTCGCCGCCCAAGGCACCAGCTGCGGGCGTGCAAACGGGCAGGCGACGGCGTGAATAGCTGGCCAGGCGCCAATTGGGGGAAGGCGTAATCGACAGAGTGGTGTTGTTCGTTTGAAAAACGGCCGTGCGTACTCTTAGGGCAGACGCTCGCTTCCTCAAAACAACTTCGATCCTCTTCTGTTCATTGATCCACACAAACACCTCAACAACTCCGTCCACTGTCTATCCTTCCGTACGCATCTGCAATCCACCCCACCGTCCACCGACATCCACAACACACATCAACTCAACCATCACAATGGCGACTGAGGTACGTGCTGCTTTATCTGCCCCATTCCCCCCGCTGTTGTCCCCCGGCGGCATGCCCCTCTGAGCCCCGATCAACTGCATGCAACATAGGCTAACATGACACCCCAAACAGCGTGAGAGGTATGGCACATGTGCTTGCTATAGCACCCTGCGGTCCATTGACAGAGTAACAGCAAGACTTTCCTCGCCCGGCTGTGCGAACAGGCTGAGCGCTACGATGGTAAGTCCCGCGCACCCTCAGCTTCGCACGCGCCTGCTAACAGCTGTGTTTGCAGAAATGGTCACGTACATGAAGGTCAGTTGGATTCCGCCAGTCGCATTTGTTCGAGCTCACGTACTGACTATGTTGTAGGAAGTTGCCAAGGTATGACCGACTGCATCCGCCCCTATGCGAGCAGGCGCCCGCAGCAGCAGGCTCCCATCAGACACGTACTGACACATGGCAGGTCGCCGGTGAACTCACTGTTGACGAGCGCAACCTTCTGTCCGTCGCCTACAAGAACGTTGTCGGAACCCGACGCGCGTCATGGCGCATCATCTCGTCGATCGAGCAGAAGGAGGAGTCCAAGGGCTCTGAGAAGCACGTTGGCACCATCCGTGACTACCGCCAGAAGATCGAGACGGAGCTCGAGCAGGTCTGCCAGGATGTCCTCAACGTGCTCGACGACTCTCTCATTCCCAAGGCTGAGTCCGGCGAGTCCAAGGTCTTCTACCACAAGATGTGCGTATACGCAGCCCCTTTCAATGTCAACAGGGCTAACAGCGTCACAGGAAGGGAGACTACCACCGCTACCTTGCCGAGTTCGCCTCTGGTGAGAAGCGCAAGGTCGCTGCGACAGCCGCACACGAGGCCTACAAGGTATGACGCAATCACTGCATAGTGCCAAAACAACAGCCTGCTAACCCTGCCAACCAGACGGCCACCGATGTCGCCCAGACCGAGCTCACACCCACCCACCCCATCCGTCTCGGCCTTGCCCTGAACTTCTCGGTCTTCTACTACGAGATCTTGAACTCGCCCGACCGTGCTTGCCACCTTGCCAAGCAGGCCTTCGACGACGCCATTGCTGAGCTCGACTCTCTGTCCGAAGAGTCCTACCGCGACAGCACCCTCATCATGCAGCTCCTTCGTGACAACCTTACCCTCTGGACGTCATCGGACGGCAACGAGGGCGAGGCTGCCGCCGCCGACGCACCCAAGGACGAGACCAAAGCCACCGAGGACGCACCGGCTGCATCTGAGCCCAAGCCTGAGGAGACACCCGCTGCCGCCCCTGCCCCCGCCGCTTAAGCGCACTCTCCCTCTCTCGACCTTGTGTATCCTCAGCCGTCGTCATCTGTTTTCGAATAGACGAAGGGGGCCGGCAACGAGCGTCCTACGGAGTTGTACGTGTTTCGTGTGATTTCAAAAATTGGCTTTGGCAGCAAGCGGTTCGGTACGGTCGAATTCCCCATGACTGAATGTATTTCCCTTTCCTCTATCACCAGCGCTGTCACATCGAGCACGCAGTGTGCTGAGGTCGCGTGTCAAACACGGCCGCAGCGCTTCCGGGCCCCCTTGCGAGGTTCGGGCTGCTAGCGGCGAGATAAGGCTGCACTCGGTTCCTCAGAAGCTACCCTCAATTACCCCATGTTTTCGTTTTGGCAGCACCTAAACATCTCGATCCTATGGCGGACAGAGATGTTTGACGTCCTCTTGGTGACCTCTGATGCAGGACATCTCTTCCGATGGCCCATGGAGTAGTACGAAAGGCTCCAGTGGGCTTAATGTCAGCACACTGCACTCTTAGCTAGTCAAAGGAATCGTTAATTCAAATTGCCAACCTTGTGCCGTGACCAATGCTGCCAGACTCGCCTTTCATCTCTGACTCACTCCACTATAAACTGCGCAAATATAGGTTGCCGATCTTATGACTACCCATCGGTCCTTTTCCATGTGGTGCGAGAGGGACCCTGCGGGAATGGGGCCCCACCACTTGGAACCGAAGGCGTCCCCGCCTAACATTTTTTTGTACTCTGGCGTGCCGCGTACAGCACAAGTCCAGAATAAGCCCTCTGTGGGCGAGCATCGCCCAGGGTCGTGTGGTAGTAGCCGTTATCCCGCTGGCCAGTGTCCCAATCCGTCCGCACAATTCAGTCTCGGCCCGACACCATTTCAAGACCTTGCACATCTCCAAGAAAGGCACAGGCAAGAGAGAGAGCATGGCGTATACAAAAGACTTTTATCATGTCCTTGGATTGGAAGCGCCTCGCTGGAACGATTCCACAAAAGCACAGTCAACAGTCGATCTGCGCAGAGGGTACAAAATCGCCCTCTTAGCGGCGCACCCAGACAAACAGAGTAGTGGTACTACCGACGCCGTGAAGAAGACAACACGGGAAGGGGACAAGGGGTACACAGTAGACGACGTAAAAGAAGCCTACACTATTCTCTCCGACCCGAAATCGCGGGCAGACTACGACAACTGGCTTCTCCACAATCGCGACATGCTTCGTTCGAGTCGATCGTCGTTGCACACTGCTTCTCTCCTCCCGTCCAGCGACTTTATCCTCGGCCTTGAACTCCTTGATTTGAGCGACTTTGATATCGTTGAACCCGGATCAGATATATCTGCGAAAGTAGACAGTGCCAGAGGGGATAATATGAGTGCAGAGGAAGAGCAGATGCAGTGGACGAGACCGTGTCGATGCGGTGCGGAAAATGGTTTCAAGATTCTGGAAGAGGAGCTTGAAGATGCGGAGGGGAGAGGGGAGAAAGAGGTGCTTGTGGGGTGTGAGGGGTGTAGTTTGTGGGTTAGGGTAGGGTTTGAGGTCGAAGTGGGTTGAAGGAAGGAAATGTGGTTGGCTGAGTTTATGGTAAAATAAGACAAGGCGAGGCTTGAAGTTGGGAATGCTACTCATAATACGAGGAAGATCGAAGGATATGGGGAGTCTTTATGGAAAGAAGAGAGTGAACTGACACATTGGCTGAGGGGTTGGTATTATATATGGCCTTTGGGCCTTGTCAGCGCCCTCGCCACTGTCTGGGACTGCTGCTAATGTTCAGATATACTATATTCACAGCACCCTGCTTCTCTGACATCGGCAAATGAGCAGAGAAGATAACTTGGCTGGTGCCCACAGGGTATACCAGATCGAAGTGGGAAAATCGGATGTAGTATACATATTGAGGCTTCTATTGCTGGACCTATAAGACCACTAGACTAAGACATATATAAAGCTCCGTTTCTCTTCACTAGTATATTGATCGCTGGTTTCATCCTATGTTCGCGTCAGCCTTGGGTGAAGAGAGTAAGCGCTCGCATGACTCGAGAGACAAAAAACATATGTGAGGTGTTCTGTTTATTGTTTTCTATTTGAGGCATTCCAAAGACTACATCTCCAGAAAAAAGGTCGAGGGGATTTCTAATCCGCAGCAGTACTTTCACCGTAGAGTAGGGAACAAGCATGACAAGACAAAGCTAGTCATAACATACATAAGTCTATGTCGGATATCACATACAATCATGCTAGCATGATCCAAAACACTCAAAATAGAATGCCACCCAATGTCCAAATAACCGCCCAGTCTAGTCTCCACCGTAAGCGCCAGCAAGTGAACTAGGTCAGATTCTGGACTTTGCCGACAGTTCTGCCCGTAGAGAGTCAATCTCTCTCTGCAGCTCTGCCTTCTCCGCCTCCAGTTGCGTCTTCTTCTTCGGCTTCTCCTTGGTGACATGGACATTTGGTCCGATCAAATCGCCGTTGTCATCAAGCTGCATACCCTTGGCGTGAAGCATATTCTTAACCGCAGGCACCAAATCAGCGAATGATTCGACCATGGGAACATCGTAGCGCTCGCAAGTTATTTTGACGTTGCCATGCCTCCAGTAATCTTTACCACAGCAGACAACGACTTTGTCGGACGCCGCCCACAGACCCAACTCGAGCAGCGAGACGGGACTTGATGTCTTGACGTCGAAGAAGAAGGCGATGACGTCGACTTGCTCCAGCGCTTCGAGCTCCCAGTCAACCTGGTCCCTAAATTCCTGATACTGGGCGTCTGGAGTGATGGCGGCATTCCACTCGCGCCCGCGGGGGTTGCAGACGCTGATGGGTAAGTCGGACAGCATTTGCGCCATCTGCTCCTGCCACATTACTGCATTTCCCATCTCTATGCTTCCTGCTGTGAAGACACTGAATTTGCGGTACTCAGGCCTTTGAATGGGTTTATGAATGGGTTGACTGTGCACGAAGTCCTTATGCTTCTTCGGCAGCGGTGACGGCAGCGGCGGAAGTTGGTTGAATAAGTCCACGACCGGATCGTTGACATTGATTTTCCCCTTCATAGCTGATTCGGCCATCTTGTCCACGAGTGTTGATAGTAATGGTTGTATTGCGGCTAATCCTTAATGGCCTTTTGATAATTGCAAAATTTCTCGAACAATAGACACTAGATTTGGCTGGAATTCAAGATATTCAAACAAGACTGTAGTAAGAACAAGGCTTTTCGAGGCTGTGGAAACTGCAAGTGGAAGTCAGTTGGGTGTTCCTTCTTTTATAGACGCCTAGTGGGGCGACCTGTAACCAACTGTAAGTTATGGTAATTATGATGGGGCACTAACAGCGAACGTCCTCTCTGATGTGCGGTGCACGACGCAAACGGCGAACAGTGACGATAAGATGTATCGATGAGTGTTGGAAGTGTTACGAATTTGTGAGTGAGACTGAAAGTGCACAGGTGAGTACCACTTTATCATCGGAGAAAGCGTGCTACCTACTGAAGCGCGCGGTTAATTGGAAGCGCATGACCATTGCGCTGCACCGCCCCCTCCAGCGGCATGCACTACATAGCACAGCCATTATACTACCACGCTTCGCGGCAATGAAGGCGTGCCTACACGCGGGTCTGCCAACCAAAAAAAAACCAGGGTTATGGCTATCGTTCGTTGCCTTGGACCCTGAGTGAGGCGGCCTGCAGGGCGCACATCCAAGGCACAGTACCTGGATACTCATGACCCATTGCACTTGATCAGAGATACTGCGCGACTATGCTGGGCAAGTGATCTTCGATTCCAAAATTGGTTATTATGATGATGTTTGATTCAGATACCCCATAGGGATTATGATGGCTGATGTCAGGAGCTGAGACAAGTGTAGGTACTGTGATAGCAACACCAACAATACTACCAACAATGCTTCCAGAAGTGGCTCATTGTTTTACGATATCACACGGGCTTGCCGCGTTTATGCCTAAGAGTGGCAATGTTAGGACATGTATTCGCCTCGGGCATGCATACACGTGAATGCCAACTACCTCTCTGCCTGCTTAGCTGTTAGCATTAAAGCCGATATTAAGCACTTTTGGTCACATTCATCAACCCTCAATATACTAGCAAGTGGTCTTATTCCTTCTGCCTACGAAATCTCGCCGCCATCTAATCGATGACTAGGAGTATCCCAGATCTGATTCCTACGCCGGTCCGCCAGTCTTACAGTACAGCCCCGATAAGTCTCAAGACGTTAGCCACTCTGCCCAGGGAATATAGGTGGATAAAGATCGCCTTCGTCGATTCTGAATACCCAACAAGCCCTGATTTCGAGGCAGTACCCATAGATCGTATGTCCTACTACAGCCCCCAAGACCCGTTTTCCATGGTCATGACCACAAGAGCTCCCGCAGTCTGCTAGGACTTGTACCTTTCTAGACTGGGTTGCTCCTAAGCGGGTTGGCGTGACGGACACGGCCTCCCTTCAGAGTCAAGGTAGGTGCTCCATGACCTCTAGCCTGGTCTTCCGGTGTTGTTCCAAAGCTAGGCGGTGTTACCTTACGCTCTGCCATCAGCTTTGAAAACTGAGCTTTGTAGAAGTCCTTGGGAGGGTCCACAATCTGGAAGCAAAGCGAAGAAGCATCAGTGACCATGCCGCAATCACACTTGATGCCCGTGAACTTGACAGAGACCATCTCAGCCTGTTTTCCATACTCTTTCTCCATTTCGCTGGATAGGGCTCGGAGGTTGAGGACAGACTTCGAAACGGTGAGAGGCGCAGTGGCTCGAGGCTGGGCATGGAGATTGCTCATCGACTGCGAAGGCCGGAGACGCTCTAAAGCATGGGGACCGCGCTTGGTCAGTCGTCTAGGGAGAGCAGAGACTCGCAATAGGGCCGACTTCACCGCTGCCTTTGTGCTCGCATCATCGTGGACCTCGCGCGCGCGCCAGGATAAGCCACAGCCATCACAAAAGACGCCGAAACGGATGCTCTTGTTGACGTCTTCTGACAAGGTCACAACCTCTGGCTCGCTCATAGGCACGAAAGCCTTGATCAGACCCTCCAAAGTACACTTGGTACAGGACCGATGCACACATGCGCACTCCAAGACGCTGACCGGATGCTCGCCTTTGGTGTAGCTGACAAGCTCCTGGGCTCGATTGCACTTGCAGCATCGCCACTTTCCACATGGCTCTCCACTCTCCTTCGGCTCTTTCTCGTTGTCGGTGAACTTGATGGTTGGTACGGGGGGTAGGACTGCTGCGCCATCGCGAGCGAGCTTGGAGCCTTCTTGACGGGAACCCAGTTCGGCCTTGATAACCTGTATTCGCACCTCTACAGCAGCACGTGCACGTGCAACGCTACCAGGGAGTTTTTGTGTCAGCCCAAGTCCAGTGTGCTCGTGGCTACGATCCACTACGCCTACAGATTGCTTGTGCTCTTCATACCTATCAGAACTCTCTGACGCTGCCGCATGACTGGAAGGCTCTCCGCCGTCTTCGACACGAGAGAGGTCGCCTATGGTACTGATTGATACGTTGGGCAAGTTCATGACAGTGCTCTTCTGCGGTTTGGGTTTGATGAGAGACTCAGTCGACTCGGGGCGCGTCTCTTCGACAGGCTCTCCAGGATCATCACCGTATTCGAAGCTGTAGGGGCGCCACGGTTGAGACATCTTGCGTGGTGACGACTCCGAAGAGCAAACGTGGTAGCTTGATATTTTGTAAGTTAGGTGACTGGAAGTGTAATGTGTGGTCAAGGGATAGTGGTGAATCAATGCGCGCACAGTCGGAGAAAATATGGAGAGCGAGGAATAGGTAAACAAAATCGGGGCTAAAAGCGAAGTGAAGGTGAGTCGCGTTGTTGATGATACAACACAGTGCGTTTGCGCTTCACTGTTGCTTAGCAACAAATGGGTGCCTGGTGATTACCTCAATCGAACATCACCTACGGTTTCGGACGTGCATTGTCAACTTGCAGTGGGAATATAGACATTTAAGCTGCCTATTCTATATCAGTTATATACCGTTGATGATAGTTTCTGGATTATCCTGTTCGTGGCAAAGCTCATCGGGAGTGAAGAATACTTCTCTCCAGATTTTCCTGATATATTATTGCTCCAATTTCTGCGAGATGTATGGGTTCGGGCTTTATGACATAGCCAACGACTGGAAATGTAGCCAGGCATCGAACTATCGTATATAACTAGTCTCGTAGTTATACTCGCGATATCACTCATATGCACCAAAGGATCTTGGACCAAAGTTAAGGAGCCTACATAGTACATTTTCAAGTAGAACCGCATGTAAACTATGGCATGTGAGGCTTTTTGGAAGAATAGAGTGCTGAAATGTGCGAAACCAAAGCATGGATTGTGGCTCAGTACCTCAATCTTACTACTTAAGTTTGACCTTGAGTACTCCCTCCCAAGCCTGCAATGCACTATCGACATACTCGCGTGCATACAAAGCCACATCAGCATCAGTCAACATATTCCTGAGGACTTGTCCTGTGATGCCCCACCGTATCTGTGCCTTGATCGCTGCCTCGCCCTTCTCCTTGATCAGAAAGATATAGCTACGTGCTAAATCACGTATTGCTTCATAGCAGATCTTCATCTCAGTTTCAACTTCGGGTACCCAGTTCTTCGGCAGCGTAGCCTTCATGAAATGAGTGCTCTTCGGGTTGATGACCTTCTCCCGCATGTGCTCGATCATCTTGTTGAGCGCGCGGAGAACCTCAAACTTTGTGTAACAAGAAATCAGCATGTTCTCGTGGAACATGGCAGGCTCGTCTTCGAGTTTCAAAGTGGTGGAGCCAGGCATGCGTAGTTTTTCCATCGCTACACGCATCGCATGGAGCTCTTGGGGCAACTTTTTGATGGGTCTGGTGAGCGTGTCGAGGTAATCTTTCTCCCACGTCATGATCTTAACAATGTCGTTGATCAAGGCCCACATGATTTTTGCTCTCGACTCGGCTGGTGTGTCGAACTCATTGCTTCCGACCACACCGTCTGTTGCGCGAATATAGTCGAGCCTCTGCGTCTCTTTGCATAGCACTCTGGTACATGCTTCGATGTTATTATGATTGCTGAGCATCCAAGATGCATTGGGCAACCTGTTGGGCATAACATATGAGAGTGGCCCTTTGGCATCTTGGTCGTAGTGGGGAAAGACATTCCTGTCTATATCGTCATTGACGCTTCGGTAGTCTGCCCAATTTAGCCCGCTGCTTGATGTAGTTTTGCGTTTACTCACTTGTCCAGTCCAAAACTGGTAGGTTATCCACAGATTCGCCCTTCAATCGCGCTACGCGCCGGCGCTCCGTAATACATGTGAGTTTGGATAAGCTCGTTCTGAACTTCTCCTTTAGTCTGAGCAAGCCAATAGTCTTGTCCCATGTGATCGATTGCAGGTCTGGAATCATAGTGTCTTGGACCTTGTTCTCCATCCTGTTCATGGAGTCTATGACATTTTCGAGCTCTTCCTCTGCAGAAAAGCCTCCGCGACCGTCGGCACCAAATGGATGCGCAAGAGAAATCCGCGATAGAACGTATACTGACAAGTTGTATAACAACATTTCCTTGGACTTTGTGAATCTGTATAGCTGGAAAGCACATTTTCCTAGACCAAGGTTGAGGTGCAGCCGAGCGGCAAGTAGTGATAGTGTTCTATCCTGCTTTTCCTTGTGGCAAGCGACTAAGTGACGCGCGAGCATGGCAGCTTGTAATAAAAGTCGGGAGTTTCGCGTTGTCTGTAAAGGATGCTGAGGTTCCTTGTTACACATGGCGTCGCGGTGCAGCTGGAGGAGGCAATAAATCGCGATGAAGCCTATGGACGAATTGGACTCTGTTGACCAGGGGCTCGTGACTGCCCGACGGAAAACGATCTCCATATTACCTTGCCTCCAATGTATCAGTCCTACAGGCGGGGGATGGGTAATGGAGCAATGCGTGTAGTAAAACATCTTCAGGGTGTTCTGCTCGATGATGTGCAAGTCCTGAGTCTTCACAATGTCAGAACTGGATATGCCAGCACAGAGACTTACATGACCCACCTTGGGGGCATAATCCATTGCTGATTTCTCCCGGACAAAATCCAAGAGTTCTGAGTACTCCTCCACTCTCATGACTTTGACAAAAGGTTTTATGTCCGGGAAACAGACTATGCGATTCGAATGCTGTTCCCAGTAGATCTTGAGATGCTCCAGCATCGGGTTATTTGACATTCCGCAGAGCCACATATATGCGAGCATTAAGGAGCGATCTTGGGTCGGAAATTGTTCTCCAAAAGCACGATCCCGAATGCCAGATAAAATATGCCGGCCCCTATACTGATCAGCAAACACGGGATTAGCAGTGTTTGGTCTACAGTACAACTTACTCTACAGCGTCATGGTTTTCTGCCAGTGCACGTAACAAAAGTATCCATGTATCGAACTTCCAGGCACACAGTTCCCAAAAGGACTTGGACTGTGGGTCTTGAACCAATTTCGATATCGCGAGCTCGATATAGGCCAGACACAGTCTCTCGACTAGTTTCCAATTCGATTCCTCATGCGCAAGCTTGATCTTCATACGCCACAAGTCGTCTTGATGGGTTGCCATGAGGGGTTGCAAGTCATCAGGTGGATGGTCCCAGAGCTCTACAAGCTCGTTGCATCGGTTTTGCTTGCAATGAACTTCGCCCATAAAACGTAGATCCCGTATATCCTTAAACGCTAGGGGATTAACCTGGAACCATTCAGTATAGCGTTCAGGATATTTCGGAGCGTCAAACCTGTGGTGCCTGATATGCTTGCTTTAGCAGCCCACGTGCCAAATCGGCATAAATTTTGCATTTCTGCTCGCCGCCTTCGATACGTGACTGCTGAGATGCTGCTTGTTGAAGGGCGATTATTTGTGTGTAGTGAGCCTGTTTCTTTGCAGATGGTGATGTGGTGCCCTCTTTGATCTCCTTGTTGTATTGAACGACAGCCTACGAATCGTTAGCATCCCGTGGTCAATTGCGGTAGATTAAAAAGAGTCATCGTACGAGTCGGAAGTCTTCCCAGCACCTCTCACGCGACGCAACTTTGCCTAGCGCGGACCAAAAGTCTTCCCGGTCTTGTTTGCGTGTTAAGGTTTTCGCAGCGCTCTGCCACTTCTTTGAATTCGCATCACCCACGCTGCTGATCTCAAGGACACGGTGGCTTTTTCGGGTTGCTTCTGCCAACACCTCGTACAGGTACGATAAGAGTCGAACATCGTTGGACCCGGGCTGCTCCCATGCCTGCTGCACTTGACGAATTGCAGTCTCGGCGTCGTGGTTCAGATGAAGCGACAGGTTAGCTTCCCAAGCCTAATGGAGATTAGCGTGAGTGGGCAACAGCGTGTTCACATTTCATACCAACAGGAAAGGGTTTTTGGGACTCTTCTTGAGTGCCTTTCGTACGAACACTTCTGCGATCTTATTTGGTTTGGGGTAGTCGCGTTGAGCTTTACGCAACTTATCCCAATTGTTGAACGCCATGTCGGCGGCAGCCACTGAATGGCGGAGGTCGGTGTAGCAGCGAAAACGATTGTCCGATAGGGATGTGTTGAAATATGGTCAAAAACAGGTGATTGGGTGGGGTTGCAGGCTGCAAAGGTCGACGATGGTGGTGGGGTGAAGTCGGACGCGAGGCTCGGCTGCACTTGGGCCCACAGCACTTGCTCAAGGTAACTACTTAGGTAGGCACCACCTTCTGGCCACTACAACGAACATGTAGGGCGCGAGGCAAGTTATTGCGATGGCGACATTACCGTTATGAAATACCATACAAGCAGCTATAACACGCCTTCACAGGACGAATCTTGCCCTGGTAAAGAGTCGGCGCTGCTGGGTATCTGAATGTAGATCGATTGGTATTGAAGCAATGGCTATCGTGCAATCAGGGCACAAACGTTGGTTCAGGTCCCATTCAAATGAGGCTGCAGTGCATCATAGCTCAATGTATACGTTGTGGTCTTTTCTTCCGTCGAAGCGCGGTAGCATCTCAAAAGAGAGCTCGCGACTCCGATTGTTCCCATACACAAAACAATTAGTCTATCTATTTCTCTCTCTGTCAATCACTACACTCCAGCCGATACACCACAATCGATGCAACAAGTCCTCGATGACAAAACTTCGGGTCCTTTCTCTGCTTTACCTCACAGGTCTCAGAACTTCCCAATCTCTCAAGTTATTATGCACATCTTCCGGATCATCATCCATCAGGTTCCTCCCTCCACCACTCCGTGAACTCCTATTCGTCCCTGTCCTAGGCGGCAGCGGCGGCTTGTCTTCTCCATCGATAAGGTTTTGAATGGGTTTACGTGCCAAGTTCGGTGGCGGTGCCATTGAGCGCTTCACTGGTTGGGGGTCGTCGCGATACTGCTGCGGTGGGGGAACGGGTGATGTACCTCGCGACGGGCTTTTCGAAAGGAGTGAAGGCTTCTTGTTGGGGATGGGTGGGGGAGCGGCTTTGCGGAGGACTTGGGGTCTACTGGTGGGCTGATTTTGGGACTGAGTGTTTGACGTGCGGTAGGGGAGGTTGGCGGGAAGAGAGTGAGTAGATGCGCTTGAGGCGCTACGTCGAAGGTCGTTGAAGGAATTGTTCGCGCCATCAGAGCCGAGTATCTGCGATGCATGGCCTGGGTAGAGAGGTGCGATCATTTTGCGAGCCATTGGCTCTTGTGCTCGTGATGGGTTTGGGTCGTTGAAGTCGACTGTGCGTGCCCTTTGTGAACCGCGAGTTGGCGGCGGCTCCGGTCTGCGACTACTCTGCAAGTGCCTGACGTCTACCCATTCAGGCTCTGGACTGGGCGTAAAGGGATTACTGGGTCGTTTTGGATTGGGTAAGTGATCATTAGATGGCGGTTGGACGCGCGCTTTGGCTGGGAGACCTTTGAAAGATCAGTAACCAAGCTATAACAGGGAAAACGAGAAAAGTACCGTTGTCAAGCCACCACTTCCTACGATCTGAGCTTGCAGGCGGTAGCCCTGGCTCTATGCTATCGTAACCAAGCAGATCTTCATCATCGGTTTCATCTTGACCTAGATGGCCGGCTGCTCTAGTGTCACCTACGACTTCCCTTCTTTGTCTGTACAAAGCCGCCTTCAGCTCATCTTTCTTTTTCTCATCGATTCTTTGGACCAAGACCACAAAGGTTGCATAGACTGGTCTGTGGTCGGAGAACCGAAGAGGTGCATCGTTGTACTGTATCTGTCGGATGTTGTCACCTTTGCGGAGCACGCGATCGCACCAAGCGGGTATGCGCGCTTTCTCAGACGTATCGTATTGATCACTGTTAAGATCATACTTGTACGTAGGGGGGAATGTGATACGAGCTTCTGAGTAATAAGGGAATGTCAGGCCTGCAACCATCTGCAAGTTGAGCTAGTAGATGTTAGTAGCGGATGCGCGGCACAAGAGAGGGAGCCTACCTGATCATTCTCATACAGGGTCTCCAGGTCGCCGACATGGCATAGCCTCTGCACCTTTTCGTTGTTCAAACCAATCCGATAGTTGAAGTCGCCAAGCCATATCACTGTGTCGTGATCCTCGATGGAACGGTTTCTTTGGAATCTTAGGCCATGACTGATAGTCTTGTAGTCCCGATTGCGTTCTTGGTAGTTGGAGAAGCCAGCTGCAAGATGGGCAGTAACAAGACAGATGGATGTGTTGGCATACTCGAAGCGAATGGCGACAGCTCCTTTGTTACCTGCCATTCCAGACATGCCAGTCTAATGTTCTAGTTAGGCTTATATTCTGCAGAGAGCGTATATATATGCTTACCTTCTTCAAAGCACCTTCCACATTCTTGATGTGCTTGAGACAGTCTGATCGGACGAAGACTGATAAGCTCGCTCCAACCAGTTGACCACCCCGAAGCATGACATACTCTTCCTTTCTATGTTTTTCGGCGTTTTTGTTGAGGCAGTTTCTGACGGCTTCCTCCCAAGCCTCGCGTCGATCTGGGTCTGTTGACATGATCTGCTGAGGGCTCAGCTCGACAATCTCTTGGAATCCAACAGCTACTATTTCAGGACACTGTTGCGATGGATCGACATCAGGACATAACCAGGGAGATAGATCGCTGTTGATTCCGCTCGTCTTTCCATTCAAGTTGAATGTGCCAACAAGGATGTTTATCATCTCAGTTTCCGAGTACTCTGCAGATCGTCGCGCAAGCTCTGCAACGACAAAGTCATTAAGTGGATCGTAAAGATGCACTGGAACCTGGCCGATCAGTCGTCCAAGAAGCATATCAATGGTGTTTTGTCGGCCCTTATCTGCGAAGTTGTTGATATACATTCGAGTGGCGCTCTTACGAGCGTCTGCCAGAGCACCAGCAAGTGACATCTTTCCAGATCGGGTAAACGAGGACTTCAGCGCTCCTGTGCCCGCATAGATCTTCGAGAGAGCATCTCCGTTATCTGCCCACATGCTTGAGTGTCTGGCCCAGAAATCCTGACTAGCTCTGAGGCTCTTTTGACTAAGAAAAAGTTCAAGTGCCATTTTGCTGATGATGGTTTGGACGAGGTTGGTTCGGTCAAGGCAATCTAGACAGTTGGTCCTGAAGATACCTTCTTGTTGCAGTATTGTCATTGTCCTGCGGACAATATAGTCCTGTCCGTTGCGTCTGACATGCTCTTCCACATCTTCAGAAAGATAGTATCCGAAGCCTTCTGCCGAGCCCTGGATCCATTGAGCGATCATACTGGCCATCTCGTATCCACCCGGTCCTCGGGTCTCGGCATGGAAGTCATATTCCGTGAGCTTGATGAGATCATGCTCTCGATCAGAATCACTTGCATGATTCAAAGGGCTGTTTTTGATGTGAATGCGATATTTGTGCGACAACTCTAGCTCGTTTTGCTTCTCATTACTCAGTAAGTTGACGACGTGTATAGTGCCGTAGCTCAACTCCAGGTTATCAAAGTGTTTATCAAAAGCGGGTTGCGTGGCTTCTGGTGATCGAGTGATGGTAATTTTCTGCTGTCCAGGAAGAATACCAGCTTGTTGTTCCCAAAAGATTGGGACACTTCCTCGAACCTGCACGTACGAGAAGCAGACGCCCGACGGTGCCCAGTATATTGTTTCGCTTTCGACAAAGTTGGCGACGTTGCCATCATCGTCAATTCCCCGCGAATTAAATCTCGTCCCTGCTCTTTTGCATGATAGCCTGGAGATGAGCGTCATGGAAGATGGCATACCCGAGTCCTGAACCCTGATGGGTGCTGAAGCCTTGGGAATCGTAATTGTGAGAGCGAAGCCCCGGATAGCAGACGTAAGAATTCCCGAGGCATCTAAAGCATCCTTGTCCTTTGGTGCAAGCCTGCTCCGGAAGTCTACCAGCGGCTGAATCATGTATGAATTCCAAAGAAATCCAGCATCCAAGCTATCAATGGAAACGGTTGCCGCATCTGTCGTCCGGTCCTGTAACCGCCTGGTGAGGTCAAAGTCTGAGCTGTAGTAGAAGGTTCCGCTGCTCAGGATCTTCTTGAGCGCCAGACACGGGTGTTCCATGGGCGTCTGTTCTTTCCTGCCCCCAAAGCCCATCTCATATCCCTCGTCATCTATGGTATCGGTGGGGTAGGGATTGACTTCGTCGTTGAGCATGGTGTCGTAGGCCGTGCTGGTCAAGCAGTAGAATCCGACCGAGTGTATCCTCTGCACCGTCTCGCCAGGCCGTACCGTCGCCACCTTGCTCGCGCCATTAACCACGACCAGGAAGACATTGTTTTCGACGGTGATCAAGCCCAGAGTACCGTGCACGTTCACTGAGTGTAATGCTCGGTAGTCGTCTAGGTCGACGTCTTCTAGTCTCGTGAACTCGACCATGCAGCGAGCGGCGCCGGTGCCATTGCTCCCCAGCGACGTTGACGAGGCATTGGGATTCCCGCTATTCTCGGTGGAGGTGGCGCTGTGCCGGAGGACGAGTGCGTGGGTTGAGGTAGCGAGGGCGATTGCGCGGTGAGGATAGTCTTTGATCAGGACGCGGATGGACATTGTCGGCGGTCGAGGGCGACGGGCGAGGAGTGATCGGAAGAGTCAATTATGTCATGTCCAAACTTGTATTATACGTCTAGCCAGAAGATGAGTTTGCGCAAGGTGTGCCGGTCGTGGCAAGTAAGCACGTGTGCTTTGGCAGATGTTCTCAGCTCCAGTAATAATGTTAGCCTCAATGCTGATCGCGACCCTTGGTTGATGCGAAACCACTCCACTGGTGCCCGAGCCCTTACAAGGCTTCCCTGATCATCGCTTACACCAGCAGCCGAGAACTGCCATTTGGCTCAGAAACGGCTGCATCTGCCTCCGACCATCTCGGGAGCTGCTGCCTCTAGCTCTTCGCCGACTCGTAACTGTCGTTTAACCCCATGGGTAGCACATCACTAGTGACCTCATAACATCACGCATTTAGATATGTGAAGATTGCAATGGGCAATTAGGCATGTTAAACAATAAAAGATATCAACAACAAAATACAAGACACGGAGCGAATAGTGCGCACATAGAGTCGCTCATCCTCTGTACTGGACCCTGGTATTAGTCTCCCTGTAGCTTCCTCTGGCGTCATCGTGGCCGCCGCGACTGCGACTGCGCTGCCTGCTGCGGTCCCGCTGATACCTTTCATAGTGATCACTCTCGCTCGATGCAGGCTCAACGTATCGGTAGTGCTCATACCGAGGGTTCTCGGGACTGTGTCTTTCGCGCTCGCGCCTGACTTCGCGCTCCCTATACACATACTCGCTGCGCCCAGGACTTGAGGAGCGTGAGCTCATACTGGATCGTGGTGAGACTTCGACATAGTGTGCGCCACCATAGTGAGAATGTGTATGATGAGAAGAGACGTGGCTTGGAGGCGGAGGAGGTACAGGCATAGGCGCTGGTGGCGGAGGTGGCGGAGGCTGTACAAACACCGGCACTGGCTGTGGTGCGGGAATCTGCAGAGGCTTTGGAGACGGCACCGAGACGTAGGACGCTGAAGGTCGAGGAGACGACTCGCGCACTATCTCGGTGCGTGAGTAGCGTTCAATGTCGCGCGAGTGGCGTGCAATATCGCGCGACTGGCGCACATGTGATATCCGGCGACGGGGCGGGGAGCGGGTGCGCTGGTGGATACGGTAAGGAATAACCTCTTCTTCCTGCTTGACTTTGACCAGACACATGATGCCTTCCTTCTCTCTCTCTCTCTCTCTCTGTAGGCGAAGCGCAGCAAGCAGCGGATCAAAAGTGGGAAGCTTCGATTGCGATCGCAATGTGATTCGTGGGGCGATCAACGTGGGGTTGGATCGAAGACGGGACGGGGCGCTCGACAAGCTCACGCTCAAGAGGAACAGAGACGGAGGCGAAGACTGCGCAAACTGAGCTTCGCCTGAGCAAGGCAACAGGCCATGTATATGGTATCGAGATCGGGCAGCCAGTGTGCCCAGCCACAGCTGACCCCCATGTCGCTCGAATCTGCTCCGCCTTGGAAGTTGGAACGGGACATGCGAGTGTGACACCCATGAGTCCGGCTCATCTGACAACTGGGCCTAGCGCATCTCACCCATGTTAGTCCCAGGTACGAGTCACCATTGACAATGCAGCCTAGAGTACTAACTAATGTCGTATATTCAGCGGCCGTACAGACTCGTGATTATCATGCTGCATCATGCATGCGAACCCCATATCTTCCACTCTGCTGCCATCTCAAACTATACATACAGCGTCCATACGCGCTATCCAGTCCTCTCCCCATGCAGCCGTCAAATCCCGTGACATTGCCATTAATAGGTCCAGTAAACTATTTCGTCCTCCATGTCAATAACACATACAGTGCTGGGCGTATACACTCCCTAGCGTGCACAAGAGCACTTGGGCGGTGTGGGCGGTGTGGGTTTGCTTCCTTTTCGTCCCCAAGGGGGATGCATGCTGAAGTCAAGAACACGTCTACCACTAGTCATCCATGGGCTTGTCCTCCAAAGTGACGCCCCTGGGCGCCGTGTCTTCACTCCTCAGACTGCCGGTTGAATCCCTGTTGCCTCTCGTCAAGCTACCAGCGTGCTTTCGGGGAAAAGGCACACGGGTGCTCGACGGTGCTGGGTGTTCGGCAGGGACGGGGGTAGGTGCAGTTTCTGTTGTACCATTTGTTGTCGCAGATGATGTCTCGTGAGTAGAGCTGTCATCACTCCCGGGCACTTCGAGAGATCCGCGGTTGCCATTACTCCTCCGCGTGTCGGTGGGTGATGAGGTATTCACAGGGAAGCGGGTCTGGCTTCGGTCGCGTCGGTGCGAGCCTGAGATGCGCGAGCCGGGTGCTGGCGATGTTGCTCGGGGTGAACGTTGAGCAGCAATCGCACGCTGACGCTCCTCCATGTTCGCACGTCGGTTGCTCTCATCCGTCGAAATTGCGCGCGGACGCTGGGCGCCTGAGGATGAGTGTGTAAGCGTGCTAGCGCGTTTGAGTTCCCCGAATATCGCATCCTTGTGCGCAAAGAGATCGCGGACCAGACGGTAGCTGTAGCGCTCATTCATCGTTAAACTCGACTCTTGCTTCGGCCTCAGAATGCACGGTGCGAGTGTGTTGGCAAGAGCCGTGACATAGGTTTCGTCGGCCGAGGTCAGCTCAATCAGGCGAGTGAAGTGGGTGCAGATGGCGTCTAGTGTTGCGATATTTGCAAGACGCAGTTGCCCAAGCGTTGATTGAAGGACAGAAACCCGCGTCTCTTCGCTGACGTCCGAAGCAGTGGTCGCGTAGATAGTCTTGACGATTTCGTAGACGTGCGAGGAAACCAACGAATCTGATACAGTTAGTCAAGCTAATAATACTGAAGAAGGGTAGTACATACCAGGGAGTTCCAAGAGGTAGAGCTTGAGGACGCTTGCCACAATCGGGACATCGTACTTCTCGAGCAAATCGTCCGGAAACCTCTTGCCTGTGTTGATCTCGGACCTCAGGGTGTGAGTCTGCGATAGAGGGACATCAACAAGCCAAATACCACGGCGAGCTTCATCACCCTCAAGATCAGGGTAGTGGTTGTCCAGGAAAGTCAGAACGGTCGTTACGATGACGGGTACTCGCTTCTTGTCTGAGCGAGCCCGAGCCTCCAGGTCTACACCAAATGTTTGTTCTGTGAATTTGTCAGTATACCATTATTGGTCAGTATGTAGGATATCGTACCGTCTACCGAGTTGTAGTAGTTTTCGTAAGTTGTGACCCTGGGCACAAAAGGCCCCGTTCTGTAGTTCTCCAGCATGTATCGAAGATCGCCCAGTGGCTGAACAGTTTCTTGGAAAAGCATCATCTTGTCTACTGTGCTCTGCAGACTTGGGATGACGTTGCTGACGGCACCAGAGAAGTCCAAGATGACGGCTTTGATGGCCTTTAGCCTGTCCAGCTCACAACGCTCCATAAACTTGAGATGGTCAATCATGGCCTCTTCCAGGTTGCAGCGCAGGGAGTCAAGCTTCTTCACCGCGGCCTTGTACCGCTCGTCAGACTCTCGAGCCTCTCGCCTCAGCCTTTCGGCCGGGGTCTCGTTGGGGAACTGATTGTTGAGTGGGTTCCAGCCCTGTAGATACTCCTGCACAGTTCCAACGGGTGAGTCAACGGTGAATTCGGTTGATGAATTGGACATGGCGGTAGACGAGCGAGCCAGGGGCTGCTTCTTCTCAGGTAGTCCAGTGACCTGGAAAGTCTTGGGTTTCCACTGGTAGCTCATCCTGGAGCTGTTCGCAAAAGTGTTGCCTACGTTGCCGACAAGGCGTAGGAAGCCGTGCGATACCATGTCCTGTCCAATGCGCTCTGCGTAACTGACAGTGGTAGCTCCCATGTGTTGCTGGATGTATTCAGTGATGTCGGCACCGGTCGAGCAATTTTGGTAAGTGCCGAGAATGGGGACCTTGACTTCCCCCATCTTGATATTGTCCAGCATGTGGGTTAAGATCTTCTTGACCTGGTCGGGCTGATATGTCTCGTCGCCCAGATCAATGGGCTCCTCCTCGTCCTGGTCGGGCTCCGACATCTTTATGGTGGGGACCTTCAGTTTCGGGCTTTGGGTGACTTCACTCTGGGGGTCCTGGAAAGCGAGCTTGTCCTCCTCCTCCAAGTCCTCGACCAGGCGGCATTTGTTGTAGTACTGTGAGCGGAACTTGCGCACGGCATCTGCTTGACGGTCGTGGATCTTGATGCGCGATTGCAGGTCGTCTTGCGAGTTCTGGACACGGGCAGCATGCGCCTCACACCAGCGGCCAAAGGGGTTCACGACGAGCTCCCGGATGTTGGATGCGATCTTCTTGTGATTCGAGGCGGCTGCCTCCATCTCTGTGCGGACGCCCTCGTAGGCCTGGTTGGGATTAGCGGATAGTTTTGCGCATACATGCAGTCTCTCGCACGCACCTTGCGCACACTTGCGCCCTCATCTCTGCTGAAGCCGCCGCCTATGCGATCCGTAGCTGGCGGAATGGCGGACAGACTGTTTCCATATGCCTCTTCGGCATCGGCTCGCATGCGGGCTACGGTAAGGATCTGCTGATTCTCCTGCACTCCCTGTTGGAGCTTTCCAAAGAGAACGCCCAGGCCTAGACTCAGAGTCAGCACATACGCGGGGCCAGGGAGGGAGCGGCTTCAGGTCGTACCTCCCGCATAGTCGCTGGACCAGAAAGACGCAGCGAAACCGGTACTCATGGCGGCGGTCCAAAAGTCGAGTCGTCGCGCAACTCGTGGCTGGCCGGGGGGGGGGGGGTATCAAAAGTGGCAATGTATCAAAACAAACGTTGGATGGTGGGCGGTGGTTCAAAGTCGGCAGCGGCAGTATAGTGGGCAGCCAAGGTTAGTCTGGGGAACACGCAAGCGCAGACCCAGTGATGTAGCGTCGTCGGAGAGCCTGTCCCACGCCAGGGCTCGGAATCGGGTGGCAGACGGGTGACGGGCGACGGGCGGTGACGGATGACTGGTGACTGTAACTGTAACGGGTGACGGGCGAGAAACAACAAGTCGAGGGTCGCGGCTGAGGCACTGTACGGTACTTGACTAATAGTTCAGTTCAGGAGATGTTTCTGCACGCTCAACTGGGGGGGGCAGAGCAGAATGTCTCATGGACCCCTGCAGGTGCCGCCGCCGCCGCCGTTTGTTCGTGACAGGCCCTCGTTAGCCAGGCCTACCAGGCGCACACGCTTCTGCCCGATATTTCCCCTCTAGCGGACGATATAAATATCAGTGTCAATTCACCGAACCCTAAGCGCGGCCCCTGCATGGACTAGAGTCTGATCCACGCGCCTACTACCGTCTATGCATCATCATTGTACTAACCCCGTCGCCGAGTAGGCTCACCACCAGCAACTGCAAATCCCACCCTGCATAGCACCGTAATTCCACTCCTCGTACTAATCGCTGCACTTTCCCCCCTGCTACCGCCCCAACGTACCGTCAAACCCGTCCCAGCAGCCCTGCTCAACAGAGCCCTGGTCGTGGCCTGCTTTTTTGGCCTCGTCAACAGCGTTTGGTTGGTGGGCATGACATGACGGCCGTCTCCTAATCTGCCATCCATCCGCCTTGTTGCTAATAGACAAAACACACGCCTTGGCCTCTACGTCAGCCCCGCCTTCAGCACAAAGCACTCGCAGGGGAACCGACACCTCGCTCGGCAAGTGACGCCGGGACCACGTATCCCGTTACGCACTTCCCATCATGGCTCCCACTTCAACTACCACCCCAACTGCCATCGACAGCATCACCCAATTCAACCATGCCCGCCATGTAAAGTACTGGCGTCGCAACCTGAAGACGTTGCTGCCACACTTCTACACCAGCAATGACTCTAATCGCATGCTGCTGGCCCTCTTCACTGTCTCGGCTCTCGACATCTTGGGCGACCTTGATGCTGCCTTGTCAGCTGAAGAGCGTCAAGGGCACATCGACTGGGTCTACAGCTGCCAACTGCCCGAGGGAGGGTTTCGGCCATGGCCAGGGTCCAACTTTGGGGAGTTGAGGAATGAGGAGAACAAGTCTTGGGACCCTGCCCATGTTCCGGGTACTTTTTTTGCCCTCCTGACCCTTGTTGTCCTGGGCGATGATCTGGAGAAGGTCAAAAGAACGGAAATCTTGGCATGGTTGGTCAAGATGCAGCGATCAGAGGGCAGCTTTGGAGAAACGCTAGGCGAGGATGACAGCGTACATGGCGGTAACGATTCGAGGTTTGGGTACATGGCTACGGCGATTAGATGGATCCTACGGGGTGACCTCGAGGGCCCCTGTGAAGGTATACCGGACATTGATGTTGACAAGTTCGTCACGTGTGTTCGCTCGTCAGAATGCTACGATGGAGGTATTTCTGAAGCCCCGTACCACGAAGCCCATGCCGGCTTCACCTGCTGTGCCATTGCTGCTCTGGCGTTCCTGGGCCGCTTGCCGTTACCACCATCGCAAAAGCCCGATGGTGTAATCCGCGGAGTCAGCGATGTCCCAAAGACACTACACTGGCTCGTCTCGCGCCAAACTCTTACATTAGATGAGGATGATGGTTTGGACACTATGAACGACGAGACAGATTCATCGGAAACTTGTCACGATGCCCACAGCTTTGTAAAGCTTGGAGCTTACCCTTCGGCGCAAGCAAAAGAGAACACCAAAGGACGGCCTCGTGTTCATTATGAGCTGGATTGGGTTGGCGTCAACGGTAGATGCAACAAGGTGGCAGACACATGCTATGCCTACTGGACGTGTGCCCCCTTACAAATCCTTGGCTATCTCAACATTGTCGATCAAGTACCCATCCGGAAGTGGCTGTTAGACAAGACACAGCATCTTGTAGGAGGATTTGGCAAGGTTACAGGAGACCCACCAGATATGTACCATTCGTTCCTGGGCCTCATGGTGATTGCCATGTTTGGAGAAAGCGGTCTCCGCTCCGTGGACCCAGCACTATGTATTACCCAGAAAGCGAAGAGTCATCTAGAATCGCTACCGTGGAGGAGGAGGATACTGGGCCTGGATGGCGGTGCATCGAATGGAAAAGACGAGACACAAAACGAGGCATTGTAAATGCCACCTACACTCAACATCTGATAGACTTCGATTTACATCCTTGTGCATATCCTTTAGTCGCGCACTTGACGCCCACGTGCTAGACAATAAAATCGCTACGCTTCTACCAGACCCACACAGATGACTGTAATAATAAATAATGCACTTGTAATATCATTCTCTTAGAGCGTTAGTGTACCCGTATACCTGCGCCCTAAGCCAGAACCGCCTCGGCTCCACCCAAACCATCAGATCCCTGTCCGCTAGGTAATTTTCCCAAACTCCGCAACTTTCTCGCAAACGCAGGTAGCAGCAGTGCTCACCACGCAAACAACGTCCACGCGTAGAATAAACCCCGTAAATACAAGTCGCCATGGCACCACCGGCCTCGAAGAAACGCAAAATCACCGTCACGGCTCCGGAAAAGATTGATTTCGACTTTGCAGCGCGCGAAGAATACCTGACAGGCTTCCACAAGCGCAAACTCGCGCGCATAAAGCATGCCCAGGAGGAGAATGCAAAGCGCGAGAAAGAGGAGAAGTTGAAGTTCAGACGAGAGGTACGGTTTTCCCGTGGAGTTCATTCGCAACAACACAGCACCAACCCGCTCTACAGAGCTACTATGAATCCCTACGACAAAGCAGGACTGATAGCTAACATATCCTGCCAATATAGCTACGAGAACAGCGCAAAGCCGACCTAGAGCGCCACGTTGAAGAAGTAAACCGATTAGTCAAGCAAGCAAATGGCGACCTGGACGAAGCGGGCGAAACATCCGACAATGACGATGACGAGGAGGAAGAATTCACAGGGTTCCAGGAACCCGAGCCGATAAACCAAGAGGACGAGTACATTGACGAGGATAAATACACGACCGTTACGATTGAAAGTGTGGGCATATCACGGGCAGGCTTCTCGCGGCCGGGCGAAGACGAGGACGAGGAAGCGGCGGCGAAGAGGAAGGCGGCGGAGGCGGCGGCAGAGGAGAGCAAGAAGAGGGTGTGGACAAAGGCGTGGCCGAAGAATAGTGACAGGCTCAAGAAGAAGAAGAAGAAGTTTAGGTATGAGACCAAAACGGAGAGAAAGGCGGAGCGCATGAAGCAGGGTATGAAAAAGAGGAAGCAGAAGGAGGCCAGGACGAGCAAGTAGGGTCATTACATGAGCATATGTAGGGAGTGTGGTCTACGAAAAATATGATACCCTGTCCACGAAAGTCTTTAGCTGAAAGTATACGAAAGTACATGGGTAAAGGTGCTTCCAAGCCAACACATCATAGGTCACATGTCAGCGTAACAAATCACACGTGCATCGCTTTCAGATTAAAGGGATGTATTGCCAGAAGCGACCAACAATGCATTCGCTCAGGGATTATCTAAAGCGAACAAGCCCGCTCAGCAAGCCACTGCGGGAAACGAAACAGATATATAGGGTAGGGGTAGGGGATGTGATGTAAAATCTGGTCCTTCTGTCTAAGCTCCACAGCGCGCGACTATCATCCTCGACCACAACTACCATTCATGTCGCACGCGCTCGATATCGAATTCCGTACACGGACGATAACGACGCTCGACTCAAAACTCGGCTAGATACAGTCAACCACGGCAAAGGATCGGCGGCAGGGAGATCAGATGTTACCGATCTCCTTGACGAAGTCGTCGAGCTCCTTCTTGGTGTCGGCGTATTTCTTAGCCATCTCCTCGTACTTGGTTTCCCACTGGTCGCGGGACTGCTCGAGAGCCTGGACTTTGCGTTCGTAGTGGCCCGACTTGACATCGGTTTGGCGGAGCCTAGAGCGTGACGTGTCAGTGCTTGCAGACAGGGGGCGGTGAAGCTCGACAGCGAATCGACGTACTTTTCGTTGAGCTCGCGAATCGTCCTGTCCGATTCCTCAGCTTCTTCCTCAAGAACTTGGATCTTTCGCTGGAGGCTCTCGGCTTGGGTGCCGGCCTGAGCGCCCGCACCAGCTTCGTCCTTGTAGGTCTTGACTTGCGTTTCGAGCTTCTCAACCTCGCTCTCGAGCACCTGGTTCTTGTGCGACAGCGACGTAATCTCCTGCTCCTTTTGTGTCGTCTCCGATTCGAGCTGCTTGACCTTTGCCTTGAGCTCTTCGGCCCGAGCACTACTCTCGTCCGCCTCGACGCGGAGAGCCTCCATGCGCTGTGCGGGATCATATGTCAGCTACGCATTCGGTACGACATGCAGCAATTGTGGCGTCGGGTGAGGTAGTGTGTACCACGGAAAGGGGACAATGGCGGGGTATGGGGGCGGACTCACCTTCTTGATCTGATCCATAGCTGCTGTGGGTGTGCAGGGCGTGTATAAAGGGTGAAGTGGGTGTGCGTGTGCTTACAGCTGAATCGTGCGAGACGGCTGTAGGGGATATAGGGATGGTTTGGGGTACGGTGTAGTGAAGTGGGAGTTGTGTCTTTGAGAAATGTCTCCTGGTGTGCTAGTGTGCTAGCTGGTAATGCGGGCAGGCGCTGCCAAAAGGGACTACCTCCGCCCGGACCCTTTAGCAAGCCCAGACCCGCTTTGTCGCCGCCCTAGCAACCGCCAGTAAACACACCGCAAGACATGGTCGCGCTATCACAAAGACCCACCCACCACCCCACGAGTCGCTCAATGTAACGCCCACCCACCATGGCAACTCTCGCAGCAAACGACCAGGAGAATGCCGTCCGCCATTTGCAGGCCGCCGCCGCGGGAAAGTCGCTCAATGCCGGAATCAAGAGCTTCAACGCCAAAACACCAGGAAACAAGGCCCCAAAGACGCCCTTCAAGATCCCGCTCAACGACGAGAATGCCGTAAACATTGCTGGAAAGTCGGTTCTGCAGACCAAGGGCAAAGGAAACGAATTGTTTGTCAGCAAGAATGGGGGAAAGACGGATGAGAACGCCTTTGTGACGCCAGCAGGTACGACATTGAGACTTGCGCTGCGCAATACGAAGACTGACATTTCCAGGTCCCCGAATGCGTGCGCCATTGGGAATGAAGACAACCAACGCGAAATCAAAGGCCTTTGCAACCCCCGCGCCCCTCTCAGCAAAGACCCAGAAACTGAGCCCGCGTCTCCGCCGTCCCAAAGTTAAAGTCCACCAGCCCGAAGCCCAGGAGTCCGAGGACGATGTGCCCGAAGTTGAATATATGCCGCCCAAGGAAATCCCGCTCCAAGATGACATGGACGAATACATGCCCAAGGGCTGGACCATGCCCAAGCTCAGTGACCAGGACATTGCCCGCGGAATCTGGCAAGCCTATCACAACCCGGTTGAAGATGATGGACGTACCCGCGAGCAGCGCAAGTTTGAGGAGGAAATTCAGCGTGACCGCAAGAAGCGTGATGAGCAGTTTGAGAGGGTCTTTGCGGCACAGATGGCCAAGGACGATGCTGAGACGAGGGAGTACTATGGTATCAAGGCGCCGAAGAAGGAAGGACAGAGACTCCCAACTACGACTTCCACGCTGAGGAAGGCGCCAACTGGACCGTCTACGATGCGAGCCAGGTCTGCAGCTGTCGCGCTCGCTCCCGCATCCAAGCCGAGCTACGCTGCTCCCACGGCAGCTGCAAAGTCGCGTGTACCCACTGGACTGGTCTCGGGCAGAAAGGGAGCAAAGACGCCTACAGAGCTGAGCGCTGCTCGTCAAGCATCCGCTGCAGCAGCATCCAAGAGTACCATCGGCTACGCTCAAGGCCGCGCGGGACGCACCGCTCTGGCAGCACGCAAGCCACTCTCCAACGTCACCAAGCCTGCACCTTTCTCTGCCGTCTCCCACAACCGCAGCGCGAGCACCAACATGGGCACTACGCGCTCCCGCGGCCCCATGTCTCGCTGCAGCTCCACTTCCACCACCGATACATTGGTCACGCCTCCCGATGACGAACAGCCCGGTCGTACAGCTGAAGATATGGAGCGTGAGATGGAGTTGCTGCTACTCTCGCAGTCGGATGACGATGAAGACGAGGCTTGGATGAAGAGTTTCAGCAACCAGTTGCATGCGCATGATCCTTTTGAGGAGGATGTCGAGAACTTCCAGTTCCAACTTCCCGAGGGCTTCTAGCATCTTGTGACTTGTCATGCATGTTGGCTTGGAGACGAAGACGTCTATTACTTGCAGTACTTGGTTTATGATATTGCGAGTTTTGGTTAAAGGATACCTTGATTGTGTTGCTTTGCGTATGACTGACTGATTCATTGTTTGACTGACTGTTTACGTTGATTGTGATATTTTAGTCTTTTGGAACCACGACGGACCACTGTTCGTGGGTAATACTATACAGATAGCAATAAAAATACAAACTACTCTCATCTTCCCTTCATCCACTTATTTCCAACCTACCATCGCCTTACGAGACGCGTCACTCACAACACAACATCACCAGGACCAAAACAAAAGAGCTCAGTGATTCTGTTTAGTTCGTCATCGGTATGGAAAAAGCAAGTGACCAAAAGGAGCAGCAGTCCTCCCTCTACTAGCTGGCCACACTACCGCACTTTGTAAATATACATGTCCTTCTTTCCCCTTTCGCATCCATGACGGTTACGTACGTAGAAGTACCTTGGCAACCTCCTAGCCTCAACCCATCCCATTTCCCCACCCCCCAGCCTGCATGAAAACAAGGAAAAATAAACGATAGCAAGGGACGATTACGCTCCGATTTTCGCCGAAAAAGTTAACATGCTGAAACACCGTGAATGCGCCATGCTGCTAAGACTCAAGAGAATAAGAAAGCGAGATGGTGACGAGATGATGACATAGGACAGATCGGAATAACGAGACGGTTGTCATTGATGAGTCGTGACATGAGTGGGTCGACGAGTCGGTGTATGGGGTTGTAATAGAAATGCATCGATTTTGGATCCAGATGGTTACATGGCGCAGTGACGTCGACAAGATGCACATCCTAGTGCAAGGTGTCATCCCAGAACAGGTATGCACTAGTTTACCACTTCGTCGACTGCATACAGATTCTGGTTGAGGATCTTGTTCATGGTGAACATGTGGACACGGTCTTGCTTGAAGACTGCGCGCATGGCATCGTCGCATCGGATCTGGCGCTTGTCGCTTGGGTCTTGGAGTTCGCGCGCCTTGACGTATTCCCATATCTTCTTTACTGTTTGCGGTCGCGAGAGCTGGGTTTCGCCGAGCAGTTCCGAGAGAGCTGGGGAGAGGGCCATGGGTTTCTAGTCAAGGTCAGCTATTACTGGACAAAAATACAGTGCTTCAGAAAGGGTGGCTTACATGGAAGCCTCCTTTCCGACTTGGACTCTTCTTTTCCCCTCCACTTCCCGACCCGATGTCGCTGTCATCTTCGTCCTTGACACGGTTCGAGCTCTTCTTCTTCGTCTTCTTTTTCGGCGCTGGTGCTCTCCGCTTTGTATTACCACCCCGCGTCGCTCTGCCCATGCGTGCATTCTCCTCAGCCTGTAATCTCGCGGCGAAAGCAGCATCATCATCCTCGTCCTTGACCCGGGTCTTCTTGACCTTCTTTTTCGGAGGCACAACATCTTCAACCTCGGACACTACAGACTCGTCATCGGCTGATCGCTTGTTGTTTGAGACGTCCGAGGTGTCGCCATTGGAGGTTTTGGCGCCATTCTCGACCGTGGGCACGGGTTCAGAGGCCTCAGAGCCGCCATTCTGCTCGCTGTTGAACTTGTCGAAGCGCTGCATAATGAGGGTAGTGATTTGTTCCTGTTTTCCAGCCTTAGTCCATGCTAGAGCGCACTTGGTCGCATTCAAACCTTTTGCTGTGAGAGATCATGGTCAACTCTTTCTTGTAGACCCTTCCGTATGCGCTTCGCAGAGATTGTGTTGATGTCGCTCGCGCGCAGGATTTCGTCGATGATGGCCGAGTACATGGCCACGACGTCGGCGGATAGAGGCTCTGCTGTGGCACGTCAGGTCATGGATATACGCGTGGTGGAGTCGGGGTGGGTGGATGCTCACCTGCCATGGCTGCGGTGTGACCTCACTCTGCTGCAACAAGTCTTGCGGTTGGTGATGGCAAAGTTGCAGAGACGCGGTCGCTGCGTGGTGCAGTAGTGAAGCGAGCGGTATTGCGCAGTGGCTATAGTATAGCTATGGTATTGCTATGGTCTATGTCGTAGTCGTACTAAGAACGGCGGCTGAGGCCAGGATCCAGGAACCGGGATGCGGGAGGGCGACAGCAAGCACGAAGATATACACAAAGCGTCGCGTGAAGCGGGTTTGTCGCCGGTCTCTCACCTCGCGATCAGCAAACGTCGTCGTGGTCTAAACTCCAAAACGGGTGAGAGACAGTAGCGAACGTGCAGCCGGACTGTCTGACGATCTAAAGCGGTAGTGCCGACGTAGCGGGGTCCAGTCAAAGAGAGCCGGCAGCAATTACGTGGGCTCAAAGGGTAGCCGGAATGGGACTGGAGATTGCAGTATGAGTTACGCGCAGTCGCGACGAGATGCTGAGACTGGAGACGGGCACTAGGAGAGTAGCGATAATTGGAGCATGCGCGATGAGGTGTGAAGATGTGAATGCACGGGCGGTCTAGGCTCAGGTACGGCCCGACGATGGAGGAGGCTGGGGAAAACCATCATGGCCGATCTGAGTAACTCGGCCAGCCATGCCAGCCCAAACCGTTCACTTTGTCTCGCGAATGCGTGAGGCTTGAACACGTGCAGACGTCAAGAGATTGTCTCTGCTCACTGTCGCCTTGACTGCACCATTGGCTGGCTGCATGACGGTACCAAAGCGGTAGTCTATTGCTACACCGAACAGCCTTGCTTCCCGGCCCTTGGCACTCCGGCAACTAGTTGCCGCCTACTGCTTGCTGAAGCCTTTACATGACCAAACATCCTACTCCGTACATTTGCTTCTCTACTGCACTCTTGATCTGATACCAGTCCGCCCTCCTCTCTGCAAACTCGTACACTTCCTCGGCTCGGAAAATGCCATGGTACCGATCAGTGTCAGCAATGATGGTAGCTATCTCCTTGGCTTCCTTGGCATCGATGAGATAGATCTGTGACAACTCGCGCAAGGCTGCAAAGTACTGCATAAGCGGCTTGTTGCGCAACGAGACAATATAGGAATTGTATGCATTCATGTCACTGTTTGTGTTAGTGACAGCCAAACATTTGTATGAGCATGCATCATACCTGATGAGCTTGATGGAGCCGTCCACACTTATCCTCTGCCGCTTTAGATGTTTACAAAGAGCAGTGAACAGACGCACCCCCACTTCTTGGTTAAAAACATCCAGCACGTTCTTGTCAGTGCTACCGATGAGCATGTTTGTGTGCGATGACACAACTTCCACAATCTTGGTAGCCGTCTGGCTGGGTCCGATGTCCATGACCTGCACCTGACCGTTGGGACCTACAGGAGGGTTGAAATCTGTCGGCTGCTGCGTGGTACCACACAAATACTCTACTTCGTCCATGAGCACATCAATACCTTTGTTGAGACCTGCAGCAACCCGCTCGTCCAGCATTGCCTCGAAACGCTTCTTCTCTTTTGCTGCAACACTGAGAAAGTCGTCGCGATCTGTAAGCTTGGCAGCGACCAGCTCCTGGAGATAAAATACTTCGACCATCTGCTGAATCAAATCTCCAACATTTACCAGTTCCAAAAAAGCCACAAGGGGTGCAACGCCCTCCTTGGTGTGATCTGCTACTTCGCGCGGCTTGTAGTCGGCCAAGTGGCTAACAGCCTTGTCGAAGCCCAGCTTCACGTGACGATTACCGAGAATGTGGACTAGGTTGATAAATATCTGCTCCGACTGCTCTTTTGCCTCTTCGCCCGATTGGCCACCAAGCTGGACGAATCGTGCAGCCCGTTCAAGGCCTGACTTTGCCATGTGTGTCAAGTTCAGAGCCACCTCAATACTGAACAGTGACCGGATACCTTCCAATCGAGAGCTCATGATTGCTGCTTTGGCAGCAAGCTCAGTTGTTGGAGCTTCAGCTCGTGGCGTCGAGGTGCCTTCGCCAGGAACTGGAGTGCCGACTCTTGAGGTCGGGTCGAAGGTGCTATTCCTATTCGCTCCACTTACAGTGTCATTGGACTTACTAGCTGTCGAGCCGCCCATGGAGGGAAGTACATTGACAGGCATCATAACGACCTTCTTGAACGAGGACAAAAAGTCCTGCTTTACCGCTTTTCTGTTGACGTTTGCCATGAATAGGGTTTCGGTGCTCTGCTCTTCTTCTTGCAGCCGCTTCTCCCATGTGTCGACCTCTGCAGCCGACTTACGCTTGAAGTGGTCTAGCTCTTCCTGTAGGTAAAGGTCAACATGCTGCTCAAAGCAGCGGGAGACAATTCGCTTCGCTTCTTCGTTAAAGTCTGGTTTGGACGCCTTTGTATGCTTCAAGGACATTGCGAGTTGGAGCGCTTGATCGAATACTCCTGCAATGGCTTCTAGGTACGCCTCAATGCTCACTTCGTGAGCCTCGTCGAACAAGGTGGTGAGATACTCCGCGATGACATCGTCTGCTACGCGCTCTAGAAAAGTGTGTAAGACATCGACAGCAGGTGGGAAGACACGATCGATGATGGTGGCTTCCTCGTTGAGTGCCATGGCCAATCCTCTGAAGAATTCATGTGATGGTTTCAGCGTCAAGGTGTCATTTTGGAGACAGTCGGTGGGATTTCCAAGCTTCTCTTTCTCCAACATCAATGGGTGGTTATGAATGAAGGAGTCTAGACATGCCGCACCACCGTTCAGGGCTACCAGGACTGTCGCAAACCTCTTCATGCGACCGTCGAAATCTTTCTCGGCGTACCCTTGCTCAAACTCCCGAAGCACGGCATTTTCGAAGATCCCGGTCATGGTATCTAGTTTCTCTTCCCGTTGACTCCAACCTTGCGCATAGTCGCTCTTCGCAAATATTTTGAGTTGTGCGAGCATCTGGGCCTGTTGTTCAGGGTCACGGTAGGTGCGGAAGAGTATGGGATCTGTGTGGCTTCTGGACCTCTCCAGATCAAAATAGAATGGGGCGAGTGCCCCGTAGATCTTCCCATACTCTTGCCGTGCCATGCCTCTGATGGAACGCACGTTGGATAACACTTTGACAGCCGCTTGTGGGTCCACGATGTGGGAAGTCGGGGCCAAGGTCCCGGACGGCGACAGGGTCATGTCGCTGAAGCCTTCATCCAGCGTTGTGGGATGTGGCCTGTTTCTATCTTCTTGAGATTTCCTTAGTGTGTCTTCCTCTATGGCTGCATCGAAGAGCGTCATGCTCGTCTTGCCAGATACATCACTCCCAGGCGGCATGGCATTGGTGCTTCCATTGAGCGTGACGCCAGACAGACGTGCCTCTTCAGCCTTCTGTGCCTCGCGTTTCTTGCGCATAGTCTCCTCGAATCTACGCTTTGCTTCAACTTCGTTCCAGCAGCCCATGCTGCGGAGGCGTTGTATCCACCGGGTGTCATCGTACACCATTTCGCGCATACGTTTCGAGGTGCGGGCGAAGCTAAACATGTCGGCAACGGGCAGATAGTCGAGGATTGCGTTGATGAGCTCTACATGTGATGGTCAGACACATGGCTTGATATGGCCCAAGGCCCATACCTGCAGGCAGAACCGCCTTGGAGTCGTCGACGAGCTGCGTAGACCGCAGCGACGCCAGGACGGCGGGCTGTGTCTGGGGCATGGCCCGCTTGAAGTTTGACTTTGTTGCCATGATCGGGGTGCGTTTAGACAGGATTGAGATCAATTCCTTTGCTTTTCAAACAAGCCGCTCTCCAGCCGTGTGGTGCAATCTTGGATCGAGGTGAGGATCTCCCGTGGGTGTGAACATGATGGTTGGCGGCTGGCAACAAGCGGCAGGGTCTTGTAGATCAGACATGGCGTACTAACTATTGATCGCCCCGCAGCTAAGTAGACTCGGTCCATGGAGCAAAAACCACGTCCCAAGAGCAATCAAAACAATGTTTCTTGCTTTTGGGCACTGCTGGTCATCACTCACAAAACCCAAGCACAAGGCTTTGCTTTGCCATCTGCCGTCCCAGCTGCACACCCTCTGCAGCAATGGCGCGTCGGTAAGCACGCCATTACGCAGCGGGTCGGCCGGGGAAGCAGGGAGCACATCACGCGAGAATGGGTACAGTGTGTGATGTCGATGGTGGCGCCTTCAAACAAGAAACATATAGATGCGCGCCACGTTCGCACTGATCGTGGTCAAACAAGATGATGGGGACCGAAGCGACGCGTCCAGAAGCCGGCGATGCACCCTGACGTTCCAGGCGTGCATCAGACACGTGACGATGGCGGTATGAGCAGGGCTGTCGCCTATCATCATGTCTGCAATAATAGTCAATAGCGCCGCCCTATTAACGACTTGACGAGTTGGGATGAGTGTTTTGCGCGAAGACTGGCCCTGAGTCACCATGGCTGGGCAGTTGGAGGACAGAAGAGGCGGAGGGTTGGGTTACAGCCAAGGTACTCAGGTCTTAGTTTGGAGTATCTCAAACCAAGTCAAAGTATCGGCAGCCAAGACCTGTCATGTTGAATTTGTCTCGGAGGCCGAAAGCTATTTGCTATTATGGGATGAGGCGAGTAGCGACCAAAGGCTATGTTCATCTGTGACTGGCCGTCGGTCGTCGTCTTACTCGTCTCAGGGTCCTTCAGTCTGTGCAGCAGGAATTCAGTGGCAGTCAATCAGTCCTGCGCGTCCTCGTTGAAGGGGCAGTGAAAGTAATCAAAGACAGTAGGCCAGGGCTTTCCCGGTCGATGGGTAGTAGGGCATCGGGGCGCAGCTGGGCACCGTCGGCAACGCGCAACCGTAGGCTCGCGCTCGCGCTCGCACTGAGTGACGCGCCTACTCGTCGTTCGTTCCTTGGCTGCACTCGGGCTTCGCATGTTGGATGCAGACTCTCGAACACGAGTTGTGCAAAAGGGATGAAACTGTGGCTCCCTGCTCGGCTTGGCTACGCGCAGCGCGCACCCACCACGGCGGCGGTACCTGCGTCACTCAATCGGCGGGCCGTCGGATGGCAATTCCAAGTGCAATTCACAACGTGGCAGCATGTCTAATTGCCCGGTCGAGACACTCGTGACTGTGTATCGCCAACGCATGCGGCTCTGGTGGGTCGCGGCCCTCATCCGCCCAAGGCATGAGACGCGCTGGCCTCCATGACGGCATAACGGCTGAGGCTCGATTCGCACAAAGCAGGGAAAAGCAGGGAAGCGTGGAAGGCGTCTAGAAACAGCCGTGAAAGGATGTTGCTGGGTTTCAGGCTTTCACCACCCAGGCCCGCCGGCTCCACACCGACGGCGAGCCAATGAGCAGAGTGAAGCAACGAATGGCTCACCCTCGGCCAGCTTCTAGCCCTCAGTGACCTTCCACACACGCGCCGCGCCAGCTTATGTTATCAGGCACGGGTGTCAGACTTGTCGACGATGCGCTGAGACGCCGGAAGGACGAGGCCTCGTCCCCATTGGCTGGCCCGCTCCAAATTATGGGGCCACGAGCAATGTCTCATGCCATCCCTTTTCCGGCACTGTCCAAGAGTCATCCCAGAGAAGCAATGTGCAATTGCTTCACTTCGGCTGAGCTGTGCTTGAGATACGTGCCAGAAGGGCCACGTACTGGCTACCCTTCTGGCACGGCCGTTGCCCCGTGATCATGGACGACGACACCGGCCAAGGGCGACGTCAGTTGGCTTTCTCAGGGCCCAGCACTCCAAAAGTTAAATATACATATACATGTCCCAGTTATCGGCCCACTGTCACAAGTACTGCCACTTCTGTTGCACCCTTACCATACACCTTTTGACTTTGCAAGTCTCAGACATAGTCTTACTTTTACTAAAGTCCCACGCTTCTTACTTTTACCCTTCCCCATAACTACCCCGACCCGTCCACAACCAATTCCCAACCTCCTGCCTCCCAATTCAAACACAATGGCTCCCACTATCATGCACAAGAAGCCGAAACAGGTTGGAGAGTACGACCCGCGGGACGGTGGTCGTAAGTAACTTGCTCTGCCTTATTCAACTTGCACACACGCTGACTGGACTGCCCACAACAGGCAAGCCGCTGCCGCAATCGGACAAATGAAGGAGAGGCTGCGCCTTGACTGACCAATCACCCGTCCCCAATTTACGACGCTGGCGCCCCCATCTCGCGCCCTGGACCGCAGCAACCATCTCACCGAAATGTGCTATTTTGCAATGTTGCAGTGCAACAACTTTCGCAATCTCGCAGTCTCGCCATCGCCTTGCGCATTCTCAACACTCGTTGTTTCGGCCCCCATCCGCTGCGCTCGCTGCTTCCTGGATGCGCCTGTGCCTAATTTCCCACCCCCCCCCCGAGGCGCAGCCGGACGTCGACTGCATCTGGTGAATGCTCGACGGGCTGTGTTGAGTGGTCGGTGAGCGGCATTGGAGTCATCGAAACCACGTCCAGGGCAATTCGAAGGACCTTCTCTCGCTACTTATCGAACCGCCGCCAGATGCTGAAGTTGGCTGGGACGCCTTGAAGTCTGCCCCTTGTGGCTCGTTTGCGGCTGTGCATCAGCTGCTTCACCAACTTCACCACCCCACTAGGCAACGAACCACCCTCCACAGTCCCCCGACCCCACCCAACAACCTTCTGCCTGAATTGGCTGCCCTGGCCCCTAGTTGCAGTCTTCACCACTGTGGCATTGCTCCAAATAGCGGTCGACTAAAAGAGTCACCCTCCTCAGAGTCAGTGCCCTTAGCCGTCCAGAAGCACGCTAGAAAGCGGTGCAGCCTGGTTGCCGCCTTGTTCGTCAGGTACTACCCAATAAGCATTTCTATTTCGCCCATCATGGCGCAGTCAAGCATTCTTTTTGCGATGCTGGGTCGGATTGACATCGACTTTTCTGCGTCATAGCCTGAAAAAAGGCAATCATTGCCTGGTCCTGGAGGACTCAGCGCCTACGACAGGCCTCAGGATGGAACTTATATACAACCCAATGTCTCTTGGTAGTGAGACTTCCTCTCTTACTACACCAACACACCACACCATACACTCTTAATTCTGCCTGCATATCAATATCCAAGCCACCGCCTGTATCCTTCAGCCATAACCAGCAATCAAGACACCCACGCCGAAGAACAAATACCACCACCCGGCATCATGCAAACAAACAACAACCAAGAACTCAACCTCACCTACACCGACCCCCAGCCTCGCGACGGCGGAGCACCCAACCCAGGCGCCATGTTCAGCTTATCTACCATGGCCGGCGACGAAGCCCAGCCCCGTGATGGAGGCTAAGGGACATCGAGCCAGACTTCAGTACGTTCAACGCTTCACCTTTTACATTGAGCCCAACTAACATTACCCAGCTCATATCTCAATTGCTTCACTCAACTGATCGATCCGGCTATGTCCCATCATTAACTCGGATCAGCGTGCAGGACACCACCACCAACGACGCGCGCTATGTTTTCAGCTTCGGCACTGTATTATTACTACCACCATGTACCATCACGACCACTGTTCTTCTATTTGGCGATTCCGGCACCTACTTGGAAGCCGCCCTGTTACCACCATCTGTATCTGACCGTATTTTATTGGAGTTTGGGATTTCCTTATCTGCGGATGAGATGACTGTTTTCATACACTAGACATTTTGGAGCGTTTCCATTTTTGGGGATATGCATATGCGGCGTTTTCATGGGGCTGAGGGCAACCTTACAGCATTGTTGTCGCTTTGGCGATATTCGGCCAGAATAGATTGGCACGACATTGTAGCACTTTTCCATCTTGTATTAGAAACGATTGGCATCATAGAGCATAGAATCACTGGCGACGCGACTGAGCGCCCAGAAGAATCACAATCTTTCAAACCTCAAACACTCTTCATCTGCAGTGACTACAAACGATTACACTACTTTGGTAGTCTACACCTAATAACTAGAGCGAATGTATAGTCTACACAGCTGGTGGCCCCGCTCGACCCAGCGGTTCGGACTGTGTCTTGTGTATCCAAGAGAACTATGGATTGTCTCCGCACCCCACGCTGGAGCAAAGGAGGGCTTGGCGCATATAATGACATTACGCGCACCTGCATGCCTGCTCTTTGCCCCCATGCATGTCCGTACAGTATGTCACCCAACGTATCGCATCTCAAACCATAGTTGTTTCTCGGATTTTCCCATCAAACACTCAAGCTGCGTCTCTTGTCAGCCCCAAGTTTCCCAGCGCAACTCCTAAGATGCAGTTGACCCGCTATAGTGCTCGATCTGCGGACCCCGCTGCCCGAACTAAATCTTAGTCACAGAAACCCTAAAACAGAGTGACGCACGCGCACAACCTGGAGAATTTCACGGGTCATAGGACAAAGATGGTGCCCGACTCAAGCAGAATGAGGACTGCAGACGCAGCACGCCCAGGCGCGAGCGAGTAGCCGGCTGGTACAAATCAGGCTCGCGCTTGAAAGAGGATGATTTCCTCGAGCAGCAGCACCTTTCTTCCAGACTCTTGTCCCTTGCGCCAGGCTTGTTTGCAAAGGTCAAGAGCACGGTCAATATAGGCGGTGTTGGTGATTGCGATCGCGTCATCACTGGCGTCTTTGTTCAATCTCTCTAGCCTTCACAGATCGCATCCAAGTAGCAATCGCGTCAATTGCTACTACACTACCGTCCTCCCACGTAGCCTCTTCTGCACCAGTTTGTTCAAAATGGCTACTCGACCAGCCGATTATCAGCGCGTGGCCTCACACGGGCGCGGGGGTGCTGGTAAGTCCTTCTTGTTCATACAAGTCTTGGATCACAGTTCTGTAGCGCCCAGCTAGTAGACAGAGGAGCAATCAGTCTCGAAATGTTTCCTACCTCGTATGAAGCACACGGTCCATAGCTTACCGTTCCATCGGCGGCTCCACACGACCGGGCTTTAGAACCTGCACTGACGTGTATCAGGAAACATCGCGAAAGACGACCCGACCAATTATCCGAAGCCAGAAGATCTCGTCACGCCGACGCTCAAATGCGACACGTATACGACAGGTCGCGGCGGCACTGGAAACATGGCCCGCAACGACCCTCAACACCCTGAACTTGCGCGCGCGGCCCAGGACGTCGATAGTACACCACAGCCGGAGGTCCAGGGTCCCAAACACTATGGCCGAGGGGGTGCTGCGAATGTCATTGGCGAAGAGGCCAAGCGCAACAGTGAGGATGCCAAGCGCGAGGATCAGGGTGCTGGAAAGGGTCTGCTCGGTAAAGGCAAGGACCTTTTGAACAAGCTGGGCAAGAAGTAGGCTTCAACCATACTTGCCATGCCCAACAACCTCGCGCGACACTGTAAGTGGATCGCTTGTATCCACATGAGCTAGCCCGGGGCAGTTGAAACGGCTTTTGTTTCTTTACCTATTTTCATGATATCCCTAAGAGTTGCTACTCTATCGTAGGCAAATGGGAGTTGGTGGCATTTGCTATACTCGTCTGAAACTCTACCCTACTTAGAGCATGGCATTTATTGTATTTGCGCTATCTGTCAGAGTGTCGAGCAAGATCTTTTCGGTCCGGTTAGCTATAATGATATTAGCTTGCATCGTATGTTTGACGACCTACAAGCACTCTACCGGGACTCCCTCGACATCTTATCGATTATTCGTCGTGGCAACCACCTCTAGTTGCGTCGCATCGTTACTGTTGTATCATGATACCCGCGGGTCTTCGGACGTACTAGAGCGCGAACGCGGCTGAGTTACAACGCTCATCTTCTTTCAAGTATTGCTCTGCGCCTCGGCCTTGTCATGTTTCAGGCCTTAATTTTGTTTACAGACCATACTATTTTCCGATAGGACGAAACTAGAAACTATCATTTCAAGTCCGTTGTTCGGCAAGAGGCAAGCGCCATGCGCGGGGATTACCGACATCCACCACGGTGGGGCATAGCTTCACATCGACTCCAAGTCTTTGCTTTCGCAAAACCCATGTCCCGGTATCGCTGTTTGAATCATTTCCAGGGACGTATTTAGCCAAGAGTGGACTGAGCAGACGGGTTATAAATGCCGAGATCAGCAGGAAAGAGCCGTTAGAACGCTGCAACAATGGTACGAAGGATCCCACCAAATCGCGCTCACCTCCGCTACCCGATGGCTTGGTAAGCTATTCGCGCAGTTAGCCAGTCTTCGGCATCGTCGGGTTGGACCTTCCAATTTGATTTTGAGGATAATTTGGCAACATGCCGTGGCTGCTGCAGATCTACATGTAGTACCCGAACGCATGCCATACACGTGAGTATGACGTAAAACTACGGGCAACCGTCTCCGAGATTCTGAAAGGGAATAACGAGCAGAGACCAAGGAATCTGCAGATGCCGGGTATATATCAGGCTCAAAAGTAACCGCAGTACGCGAGTAGTTCGCATCAGGCCTGTAGGATCCCAGAGTTTTCCCACCCACCACACCATCGATCCATCCGTCGACTATGCGCTATACCGGCTCCAGAACACACTCCGTTATGCAGCTAGACAAGTGAGCCCAAACTCCGGTGAGTTGTGGCGAAACGGCTTAGCATGCGCTCTCGTCCGAAAGCGCAAGCCTTGTGATGTTTATGAAATCACATCACTTTACATGCGCGCACATGCGGGTGTGCTTCATGCTCATGCCACAATTACGCCTTGATCCACGACGTGGTCGGCATTCATTGGCCTGCGGAACCATCTCCAGCGTGAGAATCGGCGCTCCTCTCCTTTCAGCTAAGAAAACCCGACCAGCAAAGTAGGTGTGGATGGCCGTTTTGCGTATTAAGGTTGCGGAACGTCCCGCCGCTGGTGGCTCACTGGCTCTGCATAATTGCTCTCATTTCGAAATCTCCCCTTATTTCGTTCCAATTCATAGTTGAGGAGTGAGAAAAGAAAGCAATCACTCGTGGCATTCATCATGTCGACCACCACTACACAAACACACACAGATACCTGGGTTCACTACCATGATGGCGGTGTACCTGGCAGGAGACGGGTGCTCAAAGGCGCTGCTGCCAAAGAAACATTCACAGCACTTCCCAAAATCGACTTTCAACGAATATATTCGGACAACCTCGAGGACAGGAAAGAGCTAGCCAGGGAAGTGGGTGCTGCATGTCGAGACATTGGATTCTTCTACGCAGTAAACCACGGAGTGGACGATGCAGTATTGGAGGGCACCTTTGATGCTTTAAGGGAATACTTTGCCCTACCCACAGACATCAAGATGGAAACACATAACCAAAAGACGGAGAAGTTCAGAGGATACGAGGCTTTCCTAGAAGGCAAGCTGGATCCCAGCACACGAGGAGGTATGTCTCAACCCACTCAACAATATATACGACAATCTACTAACCATAGAGCTAGACCTCAAAGAAGGTTTCCTCATGGGCGAAGACTTTACTGACCCTGAGCAACTCTCCCTCCTCACATCGACGCCTCCACCTCACGTCCACACACCGCGCAACCAGTGGCCGACACACCCATCCGCCCTCTTCTTCCGCCCGGCAATCTACCGCTACTACCGCTCCATGTTCGAGTTCAGCAAGCGCATGCTACACATCTTCGCCCTTGCCCTCGACCTCCCCGAAACACACTTCGACAACATCTCCACACACCCCATGACAAACGTCCGCGCAGTCCATTACCCACCGCAAGAAAGCCAGTCGGATGTGGGCATCGGTGCGCACACAGACTTTTGCTGGTTCACACTCGTCTGCCAGAGCCGCACCACCTACCCGGCACTCGAGGTCCTGAATGCAAATGGCATCTGGGTCCCCGTGCACCCTGAGCCCAATACTTTTGTGGTGAATATCGCGGATTTCCTCAAGTTGGTTACGGGTGGTACGTGGCAGAGTACTGTGCATCGGGTGCGGAATATCGGTGGGGAAGAGAGGTACAGTATGCCCTTCTTCTTCAGCCCGAATGAGGATGCGAGGGTGGCTGTTTTGGAGCATCTGCGGCAGGAGGGTAAGCGGTATGAAGAGTTTGGCGTGGGCGAGTACTTTCAAAAGAGGTTGGACATTGATCGGACGACGCATTTGGAGGAAGATGAGGAGAAGATGTAGTAAGGTTGAGCAAGACTGTAATAGATCAATAACAAATAAAAATGTGTCGAATTTTACAACAAGACATGATGGCCCATGATGCTACTCCGTCATATATCACCATTCCTCCTCTTGGCCGCCTCAAGCGCCATACGCATCCTCTCCTCCTTCTCACTAACCCCTCCCGTCTTCTCTTGCACCGAATCTCCACCCCCATTCTTCTCACCACCCTTCCCCATCTTCATCTGTATCAACTCCCCAATCTCCACCTCATCACTTTCCAAATCCTCCATCTTCCTCTCAAACTCCTCCGCCGTCTTTCTTTCATTGTCGACTCGATCCATCTGCAGCTTAAGTATGCGCTCTGCATTCATACCCTCATATTTCAACTGCGCAACCTCAGCATCGATAATGACATTGTTGAGCTTAACTTTCAACGCGTTGAAGAGGGAAAGAAGGTCTTTCGATGACGCTTTCAGGGCCTTGATGGTAGCTTGCGCGCGGAACAAGACCGCTGCATCACTTGTGCTATCAGCCATCTCCCTGAGATGCGTGACAATGGAGACAGTGTCTTGTTGATCCGCGCTCACTGCCTCAACGACGGCATCTTCCGCGGTATCGATGAGCTTGATCATACGAGCAGTTTTATCGTGCTTGGCTTTTAGCACAGCCTGCTCCTCCGCATCTTGGTATCGCTTCTCCATAATCTTCATCTTGCTGATGTTACCTGCAACGTAAAGAGGCTGTATTTCCGTCTTCTTGTGACGCTTGTCACGATTTGCGATGAGCTGTGCGACACTTTCATGCCTCTTCTCCACTTGCTCATGCAAATCTTTTAGGAGTTCAAGACAATCCGTAGTGCTTGGAACGTAGTCGCTTTGTAGACTCTTGAGCCCAGACGCCGAAGTCTGGAGTTGGTATTCCACTTGACGATACAAGTCCATGAGTGCAAGGATCTCTTGCTGGAGTTCGGAATACATTGGGTCAAATACAGAAGTCACATAACTCTCGTATTCGTCCTTGTCCTCTTGTGCCTTCAACTCTGCTTCCTTCTGCTTGAACTCGTCTTCTAGCTCGTTCATCTCTGCATATGAGATCTCGTTACTATTGAACAAGTCCTCGTTGTTTTCCTCGTTCTCTTCCTCACGTTTGCGGCGTGCGTCATCTTTTCCCCGACGGATGCGAGATGCCGAGGCTTCCCAGGACTTTGTGACTGCGTCAATGTCGTTTGTCTTTGAACCGACACTAACAAGCTTAGTTCTGAGGTCCTGCAATTGTTCGCATGGGATATCTCGAGTGGTATTGCTGGGTAGCAGCGCATCCAAGATCTCGTTTGGACTGAGCTTGGAAGGATAAACAGCGGAAAGTGGGCGTCTTGCGCTAAAAGTCAGTGGCGCAGGTACAGGAACACTAGTCTCACGACTAGAAGGTCTACTGATAGGCTTTTGCGTGTGTGGTTGATTCGCACCAAAGAAAATCTCATCTTGACCCTTGCTGCTGCTACGGCCAGATGGCGAAGCTGCGCTCGGAACAGCAGAAATTGGCATTCTATGTCCATGTCCCAGTGCAACAGGTGAGGCTGACGTGCTTGCAGATGGCACATAAGCCTTGTATTTCGGCGGCGACCATTCTTCCGGATGAGATTGGACTGGGGTCTTGTTGGTGTCATCGTCCACTGAGCTCGTCGGGGTCAAGATCGTGGTTGATTGCACAGAAGGAGGCGCGGAGGGGTGCACAAGTGTGGCTTCGGCGCGTGTAAGTGTGTTTCTTTGCATCAAAATAGGTCGCCCACCCGGACTGTATTGATAGTCATCCTCGTCCTCGTCAGCTGAATCCTGTGGTACCTGTACGTTCAGATGCGGTTTTCCTGTAGAATCGTTAGAAGCTCCTCGGGAGCGCGTGGACTGATGTTGCTGTTGTGATGCCTCTGGGTCTATTGTAGGTGATTGAGGTGGGACGTCGAAGTAGTCAATTCCCCGTATCTCCGATTCAGCTTTCATGAAAGCCTTGAATATCTTGATCTTCTCCTCAACTTGTGGTTCGCTTGCCTCTCCACGAAGCATAGCAACATATCTCTCCAGCGAGCCAACATACCATGGGTCAAGATCCGGAATGAGGTCAGCAATGTGGGGATTGTGTCTCTTCTCGCCTTTCGCATCAACTTCGCGTCGCAGTTCGACGATGGTTTCGTCTCGCTCTTTGATGTTCTGCTCTTTCCCTTCCACATCTCTTTCAATCTCTCAAGTGTTACACCATTCTCCTTGGCCGAGGCTTCAGAGTTGGCACTAGCTTGGTCCGCAGCAATCCTCATTGTCTCAATTTGTTCACGTAAAACATCCATCTCGCTTGATGTATGCTTCCTCGAAGCCTCAGTTTCAGAGTCAAGCTTTTGTTTATCAGCTTTGAATATCTCCATTTCAATTTTGGAGTGCTCTCTCTCCTGCTGTAATTCTGCCTGTAGCTGTTTAATGACATCATCTTTGGCATTGAGATCTGCGGTATGATCTTGACTAGTGTATCTTGTGGCGTTTCGATCGATGCTCTCTGGAACAGGATGTTGACCGCCTTGTGTAGGCCTGGGAGTTGTTCTCAAGGGCGCGACAATCGCATCTTCGACGACACAGCCCTCTTGTGTAACTTGTGGAGTAGTCGGCACAGGATTTGCATTCCATTCATTCGATGCTAACGGAACGAAATATGTCGCTGGACTTGGCCAATCATGCATAGGAGGAGGTGAGGGAACATGAGCCGGTAGTTCAAAACCAGTCGGCTGGACCGCTTCGTCCTTCTTGTCCTTGACACCGAAAAGGGCCTCATCGTTAACTTCTTCACTTTGGCCCAGATGTTCCCAGTCTGAAGGAGCTCCAGCAGCTAAAACACTAAACTTGGACTTATCATCCCGAGGTGCAGATGGCATAGGAAGGCTAGGCGAGGCGGGCTTAGGAGAGGATACTCGGTTCTCTGCGCGTTGAGCATGCAGATTAGCTAGAGCGACGGAACTTATAGAGTCATTGCGTCTTGAGCCAGGCTCATAGCCAGATGCAGTACTAATACTGGCGCGATTAGATATTGGCGACACAGGCTGACTTTGTGGAATTGAATGATGAGGAAAGTCTGGCGCAGAGACGTTTGACTGGGCAGTATCAGTTCGATTTAGTGAAGTACGCGCTGGAATCTCTTCGTTAGAGACATTTGAATGCTGCTGTCCGTGGAATGAACCCTGCGACAAAGCTCCTGTCTGCCAAGCTGTCTGCTGAGATTCGAGTGACGACTGTACATTTTGTTGGGCAAGGGTAGCATCAGGTTGCGGTGGGGACTGCCAATGACTTTGAGAGTGAGGATATTGCGTAGGTTGCTGTATCGGTTGGTCGTATGTAGTCTGATTGTAAGCAGTAGGTATTGGTGGCTGCCCTTGCTGTGCTGAGAACTGCACCTGTGGAGTATACTGGAACTGTTCTTGCGCTCCATACTGAGCTTGGTTATGTTGGAGTTGGGGTTGAGGCTTTCCTGGGTGCTGAACAGGCCGTGGTGGAAGAGGTGGTGGTTGGTGAGACTGATGTATAGATTGTGTGCCCTGATATCCCTGTGTGTAGAAACTCGGATCGGTAGATTGGCCGACAGCGCCCTGTGGCGGCGCGTGATGTGCCTGCTGCCATGCAGAGTTTGGCGGTGGGACGACCCATGTGCTGCCTGATCCTGTGTTCGTGTTTGATATCCCGTATGATTGTACATCCGGTCCAGACTGAAAAGGTGGTGTATATGTCGATTGCTGTTCGTTCGGGGTGGTGGCTATGGAGGCCTGCTGAGGCGCACCTGATGCGTATGACCCTGGTAGATTTGCACCATAAATGGAGCTGGGCCGCCCTCCTGGGACAGAGTTATATTGCGAGCCTCCCGGTGTAGCTGAAGGCGGGGGTGGTATCCCTTGCACAGAGTACCCCCCTGCGTGATGCCCAAACCCTGCATTCTGTTGCTGTTCCTGGGGCCAATTCTGGGTGTTCATATAATTTTGCTGCTGCTTCTCGGCTTCCCGTTGGACTGCCGCTGCGAAGCCATAGGGTTTCGGTGGAGGTGGAGGAGGTTGATCCTGTTGCGGAGGATATGATGGGTGCTGTGCCCCAGGCATCGTCCCATATGTTCCTGGATTATAACCTCCTGTCACATTTTGCTGTGAATGGTTCCATGGATTCGATGTGTGAGTCGGCGTTGGCGCAGCCCATTGGCTGTGCACTTGGGGTGCAGCAGACTGGTATCCTTGGTGTGCTTTACACTCATGTCAGCGCCCTACTCTATGGTTGCATTTATCATCCCAAGGTGTGGGCATACCTCCGTATCCAGGTGGTGGCGGCGGAATCGGTGGAAGGGGTGCTTGTTGTTCTGTGAAGCTCGCTGTGCTTTCTGGACGCTGGTAGCCCAGTACTTGCCCATAGTTCTGCATGGTAACGGCTTCCTCTGCGCGCTTGGAGTCACTATTACTATCCAACACCCCCGATTCCTAACAAAAGACGAGTGGCAGATTGGCTTGGCTGGAAGCTCGTGTTTGAGCTGCGACGTGGTGGCTGCGTGTATTAATAGGTACGGTCTCGCTAGAAGCCTAACACTCAGGTGCACAAGGGAGGCTTGGAACTGGTCACAGAAGTGGTAGAGGGGTATTAAATGCTATTGATGTGTGAAGTAATTACAACTAAGTAGGAGGTGAGTACACTATGCTTCGTGGCTGTCCGGCGCGAGGCTGAGTGATGGAGTAGAAGCGCGCAGAAACCACAGCCACGCGACCCGGATGCGCATCTGCTCCCCACTTGGCCGTTCCGAACGTGACTCGGAAACAAGCCGATGACAGAGCCACCTGCTGCTGCACAACGTCATTCACGAAAATATATGCTACACAGTCAGATTTCTGTAGCATTATACATTAGGCGTAACACTAATCCGCCACCAAGGAAGACCTATCGATGACCCAGCGGAGAGACGGCGTTAATACCCATGACCCGCAGTGATACCTAGCGACGCCTAGTGCGCCTGGTCCCGTCTCTGTTTCGCGATATGATTAAGGACATAGTCTACGTCTTCTGCAATCGCATTCACAGTTTCCTTCTCCTGGATACTTTTCGGCGCTATGCGTGTAATGCCACCAGCTGTACTCAATGTCATCTATAACATATCAGCCCGAGTTTTGCATGAAGCTCCTGAGAACCTACCATATCCCAACGATGATAGCCATCTTTAACAGTGTCTGTTTGCTGTGTCGTGTTGTCACCGAACGAGGGCTTTGTCGATGATGCGAGCAGCCGCTCTAGCGATACGTATTTGCCCTCTGTCAATTTCTTACCCTCACGCGATTTCTGTGTGACATTTGGTTGAATTCCATGACGCTCAATGCTTTGCGGAAAATGATAACACAAAGAAGATCCTGATGTCCTCACGTGGCTTTTGGCCTTCACGATATCGACGTCGGCGAAGGAGGCATAGTCCACTGGAAGTTGGACCGTGATTGACTGCGAGAGCTCGGAAGAGCTTTTTTCATGATAGGTTTGTGTAGTGATGACTAGTAGATGAAATACACGGTGCTGTAGCAGGTCGCATCCAGCAATTTTCGGCATCGTGTGGACCATCTGGGAGACTAGCCCACGTTAGCAAAAACGCCGTGCCATGACTTGATACAAATAGCGATCGTCCATATTTCCTTTTGAAAAAATACTATACACTTCAACCCTGCTGTTCGCCGTATGTTTGCGATCCTGTACACTCATGAAGTGGGTATGGTATAAGCCAGAGGCATGTTGCTTTGCAAGGTCGCGTAAGCAGGCTCGTTCCTTGGTTCAGAAACCCCAAAGAGAATATTAATCTTAGAAAAGTATCAGACTTACTAAACATCTCTACGCTGTGGATCGCTTCTCGGTAGTTTGATTCACTCAAAGCTTTCGCCAAGTCGTCTTTGCCCCATGCTAAGAGTTCTACAGCATCGAGGGCACTCGGTGTATAGAGAGCTTCGTTGCGGCTATGATCTCTGGCTAGCAGTTCACCCAATTCGGAAAACTTGACGTGGGCATCGCTATGATATGATGTTCTTACTGCCCAGTTGGCTCCATTTACTATTTTGATGCGCTTCTCGACCGAGATTGGGACCGCAACCTCACTGCCCCCTGTGTCTTCCAGCGAGGGCATCATCACATGCCCACTTTTGGGACTCCAGGTACCACAAGCTTTGAAGTCTTCATCGAAGTTGGTCTTTTGTACTTCGGCGAAGAGGCTGTTGAAGAACTCAACCAGGCTTACAGTATGCTCGGACACCGCATTGCCGTAGGATGGATGGTGGGGCAGCTCAGATTTCTTGAGATGGTTCAGTTCAAGGTATTGGCGTGCTGGAGATTGGCCCGCGGAGGTGGTAGCACCAGAATCTGTCATGGCAGATGTCTGGGCAGCGGAGCGGGGGTCTTGGAATACGTGGCGGACTGCGACAAGTAACTGAAGCCGAGATCCAGCAGTCGTCTTGCGCGCACAAGATCTAGACTGTGGCGATAGAGGTGACCATGTGATGCCAGTGGCACTCGTGGCGTCTACCAACATATCATATTAGCATCATGCCACTTAGAGTGTCCTTATGCGTACCGACTCAAGCAAGCCCCCCCAATTACTAATGGGTCAACGCTGTGGCAGCTGACACGAATTGAGAAAATGGTGCGAGTGTTGTGGCTCAGCCGCTAATCGATATGACCTGGTAACGTCTAGAACACGATGGGGAATGAAGACTAGCGTGTGTGACCACGAAAAATACTGCGTGCTATGTGGAGGCGATGTAAAGATGCCAAGCAGACAGTTGATGCAGGTAGGTGGTACAGGTGAAGTCGCGACAAGTGAGACGGGAGATCGTCATAGTAGCGGAAGTTGCGACTGTGATTGATTGGCTCGGTGCTTAATCGTGCCACGCATGATATGAGATGCCACGGAATTAGGACCACCGAACTACTACGATGTATCTGAATCCTTCTACCACTACTGTACAATCTATACGATGAAAAGTATTAGCATGATCGCCCAGGCCTTACTACGTGATCCTGATTGTTTGGCAAGGCAACTAGCGCGGAGTACGTGCGTACTGATCGAGGGTAGTTGTAGCTGAGTTGGCGATCAAGAAAATTGTCCGTAAGTTCTGTTCGTGCCCACGTGTATAGAATGTACTAGACAAGGATACATGCAGCGCCGAGTCAGCTCACTTATTCAATATGGCCCAAGCAAATAACCCTCCTAGGCCGTAGTACCCCAAGTTTCAACAAGTCGGTGCGAAAATCTTTCCGTAGCGTCGTCGGCATATCAAAGAAAGTGCTCATGGCTAAACACTTGATTAGTCTCGAGTCAGGCTATACCACTATCTTCTGCTCGAGAGAACGTAAAGGATGCCGTCCAATGCCGGTCTCATGCCGAACTCCCACCATCCTACAAGCTTCCAATGCCGCTTCGCTAACTAACACAGTGCCGCGCATACCAAAGAAGCTCCGCGGAAGTTCCTCTGATCGGAAGCGCACATCCACCACAGCAAGACCCTGGTTCTCGGCACAACGTCCCGACATGTGCCTAGGATTTCACCATGTTGGACTGCAGCATCGAATCGATATGCCGACGGATGGGACAACAGCATCTTACCACAGTAAAAAGATGTGCAGGCTAATGCTCCATGAGGTAGAACATTGGAACAAACGCGTGTTCAATTGGACCACGCAACTCGCATGGCCACAGTACCTCCGCGGAGGGCAAGGGTGTTAAGATCGACACCAAACGCGAATGCAGGAAAAACCCGACAAACAGGGTTCGAGAAGCACGTTGTTAGGGCCCTGGCGGTCCCCGAAACTTCTAGCGGGTTTATGTGTGTGTGTGTGTGTGTGTGTGTGTGTGTGTGTGGTGCTTGTGTAACACATTGCAGCTGTCTGTGGATCCTCCTTTTGTTTCGTTTGGCCTGCATAGACGATCGATGATACAACAACAGTAAAGACCGGCTCGGGATAAGATACCGACTATAAATACTTCCCTCTGTACAGATGGAGTAAAAAGAGTGCATATCACGTGTCATAATAGTGCTGAACCCTAGTGAGCGGATCCCTGATCGGCGTATGCACCTAAATCTTCGATGTTGGCTTTCTCGGTAAAATATGATCTGATTTCTCATCAAAAGGCGGCAAACATGGACAAGTGTACAATCTCGATATTCCGATCTGGATAAAGCATGCTCGGGGGAAAGTCCCGAAAGTGTCCGCCTTGCCGTCCTGCAGACGCGAAGCTAGCCATCAGGTACGTTCTATTGGAAGTTATTGCACTCGCCTTGCGCATACATCGTGATGGCCTCGACAGTAGCAGGAAATGCCGATTTTACTTTTGTGTCAGTGTTTGTTGGTGGTTAATGGCCGGGCCCAGACCACGGAGAGCTGACCTTTTCCATCACGAAACATGGTGAGATATGTACAGCCCTAGAAGCGAGAAAGTCTAGATTTCCTATATACATCCTGCGCGTGCTCTAGCAGCTGATTGTAGCCTTCTCATGTATACTGGTGGCGTGTTCTGTCGGAGCTAAAACTCCTTTGACGCTCACATGGGCAAGCAATGCGACATCCCTCTACCCGTGCATATGATCTCTCCATCTAGAACGGCTCGTGGGCCCAAATGCAACTCTTCAATCTGCCATATGCAGCTCCCTCCATGTAATCACTTGGTGTCTGGAAAGCAAATTTGTTGCGTGTGGGTGGGTATCATCCTGAAATATCAAATAATATAGGAAAATGTAAAGCGTCTCCACCGGCGATTGCCTGATCGGTATGCAATGAACCATACGAATCCTGGTGTTACTGATATTGCGCCAAAATACGGTTTTTGATAACGCCCCGCACGTGCCGTGTGCTGATTCAAGCGATGGAAATCGCCCGTAATATATATGTATTGTAAACAATGGTGTAAATCCAGAAAGTTAAGGCGAAACTGCGGTCTCCATCGCATCGTCATCTACTACTCGTGACGCCAATTCCCCTGCTCTTACTAGGACTGCAAGTGGACCCTGCGTCCGATAATCATGGGCAAGGTGTGGAAAATGTGAAGGCTGCATAGACTGAACAGGTCGATCTAACGGCGAGGGCGATGGTCCTATGCTAGGCACGGGTTGTGGAAGCATGCGCATTGTCTTACTTGGATCTGTGGGTAAAGTCTGCTCTGGATAACAGGACGTGGGCAATCCTTGGCCACTATGACCACTCTCGGATGATAATGTTGTGTCTTCATGGCTGAGACGAGGTAGGCGCGTAGGATCTCGCGTGGTCCTGCGAGAATGCATTTCGGCGGGTGACTGGTAGTGCGCCGAGTACGGATACGAGGGTGATGGTGTAGATACTGGTTGATGATATGGATTGGCGTCGAAGGGGATCCTCGGGTCTCGTATAGGGTTGGGTGCAGATGGCTCAAAGATACCTTCTCTTTGCAGAGGAGCTGGCCTTGGGGACGCAGAAGCTGGAGAGAACTGCTCGCCCGAGCGGGGGGAGTTGAAGCCTGAAAGCGGACGGTTGATGGGTGATGTCGGTTTCGAAGCATAGAGCGGACCAGGTGGAAGACGCGAAGGGCCGGTGGATTGACTGGAATCCGGCTTCTGTTGTCCTGATGCATAAGCGTCTGGCTGGGTTGAACTTAGTCTCCTATTTACTGATCGATCGTTTTGTTCATAACTGCCAGCTCGTGTTGAGGTGCTGGTCTCAGTATCCAGTTTCGAACGTTTGCCTTCTGAGACGGTTAATGGTCTGCGTTTCGAGTTACTGGCAGTGGGGTACAGACCTTTGGTCGGTACCGAATGCTTCGCTTTGAAGTCTTCCAAATACTTTTGATAGGCTTCGAAGTGTGGAGTCTTTTTGTACTCTGCCAACTCAGCATAGTATTTCTCCTTTGCACCGTTGGCTTGTCGTTCACAGCCCTCACGTTCCTCAGCAGGCAACACCTGCCATTTCTCGCCAACGACTTTGGCGATCTCTGTAAAGGAAAGATCTTGGCCCTTTAGCGACTCTCTAACCTCTGCAAAGCATTAGCCATGATCATAGTAAGCTAAGAAGGTACATACGGTTTGAAAATATGACATAAGCTGAAGGAGGACGCTCTGGAGCATGCTCGTCGGGCTGTACCAAGTTAGAAAAGCGAGACCATGTGGGAAAGCTGGGTAAGCAAACTGACCTTTGGATGTCGTCGATACTTTCTCTTGGCACCAGTTCCACTAGGAGGTGGTTGAGTAGAATCGGGCGGCTTGGTCTTGCTCTCAGGACCTGAGTCGTCACTTCGATAAGACCCGGCAGTGCTTCCGGCTCGTGCGAGATTGATAGGAAGAGGCCTGTCGGAAGACTGTCCGCGCGACTCGGCGATGGCCCTTTGAAGTTTCTAAAGGAGCTTTAGTCATTAGTGACGATTGATGGCAGTGAAGCAGACGTACCCTTCGGTGGCCAAGCTTGACGTTGAGATGACTTCTATGGAGTTGTAAGCAAGGGTCCACTTGTATGCACGTGGGGTGGGGATGATAGCTTACAGGTCTGATTCTGTTATGTCGAGAACAGTATCCCAAGTGTCAAAGCCTTCGGCCGCGAGTACTTGGTAGTATTGGGACAGTCCCAATCGCGCGAGACGGTCTCTCAGGTCGCTCATGTAGGAAGGCGTTGGCGCGGCCGCGTTATTGTCGTGGTGTAGCGACCGACTCTGGGAAGGCGATGACCAGAGAAGGTCGGATATGGGTGCAATTATGAGAAGACTAGTGGCAATGGTTGCAGATGGGGCGTAAGTGATGATAGTCGGGTATTGCGGGACTAGTGTACAGGGATGGAAAAGGAAATGGTTGACGGCGGCTCGGGCTACGCGATTGGTGCGGCAAGGCGACAGTGGCGGGTCGTGTCGTATCGAGAAACCAGGTAGGGTCAAAGTGTTGCAAGGCGCAGAAGCGCAGAGAAGAACAAGTGAAGGAGTCGTCAACTGCTAACAGGCATGCCTAAGTGGTGGCGCGTGACGTTGGGTTTGGGGAAGGTGGGTCCCGGACCGATGCAGCAGAAATCTGTAATTATGCTGTTATGGCGCCAGGACTCGTCCCGGCTACTATTGAGATGAGGGGAGCGGACGCAGCCTAGTATAGACACGACCAGGACAGCGGCGACGAGAGTCAGTAGCGCGGGCTCATTTGGCGCGACAGAGCGGCGTTGCGACGCGACGAAGAACAGCCGCAAAGGGCCCAGATTGCGGTGAGAGCAGGTAGCTCAGGACGCAGACGTTGCAGGCCCTGGACGTCGGGACAAGGCTAGTAGCAGACAGGACTCGGCGCAATCATTGGAGGCGACTGGCGCGGAGTAAGAGCTTGTATAGTTTTATGGGTGGGGGATTGGCTAGGTCAAAAGGGGCGTGTGTGGTGTGGTGGTGCTGGTGTTGGTGCTGGGGGGAACATGGCGAGGGCAAGCAGGAGAGGAGAAAATTGGAATGGAAAGATGCAGAAGTGAGCCAGAGCCAGAGCCAGAGCCAGAGCCGGTGCCAGTGTGCAGCGATACGCACCGCCTGCGATCAGAGCAGGCGATCGGCGGGCAGCAGGCGGGCTTGACAGCACCAGCGCGGACTGCGGACAAGGGAGAGACAGGGAGCTGCACGCACCACACGTCTGCACGGGGAGCTTGCGGTTTGCATCTGCTTCTGCGCATATCAGGAATCTCTCCGTGGTTACGACGCGGACCGCTGGGCTCCGAGCTGACGAGCGCGAGTGACGCTGCGAAGTTTACACAACAATCTCAAACACAGGCAGCATCGACGAAACGCCGGTACCTACAGTAGGGCCGGTTGGCTGCGCCTCAGCGTCCTTTGATGGAATTGTTGCCGCCGCCTATGACGTCAAGCTGAGCGCGGGTGGCCGTCATGTTGGAGCCATTTCTGGCAGCCGTACGCAGCGAATTTAGTCCGACAGGCCGAGCCAGAGCCTGACTGTGAAAAGGCGTGAGAGGGGAACAGGCAGCGCAACTCTGGCGGCTCGATCCTCGATGCGCCGCAGCAGCCCGTGGCTGGGGGGGTTCGTGTAGGAGCAGTAAACCCCAGAAGCAAATGGCCAAAACGGGCAGCATCGGCGATGGGGATGGCATGCGGAACTCGACACACGATGCTTTTGGGTCCCGTTTGCCCCTAGGTGCATATCACTCGTCGGCTTGAGTAGTCAGAGCTAATCATGGGCTGCAGTGATTAATGATCAACGCGCTGGCGGCAACCAGGGGCGGGGAGGGACTCTGGGCAAACATTTCCGCCATGCAACGGTCATGGAATCCTGCCAGGTGCTAGGCCCGTCAGGTTTGGCATAAAATCGCGCACGGACACGTCGGCAACATCCGGCCGCCGGCCACCGGCGGAGCGGCGGAATCACGCCCACCCGTCGTCATTGGTAGGGCTGGCCAACGACGTGGACGACTGCGAAATGCGACTTTTTGCATCTGGGACCGTCTTTCGGGTTTGGAACTACCATGGTGTCATGGCTTTGGCCTTCGTCATATAGCAGCCGCTTCATCTGCACCCGCGCTGCCACTGCCACTGCCACTGCTACTGTCATTGTCATTGTCATTGCCATTGCCATTGCGCGGCCTTGCGGAGTATGAACCGCCCTGTGCGTGTTGGCTGCCCTTCTGCCACCCCGCGCGTCATCGGGCACGCTGCAAATCTACTCCAGCGTGTGCATCGGTCGTACCAGCCTGATCACCAGTGGTGCCTTGCAGCTGAAGCACTAGTCACGCCACCAAATTCGACGAGTCCTGCCGTGGCCGTATGCAACAGAGAGGAAGAAGGATGCAGATGCTTTCTGATTGAGCCCTCCATGCGGGCCACGTGCGCCCACTAAGTGTACCACACGATATCTATCCAGGCATACCACCCTGGCCCTCGTACAAAGGTCCCCCATGCTTTATCGTGACATTTCCATAGCACACAATCTCGGTCTAGACACACTAGAACTAACCGGTACATTTATCCGCACGCTGTCATCGCCGCCGTTGTCTGCAGTCACGCAACCTTCCGCAGAAGAGCCGTTTGGAAACATGGCTGCGACTGCAGTCTGACATTGGACTATGCAACCTTAATTCCCTCAACGTCGCCCGGTCCTACTCGTCCTCCAGTACTGTCGTGCCATCTCCTCCTGGAACCATCTACGAATGTTAGCAACCCACCACCCCTCAGCATGCACCTGTCTTACCATGCAAATGTTGTTTCCGTTGAGAAGAATCTTGGGCAATTTTATGTTGCCTTCGGCCGGGTCACTGCCGTCCGCGTTAGTTACAAAATCCATGTTTATAGCAATCAAAGGCTGCCTGTACATTTCAGTCACATCCTCCAGGACCATGTCTATGTCGCGTTAGAACAGTCAAAAGACTTGGGCAGTGTCTACTACTCACTGACGTAGTCATCAAAACCAACCAACTTGCCCGTGAACTCTGGCTCCAGTTAGCTTGGTACTGGAATGCGAGCAAATCAACCTGCCTTTTCCGCCATTCATAATTACCCATATCTGCGAGCCCACGCATTTGTCGATGAGCTCTGCCCCAGTTAGTCATGGACGTGCCGTCTCGCAAGCGTCACTTACCTAGCGGGAGCAAGTTTTCAATCGACATGTTAATATTGGTCTTTCGTGAGCGAGCTATGTAGGTACAGGCTGGAGATGTCTTATAGAGGTGTTGCGTCTGAAGTGCACGTAGGGTCAAGGTGGTGATTGGGTGGGATACCTTGGCGTTCGCTCATGTTCATCGTTCAAAGTGGGCAACGCACTAGCCGACTTTCGCGAACAGGGTTGGGCATTCTCATTCACTTCCCAGGCAACACAAGCGCTGCCCACCAAAACGCCTGCATTGCGCTATCCCAAACATCGGTGCCTAGCAGGAGCACTATCATGGAGTGTTATGCTCTCCAAAAGACGCGCCTCTCTGCTGAGCGCGTCGGCCGTGTCGCGACGTGTTTGCGATGAAGTAGCCACCTCCAACAATCTGCGACCTTTAGACCATCATATACAGAGGTGCGGACAAAACACTATATTCACACTCCTTCTGTGTACTAAATGATTCCAGTGATTCCAAATCCCCCCCTTCAACCCCACCTATTGCTTCAAAAGTAATGCTCGCCACCCCGCCACGCACTACACCTACACCTTCTCCCGCTTCGACTTGCCGATGGATGCGCACACGGCCAATTGCTCCAAGAAACAGTACCTGTAAAAGACTATATACAGCCTCTGCTTCCACCTCACAATATTCGACTGGCTGCTCTACTCCAAGAACCGCCCTCTCCATGGCCGAAGACAACAGTCGAATACGGCAGACGTCGGCCGCACTACACGTCAAACACCCCTGGAATACCATGGCTCAGAGAGCTGATGGCTTGCAGCGAGTTGGATTGTGGAACCCAGCCCAAGGATTGCGTTTTGCGACCACGGCGGCCATAGAGAAACAGCGACCAGACCCGCCTCCTGGAGATGCGAAGTCCATGCCCCAGCACGAGGCTGAAGCGCCCGAGATACTCGAAACTGAGATTCATACTGTATACACTGGTAGTGGGACTACCTATGACGTGCAAGCCAGCGCCGGAGACGATACCCATTCAGCGGCAAGCCATGCGACACAGAGCAATGAGTCTTCACAAGATATAGAAACCGACAGTGTCGCACTTGGAGAAGAGGTTGAACAAGAGCCTGCTGCTCAAGATGTCGAAGAAGATGCAGATGATTACATACCGCTTGCTTACCAGATTCCCGAAGACAAACTGCGCGCTGCAATGCTAGCCGCCCCCAATACCCGAGCCAGTTTTTGGAGTGCGAAGCTGTATGAAGGGCCGGATGGGGAGCAGCTTCAGACACACTATTGCAAGACGTTCGACGTTGCTGAAAGGGTTGCCCAGTACTTCCTGCAAGAGAAGGTTGTGGGCTTTGATATTGAGTGGAAGCCGCGTGGTAATCCATGCTCAATCAAGCAAAATGTTTCGCTAGTTCAGCTTGCATGCGAGAACCGTATCGCCCTCTTCCACTTGGCGCTGTTTCCTGGTAAGAAGGTCGAAAAGCTGATGCCACCTAGCCTCAAGGCTGTTCTAGAATCGCCGAACATTTACAAGGTAGGCGTAGCTGTCAAAGGTGACTTCACCCGCTTAGAGAAGTATCTTGGAATCCAACCTCAGGGCGTCTTCGAGCTGAGCCGCTTACACAATCTGGTTGAGTGGCACGACGTGGACCCTAGTAAGATCAGCAAAAAGCTCGTAGGCCTTGCTGCACAGGTGCACCAACACCTTCAACTGCCCTTATACAAAGGGGAGCAATTAGACGACGACCCAGAAGGGACGGCTAGTGTTCGCGAGAGCGATTGGTCTCTCCCTTTGAGTTTGGAACAGATACACTACGCAGCTGCTGATGCATATGCGGGCTATCGCCTCTATTACATGCTTGAATGGAAAAGGACAAGGTTAAGACCGACTCCTCCGCCCATACCGCTTTGCGACTATGACAACAAGCCTGACCCCAATAAAGTCAAGATACCTCGCAAGAAGACCAAGGCGACTACTAAGTCTGAAGACGTGAAAACTGCTCAGGAATCGTCAGTCGATGCTGCGAGAGAAGAGCAAGAGGGTGAGGGGAAAGGCGAAGGCTATGAAACGGCATCAGAAGAGCTCATCGATAGCCATCAACTGGAGGGTACGTCATCTTCAGCATCATCCAAAGAAGTCCAAGAAACGGGGGAGTCTTACTTCGGTGCGGAATACACCGAGAGTGAAAGGGTGAGGGGTATAGGATCTGACATGGAAATTTCTTCATCAAGCAAGCGAATCGGTCGGGTGAAGCTTTCCATGCTCACAAGCACTGATCCGGAATACCCTACGCTGCCACAGGCATCGCAAGAGGAAGCTACGGAGTCAATGTCAACCGAAGCCTTCAAGGATGATGCCAGTAAAGACGGAAATGGCGATGTTTCATTCCGCTCACAGCTGTCAGACTCTTTCGACGCTAGCGAAGATGCATACGATGACCCGGAGCTTGAGGAGGCGCTTGGGTACATGACCCTCGATGACAGCGGGAAGTTGACAGAAGATGCCAAGAGCTCGGCGGCAGAGCATACTAAGCCACCGGAGAGCAACGCCAACGTGGCTGAGATGTCGGACTTGAAGCCCATTTCTCTCGAGCTTCAAGAAGTCGCTGAAACAATGCGGCTGGTACCCGCATCTGTCGCCGGCTTGGCAGAAGAGCCATGTCAAGTGTCGGAATATGACACGGCAACCACATGGGCCCAAGGATATGTTCGAAGTACAATTCCATCCCCTAGCTCGACGGCACCTTCTCGAATCCGCGCCACAGTGCCACATCTCCGCGCCTACCACTTATGGCATCATCAAAAGCGATCGATTGAAGACATCAGACGGGTGTTGAGAGATCCACCCATGTCAAGCACTACGGTCACAAATTATATCTTGCAGGCAGTCGTGTTGGAGAAGCTGGAATACGAAGAAAAATCGCTCAAAGGCGTGATGCTGATGATGTCATCAGGTATGAGAAAGGGACGATGGAGGGGACTGGCAGAGGAAGTTGGTGCCCTGGAATGATGATCGTGTTGGGCATTCGGCAGTCTGTCAGCAACGGTGGGGCTTTCTCTCCACTTCTGAATGTTGTCAAAGTAGAAAGAATATGTGAATGTTATATACCCATAATGTGCATGTGCGATGCTCATGTCGCTGCTCGTATCTATGGACAACAAGGTGTGGACAGGCCTCATCACAATCTTACGCGTCGCTGAATTTGTCATTGTGTTGGTGCATGTCACTCGACGACTTATGCCAGGGCTATACCTGATGATTTAAGTACGGGGAAAGACCGAGGGCGCGTCGACGTGTCGCCCGTGTCGTCGTGGTCCGATCGGATGCTGTCCAGGTGTCCACCTACCGAGGAAGCAGGAAGCCGTCTAGGCTCAGATGGATCATGAGTGCTGCTGCAGCTTTTGTGCGCCAGTACCAATCAGGCAGTAGGCCTTCCCCACGCGTGCCAACCGCGAAACTGCGGTGAGGGTCCGCCCATCCCTGCAGGAGGGAGGCCTAGAGGGACCCCTCCAAATTATCAACGGTACCTGCAACTTGTATCGGCTCTCGAGAACGACAACGACAAAAAAGGCACGGTTTACTTTCTACACATATACAATGGCCGCTACTCTTGCTGTTTACCCTCCGCTCGACCAGCGCCCGGTCAAGAACACCGTCATCCTCTTCGATGTCGACGATACGCTCACAAAGCCCCGCCAGGTGCATACTTGCTTACATGCGCTCTACTGCACCCATTGCTGACTCGACTCCAGCTTGTTAAGCCCGAGATGTTGCAACTGCTATCGGAGCTCCGTCACAAATGTGCCATTGGCTTCGTGGGCGGGTCCAACCTCGCAAAGCAGCAGGAGCAGCTCGGTGGACCCGTTGACGTTACCTCGTTGTTTGACTTTTGCTTTGCCGAGAATGGCCTCACTGCAGTCCGCATGGGCGAGGTACTTGCCAGCCAGAGCTTCATCGCCTGGATTGGTGAAGAAAAGTACAAGTCGCTTACTAAGTGGTATGTGTTGTGTACACCTCAGACTTCGTATACTTAGACTCGCAGGATCCTTCACTACATCGCCGACCTCGACATACCCATCAAGCGCGGTACCTTTATCGAATTCCGTAATGGCATGATCAACGTCTCCCCTATCGGCCGTAACGCGTCCACAGAAGAGCGAAACGAATACCAAAAGTACGATCTTGAGCACAAGGTCAGGGAAACCATGGTCGCAAAGCTCAAGGAGGCTTTCCCCGACTATGGCCTCACCTACTCGATTGGCGGCCAAATATCCTTCGACGTCTTCCCCATTGGCTGGGACAAGACCTACTGCTTGCGACACCTTGAGGCGGAGAGCAAGAACGGGCTAGTCTACGACAAGATTCACTTCTTCGGCGACAAGGCTTATGAGGGTGGCAACGACTGGGAGATCTACAGCGATAAGCGGACTATCGGACACAAGGTCAAGAACCCGGAGGATACCTATGCACAGCTCCAGGAATTGATGAAGACCTTGTAGTGGGAAAATACTCACGGCAATAAAAAGCAAGATGAATTACGAATACCAATGGGCAGTATGACTTTCCTTGATTCCGACACGAAATGAGTCCATTCTGTCATTTGCATCCGACAAGTAGACTTGTCAACGTGGTTGAGTACTCATCTTTTCTCGGCCCTAGAACTGCCGGACGACATTATTGACCACATAGCAAATTGCCCAGTATGGATTTAGGAAGAACAATAGCGGATACAGATGCCTAGACACCTAGGTATGGTCATTACCACCTCTCTGAATCGATAGGGAACGCGCGCATCCAGCTTGTCTATCAGCCTACTTGTACTGCAACCGTCTACGTATGAGCTTCACCGTTTACCAAGGCCAAGCCTCGCTACCTGCTGACATACATTTGCCAATCGCATTTTCAATCTATATGTACTTTTCGAAATCCACTTCATGAAAATCGATGGGTTTACCCCTATGATCCCGGTACTACTCCCGTGCGGGGAACAGACCTTATTAAGCACTTGCGCACGCCCCGTTGTGATATAGCCAATGACTACCTCGCCAGTTACTATTGTGGTACCTACCAAGTCGTTTTCGGGTAATGCTACTGTTCCGGATAAAAAGGAAGTGCCGCTTGGCAATTGTCCCTACCAAGCACGAATATGAGCATGTACAACGACCGAGAGAGGTTGGTGTATATAAGCTGAAAACAGATCCTCTTTCAGATCGCCACGAGTCGTTCAACTTCACCAAATATGAAATTATATGCCCTTTCTTTGGCCCTTGTGTCGTCCATACCACTAGTATTCGCCTCGTCCCTGAGTTCGAAGGCTTCCTGTAACCTATACACGAATTCGACGAGCTCAAACAATACTTACGATTATATTGTTACAGGCTCCGGTCCCGGTGGCGGAACAATCGCTGTAAACCTCGCTCGTGCTGGCCATTCCGTCCTCCTGATCGAAGCCGGATCCAACGCCGTTTCCGACATCCGCACACAGGTCCTTTCCCTGAACGATTTTGCCAACACAAATGTGTCTTGGCATTTCTTCGTGAAGCATAGTGATGATGAAGAAAGAACGAAGAGATACAACCTGTTAGTTTGGAGGCTGCAGAATGGTGATTGTAAGTGGTTTGTTTCGATGCTGCGACGTAAGATATATGTTAACAAATGTAAGACTGGATCGGAAGAGATCCGAGCCTTGAAGGGCACGTGGGTGCGCAAAGGCTTGGGGTGTTCTACCCTAGGGGTGCCACGGTGGGAGGGAGTGCCATCATAAATGCCGCGGTAACATTCCTACCCAGTGATAGTGATTGGGACTTCTTCGACAAAGGTGTTGGAGATGGCCTTTGGAGGTAAGTCACTCAAATCTGGAAACAGGAGTGGGTTGCTGACGGCTATCATCAGTGGGGAGCTGATCCGCAAATACTTTGAGCAAATTGAGCACAACAATTACCTTGAACCTGGCACTCCGGGCCATGGTTTCACTGGCTGGTTGCAGGTCAACATTGCTGATCGTGCTACCCAGGCCGCTTCCATTCTCCGATTCAAGGTATTCGAGGCGGCTTTGAAGGTTATTGGGAAGGATCCTAGCAAGGTTCTGGATTATCTTACCGCAGATCCGAACTATCTGGATACAAAGCGCGACGTAACAGAGGGGCTATGGGCTCTCCCCTATCATGTAACAACAAAGTGGAAGCGTTTCAGTCCGCGTGATCGGATACTCGAGATGCTGAACGAGACCAAAGCAGATAGAACACAGAAGTACCCGTTACATCTCCAGGCTGAGTCATTGGCTACAAAAGTGCTATTCGATAGTTGCGGTGGTAACGTTGGGAAGCCGAAAGCAATTGGCGTCGAGTATCTGCAAGGCAAATCAGTATACAAGGCAGATCCGCGCCAAAGCTCCTCAACCATAGGTACCCTACACCAAGCCTTCGCACGAAAAGAAGTCATCGTCTCAGGTGGTACTTTCAACTCGCCTCAAATACTCCAACTCTCTGGTATCGGACCTAAAGCCCTCCTCGAGAAGTACAACATTCCCATAGTAGCCGACTCTCCGGGTGTAGGCCGCAATCTTCAAGACAACTACGAAATACCCGTCTACGGCAGCGCCCAAGTAAACTTCACCGCGCCAGTCGACCCCAACGAACCGACATGCACATTTGGTGCGCCTGGTGATCCATGTCTTGAGCTTTGGTACAAAGGCGAAGGACCATATTCTCGCGGCGCTAGCAACTCGAATGCCTTCCTTATCAAGACGCCAAACGCAGTTGAAGGCGAAAGAGACGTCCTCCTGTTCGGCGGAACCGGCTATTCATTCACAGGCTTCGCACCAAACACAAAGCAGAACCAAACAACATTTTCCCCGGCCACCTTCTCCTGGTCAACAGTAAAAATGCACCCCCAGAATACTGCTGGTTACGTAGAGATACAATCAGCCGATCCCCGGGATACACCTGAGATAAACCTGAACTACTTTGCTACGGGAGGAGATACGGATATGCAGGCTATTCTCGACACCGTTGCCTTTGTGCGTAAAGGCTTCAACACGACTGAAGCGCCTGTCGGACCTGTTACCTCCGTCTCTCCTCCCTGTCCTCCTTCAGATATTCTCGACACAGGATACTGTAGTGATGTTTCTATTGATCGGGACTGGATCCAGGACCAAGCGTTTGGTCATCATCCCACAAGCACTAACAAAGTCGGGCCAGACTCTGATCCTTTAGCCGTCTTGGATACGCGCCTGAGGGTCAAGGGCGTGAGTGGATTGAGGGTCGTGGATGCTAGTGCATTTCCGAGATGTCCGGGGGCTTTTCCAGCAGTGGCTACGTTTTTGTTGAGCCAGAGGGCGACGGATTTGGTGCTGGAGGATGTGGAACTGTGGTAGGGTGATTAACAACCTAAGGACTGGCATAGCGAGATTACTGTATCACTAGGGGTTACATAGTCCAAAAACATATACACCGGTCTCTGCAGGAAACCGCTATTCTGCGATTGCATTGCAATCTACACTGTTGTTGATGATGGTAGATTATGAAAGCTTTCTCTGCGACCTTGGATTACAATGACCCGAACACGACACGACCGAGAAATAGCTCAAGTAAACCAAATTAAAAGACATGGAACGATAGGTACAAGAATAATATGCCCTCAACGTAGAAAAAAATTAAGCATAAATTTAAACCTCACATTAGTGCGCCCCCACCTCCCGAGCTGCGAAGTTCCTCCCTCTCTGCCTTGAACCCCACCAAACCCGCGCCAAAAAAGAATTCCTCGCAAACACCCCTCCAAATCCGCAAACCACCGCGACAGCGACGCACGCCCTCCCTTAGCGCCACATATACTCAAACACTATCCCATTCTATAAAGACCCCCAGCACGAAAAGAAAAAACGTACCTACGAGAAAAGCGAAGACGTGCCTGCAAAAATGAAACTCCTAACCCTCAACTTCCTCACCTGCGCCATCAAAACCTGCAAAACGAACCCAGCGTCTTTCCCCCTGCACCCCCGCGATGCGGAGCTGGAAATCGTAGAAGCAGATGTCAACTTACCTTTTTTGAAGAACATACTACCGAGACTCATGTGGGAGCAATTGCGGGCGATATGTATGGAGGTACGTCAACTTTTGATTTCAAAGGAGCAGAAGAGAAGAGGGAAAGCGCATTCTTGGAGCGCGCGATATACGAAAAAAAATGGGGAAACAGTGTAACAACTGCCTAGAACATCTCAGCTAACAAATAATGTTCAATAGCTCGGCCTCCCCAAACTCCCCGAAACACCACCTACACCCGCCGATCTCGTCGAGCCATCATCCGCTACGGCACTAGATACCCAAGATGCGTCGGCGCAAACAGACGAAGAACCTAGTCAGACGGCAAAAGACCTACATAGGATACTGCTTGAGACGTGTATACAAGAGGGTAAACTGGTTTGTGGGGCGTGTGAGCATGAGTATGCGGTCAAGGAGGGTGTAGCGAATTTCTTGCTGCCGGGGCATTTGGTATGATATGGATGGTCGACAGGTTCAAAAGCACGGGTACAGGCTGTGGAATATGGCATATGGTGTGACTGAGAGAAGGTTTGTGAAAGCATGCGAAGGGTGGGAGACATGAGGGCAATCAACAGAGCGAGATTTGGGCATTCAGTCTGGACATGGGAGGAAGAAGTCGTCCGCGATGAGACGACTGCGATATGATACCCTTTTTATGCGAAAACGACCGCATTATACAGAGGAACCTGGAGGGTCCTTGGGACCGCACAAAAACAAAAAGGCTTCGCGAGTTGGATATGGGGAGGGAAAGGGCAACGCGGTTAAAAGCTACACTTTTTACCCTAGTTAAGTTTGGTATCAAAGAGATATATATACGCCCGAGCCCCAGTATCGTCGCACTTGCAATGCGATTCAAAATTTCATCCTCACGATCCCAGCGCGCGATTAATCTGCACGCGCTTATCCTCACCACCAGACACAATACCCACAGCGCGATCCCACCGCACACTAAACACCTTTGTGCCCTCGCCATGGCTCTTTGAAGTATCACGTCCTTGTCTGTAGATTGTGTATACGCTTTCGCCCTGCATACCCTCTCCAATCTGACTTCCTGTGCTAACGTTCCTAAGATCCCAGATCTGAACCGTACCATCGTGCGAAGCAGACGCCAGGTTGTGTTCCGAAGATGGATCGGTATCCAAGGAGACGACACCGTTCTTGTGCCCGCGGAGTGTCATGACACTGATTTGCGTCGCCGACGCGCGGGGATCAATCAGCGTAATGTGTCGTGCTGACGTGCCTGTTGCGAGCAGGTTCCGCGAGGGAATAGCGCATAGAGAGAGGAGGGAGTGACCGGTTGTTCGCGTGTCGACGCAAGTTGAGGTAGGGAGATCCCACGTCTTGAGCGTGTGGTCGTGCGATGCAGAGTAGGCGACGGTAGCATCATCCGGCTTGAAAATGACGCTGGATACTGGCGAGCTGTGACCGGTAAATGTCGCCAATGCTCCGCGCGCGGGAACAGTACGATCTGGTTTCGAGAGCTTTTGCCGCTTGTTCGAGGCAGCCGAGGAGCTTGGGAGGAGGTTTGCTGGCGCGACCGGGTTCTCTTTGGCGTTGCTTGAGAAGAGCGAAATGGTGGTATCAGAGGATGCAGAGAGGATACGGTTGGAAGGGGCGTGTACTGCGACATCTTCTACACCCCAGCGGTGGTTGACGAGTTCCAGAGCAGTTATAATGGTTCTCGCATCGTCGTCGTACTTGTAAACGCGAACATTGTTGTCCAGACCCGCAGCTACCATCTTTTTCTCAGATAACCACTTGGCCGTCTTTAGGCTGGTTATCCGGCCTCCATTGTTGGGAGCCTCCGAAGTCGCCAGTACGTCGCCAGAAGTGTTCCATACCCTGACCAGGCCGTCGTAACTTGCGCTCAATATTCTTTCCTGCCCACTTTGTACCCCTGACAAAACATCTACCGCAGACACCCAATCGTCATGCTCGAAGCTAGTAACGTTCAGCGGTGGCACCAACGCTCTTGTGTACTCCACATCTAGCGTCGATTCAGCATTGATGCCGTTCTTGGTGAGGAACTCGTCGATAGTCGTTCGTAGAAATTCGCCATTGATAAGTATGTCGAATGGTATACGAGTTTCATCGCCGCGGTGCAGCAGCTCGTTTACGAGTGTCGAGAGCTTGTGGCGCGTCAGAGCTGGCGCACTGTGTTAGTATTGGCACCGAGTGTAGGCCGCGGAGGTCTTTGCAGTTTTCGATATTGAACATTCACAACATGTCGCGCTACAGTGTTGCGACACCAAATATCTGAGTTCGTGCTTGCAATCGTCCGCGACGCAGGCCTTGCGACACTTCTCTACTTACACGTCTGTACAAGCAGAACATTCGGCTCCTCCGAAATCTGCAAACTCGAATCGCGCGTGGTCAAGCGGATCTGCACCTTGGTCTCTGCTGCGTCGACGTCCATGTTGTTGATATTTGTGGGTTTGGTATACAAGTGTTGAAGGCGACGATGAAGCTATGGAAATTTTGGGATCTCGAACTTTTTTCCAATGAGGTTAGCGCGGGGAGAGGCCAGCCAGTCGGCGTTCGCAAACCTCCGGTAGCCTAGGATGTCTTTCTTATTGCAGCACTCCCGTAGCGTATGGAATGGTTGTTAGACCTTTTAAATAGATGAGGACTCAGAAAGAATATCTCCATCTTTTGAATGTCACCAAACTCAAAAACGACGAAGCCATAGAATAAGGCGGCCCAAGGGCAGCTTGTAGTTCAGCTGCTGCTTAATATTCCTACCATTGTTCACTGCATACTTGTGCTCCTAATCTGAGCGATAGCTTTCCTCCGGTGCTCGCTGGGCGCAAACAGAGCCTCTATCAGACCGATCACTTCCTCCGCTTCCATCTCCAACTTCAGCTCACCATCAGTCCAGAAGTACTTGATATCTGCGAGACTACTATCCAGAATCTCGCTAAGATACTGGAATTTGAACCAGTTGGGCGTATATATACCGGCCATATCTCTTACTTCTCCATTACCATCTTCGGTTTGGAAGTGTTGGGCTAGTGTAGCGAGCGAAACGCAATACCCGTGTAGTTTCCGGGATTCATCTTCTGCGATGTCCGCCTTATCCTCTACGTCGTTGATAAATTTCATAAGAGCGGCCGAAACTAGCGAGCCAAGCGACTGGAGCAAGGCACTGTGGGAAAGAACCTTTTGCCACTGTCGCTTCACATCGCCTATCCTGTCAATTGTTGTGGCAATGGCGTCGTCGCATACCGTAGCAAAAGGAACATTGGTACAGTCTTGAAACCCTTGTGCATCTTCTAGATGGTCCCTTATGATCTGCCGTTGCGATTCCATCTCCCGTCCGTAGGCGCGTTTGCCAAATCCATCGATAGACTTGATGTCAGCCTCGAGCAGCGGCTTTAGACGCTTTGAAGGTTGTAGATGTTGCAGCAAGGTAGAGTTTTTGTCCTTATCACTCTGTTCTTGTAGAAAGAGTCGTAATCGATCTGAAAGTCGCTGGCAGTCGTTGTAGATGAGCATATTACTCGCAATGTCCTTGGAATAATGCATAACAGCGGTCGCTCGGTACATGGCAAGCAGAAGGCTGGGAATGACATAGAGGCCTCCACTTGCGGGTGAAATTGCTGACTTGACGAGGCCCGGCGAGTTTAAAGCCTCGACGTCTGCGATAACTTGTAGAATGATTTCCATGATCGCATCTGGGATGGCGGTGACTGTGTATGTTTCGCGCAGTGTAACCTCTTGGTCGGCCGACGGTTTTGTAGCGACCGACTTTTCCTTTGAAGACATTTGCGGTGCTGATTTCTGTGGGGAACTCGGACTCTCGACCGCTTTGGTATCAGCTTCATCGTCCCAGTCGGCACCCCAGTCGTCCCCATCCTCTGTGTCGACTGGCTTTTCCTTAACATCCTCCACGTTCGGTTCTTCAATCGTCACTTCAACCTCTTCACCCCATGCGCTCATGTCTTCTTCCTCAATACTCTCTTTCTCCTCCTTGGGTGTCTCGGCTTCTTCATCCCAGTCAGCACCCCAATCGTCCTCCTGATCGCCACCAGCATGAAGTGCGTCACCCTTCGAGATGACCTGCGTCTCGACTCTCTCCACAGTCTTCTTCTCCAGAACCTTCTTTAGGAACAGTGTTTGCACTCTGGAAATCGCGGCTTCTTTCTGTTTAGCTAACCATATTTCGGCAGATTTATCGACCCATTCTGAGAGGCGATGCTGGCCAGACCAGCCAAGCTCGTCAAGAGATTCGACAAGCCCCAGGACATATGAAAGCGATTCCTGGAACTGTGGTATGTCCTTTGTTGAAAGCGGTACGGCAGGCAAAAGCTGATTCGATACCAGGCGAGACGCGATGATCGGGACGACTTTGGACGAGAGCGGGACGGCAATACTAGGCGGTAGTCGCGTACTCAGATACTCCGCGATTAAATCAATGTCTTTCAGTGTAGACTCTATACTAGCCTGGCTCACCGAACCAGCACGTTTGATGTCATCCCCTTGAATATCGAAAGCAAACATAACCCGGTCGGCGCCCATGGAAAGGCGGGGGGAAATTATGATTCTGTCGAGATCGCGGCTCAGGCGGTTGACAAAGTTGTCAAGGAGGTCTAGCTTCGTAAGGGCTTCAACGGTTGTATTGATATCGATTGTAGCTTCCCGTTGGATGGATTGATGCAGCGAGATTTTGTGGTTAGTGTTGTCGACCGAGACCAGTCCATTCCATGAATCTGTCACAGTCTCTACAATTGCCTTCTTCAGCGTCTCCTCTTTGTTCTTCAGCACACCCACAACCCTGGTGGTTGTAAAAGGTCCGAGTCTCTTGAAGGCGCCATCTGCGTCTTCCAAGGTATTTATGGCATGTATGACATGACCGTTCACAGCGGCATTCTGAGCAGAGTCCAGCAAGGTTGAGATGTCTCTCAGCTGCTCCACAGCTTGTGACAAACTCTCATTGTAGGCAATCTCGGAATGCAGCAGGCTGACCTTGCTTGCGGCATCCTGGACACGTGCCGTAACTTCCGCGCCTGCCTTGGCTTGCTGTACAATCTCCTTTGCGGTATCTTGCGAGCGTTTGATGTCGTCCTGCAGCTTACGCGCTTGGGCGATCCAGCCATCGACGTCGGGTGCGGCTTCTCGCGAGAGCCTGCGCACTTCGTCCTGCAGGGACAATCAGCAACCCTCCAATTTGCTTGGTTGTTTTCGTACTTTTGTATCTTCTCGCGCCTTATGGACCACCTCTAGTAGCTTGGGGAGGGCGCTGGAGGGTACTGCAGCGGAGGCCACATCTTCGTCCTGGGGAGGCCTCTTGTATGCGACTGTTTGGAGCAGCGCATCACCTAGCTGCGCATCTGAAACTTGCGACGGCATTTGGGCTCATCGGACGATTGTCATGTCGGGTATCGAGAAAGGGTGTAGGTTGGAATGTAAAGCGAATCACTCGCAACGTTGCAGGTCCAACATTGAACATGCACGGACGCTCAAGCGACGTCAATCCAGATCTGCCCCGCCACAATGCCCCGCCACCATCAGTTTGAAGACAACCGTAGCAGAGAAGGGTCTAGGACAATCATCTCGCGTACTATTTGCGGTAGCGGCTTTCTTAGCGGTGTTCATAGTATTGTTCCCCGGACATAGCCGCTCCTTTGACATTTCCTGCGCACCTCCCACCCAGACCGGTTTTGTTACTTTTACCTCACTTCCTTAGCCTGTGAGTCGAAACCCGCTGCCCTGGATTCTCCCTGGCAACTGGATCCAGCTAATTTAGTAAGGATAGCATCGGCTCAGGGAAAGTTACATACACCTGCGACGTAAGCAACAAGCAAGGGTACTCTGGGCATTTCTTTGAGACATCACCCCAGCCATTCCAACTCAGCATCATGGGGTCTGTACAGCAAGAGTCGCATTTTAAGAAACTTCAACACTTCAAGGCAAACTACGCCGATGCGAGCTTCACTCAATATGAGTCTCAGCGAACAGGCCTTCGAATCGTAGTCGTCGACCGCAAGGGCCCCAAGGTTTACGGAAACTTTGCAGTAGCCACTGAGATCCACGATGATTCAGGTTCACGTGAGTATCAAGAAGCTGATTGAAAACTTCTTTACTTACAAACGATAGCGCATACCCTCGAGCACCTCTGCTTCATGGGTTCGCGCAAATACCCTTTCAAGGGCGTACTGGACAAGATTGCCACCCGATCATACTCAGACACTAACGCATGGACCGATGTTTCCGAGACTGTGTATACTCTTTCCACTGCTGGTTGGGAAGGCTTTGCACAGCTACTGCCAATCTACCTAGACCATCTTATCGTGCCTACACTTACAGATGCTGGTTGCTACACAGAGGTTCATCACGTCGATGGAAAGGGAGAGGACTCAGGGTAGGTCCCTTCAGACGTCGTTATACCATATGCTAACAGAAATAGGGTCGTCTACGCAGAGATGCAAGCAAGACAGAACCTGCAGGGCGACTTGATGGATCTTCAAATGCGTCGTCTTCTCTACCCTGAAGGCGATGGTTTCCGCATGGAGACTGGCGGCCTGATGGAAAACCTACGAGTTCTGACTGCAGAACGTATTCGACAGTTCCATCGAGACATGTACCAGCCCAAGAATCTACGAGTAATATTGATTGGTGAGGTCGACCATGCAAATCTACTAGAAATCATGGACAGGTTTGAAGATCAGATCATCGATAGAGTGCCCGCCTACGACGCACCGTTTAAGCGCCCTTGGGTAGAGTCAAAGCGCACTCCCCCTTTGAGCAAGACTATAGTGGACACCGTGGAGTTCCCAGAAGAAGATGAGTCAATGGGAGAGATTCAAATAGCATTCCTGGGCCCAGAAACCATCGACGACCTAGGCGAGACGGCCATCAACACGCTACTCAACTATCTCGCTGGTTCTTCTGTATCGGTCCTCGTAAACACCCTTGTCGAAAAGGAACACCTCGCAAGTATGGTCTACTACTGGTGCAAGGGTCACACTGACATGATCATCTGGTGGACGTTGTCTTCTGTAGAGACGGACAAGCTTGTGGATGCCGAGAAGCGTTTCTTCGAGATACTCAAAGAACATGCTTCCAAACCACTCGATATGAGTTACTTGAAGGACTGTCTTCACCGATTCAAGCGTCAAACACGATACATGTCGGAGATCGGTATGGATGAGTACAAAGACCCAATCATCAAAGACCATGTCTTTGGTGACCGAAACGGAGTTCATCTAAAAGATGCAATGGAAACTCTTGACGTCTTTGACACACTGGAAAAGTGGACCGAAGAGGAATGGCGAGCGTACCTGAACAAGTGGATGGTTGATGCCCATCATGTCTCCATTCTCGGAAAGCCTTCTAAAGCTCTTTCGGAAAAGATCAAGGAAGAGGAAGTCGCCCGTGTCAAGGCACAGCAGGAAAAGCTAGGTGAAGAGGGGCTGAAGAAACTGGCAGAGAAGCTCAAGGAAGCACAAGAAGAAAATGACAAGCCTATCCCAGAGGAAATTATTGCAGCTGTAAAGGTTCCAAGTACCGAGTCCATCCACTTCTTCCAGACTACAACAGCGCGGGCCGGACTGGCAAAGAAATTGGGCACATCAGAGAACAACGTCCAAAAGATAGTCGACAAGGATGCGAACGGTCTTCCCCTCTTCATTCATTTCGAACATATACCGACATCGTTCGTACACTTTGGTATGGTGTTAGGAACTGCTACGTTACCCACAGAGCTCAAGCCTTTGCTCGGTGTCTATCTTACCAATTTCTTTGCCACACCAATCGTAAAAGATGGCAAACGCATTGAGTTTGAGGAGGTCATAACCAAGCTCGAGCAGGATACCATCGAGTACTCCGTGGATCGCGGCAGCGACATTGGAAGTTCCGAGATGATATACATGCCTTTCGTCGCAGAAGCTGACAAGTTCCAGACGGTCGTCTTATGGTTGAGGACGATGCTCGTAGATTCAGTGTTCGATACCGGACGTATCATCTCAGCGGTCAAGAAGATGTTGGCAGACGTTCCAGACGAGAAGCGTGATGGAGACGCCATGGTGTTTGCAGTGGATCGCATGGTTCACTATGATGCTGCATCTGCCGTCCGCGCGACCGGCACGCTCGTCAAGGGCCGCTACCTAAAGCGAATTCTCAAGCTACTCAAGACGGAGCCTCAACAGGTTCTCGACAAACTTGAAGCTCTACGCAAGCATCTTCTGACCTTCTCCAATATGCGTATACTCGTCATCGCAGATTTGGAAACCCTTCCTAACCCAGTATCTACCTTCAAGCATCTCACGGACACTTTCAAGCCAGGCCCAGAGCCGACTATAAACCCAATCGACGATCGAAATCTTCTGCTCTCAGAAGCTGGTCGCAACCCGGGCGGCACACACTACATCATCCCCATGCCCATCGACTCTTCCTTTGCCGTCCTCACATCAAAGGGTCCAAAGGGCTACAGCCACCCCCAGCTCCCTGCCCTCATGGTCGCTCTCGCCTATCTCGACGCCGTCGAAGGCCCCATGTGGCAGTCAATCCGTGGCACCGGTCTCGCATACGGTAGCAACTTCGCCCGCGACCCCGAAACCGGACTTGTCAAATTCCGCATTGCAAAGTCCCCCAATATCTTCGGTGCTTATAACAAGGCCAAGGAAGTCGTCAAGGAATACGGCGACGGAACCCAGAAATTCGACAAGTTGGCGCTTGAAGGCGCCATCTCGACAATCGTGCGTGACTTTGTCGATGAACGCGCTACCGTCGTGGATGCGGCGAGGAGCTCCTTTGTCGATCTTGTTACGAGGGGCGTCGGAAAGGAGTGGCAAGAATGGGCCCTTAGGGAGGTGCGCAAAGTGACGGACGAGGACGTAAAGAACATACTGAATGACGTCGTGGCTCCGTTGTTTGTGCCCGAGAAGTCGGATTTGGTCATCACCTGTGGTGGTATCATGACTGATGTGAGTGTTTTTCTAATTAGTGAAGCTTAATTACAGAAATGGCTGACTTTGTTAACCTAGGGTCTCAAGAAAGACTTGGAAGACGCGGGCTTCAAGGTGCAGGTCAAGCAACTCGCCGACTTCCAAGACACATACGGTCTCGAAGGCGATGATGACGATGATGACGACGACGAAGACGATGAAGACATGTCTGAGAGCGAGGAAGACTGTGACAGCGAGAGCGAGTCTGAAATGAGAGAGTAAGCATCACCGACATGAAAGATAAAGTAGACGCCCAAGAATTCAATTAAAAAAAAGGGGGAGCAATCATAAATCTTCTGCCTCATATTCATACAACTATGCCACAAGCCTAGAACCCCCGAAGAAGTTAAAAAAGAAAGCTTGTTACAAGCGTCAACTAGGTCCATGTTGAAGTCAAGAACATGTTTTTTTACAATCAATCATCCCTTCATAAGAAGTTCAAAAGAAAAATACATACAAGGAAACCGAAAAGACGAGCCATAAAAGACGCCAGCAATGCCCATATTTCGATTGTTAGTGTCCCCCAACATGCAACGCCAGCCCTAAATCTCCCAATGCGGTTGAAGAGGAAGAGGAAGACAATAGACAAGTAAGTTTTGCTGCAACATTTCCGTTTTGAGAAGAAGATTGGGGAATCACATAAATAAGCCGAAGAGAGACAAAGAGAGACAATGTGTACCGAAAAGGTGAGAGAGTGGGAAAAAAGAGGAAGGAGAAGGGGGACACTAATGCTATTGTGGGTAGTAAAAAGGGCAGGGACAGGCAAGCTTTGTCGAGTGATGCGTCCGCAAAATGGAAGCAAAGATTCTCAGCAGCGGGGCGCTTACGCTATGCATCTTCCGGCAATATGCGAGCAAAATGTTTTTCCCAAATCCACCCCACGGTCTTTGTACCGTCGTCTTGGTTGCGAGCAAGCCAGAGCTCTCCCTTCATACCAATGACGTCGAAGATTTCTCCAGGAACGTAAACCAGATACGGTATACCGCCTTCACGACGATCGTGCGCAATGTTGAATTCGAAGAGACTGGCAGCCAAGAAAAGAACTTCTGGCTCATCAGTCTCAGCAGGCGTGCTGGGTAGGTCTTCCACGCTGCCACGGAGAGGCGAATCTGACATTGGTAACGCCGAATTGAAGACACCAGATGCGCGTGCAGAGCCAGGCAAGGAGGCCGGCTGAGACTGAGGCGCAGAAGTGGCGTGGCTGAGGGGTTGCATAGGCTGGAGAAAGGAAGGACCTAATTGAGGAGGGAAATCAAAGGCGTTAGCTGCGGATGGTGAGTGTTCAATGTCGACACTGCCGTCAAGACCCATGTAGTTGTGATTACTACGAGAAGGACCGGTATTGCGTCGTTCCCTGTGCATGATGGTGGCTTCGCTATTATCGGACGAAGGACTAAGCGCTCGTGCTTCACGTAGTGACGTGGGTCCTGGACCTGTGCGACCTGCTGCGTTGGGCGGGTAGAGAGTTGGATAAGCAGGCCCTGTGGGGGTCGAGCGGGGCGGATTATCAATGCTTCGGGGATGTGACCGTGGAGCATAACCACCGCTGTTACGATTACGTGAGTCCATAATTGACGCTTCACTGCCCACTGATTCGGTGCGGCGAGACGATGAGTTCCGGGACGAGCCGCCGCCATCGGACGATAGTGTTGGGACAGGGGATGTCATATTCGAGATGTCGATGAGGAGGTTCCGATTGATGATTCCAAGCTTGCTGGCAAGATCCTGCATCGGCTTATAGTCACAACTGAAGCGCTCAACGTACGATTCGAGATCGTAACGGAGCGAAGTTGTGTGTTGCGGTTCACTCTCTAGTAGCGGCAGGATCTTCTTTGAGCAGGTCTTGTACCAGTCCTTCTGGAGACACATAAATAGCGTCATAAGCGTGCGCATGAGGCCTTTCGTTCGTTCGTAGAGCAGAGGTAGCTCGTGCTTGAGTGTGTCGTTGATAGTGATGAACTTGTTGGCCGACTCTTCCAGATCCGGATCTACCTTTTCACTGCGGTCAATAGCCTGCTTGTGTTTGACGTAGTACAGCAGGTACTTCTTGCGCTGCTCTATAGTCTTCTGATAAGACACCCACATCTCCCAAAGATCACCAACGGGCTTTAGCACGCGGCTTCGGACAGCAGCTTTCTAGGCGGGTCTTAGCAACGTACCAACAACAGCATCTGCAAATACTTACGTGCTCTTCCAGGGCCTTGTTCTGTAGCTCAAAATGAGCCATTGCCCATTTTCGCCATGTGCTCTCAATCTCTGGATATACCGATGGCGCAACTTCGCAAACGGTAATGAACCCCAGAAATACAATGTTAAGCTGCAAATAATGCTCAGTGATCGCGTCAAGGTACTGTTCAAAGTCGCGAATGACGATCTGGAGTTGGAAAAAATGGCCGCCGAATTTTTGCTCCTTCGACTTGTAATCTTGGTCTTTAAAGGTCTTGTCCGCCTCGTCATATGCCTTGCTCTTATCCACCTTAGGGATGAAGGCCTTGACGAACGTCTTGCCCAGACCACCCTTCTTTTCCTTCTTGCCTTCGGAAGCAGCTGCGCGGAAGGTATCAGAACGTGCCTTGGCTTGGTTGATACGTTGACTCATTGCTCTCAGTTCTAGGTGGGCTTCCTTTATCTTGGGCAGATCCGGGTGTTCGGGGTCAGTAATCTCTACCAGAGATTGGAGAATCAGTGGGTACTTAAGCAACCGCTGGCAAGGTTTTAATAACAAAGAATCCAAATCCCATGCTTGGGTCATGTTTTCCACCTGCTCAAAGCAAGCGGTCACCCACCCCGACAGAGTCTCGTTACCATGGTTCTTCTTAATGTAAGCACTTGCATTATCCTGGTTGAGGAAATATGTTGTGTAGAGTCGTTCCATCTTCTCTTTGTTGTCCAAGAAGACTTGTCCAATTGTTGTCAAGCGATCGTTTTCCGGTGTGCAGTTTTCGAACTGATTTGCAGATTCCTCAGACGGTCTGCGCACACTCAAAGACGGTTCCTGGCTATCGGATGAATCTCGGTTCCACGGGCCGGTCGGGGGTGGTATCTCGTAGTTGACGATAGGCTTCGCGGCTTTTTTGAATGCTCGGAACAGAGATAATGAGAACTTTTCAAGCTCCTTGCAATTGCTGAACAACAGTCTCTTCTCCTTTTCGCTCATCAGATTCTGCGCAGTCGCCTCGAAGATGTTGTGGGCGATCATCATATCGATACAAAACTGATGTTCAGTTGTAAGTAGTTCTTCCAAGGTACGATACCGCTTGATCAGCGCTTGTTTGGCGGGATCAGGTTGACCGTTTGGACCCTCTTCACTTTCAGTTGGCATCTGGACAGATGTGTCGACGGGTTGCGGCGTGCCGTATCGATCTTCAAGGCTTTGCTCGTGAACTTGAATGACGGGGGTGCGTGATCGCGCAGGGTGCATCTCAAACTGGTCGTCGCTGAGTGTAGGTGGGAAAAGGTTCTGGGGAGTAGAAGCGTATGGGATACTGCGTGGGGCTACTCGTTCGTCCATGGACGGTTGAACTGGAGGTGGCGGCGGTGAATAATTGGGGCGCGGGGGTGCTTGTTGTACTGGTGAGTGCGACAGAGTGTGGTGGTGTAGGTCGAGGCCAAGCCCGCCGTTGGTCCACGCAAGTTGTGGTAATTCGAGGCCGTTCATCGAACTTGGCTTGTGTTCATCCGTTGAGCTTCGTGATAGTGCGAGGGCAGGGTCACCAGACGAACTACCGGAGTGTGATGCATCTTCTTGGATTGTTGTGGTTGTGGAACCTCCAGATTCTCTTGAGAAACGCCGCGAGGACGAAGGATAGATGATTGCCGTACCTCCGACGTCGATATCAGGTGAATCTTGCAACACGTTTATAGCTGAGCGCGGTATTGGTGGCGGTGTTCTACTAGGCTCGCGCTTCACATCATTGCTTGTTGAGCCATTGGCATCACTCAGTAGACGGGTGAGGTATGACTCAGTGGCCTCTTTTGATGCCCAATCCTTATGTTGCGCAATGACAGGCGATACCTGCTGTATCCTGTCTCTTGATACTGAAGCAAGCTCCGGAGAGATGACCGGTGACTGGTGGTACATGTTCAAGACGGAGTTCACAACACTGTAGGTCTCCGTGTTCAGATTTAGAGAGCCTAGCGTTCGATAAGGAGCAACGCTAGCAGAGTCGTCTGGGTATAGTGTGTCCCGCTTGGGATACGAATTTAGCAGGGGCTCATTTAGGTCGTAGCGCGATACGGGTGTATCTCTAGCATCATGTGTCTGATCGGACTTGTACTCATGTGACAAGGCCTGTAGACCCTGGTTAAAGCTTCTCGAGTTAGATTCCCATGGCTGTGGCGACTGCTCATCGCTAAGCATGATCGGTATTGATTCTCGTACACCCAACTCTGACTGTTCGATTTCCGACTGGTCAATTTCAGGTGACCGAGGCGCGTCTCTTTCAGGGGGGTGGAAGACGTTCGGTTGTAAAAGGGGATGTTCGGTGTCCTGGTGTACTATCGGCGGTGTAAGAACAAAGCTACCCGGGAGTCCAAGCACTGGCGACTCGTCGAACTGTGTAATGGCCGATGAGGGTTCCCCGGACGGCGGTGGAGCTAAGCTAGAGGTTTGCAGGCTCAGCCGCTGTTGGTCTGACATGTCTTCCAGCGCCTGGACCGGGGCCTGCTGCGTGTCGAAGCTACTCGCAAGAGGAAAGTATTCCTGCTGACCATGAGGGCCGGTGCTTCTGGACCGAGAACCTGGTGAGGGCTGCAGTGGTTGTCTTTCCCTCGAGTTGCGCAACCGGGGCGACGTGGGCGGAGGTGGGGCGGTTACAACAGCGGGTACGCTTGGTCCAGGTCTCGCTCCTAAGGGTGATTTCCCTCGTTCATGATATCCACGGTAAGCTAGCGCCGGGAGCGTTGATTGGTCTGCGCCACGCGAGAGAGGAGTTGCGCCGCCACCCAGGAACGGTCTGTCCATCCTGGTGGGCGAGTTCTTGTTGCTTCGATCCATTGCGCGTGTTGGCGTGTATTTGACGGACCGCGTCGACGAGTTGGAGTCGGAGCCTGCGCTCAGGCGTCGTGTGGCTACGGGAATCCGCGAGCGTGGGGTGTGTCGGTGGGACGAGGGTGCAGATGTGTGGTCGTGGTTTTGGGCGCGTAGTGCAGCCTGTCCATCGTCGGCGAAAGCTGAAGTCGCAGCACTAGCTGACCGACCATGATGAGGTGTCGACGGTAATGGGGCGTCTCCGTGACTGTTCTCGAACATGGGTATCAGAAACCTCGGCGACATGCATACTGACGCTCATCACTTCGCAAATAGCTGCCTTCCGCTCGACACTGACGTCCGACTCGGCGACGTGACTTTCTTTTTGGTGGGCGACATATGGTGGTCTATGCTGCTCCGGCTGCCATTCGTGCGGCGAGTGTTGCGAGGAGTGGCGGGCGCGGGCTGTGGGCGGTCTCGTGGTTTGAGGTTGTTGAACTTGTGGGGTCCATAAGAGGCTTCTTTGCTCGGACGCGCAACCGAGGCGGTGGAGGAAATAGACAAATTGACCCGGCGGGTGGGATCGTGTGCCCCCGCCCGGGTGGGATCTCTCGATCTGGAGCGCATGGCGGGAGAGCTGGAGGGCGAGCTGCCACCGGGCGAGCGTTCGAATCGCTCTGCAAGGGCCTTGACCTTGTTGGAGACGTGGGGAGGAGAGCGGGTGCTGGTGGGCGATGTCGATGCAGGCCCAGAGACCGAGCGCGGTGTCGCCTTGGGCGTGGTTCGCGTGCCGTTTGTCGTGGGTGGGCGAGAGCGCGTAGTGGCCATTTCTAGGCCTGGTTGCGGTGAGGGCGGGCGAGCGTCGTGGTCGGTCGAGGTGTAGGCCGCGTAGTAGTTCTCGGGCTCCGCTCCCAGGCCTTCGTCGGCGACATGATCCAACGACGTCGATTGCAACCAGCTCGAGACGGACAGGCCGGGGTTGTATGCATATTCATGCGCTTGATCAGAATCCATATCCCATAGCTGGCGAGCGCAGAGGCGCGGGAGCAAGGCAGCGCCAAACGTCGTGGGGAGAGGTCGTCCAATCTTCTCCAGCAACCAGGGTTGACAACTCACAGCTATCAGCTGCCGTGGGGCCAATCAGTGGCGACAATCTGTGGAACCCGGACTCTGGTCGATATACTCTGTTTCAGGCTGAAAAGCAAGCGGAGCAAGCGAAGCAAGCAGAGCTGGCGGAGAGGTGCCCGATACGGCTGGCTCTGATGGACGTTGGATACTGTGCATTTAAACTCGGTTCAGATGGAGCTAGCCTACGGGACAACCGTGCCGCTGTGAACGGGGGCTTCAGGAGACGAACAGCAAGCGTGCCTTCACGGCTGGTCGACGTAATGCTTCTGTCCGCAGTACCTATATTGTCCTCCCTGAACGTCTTGGCTCCGCAGTCGTGGCAGATGACGAAGACGGGCCCCTCTCACTCGCAAAAGCTTGAGCGCCCGACTCCTCGGTGCCATCCGTTCCTGACGAGATGAAGCACCTGGGCAGTGAGAAGCACCCGCTTCCCCAGCCTAGTAGCAAGCCTTTGACCCAATGGGAGTCGTTCACGCTAGCCTGCCCTGGGTCGACCTCGGGATCGCGGGATGCTACCACCAGGACGCCCTGGCTCGCGGGTCCTCGCTACCACGAGTGCCCTTTACCTAGTAGCGACACAATTGCATCATGGTCCAGCGCCGCAGACTGGAGTGAAACAGTGACAGAACCGCCATAGGGGGTCGAGGCGGGCAGTCGAGCATCACAACTTCCAGTCCAAGCGCGTCCTTGGCGTGCCTTCCCTCGCCCAACAACACCACCACCACCCACCCCTCCATCACACTATTCACGCCTATCAGTGTGTGCCGACATGAAGAGAAAGCGCAGCGACCATGCGAGTGTGGGCTCTCGCAAGCTGCCGAAACATGCCTCCGCCACACCTCCTAGTGCAACCCATCCAGTCTTGCAGCGCCTCTATCCCCAAGTCCTCACTCTGCGCTGCTATCTGCTGTCGCGCCTGCCGAAATCGTCAAAGAGCAGGCACCGGAAAATATCCCAGCTAGGCCGCGCACCCACCGCGCAAGACCCAACCCCTATACATCCCCTTGACACAGACCTCGCGGACTTGCTTGACTCAGCTCTGGTCGGTAGCCTAGCGGGTGCCGAGCCAGAGAAACAAGCGCAAGTCAATCAAGAACGTGACCAAGACATTGACGCTTTCACCCAACAGCGATCCCAAGGCACCCCGGGCGGCACCTACAAGCCCGGGCACCATAAGCAATCCGAGGTCGGTTGTGTTGTGCTTTGTCATGCACAAGAATGGTCGCTGATTACTTTCAGATTGTTAATTCTGTGATATACTGCTTGTTTAAACGCTCACCGGCTTACAAGCCCAATCATCTGCTCTGTCATGGCTTCCAAAAGACCGGAAACGCCCGTCGCGAGCAGGACGTGAATCATGATCCGTGTTCCTCTATCCCAGGCTTGCAGGAATGCCAAAGGAATAACTACATGCGGACTCTGAAAGAGCCGGTATGGTGTCGGTTGCACGCGTTAATAGGTGAAGGCGGAGACCGCATCATGAGGGACATGCTCTTAGACTGTTCCATATTCCTCCCTATCAAAGCCAACGCCGGTAACTACTACCAATTGTCTGGAGTTCCCATCTCGGATATCAAATCGGACTATTTGAAGAATAAAGGAGCTGAGAAAACTGACGTAGGCGCAGAAGCGACGACCAAGCCAATTAATCTCCATAGTGACAATAAGGCACCTGGTTCCATTACGTTTGTTCGTAGTCGCATGCTGTACGCAAAAGCGGCCCTCAATGCTAAAGGAGATGTCAGGTTTGGCATGCGCCATATTCGTTCGTTTCCCCTCATAAGTAGAACTACAACAACCTAACTCGCATGACAGATGTCCTAAACCGGTATTCTGATCAGAACGACAAACAACAAACCGTGCACATCATGCGCTATATTTTCCCCCGCCAGTTCGGCCTACATAATGTCTTCACGTCCAAGGTAGATTTCCGTGAGACTGCCATGCCCTTTAAAGATTATACACTGCGCGAGAAGGAAATCCACAGTACCATGTGTCGAGAATTGGGTAAAAATGCGACAAATCCCGAACACGTCGCAAGATGGAAGTTGCGAACGCCCAAGCGTCTCCGAGGCGACGTCATGACACTAGTTGAGAAACTTCGCGTTCTCAATCAGCGATGTTCGTACATGGAAATGCTCCGTCATTATTGTCCTATTGATGTACTTTCCAGCATGCCATCTAAAGATGAGCTTTACTGACTCAAACAGGGTGTAATGCTATCTCCAAAGCCGGAATGGAGAAAAGCTAGCATTCAGTCAAAAGCAGACTCACCCACAGTCACAGCGCCAGCCAAGTCCGATGGTAAGAACCCTCTTTCTGATGAGGATCGCACGGGCCAGCAAACATCTTTCACGGACATGGCGTCCCCCACAGCACATGTATCGGCATTTTGTCGTGCTGTCATATCCAAAGTCATACCCAAAGGCTTCTGGGGTGATGATCACAACCAGCGCGCTCTCATGTACTGGGTCGATCAGTTCGTAGACCTGCGAAGGTTCGAGTCGCTCACTCTACATCGGGTTACCCAAAAGATACATGTATGTCTTGTTTGCTAGTGAACATATCTCATACTGATAGAAGTTAGATCACTGCCATAGCCTGGCTTCAGCTGCCAAATCAGAACAGTGACTCCAAGCTTTCCAAGTCCGATATAGACAAACGGACGGAGGTGTTTATGGAGTTTGTATACTGGCTCTTCGACTCCTTCCTCGTCCCTCTGATCCGCACTAATTTCCATGTCACCGAATCTAATGTACACCGGAATAGACTTTTCTACTTCCGCCATGACGTCTGGCGAATGCTAACAGAACCTGCGTTGAGGACATTGCGCTTGAATATGTTTGAAGAAATGCCTACAGAAGACACGTTGAAATTACTATCGCTACGCCCGCTCGGCTTCAGCAGCATTCGCCTACTTCCGAAGAAGCAAGGTTTCCGGACGATCATGAATCTCAAGAAGAGACAGCAAGTGGTGCGATACGGCACCATGACACTTGGGCGAAGCATCAACTCGGTTATGACACCGGCTTTTAATGCAATCACATACGAAAAGGTCGGTACATGTAAATTTGACCTCTTCAATCTTCGACGCTAAGAAGCAGTAGTCATTACGGCCAGACCGGTTCGGCTGCTCGCTGTTTTCGGTTGGAGACATGTTCCCGAAACTACTATCATTCAAGGCTTCCCTGCGACAGCGGGGTCTCGGCGATACACGGCTTTACTTTGCCAAAGTCGACGTGCAGGCTTGCTTCGATACCATACCGCAATCACGCTTGTTGCGTATGATCGACAGTCTCATGTCTAATCAAGCATATTACACGGGCAAGCACGTGGAGATGTTTCCTCTAGGCCCTTTGCAGCGTCTCAATGGAGAACATGACATTCCAATGCCGCGCAAGAAATACGTCGCGCATAGCCGTGCAGCAACGGACATGAAACCTTTCGATGAGTTTGTGAAAGACAGGCTCGTTGGCGCAAAGGCGAATACGGTCTTTGTCAATACCAGCCTGCAGCAGTGTGAGACCAAGGATAACCTTATGCAGCTCTTGCGAGAACATGTGGAGCGAAACATTGTCAAGATTGGCAAGCGATTCTACCGCCAAAAGACCGGCATACCACAAGGCTCCGTCTTGTCGAGCATCTTGTGCAACTACTTCTACGCTGAACTAGAACGCGATGTTCTCGGGTTTGCACTTGGAGATGATTGCCTGCTACTTCGTCTGCTTGACGATTTTCTCTTGATCACCATCAATGAGGAACATGCCAAGCGATTTGTACATGTTATGCACAAGGGACATGCAGAATATGGAGTGGTAATAAAGCCGGAGAAGTCGCTGACAAACTTCGAGGTAACCACAGACGACGGTGTCCGAGTACCCAAAACTGGACCAGGTGAACGATTTCCATACTGCGGTATTAGCATCGATATGGCTACTCTGGAGGTCGGCAAGAAAACCGAGCGATCTACAAAGGCGGGTGAGTACCGTTGAGAATGGAATGAATCGATAGGCGGGAGAAACTGACAAGGGCAGCTGTTGAGGATTCATTGACGGTAGATCTGTCGAAGATACCCGGCCAAACTTTTCATCGTAAAGCCTTAAAGTGAGTTTGATCGCAAATGCTGTGTGCGGCATATCTCGCCAACCAATCGGACACTAGACAGTGTCAAGAAGGTCTGACGTTTTACTGACATTCAATAGCGCGTTTAAGATCCAGCTCAAGGCAATGTTAATCGATACATGCCTCAACAGCGTGGCTATGGTGCTAGCGAATTTGTACCAAAGCTTCTACGAAGCAGCGGTGAGGTGCCTTGAATACACGCACGCGCTATCCAAAGTGAGGACAACTTGCTCGAGTGTGCTTATCAGTAAGTTTGAGCTTTCCCCACGGCACACTCGAAGGATTCCACAGCATTGATAATAGATGCGGGGCTGTCCAGATGTTGGGAGCAATAAATGGATGATGCCCAGATAAAGCGGGTGCTGCATGGACGATCGATAAATCCTGCCGATTACACTACCGATGGTATGAATACTGACGCCATTGTAGAGACGGTAGACAATATTATTGCACTAGCTTATGTGATGCTCCAGCGACGGGCGCGCTTGCGTGGGAGCAGAGAGGCGAAGATTGCGCAAGGCGTTATCTCCCGCCGGCAGCTTCAGTGGTGAGTGTGCCTGGTGTGTGGGTGCACGCACGACCCCGAATTGACAGATCGACTCGTACTGGTACAGTGCGGAGGATGACAAGGCGGGGGGCTCGTATTCCCCTTGTTTCATTGCGATGCTAACCAGAGGGGACAGGCTGGCGTGCAAGGCCTTCCAGACGGTGTTTCAGCGCCGACAGACACAGCACCGCGCGCTTCTGGCCTGGCTTCAAACTGCTCTCTCGGCAGCGCGCGTCTCTAGCACCTCGGAGAGAAGCATGCTGGAGGGGGCGGTGACTTGGCGGTGAAGCTTGAGCGGTCGATGAAGCTTGCTCTGTGCGATGGAGTAGATTAGGCCATGTGGATGCCATGTGCAGAAGCCATTTGCATTCGGCATCACATCACGGCAGGGAAGCAGGAGGCAAGGCGGATATATCTGAAGAAAGGTCTGGAAAGAAGCAAACCAAGGATCTGTGCCGGGGCCCACTCACCGCCCACATTAGCGGCGGCCCAGGGCTTGGCTGCAGGACGGCGGTCGGCAGAGTCGGAAAGATAGCTCAGAAGCTTGGAAGACGATGATGTACTTGTTTCTTCTGCCTTGGTTTGACGAGGGCGAGCTGTACGGTGACAGCGTCGGCGGGTTAGCAACTTGGTAGTATGTAGACGGGCCAGACGTGGTTCGATTTTGCGTGCGGCTCAGATGATTGCATTGAGCAGACAGCCGGAGTGATTGGCCCAGGCCTGTCGGGGGAGTGATGTCAAGCGTACTTGCGACGGCTGGGACACCAGCCCCAAGCCGTGGGCGCCAGGATGAGGATGCACACGTCAAGCGCAGACAGGACCAGCACCCAGGACGGTCAAACGCGCTGCTGGGTGCATTGAGCATGTCTCGGCCGGCGACATAGATGTGCCTCAGTCGGCCGCACATGCGCTTCGTATTCTCACCTTGCACCTCCAATACACTGGCCTCAACTTTCAATCCGATCAGCAGCTTGTACAGAGACACCGGCTTGCACTTTGCACTTTAGCATCTTCCTACGCCCACCAGGTGGCTGATGGGCCCAGAGCGACACCTGGCCCACCGCCCTACATCCCTGTCGCCCTGTCGCCCTGTCGCCCTTTGAGATCAGGGGCTAGCGTCACTTCCCGCAAATTGCGCCGCCGACGCTCGCGATGCCCGCCGTCCAACATCAACAACGGCTGCCTCCTGTCGACGAAGCTGCCGATAGCGACGAACACGACGACGCCGTCCATTACATCTCCCACCAATCCTCGCTTTATATTCTTTCAGATTCAGACCACAGCTATGTCCAGTCACTGATCAAAGCCCCTTGCGAGCGCGACGCTTGCGCCATCCAACTTCCTCACCGCATTGAAGATATCCTTCCACGCTCTCCCCGTCGAAAGCAACCCCGTCCGCTCATGGCTACTCTCACCTATCCGCACGATGCTCAGTCGGCCTTTGACCCTCCTCCCGGCAGTCCCCCCGACCTGACCAACAGCAAGTCATCCAAGTCGAGCAGCATCCACTCGTCAACCCTCCTGGACTTTATGGGCACCACCGAGAACCTGTCGCATTTTGAGGACATCAACTTGGACGAGGCTTCTGGTGGGCCCTCTGCCTTCCCCATGCCCACCAGCCCCTCTAACCGCCTCGTATTCGAAGCTCCACGGGCCGCACACTCCACTAGGAACCTTCCGCATTCGCACTCGCAGCAGTCCTTCCGCGACCTGACCGGCACTGCCAAATCAAAGTATCCCAGCTTAAAGGGTCAGGTTAACCATGCCGTCCAGAGGCAGCACACTCAGCTATCAGCCCCGGGCAAGCTTTCCGCCTCACCTTCCGTTCCTTCGCTCAGCAGCCTGAGTCTTGCAGCTCCACATCGGTCCTCGCGATCGCCGTCCCCATCAAATAACCGCAAATCCTCTCCGGTAGCACGCACGCTATCGCGGAGAAGTTCAAACAACATGGATACCTTGCCGTCGCCAGGAGTGAATGTCAGGAGGCAGTCGTGGCAGGACTCAAAACGAAAGACCGTCAAGGAACGAGAGGCAGAGTGCGATGATGAAGACGATGAGCTTCCGGAGGAGGCGGTCATCTGGAATGTACCCATGTCACCACGCCCAACAACGGAGCGCTCCCCAGTGTCCTGGATAGGGGATGTCTCGCCACAAATATCGCCAAACCCCACAATACCATCCTCCTCCAAAACTTCTCCCGCGCCTCCCATGTCACGCCGTACCCAAAGAAGCCCGTCACCACACATTTCCAGTAGAGGTGTATCGCCACAGCCGCCGCCACAGCAAACCACGTGGGCAGAGACATATACCGCATTAGATCCGGACGCGAAGAAGCTTACAGAGGCATTGGAAGAATACCAGTCTGAGCTAGAGCGAAAACAAGAAATCACAAGACAACAGCCGGGCCTCGCACGGTCGCAGTCTTTGAACCAGCGAGAGCCCAAGTCTAAGAAACCGGCACTCCCACCAGTCCGCAAAAGCGACCCTTTAATTGACCCTTTTCAACCGTCGGCCGAGAAGCAAAAGTATCTCTCGAGAACACGGCCTTCTTGGCTCCCACCCAAGAACCCCAAGGAGGAGAAGAAGCATCTCAAGGAGTACCAGCGGATGTTGGCCAGGATCGAGGAGGCTGGTAAGTCACCATCACCTATTGGCAAACGGCCATCCATAGTACCTTGCTAACAATACCAGAACGTCTCGAGGCTCAGCGCGCCCAAGAAGAAGCGATAGCCCGCGAAAAGGCCACACGGATCAAAGCAGAGTACTGGTCCACTTTATTACTACCAAACTGGGCAACGGAGATGACAAAATCCGAACTGCGTGCGTCTCATAGGAAGATGTGGTGGAACGGCATCCCGCCCCGGTTGCGAGGGCAAGTTTGGCAAAAAGCCATCGGAAATGATCTCGAAGTCACAGAAGCAACCTACAAAATCGCCTTGGAAAAGGCACAGAGGGAAGTCAAAACATACGGCCACGAAGCGCTCGGCGGCCGCTACATGTACATTGTCGAAAGCACTCAGGCAGTGTTCCCCGAACTCAAGATGTTTGCAGCGCGAACATCGGAAACAGCACAAGACGAGCAGCCCTTACACCAGGATCTCGTCGACATATGTTTAGCCTACTCAACATACCGTCCGGATATACCTCACTCGAGCTTCGATATCCATCACATTGCCGCACTTCTCCTGTTAAATCTTCCCGCGCCCCAAGCTTTCATCACACTATCGAATCTGCTTAACCGCCCCTTGCCTCTCTCCTTCATGGTACACGACCAAAACGCTATCCACGCCGCATACTCGACCACACTACACGTCTTGTCCAAGAAAGCGCCCGGTCTCGCATCGCGCCTGGAAACACTCCGTGTCGAACCAAGAGACTACCTGTTCCACACGCTCGGCTCCCTCTTCTGCAGCCGCCTCGGCGTCGAACACGCAGCCCGCATCATGGACGTGTATACAATCGAAGGCGACAAGATCCCCCCTCGGGTCGCCGTTGCCATCCTAGGCATATTGGAAGGCAGCTGCATGGAAGGAGATGCGGCGCAAGTGGCTCTCACTCTCAAGGACAAGAAGATTGAGCTCGATGTAGACGAGTTCATGTCCAAAGTGTACGAGGCGGGCAAGACCAGTAGCACCAACAACAACAGCAGCAGCTCGTCTAACAAGGCATAACGCAGCCTCAATTTTTTTTAACCCTTTTCATTTTCTTTTGTCAATCTTCTCTGTCGTCGACGGCGTTCGACGACTTTGACTTGTGACTGTGCGTGTGACACTGCAACTGTTCTTGCTGTTGGCTAGGAACCAAAAAGAGTATTAATTTAATACCTAGTTGTACAGTATGGTTGGTGTTTGCTGTATGGCCGTTGCTGTTACTCTTTTGTCGAATGGCGAAAGAAACACATAATGCATATTTTTATCATCTTTCTTCTACCTTACTACTATTACTATATCCTATTTTACCTCTTCATCTCCTTTCATTTTCTTCTTTTCTTGTACACGTCTACAATCTACGTCACCTTTCATCTACTGGGTGTTTACGTCATTTTCTTTCCTTCCTCTCTCTCTCTCTCTCTCTCTCTTTCGATATCGAAGGTGGCTTGCAGGTTGGCGAAGACCGCCGAGTGTTGTTGAAATTATTGTTGTTGGATCTGGTGGAGAAAAAGAAAAAAGTTGGATGATGTATACGACCGTTTTACGCAGCGATTTACCTTGTTCATTTCTGTAGTTGTGTGTCTGCGCGCGCGCGTGTGTGTGTGTGTGTAGTAGTAGTACTAAAGTCTGTAAACCATACGGGTTGCGCGACGGCATGCCACGCCCGTCCGCTAGAGAAACAGAAAACACTTTCCTTTTTTGTCAAGGAACTCCTCAACACGTCTCTTTTGTTTTTTGTTTGTTTTGTTTCGGTCTGGCAAGAGGCAAAGGAAGTATATAGATGGATGGTGGTGGAACTTGTTCTTTTCCTCGCGCTTGCTGTCTGTCTTGTTATCGTGGTTGTGGTACAGATCTGCGATCCTCTCAGAGAGTGTGCTGCTTTTTTTCCTTGTGTGGCGTTTGAAAATGGGCATGGCGTGCATAGCGTTGCGGGTTGTGTTTCTCTTTTGTTTGTTTTTTTACATGTGTCTTGCGGAGCAGTTGGGCTTCTTTTGTGGATGTGTGCTGGGGAGATGGGGTGGTGGTATAGGGTTAGACTTAGAGTTTGTATATAATCGTATTTTTTATTCGTCAGATGTGGAGGCTCTGGTTGTGTGATGTGTAAATTGTGATGGGTGATGTATGTGGTGTTTGCGTGTAATGTCATGTAGGTGCGTTGGTGAGGTTGAGATGGGCATTGTTGATGTCATGCATATGTTGAGCCTGGCTTTATTCTGGCCTGATATGGGAAAAGCAATTTGAGGTGGGATTGTGATGTGGGTGTATCGATATGCATGTTTTAGGTGTGCTGTTGGGGTACTTGGATCAGGGCGTCTGGGAGAGAGGTGTAGTGGTATAATTTGTTTGTTGTGTGAGTTCTGCGAGGATAATGAGAAGTATCTAGTGTAATATAACGAATGTAGGCGACTCCTCCATGTCGCGATCGAGTTGCGTAATACGAGTTTTTTTGGAGCCCGGGCTCTGTCCACGATGAAGATTCTGGTGCCGAACGAGCACACAAACGAAACACCAATGGGCAGCGGGCCCATTGGGGGCGACCATGGTCGCGAGGGCACTGAAAAGCACCGTAGTGGTATAATGGTTTGGATATGTAAAGGCGGGGACGGGCTAGTATGCATGTTTGTAGATGCTCGTGGATGTGTGGGTAGAGACTCTACAGGAAGAGATTAGAGAGCATGGAACGATTAGATGCTGCATGAGCAGACTAGAGTGACCAGGAGAATTTGTATAGTTAGTGCACATGAAACAATCGGAATTGGGGTTATATGGGGACTACAACGTATAGTAATGCTACATGTATCGTCTCCTATGTTTCAATATCAACGATGGATAGGAATTGATAGGCTCGTGTCTTGTGTTCTGTTCTCTGCAAGTTTCCATACTGATAGCTGACCAGCTATTCCGAAACGTATATGGTTCTCGTAGAAAAAGCAACGACTCGCTCCAGTCTCCGCTACTCTTTTGTTGGATGCGTTCTGCGAGGATGAATGAGAAGTCTCAGCTACTATTTCGTATCAACTACATTTAACTTTAGTGCTTGTATCGACAATTGTCTCATTTTGATTGTCATCAAACAAATGAAATATCACTATCGTGTATCAAGAGAGATGACAAAAGTGTGATAACTCCAAAGTACTAATGTAATATACTTCACGACCGAAAACCCTATCTTGGATACCTACCAGGATATGACAGATGGATCAGTGGCTGTTGGTATACTATAAACTCTAGTTGGGCATTACTGCTGATTTCAGGACGAGAATCAAGGAGATCTTCTATGGGGTTGTGACTCCCGTGCAAGTCTTGGTAGTTCTCATTCGAGGCGCTGGGAGCTCTTTCTCGGCAAATGGAAATTATTGATTCTCAGGGTTGTGGGTTTCTTTTACCAAAGTCAGAGCGATGACGATATCTGGTTATGGGAGAATAGATCACTCAGACTGTTGTGCGATACAGCGGTCCATTGAAATACTAAGCCGATAGTATTGCCTGGATTTCCGAGAAATTTACTGAGTTTATAATAAGCCTGTAGATTGATTTATATCTGTATGTTGCACGCAATGGTCTATACGACTAGATATTAGCAAACCTAGATGTTCAATATACATATGTGTGGTTTAGTCCAAAAGGCACTCCTGCCGTAATCTACAATGTCCTGCTAAGCTTTCCCAATCAAAACGCCGAGTTTCATTCTAAACAAGAATTGTTTATGTTTGACACAGCAATATAGCCAATTGCGGTATACACCGATATTTGCATCTGACAAGGCTCGGAAGTCTGGTCATACGACTTCACATATCTCCCCACACCTACACCAGGGTGTTAGAATCCCATGTCTACAAGATAACATCTCCATGATCTGATACCCTCTACACACAGGCTCCTACTTGAGATTACAGGTACAAGAGCACCTTGAAATTGAAGGGGAAAGCCTCACTACAGTGCGGTTGGGCGACTATATATTCCTGTAATATATAACTGGCGGTGTTATTACTCTACCTCAAACTCGGCCGACTAACGCCGACATCATGCGGCGCGGCTCTTGCTTACTTCCACATGCCACTTGTTCGGCATAGTATTCGGTCCTGGGGCTGTCACTGGTACGTGTTCCGGTGTAGGGAAAAGCGGTATTAATTATCTTGACGTGTCAAAAATAACTCAAAGGCATGTTCGTTGTAGGTTGCCAACTCATGCGCAAGGAAGACCCAGGGACCCGGGAATTTAGCCTGGTCACGACGCCTAGGGATGAAAGGTATTTCCAATGAAGGTTCTGGTATGAACCGTTGTTGCTATACACCGTGTTTCCAGTTTAGGTTATGTTGAACATGTGTATGCAGACTTTGCGGGTTCCAATACTGGACCGTGCTGATCAGGCACATATTGACAATGATCCTCCACTACGTAGTGACGAACCACAGATGTAATACTTTCAAGGACGATCACGATAGTTAGTATCAAAGCATTATTGTCACAGATGAGAAAATCGGGAGGAGTACCACATCACCCCTTTTGGTTTCGAGCCGTCGAACTTTGCGCAGTTGTTGTACTACGCCAAATCCGAGATCCACAGCTCTTGCAGTCAATATGACGTTTTGGATATTCTAGGTCCGTAGCAGTACCAAGGTTTGGAACCGCAAAGTTTGATCTCCAAATTCCATCAAGGCACCACAGGCTGGAAGCTTGGCGATATGCTATAACGCACGAATGCTCGTCCTCATGTAGGAAAGCGTTCAATGCAGCATGTTCACGAGCACCATAGACATGATGATTGTCGTGATACTCACCAGCTGTTCTCTAGGCTTATGGCCAGAAGGGTATAGAGGTGGAATGAAGAAGCCACCTTGTCACGAAAAGATGTTCTACCTTTTTCCAGTGAAGGCGCCACTAGAAACAGGCGCCCCCACAAAGTGTATATGATAGATTGTGCAATATGTTCTCTCTGGCAGGTCAACGACACATGAAGGACCATGGAGTAATGGTCCTCAAGCAACCGGGGAAACGGACTATCGACCTGCGCCGCATAGAGAACAGAAAGAGTGCAGAGTTGCGCAGATTTTTATTGTTCGCCCACTAGCGCCGGCGGGGTGGTTTCTCCGATACGCACGTGATATCGGCTGAACATCGGCGCGGTGAGGAACATGAAAATCTTTTCTTCGCATCAGCTTCTTCTTCCTCATGGCCATTGATGAATATATTTTACAACATGATAGGAAGAGTAATACGTGGTCTTTGACTGCGACTGATTACAATTCATTTAACATACTGAGGCCTGTTTCATACGTTCCTGTTCGGAACTCGTACGCGGTCGCCACTGGTGCACTGTGGAAGCTGTAGGCGACGGTTGGATGGCATTCATGGGCTTTGCTGTTTTGCAAGACGGTTGCAGGGCTGTGAGAAGAGCAAGATACTGGCAAGGCATGGCGACTTGGAGACGTCCGCTGTCGCTGCTTCAGATGCTTCCATGTCGGCCGTGTCGTTGTTTCAGCGAGGGCGTTGTGTGAGAAGAACTGGGTCTAGGACACTTGTACCCAGGGAAGGTCCTATGCCAGCCCGGCTCTCTTAATGCTTTTCAGTGTTGGACATGTTTCTGCCTGATGGCCTTGGGCGCAAAGGCCCCACGAAAACACTCAATCCTGACATGGCAGTTTATGCGGCCATGGACGGCGTGGTCGGACCCTCTGGACGGTTTCGCGGGTGCTCTCGGCGCCTGGTACAGATAGAGAAGCCGATTTAGCGGGATGAATCCGAGATAGCAGACTGCGACGTGCGCTTGTTATGCTATCGTGCCATGGGACGGTGCCATGGAAAATTACCGACTTGATGCCTATTCAACTTTTTATTTGTCGGCAATAGCACTTTTTCGATCCCTTGGCCAGACGTACGTATACGCAAAGGCGGTGGGCGTCTAGAGCATCTCCGCTGTCGGCCCCGACTCGCATGAGCATCGTCCGTGGCACACTTGGCCGCCTGCAGCCTCGGGACGCTTCCGCTGCCAACTTAGTCGGCGTATGCTACAACTCAGTTTCACATACTTTACGTCAATGAGGCATGCCAGGCTCCGCTATACATGACATACATGACAATTCGTTGCGAGTCTGGGTACGCCCCGCCAGCTGGTCGACAAAGACAGCCCAGTTTGCCCAAGGTTAATCTGCGTCACTTCAATTGCGATCGTCGAAAGATTACGCTACAATGTCCAAGATCTGCACTCGGATCGGCGAGTTACCACATGCTGGGAGCACAGTTGCTAGCCGTCTAGAGTCGGTTTCTCCCGCAGCGTTGTAAGACCCTCTGACCCTGTTCAATGTTGGCGTGAGCCGTGAGCACTTGTCTATCGCCGAGCTAGCCAGCAAGTGGAAGTTCGGCATCTCAACTCTCGAATCATGGTCCAACGGAGGGCTTGAAGAGATTTCGATAACCCAGCCAAGGCTCGCGACGTGCCGAAGCGATTTGCGACGGATACAAGTATTTGAAACTTAGTATCAGCTAAAGCATTGAATACCACGGTTCAAGTGTACCCATATCCTAGAGCTAACCACGCCTGTGGTTGTTTCGCCGCGGGCGTATCATTTGCTCGACACTGTTGGAGACCCACGTGTCTTGGGCTTGTATCAAGATCGAGTCCGTGGCGGTGCGTCCTCGACCGCCTGTTCTCACATCAGCACCATGGGCAGCAAGCAGACAACACGGCTCCAGACCGCGGAATATCGTGATTGTCCCACTTGCCGTCTCAACCAGACCACCTAGACGAGTCACATATCCTGTCAAAGGCTTGTCTATCAGAGAATTGACCTCGTTCGAGCCTGGGCTGTTTTTGCACCAAGGGTCCTCCTGACTGGCAGTCACACCGCATAGCACATCAGCATGTATTCAGCGCCGAGCACCCAGCATCAGTGTGGGGAAAAATTCCAGAAGCACAAGGTCCGGGACCAGTCGTGCGGCTCCCGGGAGATTGCAAACGAGCAAGTCCCTGCCTCGAGCATAACGTGAATTTCGTCTAAGAATTTTGAGACCGTGCTTGACACCCCGACGTGGTGGGCTCAGTGATCTGTCAGCTGCCTCATTCGGGTGGCATAGCCGTTGTCATTGCCTTTTAGGCCATGGCAACATTTTGATCAAGTTTCACAATTCCAGAAGACGAGGCACCATGGTGTCGGTGCCTCAATGTCAGCACGTCAGATGTGGCGAGTGTCCCCACATGACGAGCAACGAACCATGGGGACGACTATCGCGGTGTGTTTACCTAGAGTCAGTAGAGTCTTACGAGTTTGGCCTTGCAAGTCAGACGTTGTCTCCGAAGGCAGCGTAAAAGATAGCATTAGGCCGCGGCATGACGGAAGTAATCCAGGAACACGAGTGGCACAGTCGACTCTGAAGCGTCGTTGGTCGAACCGGGTGAGTTGATTCACTCCCGCGGCCATGCTAACGAGTCAAAGTACACCATCCCGATAGTCAAACCGTGGGCGAGCGGGAAAGTAGCCACAACCCCGCCAGGCTGGAAAAGTTCCTTCAATTGACGAAGATCAGGGCCCTGATAGGCGTCGGCCAATGATGAGGCCGAGGAAGTGGGGAAAAGGTTGAATGGAACGAAGCTGTGGAAGCCAGCTGTCTTTCCCCGGCGCCGTAGCTCTGGCAGGGCTACGCCGCACACGCCACCAGGTACGGCCCACTGTCTACGGAAGAGGCCTTCTTCGACTTGAATCGCATCAGGACCCTGTTGAGCGGTGGGTGAGGCCCCGCTGATGTGACCTTCTAGAAATTGCACCGTTTCCACGTGAAGTGGTCGATGTGTTGGGACGGGTACGGTACGGTACAGCGGCAAAAAGAAGGTCAAGGGAGTGGTGGAATCTTATTCCTGGGGTCGCGATAAGTCAGCATATCAACTTTGGACCTTCTTACCGTTTGTTCCTGCATCGTACCTGCAGTAGACGCTATCCTGGATCAATCAGCTCTGCAGTCAATGTGGGGGATGACGGCGGATGCGATCGGCTCTGTTTGAGTCGGCCGACGCTTGTCAGGCGAAGAAGAGAGGCGCTGCTTTTAGGCGGCGAGCCACTTGGGCCTCGCCGGCGGCTTCATAACTCTGCACCCGCAGCATTCAATAGTTCATTTCTATTTTGTGCCGACCAGTCATACGAGGCTCGGCGTGCATAAATCTTACCGCGGCGAAAGTGTAAACGAAGAGACACGACACATGTTACCGCGTCATATCCGACAATCAGCAAGCAATTTGATTATCGATACGTAGATGAGGCAGTTTAGACGTTTCTTTGGTAGACCAGCAACCCCACCATCAGAGGCAGTCTAACTTCTGAAACACACTTGTTGGTTGGATTGACGGCCGCATGTGCAGCCATATGAGCCCGCATCCCACCAACAGCATGCTTTTAGAGCTTCGTAGACAGACGTATGGGTGGCGACTTGCAGCTCATTGCACACGAGCCTGTCGCACCATGTAGAATAGCCGTCTTTGTGGCCACTGACAGACGGCGGGTCCAACCTACCTCACAGCTGGCGAGCAAATCAGGCCCAACGGGCATCATGTGCTTGCATCATGGCTGACGTTCCTGCGTAAGCCCGGCATATCGACGACTGCATGGCTCCAGTCTGCAGAGAGTCCAGTGTTGCGCGACGCCTGTGGCAACGAAGCCGTCTTGTATGTACTGCACACGACTTGACGCGGATGCACTTGGCTTCGAAGGGCTATCATTTACGGCCCAAGGCGCATCAACGTGTACATCGTGAGACATGATGCTGACTTGACCGTGCAGTCAGGTATACCGAGATGTTTGCGGTGGTTTCGGCCAGACATGCTGGACCGCCCAGATGCCACGGCGCGTCCTGGACGTCTGATCAACAACGAGTTTGCGCCGCCCGCCGTCTTGTTGCTTCTGTGTCGGTCGAGTGTGGCACGGCGGGCGGTACGGCGTCGTTGTGCGTGACAGTGACAGCACCATCCAGCGCCCAGCGTCATGGCCGTCACAAGCAACTTCTTCGACGCGACATGTATGGATGTTTCAAAACAACCTTCACTCGCCAGGGTCTCGCAGCTATCATTATCGATTGGCAGATAGCATGATAGGCTGAATGATTCCCGAGCGCGCTAATTTGGAGCCATGTTGGCGGCGTGCGTGTGCATGGCCCATGGCCCATGGCCCATGGCCGTCTGATGGGTGGTGGGGTTTCTTGTCAGACGCAGGACAGGACGAGACGCAGGACTCGCTCGCAGCCGTCCGGGCCCAGATGATGATGGTGATGATGGCGGCGGTATCACCGTCCGGTGGTTGCTGGTTGCTGCGCGCTCCACATGTCGCAGCGCCCGAGTAGCCACTCCTACCGCGAGGCTCAGTTGCCTTGTCTTCGTATCCTGTCCATGTCTCTCTTTGCATTCGGCGTAGGCGGCGGTAGAGACTGACGACGTCGGCGGGCCCTCTGTCCCGCCATGTGCTGGCCACGGGCCAATACGTTCAAGCCAGCCGGAACCGCCGTGCACATCTCATTTCGCGTATAGCCCCATGCAGCTATGCATTGGGCGAACAATTTTAGGCCCAAAACCCATGCCTCAATGCACTCGCTGCTTTTGACGCGAGTCAAGACTAGGGTCTAATGCAGGATCCCATACCTAGTTGGCTTGTGGAGCGCACTGCGCCCCGACGCACTAAAGCGAGCCGTCCTTCTCTGTGCGCTCATCAGTTCTCTTTTTCACTGGCCTGCCCTTGTTCAAGGTTCATCAACCACGTCCCTCTCGTTTCTTTCCGCCATCGCCGTTCAGGTTTTCATCTTGGGTCATAATTTTGTGCCCTCACACTCTCTTTGATCTTCATATTCATCTTAGTCGCAGTTTCGTTATTACGAGCTGTTTCCACACTCATTCCTTCGACACTCTCTTAAACAAACCCAGCTTCCAACTACTATATACAACTAATTCGTCCCGTCTTTACTCGGTACTCAACCGTCATCGACCCATCGAACACAAACGTATACAACGACCACCACTACCAACTTCAGTACTGACCTGAACACACCCAACCCACACTCGCAATGGACGGCTCATATCCCATGCACCCTACCCAGGCCATGCAATCACCTTTCTTCTACTACAACCCAGACCCCCAAGGCGAGAACACACGCCAACACGGTCACTTCACACCCCACCCATCAGGACAGTCAACCTTCCAGCCACACAACATGTACTACCAGAGGCCAACATCAGCAAGCTCTCACATGTCTTACCCCCAGACTGCATACGCCAACCAGATGCTTACCCCAGTTGCCTCCCCACAGCCAATGTACCAGAAGCAAACTATCCTGATCCAACCCCAGGACTCGCCATACCTTCAGCCCATTGACACCGACTACTCATTCTCCCCTGCCACTCCTCCTCTTTCCACATGCGGCAGCAGCACCAGCAGCCCTCCTTCATCATGCGAAGTTCTCCCCACACCGCTGCATGACATGTTCCCTGGTGAGGGCATTGAGGGTGTCAAGCAAGGTTGCGAAGGTGAAGTCTTCTCCGAGATCCTGTCCGCCGGTCTCGAATGGCGGTCAACCACCCCACCCATGACACCAGGTATTTACCCTTATTTCCTTTCACTCCAACTTATAATTACCCTGCCATGATGGTTTTGGGCATCGTCTGCAGCATATCACATGAGCGTTTGCACAGTGTTGCTAACTCCTGCAAGTTTACATCCAGCCTCCTTCGGCTAGCCAGGGGTCGTACCTCCTGTCCGCTACTTCTTGCCCCTCGCTTTCCCCCTCACCATCACCACTCCCTCGCACACCCTTCCCTGAAGCTGAGAACAACTTCTGCAACCCCCGCGATCTGACCGTCTCTGCTACTGCCGAACTCCCCATCGTCACACTTTGCCCCGGCGACGAGGAGCACAAGGTTGTCCTTAAGGGTGAAACCGCAAAGGTCGAGAACTTCGAGTCTGCCCAATCCTTTACCTTTGCCGGCCTGCCTACTTTCGAGCCCCTGTTCGAGCTTGACTGCGAGGACGACTTCACCGGCCTTGTCAACTTCCCCGCCGAAACCGCACAGTACCTCGGCAACAAGCGCCAGCGAACTGATCTCGGTGCATTCTCACCTGAAGAGGATTTCCTGAGCGACGAGAGTTTCACAGACTTTGAAGAGGAGCTCGTGCACGGCTTGCCACTCACCCCTGCATCCAGCGAGTTCGACAACATGTCGGCCACTTCCGCACCCAAGAGGCGAACAGTCAAGAAGTCGCGTTGCGAGTTCAGCGAGACCGAGTCGGACTACCAGGGTAAGCAACAGGCATCTGGTGATGATAATAACACCATGTCTGGAGCATCAAGCCAACAAGAATCAGGTCAAGCCGAGAACGCTGTCGGCTCCAGCTCAGACGAACACACGACCCCTGTCGCACCCACTAGCCGCCGTGGTCGCAAGCAGTCGCTAACCGACGACCCTTCCAAGACTTTCGTCTGCACTCTCTGCTCGCGTCGCTTCCGTCGTCAGGAGCACCTCAAGCGTCACTACCGCTCTCTCCACACTCACGACAAGCCCTTTGAGTGCACCGACTGTGGCAAGAAGTTCTCCAGGAGCGACAACTTGTCGCAGCACCAGCGCACCCACGGTACTGGTGCCGTCAGCCTCGAGGTCATGGGCTCTGATTTCCATCACACCGACATGCAGCATGGACAGTCAGGTGCCTTTGGCGCACAGGCTCCGTCCACAATGGGTGAGATCCTCTACAACGCTGCCGCTGAGATCCCCACATCCAGCTCAGATGGATCCGAGAATGAGTCATCACCCAGCGACAAGAAGCGCAAGAGGAACGAGTAGACTTTGCCCTCTACCGAACTTAACTTTTCAACTCTTATAACGACCCCTCATGACACCCACAACACTCGGTAGAAGGACCCCGCATCATGCCCGGCGGCCGCTCGTCTACTTTCACGTCGTTACGCGCAAGGGCAGCATAGCTAGACAGGCGGTACAGACTCACTTCGGCGGCTCGACTTCACAGTCGACACCAAAAATCCTTGCTTCCCCTTCTCACCTCCTGTATTCTTCACTGCTGATCTTGCGACAACGAGTTCCCGAGATTGGCTTTTTTCAACATCATTTGGTTTTGCGTTTAGCACGGCACATCAGGGGTTCTGGTGGGAAGCTTGGTTACCATTTGGCGGATTGGGATAGATCTGGTGTTTTTCTTGGTTTTCACTTATGACGACATGGCCATTACCCGTCACCGGCCACTGTCGCCGCGCTGCCCCTTGTTCACCTTTTGCGCTTCCTACAGTCGTTGTAATCGGGCTGCTACACATGCGCGCCCACACATTCTGGGAATCTTCGCTTCATTCTTGCCACACATCATGTAATCGTCTGACTTCATTTGCTCAGCAAACTTTTACTTTACGTTTTATCGTAGTCAATTGTAGGTTAGAGGTGCTGGCACTATTTGACTATTGCATACAAAAACACGTTACATACACATACACTTCAAGTCTGCTTTCCCTGCATGTGATGATCCCGTGAACCACGAAAGATGTCGTCTACTTTGCTTTTCCCTTGTTGGACAATGCGTGCAGCTTTAACAGACCCTGAGTACCATAGACACACAGCGTCTGTTCGTTTTCTGGAAGCAACGAACAACTAGCGTGCGTTGACTTTTAGCGAGTACCTAATGCACCTGCATTTCCCTCATGCAATGCGGCACCGGCCCGCATCGTCTCCAGCCTTTGTCTTTTCCTTAGTCGACCATACCGGGGCATTTTTCCAGTCGCCATGGCGTCGTCATTGAACGTGGTCGCACTGATCTCAGGCGGCAAAGACTCGCTCTTTTCCACCCTCCACTGTCAAGCAAACGGACACACGGTTGTAGCATTGGCCAACCTGCATCCCGCGCCTTCCACCGATAATGATAACAATGAAGATATCAATAGTTACATGTACCAAACCGTGGGTCACTCGGTTATCCCGCTCTATGGAGAAGCACTGGGCATCCCGCTTTATCGACAGGAAATTGTGGGCACGGCGGTAAACTCAAGTAGAGATTACGCGGCGGATTCGCAAAAGCAAGACAAGGACGAAACCGAAGACCTTGTCCCTTTGTTGAGGAAGGTCATGGAAGCGCATCCTGAAGTCAATGCTGTGTCCACGGGGGCTATCCTGAGCACGTATCAACGGACGCGTGTCGAATCTGTTGCGCTCAGGCTGGGGCTCACACCGCTGTCGTATCTGTGGCAGTATCCATTGTTACCACCATATACGCAGTCATCTCTTTTGCATGACATGACCGCGGTAGGACAAAAAGCAGTCATCATCAAGACGGCATCCGGTGGCTTAGACGAGGACTTTCTGGGTCTCGATGTCGCTAGTCAGGCTACCATAGCGAAGTTAGCGAAGACAATGGGTCGATATGGTGACGCTGGTGACGGTGCGATACTGGGTGAGGGTGGCGAATTCGAGACATTGGCATTAGACGGGCCCCGACCGCTGTGGAAGAAGAGCATTAGGATCGACAATGGACCGCCTGGAAAGTTGGACGGCGAGCAGGCGGTTTTGAAGATCAAGGAGAGTGTGCTTGAAGAGAAGACGAATGATGATGAGAGACGTGTAGATGCATTGAGGATACCAGAGCTCTTTGACGAAGAGTTCAAGAAGATATTGGAAACTGCCGAGATCACCGTGGAAGATGCAGCACTCGCCTCCAACGAGGCGTTTGATGTTCATCCCCAGCCGGATGCTATATCTGCAGTGGAGCGTCTTCCAAGGAATGCGGCAAAAGATACCGCAACCGTCTTCCTCCACTCGAACCTCACGAGCGATACCCGACCGTTCTCTCCAGCCATTTCCCCGTCGCGCCAACTCATCAAAATCTTCCTCCTTCTCGACCATTCCCTCAAGCAAGTCCACCTTTCCAGATCCAGCGTCAACCATGCCACTCTGCTCCTCCGTGACATGGCAGACTTCACTGTCCTCAACCCAGTCTACGCGCAATACTTTAGCCATGTGAACCCCCCAGCTAGAGTTACCATTGCAGCTGGAGACACACTCCCCAAAGGCGTAGACGTCATGCTCAGCGTAATCGTAGACAAAGAAGATAAAGACGCACAAGGTAAAGTCACCAGACCAGTAAACAGACAAGGACTACACGTCCAAGGCCGAAGCTACTGGGCCCCTGCAAACATTGGACCCTACAGCCAAGCCATATCCACCAGCCTGCCTTCCAACAACTCGCACAACCAAAGCAGCGATGTTTCAAACTGCGGAGAAGTAGTCTACGTAGCCGGCCAAATCCCCCTCGTACCCGCCTCCATGGCCGTATACACAGATCGAGGCTTCAAAGGCCAGGCCGTCCTCTCCCTCCAACACCTATGGCGCATCGGCCGCGCCAAAAACGTAAAATGGTGGACTGCAGCTGTGGGCTTCATTCCGGCGTCGCAGCATCCGGAAGACAGGGTGCGTATCGCACAGGATGTGTGGAAAGCTATACACGCCCCAGCACATGACGACAACGCAGACGAAGAGGACGAAGACACGCATATCGATCCGTGGGATAGATTGAATCAGCACCATATATCCGCTTTTAGCGATACAACGGTCCGCAGTCCGATCCCAGACCGCGCTGTTGTTTCTTCTGATTCCACAGCGTCTACACCACCGTGCTTCGTCGCGCAAGTTGCATCACTGCCACGGGGCGTGGATATAGAGTGGAGTGCTACGGGTTTGACCTGTCCTTCGATCCAATGTACTCGCAATCCTCAGATTCCGCACCTTCGTGTTACCACCTCAAGAGACACTCGTTCTCGTTTCCTGACACTCGAGGTACGGAAACGGAGCGATTTGACTGTGTTAAGGGAAGTGGGTGAGCGGGCGTGGACGTGTGCTACGCTTTATGTGGGGAGGGGGTTTGAGTGGTGCGGTGATGGTGTAGGGGCTGCGGATTTGGAGGGTGTACAATGGATTCCTTGTCAGAGGGTGTGGGGAGAGGATGGGGAGGAAGTGAGGGGTGTGTTTGTGGGGAAGATTGATGGGTAAGACGGCCAGTTGCATGAATCCAAATAGAGATGTAGATGTGTATTCCATAATCATCTATCACAAATTCTAGCAGCGCTGATACTTGATGCTTCACATTTCTTCTATAGCTGTGTCATATCGCTAAACCATCGTCCTCCAACCATAAGTCATATCGGATGGTATTTTGCCCTTTATCCCTTTCTCCTTGAACGCCATGTAAATGCACTACGTCCTCATTCGGCACATGCCTCTAGAACCTCTCCTTCATCCTCCCTGCAACCGTTCGCAGGTTGCCATAAACCTTGCTGGGATTCTGTCCCAGGATCAAGCTGACAATGGACTCGCGAGCGATGTGAATGTTCTTGAAGCCGCCCAGAATGTGGATCTTCTGGTCTGCCAGGACGACTCGTGTCCTACTGGCGTTCTCAATGGCGAATTTTGTCTTTCCGTCTTTTCCTGCTATTCTTCCAATTGCTCTGCCGAGGTGCTCGCCCTGGAGGGTTTTCACGTCCTTGATCTCGAATGTCTCGATGTATAGATCTGATTGTGTTAGAGGCGCGTATGAGTCTGAGATATGTTTGGTTACTTACCATCCAACCGGAGAAGCGCGATGGCATCGTCGACATCGAAACCTAGTGTAAATGCCTTGAGGAAATCTGCTCCTTTCTGTAGGGCTCCGGTATCCGTTGTAGCGTTGCTCGTTCGTAGTTCGACGCTACGTGATTTGAGGTTCATTCGGCATTGTAGCTTGAGGTTCTCGACCAGCTATGGTATGTTAGCCGCTGTCGTAATTCAAGGACATAACTTTTGAAGCGTTTTGAAGACCTACAGGGGGGTATATTTTTGGCCAGTTGGCCTTCAAAGGTGTCATGCGATGTGGTGGGATTGGGACCTTGCGCTGCTCGCGGCGGATGCGAGGGGTATCGATTTAGCGACGGGGAATTTTGGGGCTCCGCTTTCGTCTGTCATGGGTATGTCGTCTGCGGGCGCTTCTGATTCTTGTGCTGCTGCGACAGGATCAAGGCTCATATCGACAAGCTCTCCTTCAGTTTCTTCTGGGAGGGGAACGGAAGAAGGCTCCATGGTGACATTGTGGGCGAACTCCTCGGGACGGCGTTGTAGCGCTGTGGGGGCGGGCATGGTGTCGCGTGTGGGGTGCGGTGACAGTGAATTCCTCACCAAAGTTTATAGACGTGTGGTGTCGTATGGCGTTTGGTCGCAAGCTGGGCGGTATCCAGACGGTAACAATTGTGGTGTGGGGCGGCTCAAAATATGTCAACCTCGGAAGTACGCTAACACCCCAAAGACGTCTAGCGCCTCGTAGCCTTCCGGGCTCTCCATGGCTTTTTCATGTGCGGGCAATGACGATCTTATACGCCAATCAATAACCGCCAGCGCCCTCTACACACACCGCAAACCCTCCGTTGCTCCTACACCCACTCGTTCGCATATTCTTACGCTTGCGAACGTCGACAATGTACCCGCCCCGGTTATCATGAAAAAGAATGTAGGAACGCTCGGCATCCTGGGGCGCCTCGTTGCTGGCCAGCCACTGGTACAGAGCCGTGGTTTGCTTCCGTGGGGGGTGCTGCAAGCATGGGCGCAACCATCGTCGCCCTGGGAGAGAGCAGTTCAGGTGCGACCTATTTCTGGGAATTCGCACATCCGTGGGCCGCCGACGACAACAAATCGGCTTTGGATTGCGTCCTCGCCGTGTCTAGGACGCTCTCCCACTTCGCTACTACAAGCACCCTCGCCCCACACGAGTCACATCCAGCAAAGCGTGACTAGCACAGTCCTCTCCGCTTGGGCTAGGCATGCATCATCCAAAGCATCGCGCGCGCTCAGGAAGAGCAGAAGCAGCGACCGACGCAACAAGAGTTCACTGACGAACGGCTCGTCCAAGAACAAACGAAACGCCGCGTCGCAGACACCACCATCCAACTCTCCCTCTTCGTCGAACCCGCCTCCCAATGCCTCGAAAACACCCGCAAAACCGCAAGAAGAAGCCTCGGGTGCTGCGAAGCCCCTCCTTGATCGCCTACCCCATCATTTGCCACACATTTACCGCCCGAGCAAAGCAGAGCTCCTAGCGGCAGCATCCGGCTTTTGGTCTCGAATAAAGATTCACTTCAAGTGGCTCACCATCAGGAGTACACGGCCATTCAACGCCGACGAAATATACGCTTTGTTCTCGTGGATCATAGCGGCGCACGTGCTATGGATCGTACTGGGTACAACCACCTTCTTCATGCTGGCCATCTTCCTGGTCAACACGGCATTCTCGCAGGAAACAATTGCCAAGTGGATTGGCAATTACCTGACAAAGTCCTCGGGCATCAAGGTCGTTTTCGAGACTGCTGTGGTGCCTAAATGGGGAGACGGTGTCATTTCCTTCCGCAATGTCTTCGTCTCGCGGCGTCCAGGTCAAGGCAAAGGAAAAGTCAGCAAAGGCTCACAGATGGAGATGGCCGCTGCCGCTGCAGCCAGGGCGCATCCAGAAAAGGATGCACAGGATGGAATCCCAGATAAGCCCGAGCCAGAGGAGGATACCAACTATACCCAATTCGACATTTCCATCGACACCGTCAACGTGACGCTCTCCTTTTCCAAATGGTTCAACGGCAAAGGACTATTGGAGGATGTTGAAATCAAGGGCATACGCGGTGTCGTGGATCGAACTTCTGTCCGCACAATCGAAGGCGTAGATCCCAGGTCTTACAAGCACGAACATAACCCTGGCGACTTCGAGCTCGAATCCTTCAAGATGGAAGACCTACTGGTGACCATCTACCAGCCGAACGGCTTCCGCCCCTTCTCAGTCAGCATATTCTCCTGCGATCTGCCCCAACTACGGAAGCAATGGCTGTTCTACGATTTCCTTTCAGCTAACATGATGTCTGGTTCCTTTGACAATTCTCTCTTCACCATCCACCCGCGTCAAACCCACAACTACACAGGCGCGCAACTGAGTAGTGGTCGCGACAGCGAGGACGGAAGGTCCTGGAAGAAGCACAGCCGTATACGAATTGACGGGCTCAATATTGATCACCTTAATCGCGGACTTGAAGGCCCCTTTTCTTGGATCCATGAGGGCAATGTCGACATTGTAGCAGATGTCATGTTCCCCAATGACGATGACGATAGTATCGCAAAAGTAATGTCCGACATGTACGACCGTGTCGAAGCCACCGTCATCCAACAGCGCAAACATCACTTCTCCGACCATGCAGTCCACGGCTTCGATGAACAGCACCATGACGACGCAGACTCTGAAAAGGGGAAAAGAGAGGACAACCGCTACGTGATCATGGACATGCGCGTCCATCTCAATGATGTCCGCGCCGCTGTGCCCATCTTTACGAGGGACATCTCGTACGTCAATAACGCCCTCGTACGCCCAATCGTAGCGTACATGAACTCTAGTCGTACCTTCATTCCGGTAAATTGCAGGGTTGTGAAAAGGGTTAGCGAATTTGATGGCAGCTGGACGCTTTACGACAGCGGACTTATGGAGGAAGTGTCGAAAGAGGTAAGCTTCTATCAGTGTCACTCTCGACTATTTCCAACACAGATGTGCTAACAAATATAACAGATGTATGATGCCTTTGCGCGCGACGTTCTCGAAGACCGAACTACGCGTAAACGTCGGATAAAAAAGGTTGGCATTTGGACACTACAACTCGCAGCCCAGGCACTCTTCCTTGGTCTTGCGGGAAACATTGCGTAAAGATACCCTGATGAACAAAACGAATACATCTCTTCTTACTGTATTATACATGATCAAGTAAGGCGTTTGGCGAGTAGTTATACGAGTAGCATGTTTCACGGGCGGCTTGGGTTATGAGCTGAGGCATACAGCGGCCCTTTCATGGCCGATACCAACGACGGAATGATGAATAGCTTTTTCACTATTTTTATCCAGTGTTTGAAGACGGCACTTCTGCGATCTGCCGCGTCGGACAGGGCGCGCACATGCACATGTAAGACTTGTGGAGTGTCAATGACGAAATGTCAGCATCAGCACCGTTTGCTCTTTTTCAAATCAAAAAGCATACAACGACATCCCCATTCCCCAAAGTCTTCTTCGTGATTTTCTGCTGTTCGAGCACTTGTGGTTTGTCCATTAGTAGAGCATATCCTACCACGGCCGTTTTGTGTTACACGTCAAGGATAATACTATTGCTGGGTCCACCCTAGTTTGAGCTGACCTGGGACAGTGTTGTACGCAATTTCCAGATCCGGGCTTCCCGGTGAGCTTGAGATGCAGTTGGATAACCAGGGGACGAGCGGTTGCATCCTAATATCAAGTGCGAAGAGCCGCCTCCTTATGGGGATGTGACCCATTATATACAACGTCGCAACTCTGTAGCAATGAGTTTTCGAACACTGAACGGTTATCTTTGGGCAATTGCCGGTCGGTTTGCCCGCCGTGGTACCCGCCGGCTCTTGGCTCGACGCCTCATTGCAGCTTACGCTTGGCAGAAATATATTACCACGACCTCCACCGATCTAGATGATCCATCGATCCTCTGGGATTTACCTATCCAAATCAGAAAGTATTGACAATACACACTCAGCTCAAAGTTCAGTTCCAAACTAACCGTCGGAAAAACTTGGTAGTCAACGAAGCAGTACGGACGTCAGACCCGTTGTTCACGATACATAACGAATTTCAACAAGGCGTAAACGCCCTGTACAAGTCGACAACAAGCATATTAACAGGGAGAATATATCCTCTATTTTCGTCCGTCTTGGTCTGATGAGAAGCGCTGGGCAGCTCATGGCCTATGAAAAGCAGAGTAGTGACGATCCTCCGATCCTCCGCCCGACCCTCCTTCCGCGGATAGCATGACATGGTCCGCCTTCGAGGCTGTTCAACCTCGCCGCGCTACCACTACCTAACATTTTCTTCTGGAATGCTCCCCCTTGCAACTGAGCCACCATACCATTGGTGCAATATGGCAAGATGCTGGGAAACTGGCGTCTATCCGTTCGAATAGCTCAGTCTGACCCACAAGCATAACCACTAGACCATGGGTGATGAAAGGGTCTATCCCGCTGTGCCAGACGGCCACATATGTAATTTACCCCCTAAAAGGTGTAGCCACGCAGCTCATGTATATGCGGAGGGTCACCAGTATCGCCTTCCGTGGTCGCCTTGTAAGGTCGCCTGTCCCCGCTCTCTTTACCGGAAGGCATTCCTTCCTTAAGTCAACTCCACATACTCGTCACTTCCTGGTGTTTCTACGCAATTGATCTACTTTTCATGTACAGCTGAATCTGTCTTGGGTTACATTCACGGCTCCCGTCAGCCAGCCTCAGCTTCGGCGGTACCCTGGTAAGATTAAGGTTTCCAGTTCTTTGCTGAGAACATCAGCATAATCTTATTGGCATGAAGTCAGCAAATTGATAGGAGAGATACAAGGGAGAAGTATAAGTATGCTAATGACGATCGTCGCAGTTGATTCTCTACTGAACCATCACCATGCCCACGCCAGCCTCAGCCATGGATCCTGCGTGGGACTCGCAAGACCGAGTAGACGAAAAGTCTTCCGAACAAGTGAAAGAGTCAGAGAGCAGATCATATGGAGATTCGTTTTCCAGCGACCCAGAAAAGGCCATCGACAGTAGCTCATGCTCAACAAATGCGGACGAGGCAACATTATCCAGTGATTCACCAGCAGGTGCGGAACAAGATCCCAACATAGTGGATTGGGATGGCCCAGACGACCCAAAGAACCCTCAAAACTGGTCTTCAAGAAAGAAATGGGGTATTATCTGGACTATCGGTGCAATCACCCTTATCACCTCCATCGGCTCTTCGTTTTTCGCTCCAGGTGTTCCACAAGTCATGAGAGCCTTCCATGAGACTTCTTTGACAATCTCTGCATTCGTCGTCTCAGTCTACCTCCTGGGATTTGCCACTGGTCCATTGGTCGTTGCACCCATGTCGGAACTGTACGGACGAAGACTGATATGTAAGCAACGCGGCTATTAAACAGTACTTTGAATATAAACTGACGTAATGTACTTTCTAGACAACGTCTCCAACGTCCTTTTTGTGATATTCAGCATCGCTTGCGCAGCCTCGACCTCCATGGGAATGTTAATAGCATTTCGATTCCTTGCGGGATGCGCTGCATCAGCGCCTCTAACACTTGGAGGAGGCACAATCGCAGACATGTTTCCCCGAGAGCAAAGAGCCAAAGCCACGGTTGTCTGGTCCATAGGACCACTCCTTGGACCCGTCCTCGGCCCAATTGGCGGAGGGTTCCTTGTGCAGAATACGGTGTGGCGTTGGGTGTTCTGGATCATCGCCATGTTCGCCGGAGTCTCTGCTGTCGTCTTCTTCTTTGTGGGCGAAGAAACATATCATCCCATCATCCTGGCCCGCAAGACGGAGGCTCTTCGCAAGGAAACCGGTAACATGAATCTCCGCTCTAAGCTCGCTTCCGACCTGCCACCCAAGGAGATCATTGCCCGAGCTATCGTCCGCCCGATGAAGATGCTCATCTTGTCACCCATCGTAGGTCTGATGTCGCTATACGTGGCAATCAACTATGGTATCTTGTACCTTTTCTTCACTACCGTAACCTTTGTATTCGAGGGCCAATACGGCTTCTCCTCTGGCGCCGTCGGATTATCCTTCCTTGGATTCGGTATTGGAATGCTTGTCGGCATGTTTCTCATCGGCCTCATGTCTGACAAAAACATCACCAAACACCAGAACAGTGGCGGCGCCAAACCAGAGCACCGTCTTATGCTGGGACTCACCGTTCCTGGTGCCATCAGTCTCCCAATCGGCGTCTTCGTTTACGGATGGACCACTTACCACAAAGTCCATTGGATCGTCCCCATCATCTTCACCTCATTCATTGGCCTCGGTAACCTGACGGCCATGATGACCATTCAAACATACCTCATCGACGCCTTCACCATTTATGCTGCATCCGCCATTGCCGCGTCCACCGTTCTCCGATCTGTTTTCGGTGCCTTCTTGCCCCTGGCTGGACGAGACATGTACAAAGTGTTAGGTCTAGGTTGGGGCAACAGTTTGCTTGGGTTCCTTTCCCTAGCCGTCGTACCCGTGCCGATTCTCTTCCGCATATACGGCGAGAAGATCCGGACGAATCCAAAGTGGCAGGTTCAATTTTGAGGAACTCAAAATTGCCATTCTTTTCGTATATATCAAGAATAGAAAGCATAGAATGAGTTGGATATCGAATTTGCATTGGGCGGAGTATTAATCAGTAAAGTACGTCATATTCCCCCCATTGAAAGGGGTGGCAATGTACCGTGATGGTAGGACATGCGCAGAACCGGCCAATTGACCGAACACATGGTCCATGCTGACGTGACGAAACCGGCAATAATCTTACTCACACAACCCTTGGTCTGGAAAATCTTCGGTTCAAAATGCCGCCACCACCGCGAAGGTGCATCGCAGCTCATCCATCCGCTAAAGAAAGATCTACAGATCACGAGATCTTTTCTCCGCAGGGAAACTCCCGCCGCTAATGCTACGGCCCGGCATCTTGGGTCTTGGGTATGTATTGGAAGCTTGGAAGCTTGGTTCAGCGTTTTGCGGCGGGGTAGTTCCATGCAAAGCGGGCTTGCGGTAGTGGTTATGAGCCGATGTTTGGGTCCGGGGAAGTATGGGGAGGCGGGGTAGTTTTTGTTTGCAGCTTGAGATGGGGAGGGCGTTGTTCTGTAGTTTGGTGGTGAGGTCGTGGGCGATGTCTGATGCGTGAGTGGCGTTTTGGATACTGTAGTCACTTGAGTAAATGAGGAGCTATTAAAACATCAAGAAACGAGCGATACTGTAGTCATATCAAGCATTCCGTCCCCACCAAAGGGGGAGGATCGTGTAAACCTAGGAGAGTTGGTTGAGTCAAGGGAACCATACCCAGCAAACTTACGTAAGCACATATACAGCTTGGCTCCAGCTTCAAACCGCACGGCGACGCCGTATATGTATGTAAGTCTAAGATATTACTTACATTTTGCGCACATGCAAGACACCATCCCTCCACAAACGTACACCGCCAAATGACGTGCATGTTACGTACAAAACCAGCTCACAGCCGTGTGTCAACGGCCGGTGAGCCAAAAACAAGCTGAAGGCAGACGCGCCCAGTCTTCCCTCCCAACTGTTTCTCGCACACACGGAAGCGGAGAGATAGACGTCTCCGACGTCCGACTCGTGGCGTTTACGTTTAACCTGGCCAGGTGAAGCGAGGTCTGCAAGTAAAGGCTAGGCCCGCCGACGCGGTGCTCCACTCCAACGGCGAAATTTTGCCGGCGTGGATTTGGGCTTCATTAGCACAGTTTCGTTAGGCAACCATATTTTCTGGAGCATGTTTGTGCATTGTTTTTTGAATTTACGGACGAACATGTACGGCGGGAGAAGGTGTCGCGCATAGGTGGCGTAGAGACAGATTGTTGTGCATGCCTGGCGGAGTCGAATTGTTGCAGCCTGGAAAGGGAAAGAGCATGCCGACCCAACGACGACTGTGATGCCGATGCCGATATGTGTCAAGGGGGGGTTGAGATGACGGAAGATGGGAATGCGTGCCGATGATGTACGATTTACGATACGCTGTATACGTGTGTAGAAAAGTCGAGAAACCTCGGGAGGGACCGTGTGGTGTTTTGTTCTAGCGCGATGGAAGCCTCGCATTCGGTCTTTGCGGTCAGCCGTCTGCGGTCACCGCCAAAACGCTTGATACGCGTTCCGCCGCATGATCGCTACGCTGGCGCGAAACCCTGACTTGGAAGCTTCTATCCCCGTTTTTTACTCTTCCCAGATGCGGGTATTTTTCTTTTTCCGTCGATGCCCAGCATACCAGGCGTCCGATGACTCTGACCGTTCGTCAGACTCATCGACCCAGACAGGACAGTACCGCAGCATGGCTTTGATCAGGCAGCATCAATCTCTTGTTTTGCGGGATACCGTCATCTAATTCCTGCGGAATACCGCAACGGACGAATGAGCAAAGCCAATGGAAGCTGAGATGGAGCCAAGAGATTGCGCCCGTCATATCGCTTGCATCGCCTTTTCCTCGCGTGCGATTAGCTCCGACCCACCGGTACAAGCTTTGTTCGCGTGTGCGAGCGTGATACCGGCAGCGAGATCTAGCGCCTCGGGGACGGGGACGGTGGACAAGATAGTCATGGTGAGGAAAAATAGTTGTCCGTTTACTACCCCTTCAGCCTTAACTCCGCCCTTTTGGAGCGTGTGGCACTCCTATTTTTGATGCGACCCACTGTGACTATAACTGGACGCTGCCCTCCCTTTCCCCAAGGCTGTAGTTGAACGTACCTCATCATCTTGCACTTCTGCGCTTCTTTGTGCCAGACCGTTGACGATTTGTTTGTTCTTGGCGTAGCGTTTGCTCCCTTACATCATCGACTCTCCAACGCCCTTTCTTCAGATGGCCGATCCAAACAACCAACTACGCCCCTCGAGTATGGCGGACTCGGAAAAGACCGCCACACCTAGCGTTCCACCTGCTGTCACAGAGGAGAAGAAGGGTCCTGTTGAAATAGTGCTTCCTGCCACCACAACTGCCGTTGATGCTACACGGCCTATCACCGGTGAAAAGGCATTGACTTCACGACCCGACTCGGCAGTCGTCCCTACGGAAGAAGAGGAGGACAGTTTCGAGTACCCGACCAAATGGAAGCTGGCAGCAATCAGTATTGCATTGTGTCTGAGTGTGTTTTGCATGGCTCTCGTAAGTATAACGTCCCTAGATCATCGGTTCCACAGTTTTGGTAAGCCGGGATCGACAGCGGCTGAAGCTGTCAAACCTCAAATGGGCCGCTAGTGAACGTTGCTAACGTGCCACTAGGATAACACAATCATCGCAACCGCTATTCCTCGCATCACGGACGACTTCAAGGCCCTTAACGATGTTGGCTGGTATGGATCATCCTACCTGCTCACCACTTGCGCGACGCAACTCTTCTATGGAAAGCTGTACACTTTCTTCTCGATCAAATGGGTCTACCTCATTGCGCTCTTCATCTTCGAACTCGGCTCCTTGATCTGTGGTGTTGCGCCAAACTCGATTGCTCTCATCATTGGTCGTGCGATTTCTGGTGTAGGTGCGGCTGGTATCTTCTCTGGAGCCATCTTGATCATCTCGGTCACTGTGCCGCTGCGCCAACGCCCAACATACATGGGACTCATTGGTGGCATGTACGGTATTGCGTCTGTTGCTGGTCCACTGTAAGTTGTGATGTACTCATAAGATAGTCACCAAGATGCTAACAAATGCTTAGTATGGGAGGAGCCTTTACCGACCATCTTTCGTAAGTAACCTTAGACACCCATATCAATCAGCCAGTTTACTGACAAGCCCAGATGGCGATGGTGCTTCTACATCAACCTTCCTTTCGGTGCTGTCACAGCAGCTTTCATCGTCCCCTTCCTCAATGTCAAGCGCCGCGGCGCCAAGGTCCAGGCTACATGGAAGCAACAACTCCAGAAGTTCGATCTTCCCGGTACTGCGTGCTTTTTGCCAGCCATCATCTGCTTGTTGCTTGCTCTCCAGTGGGGTGGCAGCAAGTATGCATGGGGCAGCGCGCGCATCATTGTGCTTCTCGTCCTCTTCGTTCTCTTAGTCTGTGGATTCATTGCCATCCAGTGGTGGAAGCAGGAGGATGCTACTGTCCCCCCTCGCGTTTTCCTCAACCGTAACGTATGGGGCTCTGCATGGTTTGGTGCCATGCTGGGTGCAGCTTTCTTCCTCATCGTCTACTATCTCCGTAAGTCCCAGGTCCAGGCTCTTCTTCAACATGGAGGAGTGCAAAGTAGTCGAACAACATTGCTAACATATCGCAGCCATCTGGTTCCAGGCAGTCAAGGGAGCATCGGCTACCAAGTCTGGTATCATGAATCTTCCCGCGATTCTCGGTCTCGTCATCATCTCCATGCTTGCTGGTGGCGCCGTGACCACTCTCGGATACTACACGCCGTTCATGCTCCTCTCTTCGGTTCTCATGGCTATTGGTGCTGGTCTGCTATCAACCTTGGAGGTTGGCAGTGGATCTGCCCTGTGGATCGGTTACCAGTTCATCTTTGGTGCGGGTGTCGGTTTTGGCATGCAGCAAACCCTCGTGGCGGTTCAAACGGTGCTTCCTGTGGACGATATTCCCATTGGTACTGCAATCATGATGTTCTGCCAAACACTCGGGGGCGCTCTCTTCATCTCGGTCGGCCAGAACGTCTTCACCAACCAGCTCATCAAGAACCTCAGCAGCGTGGTACCGGAGCTCAACGCCCACATCGTGCTCAGCGTCGGCGCAACAGAGCTCAAGCATGTCATTGATCCCAGGTTCCTACCTGGTGTGCTCACTGCGTACAACACGACGCTGACGCAGACATTCTACGTCTCAGTAGCATGTGGTGCTATGTCGATTGTTGGTGCCGCGTTTGTGGAGTGGAAGTCGATGAAGGGCAAGCAAATACAAATGCACGCAGCTTGAGCGAAGCCAACGGACCGAGAGGATAAGACGGAATCGACCGACCTAGGCCACTTTAAAGTGTAATCCGACTTCACGAATTATTGGACGATGTGATCGTCTGTTGTATGATACCCCTTTTCGTCGGAATTTTCTGCTGGCAAGTCAGCACTAGTATAGGGTACAAGCGCGGCGTCCGGTTGGTTTGGCATAAATGTGCTACTGTGTCATGAGTAAAGATTCTAATATGGGAGTGTGGGATGTAGAAAGCTGCTGGATGCAGCAGATGGCCTATAAGCCAGTCGTGCTGAAGCACAAAGACTCTTCGCTCCTGAAAAGCTTGATAGATACATGTGATAATTCAAAATCATGGCGTTTTTTTAAGGTTTACGATATTCTCGTATTTGCAATAAACAACGCTCAGCCCTTTTCTGTCACATCCGCGCGTTGCCGGGTACCTCTAAATTACTGGCCAAGCCGCGCAGATGCAGCGCAGTACTGCTTTTGGGTCGGGCCGGGTGGATGAAGTAGTCTTGCACAGCCACTGTGACGTCAGCCGTCAGCCTGGCACGCTGCGTTTTTCTCCATTAATTTTTGGTCGTCACATGCGCCACACGCGCAACACATGCAGAGGCGCATGACCGAAAAGATGAGGGTAAGCGGGGCCACACGGCTGTTTAGGACGAATCAAGTCGACGACCGCTAGAGACTCCACACTGGATTGGTTCGCGGTGGCTGGGGGTTCTGGGCACCAAATGCTTAGCAAAGCTTGTTTCGTACAAGGGCAAGGCCTCGCCTGTCGCCCAAGTCCTGTCCTGCACTGCGCCCGCCTTTTGATTGCGCCCCGTGCAACCAAGGCCCTGCGCCAGCGACTGTTGACGATTCTGCGGCCATAGCCATTCAATTCCTTCTTCTAGCCGCGCCATCTTGCGCTGTCGATCCCTTCATGTTGGTCTAAATAACAACTCTCTGCGCACCCGAGCTTCCGTAAGCTTCCCTTGAGAAACACTCGTCGCGCGCCGCAGATATGGCAGACACAAACGTAAACGGCTTGCCGCCAGCCGATGCTGCAAGCGGAGCTGCACCAGCCACAGAAGAGAAGGAGAATGGACATCCGAATGGCGACATGCCCAAGCCGCAGAAATCAGACACTGGTTTCGCAAGCAAGAAGAAAGGCCCAGAGGGCGGCTTCGACGAGACGCCCATACCGCGCGCGCCTCCTGGCTACACGGTCAAGTTTACGTTGCACCGCGCAAACAACCTGCCGCTCGCCGATATCAACACTCTCTCGGCCGACCCATTCGTCGTCGCCCAGCTCACCACGGGGCTCCCAACGAGACACAAGGAAGACCCGCCGCTGACGATGCGCACGCCTACGATACGGCAGAGCACCGATCCCGAGTGGAACAGCGAGTGGATAGTGGCCAATGTGCCGGCGTCTGGCTTCAGGCTCAAGTGTCGCATATACGACGAAGACCCTGCAGACCACGACGATCGCCTGGGCAACGTGCATGTCGAAGTCGGCGCCATCAATGAGGGTTGGGAAGGCATACACGACCAGACGTTTCCAATTCGGAAGCGCATGGTGAGCAAGCGAGCGTATGCGCTGCGTGCCATGGCCGTGTGCTTTGGCAAGGCGCACCATATGAGCGGTACGCTCAATGTCAGCGTTGAAGTGCTGGGTAGGACAGGGGACGAAAATGGCGGGCGCGCCTACACCATTGGACCGCAGTTCTGGATACGGCATTACTCGCCGCTATTGGGACGTCTGCTGGGCCAGAAAGAACCCAATGAAGATGGCCAAGTGTCGCGGAGAACAGGCAAGCAGAAGCCGGAAAAGTACAACTTCCAGTCCAACCAGATGCAGCTACGCGGCCCAGTGCCCGAAGCAATGTACCACCGCTACGTCGAATTCAAGCCGTTTGTTAAGAGCATGTACACGGCCAAAGGCGTGCGGGGTTTCATCCTATCCAAAGCCCTACACCACCAACACGCGCGCGTCTACAACTTCGACGCGGCCACAGAATTCAAAGTCCTGCCAGGCCCCTGCAAAGAATTCGCTCAAAAGTTCCTTGAGCTCGTCCACTGGGACCAAGGCGGCCGCATCTTCACCTACGTCCTCACCCTCGACGCCCTCTTCCGCTTCACGGAAACAGGCAAAGAATTCGGCATTGACATGCTAAGCAAGCACACCATGCACAGCGACGTAGCACCCTACATTGCCTTTTCCGGCGAATTCTTTATCCGCCGCCTCAAACATAAGGACCGCAAACCTCCAGACGAAGGCGGCGACAACGCCGCCCACCCCCCCTCGGACATTGACGGTGGCCCCCCCAACGACGACCCAAAGAAAGACCCCGCCTACTACGAACTCGTCATCGACAACGACTCAGGCACCTACCGTCCCAACGCCGCCCTCCTCCCCCAGCTAAAAGCCTTCTTCGAAACAAACTTCCCCGGCCTGCACATCCGCACCCTCGACTGCCAGGGCGACGCCGAGAAAATGGAGGCCATGAAGTCGGAGCAGCGCGAGCGCAAGAAGCAAGAGGGCCAGGCGGTCGTGTATACCCAGATTAGCAGGAGTAGCAGTATGAGTAGCAGTGATGAGGAGGAGTTGGATCGCTTGGAACGAGAGGGTGAGATGGCGCCTAGGCATTTGAGACATCAGGTGCAACGCGAGGCCGAGGCTAGGGTCGATGCGATGAAGTTTCATGCTAAAGAATTTAGGCCGAGGGGTAAGCGCGGTGGTGCGGCTGACCAGGGGAATGCTGCGTCGTCGTCTGCTGCGGCGGTGTAGGAGGGACTACTATACCCCTCCCTTTTTAATACTGTTTCTTCTCTCTTCCCCTTTTGATGTCATGTTGGTTATGAAAAGATTGATCTTTTCCCTCACTTGTCGCGATTTTTTTTCTCTTTATACCACTGAGTCTTGTAGCCTTTTGTCTAGAGTGTTGGATATAGGAGCGAAAAGAAAAAAAACAGCCTCCTTACTTGTCACTGCATGCAAGCCATTATCAGCCACGTAAAGCCTTGCTTGCTCAACATAATCAATCTATCAATCTCGTTTGTCTAATGTATAACCGTATCCATAGAATAAGCTTGGTGATGCATCTCAACACATTTTCTTCAGCGCACCTCGCGCTGGACCCAGTCCCAGACTTTACCTACGTACTCCTCGTTCAGAGGCTTCACATCCCTGAGTGCTTCAACACGTCTAGACGTCTCCTGAATGTCAAACTGCTTCCTCGGGTCCTCTTTGACCTCACTCTCACCCTCACCACCCGCATAAGCCTCCTTCCACAACCCTAGCAGCTTCAGCGCAGAGTGCTCCGACTCATCCGATTCCTCTAAGCGTTTCACCCACTCTTTCGGACTCACAATGTCAAACTTTTCCTTCTTCTGCAGCCACAGCAGCATCTGATGCCACGTCGGCTCTTGGTGCGGGTTAAGTACGTGGTAGACAGGCATGTGCGTTCTTTCGGTATCTGAAGTCGTCGTTTGCAGATATGCTTTTGCGGCCAAATCAACAGGGAGCCAATCTAGGGGCCCAGAGCCGAGATCAGGTAGACAATGGATTAGGCTTGCGGTGCTGAGCATCATGGGCCAAGCTTCTTTGGTGTTCCATATGCCTGATGTTGAGGCCCCGGCGAGCTGACCTACGCGTACAACTGCTATACGTCCGTGAAGACGCGTTTGCTCATGTGCTGAGAGACAGATATGCTCTGCCACCCATTTCGAACGTGAGTAGCCGAGTGGAGAGGCTGAAGAGGGATCTGAGGATAGTTGTTCCGGGAGTTTGTTGTTTTGGTTGACAGGAGCGTTTATGATAGCGGCAGTCGAAGAGCAGTATGTGAAGCGAGGAGGTTGAGAGCGCTGTGCTGTGAGTGCGAGATCGACCAAATTCCTTACGCCGGCGATGTTGTCTGTAACGAAGCTGCGGAGCTTGAGGCGGAAGTTTACTGTCCAGGCGATGTGAATGATGGACGTAGCCTTTTCTGCTAGGTAATCGTAGGTTTCGTCGCCTAGACCCAGACGCCCTTCACCCAGCTGTGAGGGTATGACCTTGATCTTGTCATTTAATATGTCAGATGCCCCCGGGTTGGTCAGACCGCGCTGTTCCAACGCTTTTCTAACTCGTTCCTTCGCCGCATGTTCATCTGACCCTCTGACGAGGCAATAAATGGCTTCCACGTCTGGATTTTTCTGCAACAAATGCAAAATGTGGGCACCCAATGCACCGGTAGCTCCAGTAAGTACTACCACTTCAGCATCCTTATCCTTGACAAGAGTTCCGTTAGTTGAGGTTTTCGTCTGCGTTTGGGGATATCCGAATGTCCCGTACTGTTTCACGAGGTCCCTCATTGCCTTTTCTTCGTCTTCCTCGTCTGCATCGCTTTCCCTGTGCCTCTTCCGTAGGATATAATTTGTCAGTCGTCGTATCGTACCGCAATCTTCTACCACGCTCATAGGTAACTGCCCTTCCAAGCCCGGTATCAAACGTCTCAGACGTGTTCTCAGCTGCATGCATGCAATCGAGTCCACTCCATATGAAAACAAGTCCATGTCTTCGCTGAGCTCGGAACACTGGCCGGTCATGCCTTGTATAAGTTTGATCAGATATTGCGGTAGATCTTGATCGCTCACTTCAGGCGATGAATCCGAGTCTTGGGAAGCATACGCGTTATCAATAACGTCCTCGAAGCGAGATTCTGCCGCTCTTCTGATGATGGTCCCCTTGCTACTCTTTTCGAGCGGTTGTTCTTGATGAGGTAGTGGAACGAGCATATCGAACGGTATCCTTGCATGGTCTTGACTTTCGCTGTTGAGCTTCTCGACATGTGCTCTTATGGCACTGAGAAGCTCTTGGTCCGACATGTCACTCGATTCTGCTGATCGCAAAAGGAGTGCACCTGGGAAGGGTCGGTTATTTCCAAATATCAGCACGTCTTCAACGTGAGGAGACGTTGCCATGGCATCTTCAAGTGGCGCTGGGTCAAATTTCTTCCCCGTTATGAGCGTGAGTTGTGAGTCTGCTCGTGAATGGTAAAGCCACGCATTCGGGACAGAAGGATGTGGAGCGAACAAGTCGGCGGTTGCGAACGACCCATCAGACCGGTTTTTCTTCGCCTGTTTTTACTCAGCAACTGAAACTGTGAAGTCATATAGGGAAATTACCATATGTGGCCATCCGGGTTTTATCACGAGTTCCGCAAGACCACCCTCTTGCTCCTCAAATTCCACTAACTTTGGTGGGTTATAGTTTCGCAGATACTGCCAATCATCGTCCGTAGCGAAATCACGATAAGATGATAAAATAAAGCCACACTCTGCACTACCAAATCTGGAGATGAGATTGACTCCGTTCTTGACCAGCCTATCACCGACTTCTGCTGGTAACGCCGCGCCGCCAACTCCCACAATGTCCATACCTTGCAGTAAACCAAGGCCTTTCTCATCAGCTTCCATCATCTGTAGAATATAAGGAACCGATGAGAAATACTTGACCTCGGGTAGACCTAGTGTTGAAGCATATGACTGAGCTGTGTATAGACAGCTACAGATATTACGTGCAGTTATGGGTACGTCTTTGCCCGGAAACAGCCAGATCAGAGCGTTGCTGGTCCAACATCTGAACAAATCCGCGATCCCTCCGTGATATAGGGGGGTGGTGGTGAATGAAGCTATAGTCGGTATCTTGGGGAGATGGGGAAGGACTCCAATGGCCGCACGATGAGATTGTGGGATGGGCTTTGGGAGACCTGAAGAGGTACCAGAGGTGTGGTGTAAGTATGCAACGGCTCGTTCATCGACATCGAGAGGTACAGCATCATGTTCAATAGGTACTTGAATCGCCGTAAAGATGTCTTCTGAATCAAGCAGTGGCAACAGACGTACTTCAAGCCCGGGGATTCCTTGTTCTGTTGCCAGGCTTTCCGTCTTGTGAGCCCTCTCAGTGTGAGCGGCATCATGGTAGAAGACAGAAACCTGGGACGATGTGCAGAGATGTAATATGGCCGCGGGCTGACACTGAGGCGCAATCAGGAGGACGGCGTAGCCCAGCCTTATCAGCCCCAACCACGTGAAGAGGAACTCGGGAGAGCTATGGCACAGTAGAGCAACTGTCTGGGGGGTACCAGATGAGCTTGGGCCACGTGTATTGCAAAGCCGTGAAGCAAATACATGCGTTCCTTGGTCAACGTCTGCAAAGGTAAGGACCTTGTAGGGCCATTTTTGTTGGTCTGGCTGTGGGATGGGAAAACCAACGGCTGGAAGTAGGGGGTGATGCTGGGCCTGCTGACTGATGAATTCGCTGATGTTTCGGTATGACTTGGGATTGGTGTTCAAAGCGGCAGCTTGACCCAGGGTGCAGACAAAGTAATTGGGTTGCATTGTGAGGAGCAATATAATTGACAAGCAGCGAGTATCCCTTCCAAGGGACCCTGGTGAGGTGTGGTTTGATGGGCCAGGCCATGGCCACAAAGTCTCAATTGGACGTGAGGCTCGATTCCGAGTCGTGACATCATCTACACTAGACTACAAAGGCAGGAGGCAGTAGCGACCATGCAGTCCAATGCATAGCGCAACATGCGTTGGCAGAAGACGTTACCCCACTACGGCAGAGAACGACTTGCAAGGACCCGCGGGCGGCAGAGATGAGCTGAGCTGTTAAGTATATAGTCGATTGCGGAGGTCCAAGGATGGCACGTAAGCATGTCAGTGCCTCGCGCACGCGCCACGCGTTCGAGAAGCCTACGTGGTCTTGTTGTGGAGACGAGACAGACGACGTGTAAGTACTTGGGTTTGTAGATTGGCCATGGTTGAAGAAACCTGTTTTGGTAGCAGATGTGTTTAGTACAAGGTTACGCGTACCGCCTACGAAGCGATAAGCCTCATCATGGCTTATACACCCAATAAGATGTCGTGGGTTTGTACGTGGCGCACAAAGGACGAAATAGGCTATGGTAGTCTTTGTGCAAGCCTGCAAAGAGAAAGCGGGCAGTTGTTGGGGAACACGCGTGTCCCCGGCTTACGACTGTTGCAGGCGCCACTGCCACGATGAATTTACCAGACGCCACATCTCACCACTACATTTCTGGGGCAGCACTGCATGGGCGGACAAGGTCGGCGCATCTTCACCTTGCATCCGGGTTCAAGATGGGCATCATGCCTACAGTGTTTGCATAGCACACAGTCGCTGCCCCCTGTGCAACTGCATTCTCATGGTTGTCATTGTTGTTGTTGACACGAGTCAGCAGCCTCGTGTAAGCACCGGTTCCTACGTATGGCGAGCGTTAATCCCAACCTCGTGACCATGCATGGACGTCTTGGGATAGGAGTGGGGAGTAGCTCGCAGCTCGCAGGTGGCGGTGTGTGGCACTGCGAGAGCAAATACCGAATAGCTTGAAAACAAACGGCATGCGCCTTTTTATCTGGAATGAAATAGTCGTGATTGGCGTCGCGCTGGGCACATGCATGGTTCTGTGCGGGCCGAGGAAGCATGTGCGGGTCACCATGGAAGGTAATACGCTATAGGTAATCGGAACTCATAATAATGGATGCGACACGGCTCTAGCGACCAGCCATCCCAGCCGAGTTTGCAGTTGGTATTATGTTTGCCTTGGCCGTGGACCGAGTCTTCTCGACAGTCATGGCATCTGAAACAGCACGACACAGTTGTGAATCCTGATGATGCAAGGCTGCAATTGTTTTTCGAGCGGCCAATGGAGCAGCGGTGGCGCTCGGCCCGCTAAACGATGCTTGCCCGTTAATGAGAAGCCGGCCAGTGTCAGTGGATAGGGACATGCGCTGCACGGCCACCTGCTAGGGTGGGTTGATATCCCGACGTACCTACAGTATGTACCGGGGTGGGGAGTGTACCAGTACGTGCTGGGGCAGTGATGGTCGTTTTTTTGTTCCTTTGCGCCAGAGCCAAGCAGCTCAACGCGCGCTGGGCGCAAGAGGCTGCACGGCATGGCACAAGAGGGAGTTGAATGGCCAATATAGGCGTCGAGTGCGCGTCGGACAGAGGGTCACTGCCGCAGGCGGTATATCCGACGCGTGGCGGGTTTTGGGACTGTCTTCGTCTGAAACAGGTGCGGCCAGCGTGACAATGTCTTTGTCAAAACCCGCCTGCGCAACTCAGTGTGCACCGAGGAGCCCAAGGCTTCGGCAGACCGGCAAAAAAGAGTGGTGACGGCAATGCAAATGAGCAATTTCCAACTCGACGGAACAGTCAAAAGTCGGCCAGGTAGTCTCTCGGTCGCGTCTGAGCGTATCTCCAAATCAATTGCCCTAGCTGCTTAAAGGCAGGCACGGCCGCTTAGCGTTGTTTCTCTCGCCCGTGCGCGCCAGCATATATTCCTGCCCTCCCCAGCAACACCCGCCTCTTCTATCCGTTCCCCAAACCAGCATTAAATCACGCTGTAAGTCCCACTCAATCTACGGCAAACCCACCCGAGCATATAATCCCTCCATTGCCCATTCAATCGCTGCCCCAAAACACCCTTTCCTCGCCCTACATAGCCGCTCCATACGTAGCCGCTGCCGATCTCCCACTGACTCTGCATCCCCTCAGGCATTGATACTCTGTCGCATCGACTTCAACACAACAATGCTCTACTCTACTCTCATCGTCGCCGCATCGGCTTTTGCCGGCTTTGCCTCTGCGCAGAACGCGAGCTCGCAGTTCCAGACACCCATCCCCTGCTGCTCCGTCGACGCCGGCTCCGTGCCCATGAACGACAAGCAGACATGGTGCACTGCCAATCAGAACACGTGCGTTGAGCTGTGCGGTGGCCAGGGCAAGCTTGCAAGCAACGGTAACTCGTGCAGTGCTGTACGTACATCTCGTGCTTTCACGTGCTGCATAGACTAACAGAGGCGCAGCAATCCCTTGAGTACTCGTGCGACTGCCGAAACGGTACTTCCATGACCGATGTCATGAGTAAATACCAGCAGACAGTACCCGGCCAAATGTGCCGCGTCTGGTATGACCAGTGCATTACCGCAAGCGGCTCCGACGATGCTGCCCAGTTCCAGTGCATCCAGGCGCGCGATAACCTGTGTGGTAACCTCACCACTACCGACGCGACCAACGCGGGTAACGGCAACTCAGGAGGAAGCTCTGCCTCTGCTTCTGCCAGCAGCAAGCCTTCATCTACCGGCGGCTCTTCTTCTGGAGCCTCGCCGACCCCCTCGGCCTCTACCGCACCTGCCGGCAACGCGGCTGCTACTCTCGCCCAGTACGGCACACCTGCTCTTGCTGGTGGTCTTCTTGCCATCTTCGGCTTTGTCTTGTAAAGCGCCAGCACTGTTGGGGGGAGTTCGGGCCGGTCCCAGTTGGACGGTGATGAAGAGAGGGTGAGAATCGTCACGGATATCAGCAAGGCGACACCACATGCGGTGAAGCGTTTACAGTGTTTCAGCATTGGCAGCACATTGCTTTGACAGCTATCTACATGGGGTTTACTTGTTCACCACTGCTGCGGATGGAAGGAGAGCATTCTAGGAGGATACTTAATGCGATGTTATGAAAGGACACACGACTTGTAATACCCAATACTACCATTTCCGCCGTTAGGTTATGACTTTGTCGCGTCTGTGCTGTGTCGCGTGCTCTAGATCTGACGTATGTGCGCCCAACGGTACCATCATGTGCAAGGTCGAGTCAAGTCATGGCTGAAGCAGTTGCCGAGCAGTGCACCATGCGCGCGCAGACGACCTGTCACCCGTCGGCTACCCAGGTATACCCCAAGCTGTGTTGATGTTGTGACTTGCCAAGAGCGACTCCTTCGTGACGATTGGTCAATTGTGCAAGCTGATCGACCGACTGGAGGATAAGCGTGCTGCAGCAACTGGGACCCATGCCCATGACGGAAGACGACCATTGAAAAACATCCGACTTGCATAGCTAGCTTTTCAACCCCCAACAACTGCGCCATCGCTCAGACACGTATTTTACACCTTCGTCCAATTCAGTAACACCAAGACGTTGTCACCGCCATCTCCCACTTGGCAAGATTTTTCCAGCATTGCCGCATCACAAGCTGCCTCGGTCTTTGCCGATTCGTACGAGGGGTGCGTTACACTTGCTCCAAGAGCCGAAATGTGGCTAGAGCAATTCCTCTCTTACTCTCTTACTGACTGCCCACAGGCCCGATAGGACTCATATAAAGTGGCTATCTTGAGACCCACGAAACTCTTGTTGCTCGCGTCACACTCACCTACCTACTACGTTACAAGGCCGCACCAACTCCGAGCCATACATAAGCGCATTGTAGTACCCTCCTACATATCTCATACCATCAATTCTCAACCCAGAGGATACAAATTCAGAACCATGGCGACTCTCAGTGCTGGACGTAAGCACAAAGTCACGGTAGTTGGCTCCGGCAACTGGTGCGTAGTCTATACGGCAATTGCAAACATGAGCTCACTGGTCTAGGGGCACTACCATGGCCAAACTCGTCGCTGAGAATGTCAAGGAGAATCCGACTCTGTTCGAAGAGACGGTCCAGATGTGGGTCTTCGAAGAGGAGTACACATTACCAAAGGACTCCCCCCACTACAACGGCTCCGACAAGCCTGAGAAGCTCTCCGGCATCATCAACAGGGTTCACGAAAACGTCAAGTACCTGCCAAATATCACCCTCCCGTCCAACGTGGTCGCCAACCCCGACCTACCCGACTCCTGCAAAGACTCGACCATGCTCATCTTTGTGCTGCCGCATCAATTTATTGCCCGATCAAGCCAACAGCTGGTTGGAAAGATTCTCCCTTATGCGCGAGCTATCTGCTGCACAAAGGGTGTCGATGTTAGTGAGAAGGGCATTCGGCTCATGTCGGAGACCATCGGCATGACCCTCAACATATACTGTGGGGCTCTTTCAGGAGCGAACATTGCTTCTGAGATTGCTCAAGAAAAGTACTCGGAGACGACTGTGGCATACGATCCGCCACCGATGGATTCGCGCAACCCCACCCCAAGTGGGTCGCCGACTTCTTCCATGATCGACCTCACTGCTCAAGTCGATCTCATCGATCCGAGCAAGTCGCAGCCCAGCAAGCGGTCGGCACGACTGACGCCTCTGCCCAGCGAGTACCCCCCTCTGTCGCATGACAATGTCCGCAAGCTCTTCCACCGTCCCTACTTCCACGTCCATATAGTCAACGACGTCGCTGGTGTCTCGCTTGGCGGAGCGCTCAAGAACATCATCGCCCTCGCAGCGGGCTTTGTGGACGGTCTGGGTTGGGGAGACAACGCCAAAGCTGCTGTCATGCGTGTTGGTATCATGGAGATGGTCAAGTTTGGCAAAGCCTTCTTCGGAGAGAGCGCCCGTACCAGCACCTTTACCGAAGAAAGTTGCGGTGTGGCAGATGTCATCACTTCATGCATGGGTGGCCGTAACTTTCGCTGTGCGAAGATGGCTGTTGAGCGTGGAAAGACAATCTACGAGATCGAGCAATCGGAGCTCAATGGCCAGAAGCTTCAGGGCACTAGTACCGCCTACGAGGTGAACGAGTTCTTGAAGGCTGAGGGTATGGAGGACGATTTCCCCCTCTTCACCGCCGTGTACAACATCCTGGAGGGCAAGAATAAGCCCGAGGACATTCCTCAGCTCATCGAGAAGAAGCCTTAGACGATGCCAGGTGCGATCGAGCACGGTGTAGAACAACGAGCGGTCCCATACACATACACTTGACGACGACTCTGACAGCGAATACCCCTCAAATAGATTAGATGCCCCTTGAAGGAAAGCTTCTAGAATACATGTCCCTTGGATAAATGCATAATGTACATGTTTGAGAATTAGTAATCAAATCATTGTTTCCTCTTTGTACGCAACCACCCTGCACCTGCATATAGGCGACACGGCAGATGGCACCGGCCGCGCTCTTAATGCAGCCGAGTGACAAGATGTGGCGCCCGATTTGTATCGGACCAGCTCCGCGGAGGATGCGCCAATGCCGCCTCGTTAGCGCAGACTGACATGGATGCTTCGCCTAGGTGTTGCACATGTCAGGTTTGCCATTCAATCCACTTCATACAGGCAAATTTGACTCGTGTTTGCCAAGGGGACATGCAGGGACTGTAAACAGTGGACATGTAGCCGTGCGTACGAGATTTTGTACGCCAGAATCGCGTGCGAAAAGTGTCATCTGTGATTGGTAATGCACACAGACGTCACATTTCGTACTACCCACAATCTGTGTGGGCTATCTAGTTCCTTGGCACCGCTCCAATCGGTATCAAAGCTTATAAATGACGAAGTTACCGCTTTAGCTCCGACTCCGATGTCTTCTGCTGCTCGGATTTGTCAACATGTATGTCCTGTAGCCCCGGACTCAAGGGCCTAGTACTTTTTTCGTCACAAGAAACAACAATCAAGACGCGTTTTTTACTCCTCCGGTGCAAGTGACCTCTTTGCTGCACCCTCTATCCATTTCTGTTTGCAATTCCTTCGCATTCTCTTTGTGTGGCTGTTCGTTGCCAAACTACGTTCTTTATAATACACCTACACCATGTGGGGATCCGCAATTGCACCCGCAGAACGAGACAGTCGCCGGAATCCATGGCACGAAGACGACTACATCCGCAATGGCAGAGAAGAGGTCGCCGGTTCGGATGACCAAAGCGATGACGACAGTCCCAACAGCCCCAACAGAAAGCGCCTTTCACGTTCTGGGACGTGGGGCGAACGTGATGCTGGAAGGCTAGACACACATGCAGCTGAACAGGATCTGGAGGTATTGCGAGGAGAGCTTGCATCACTCTCCAAATCAAAATCACATGGTGCACAGTCACAGCGATCGAATGCCCTTTCGAGGACCGCGAGCAGGATTAGTACACGCCATAACCAACATCGAGCCACACGCCAGCATACGCATGACAATGAGCCTGAAGAGCCTGGCAACGCCGCGGGAGATGAAAAGGAGGATGACTTCGAGCTCGACAAGTTCATGCGTGAAGGGCACTTTGAGAAACGCAAGGATGGCCAATCAGCGAAGAAAGTTGGTGTCATCTATAAGAACCTCACCGTCAAAGGCGTAGGGTCTACAGCTTCATTCGCCAGAACTCTGCCTGATGCAGTCTTGGGCACCTTCGGTCCCGATCTTTACCGCATCGTCTCAAACTTCGTTCCGGCGCTCAAGTTTGGGAAGCACAAGCAGATGAGGACACTCATAAACGACTTCACTGGCGTGGTCAAGGATGGAGAGATGATGCTTGTGCTGGGACGTCCTGGATCCGGATGTTCGACCTTCCTCAAGGCCATCGCGAATAACCGGGAGAGTTACGCTGCAGTCGAAGGTGACGTTTCATACGGCGGTATACCAGCCGACAAGCAGAAGAAGCAGTTTAGGGGTGAGGTCAATTACAACCCCGAAGATGACTCTCACATGGCCGATCTCAATGTTTGGCAGACGCTCAAGTTTGCCCTCACTACCAAAACGAAAAAGCACGAAAAACATGAGATTCCTATCATACTTGATGCGCTCCTCAAGGTATTTGGTATATCTCACACCAAATACACAAAGGTTGGAGATGAATATGTCAGGGGTGTCAGTGGAGGTGAGCGCAAACGTGTCTCCATCGCGGAGACTCTCGCCACGAAAAGCACAGTCGTCTGTTGGGACAATAGCACCCGTGGGCTCGATGCCAGTACTGCTCTCGACTATGCAAAGTCACTGCGCATTATGACCGACATTAGCAACCGCACCACACTCGTCACGCTCTACCAGGCGGGAGAACAGATCTACGAAGTCATGGACAAGGTCATGGTCATCGATGCCGGTCGTTGCATCTACCAGGGACCCGCACGTGCTGCAAAGCAATACTTTGAGGATCTTGGCTTCAAATGCCCTGAACGCCAGACCACTGCTGACTTTCTCACCGCTGTCACTGACCCCACGGAGCGCCAATTCCGTCCTGGATTTGAGGACAAGGCACCGAGAACGGCAGAGGAGCTTGAGAAGGCATTCAGAGAGAGTGGAATGTACAAGAGCGTGTTGAGAGAGGTTGGAGAGTACGAGAGCGACTTGGAGAGGAGTGACTTCGTGCAAGCAAAAGAGTTTGAAGGAGCAGTGCGTGAAAGCAAGAGCAAGACTGTGCGCAAGAAGAGCCCTTTTACCGTCTCTTTTGTGCGACAGGTGCTTGCCTGCACGCAAAGAGAGTTCTGGTTGACATGGGGCGACAAAACCACTCTCTACACGAAATTCTTCATCATTCTCTCCAACGGTCTCATTGTCGGCTCCTTGTTCTACGGTCAAGCACTTGACACGTCGGGAGCCTTCTCGCGAGGTGGTTCCGGCTTCTTCTCTATTCTGTTTTTAGGTTGGCTCCAGCTATCGGAACTCATGAAGGCTGTATCTGGCCGAAATGTGGTCAAGAGGCATGAGGACTATGCTTTCTACAGACCTAGTGCCGTGGTAATTGCACGTGTACTGCAGGACTTTCCGTTGCTTCTTGCACAAGTGATACCGTTCTGTAAGTTTCGCTTTCTATCCTCTCATACGGCATTTACTAATGTGTCTAGCAATTATAATGTACTTCATGACTGGACTTGATGTGGACGTTTCCAAGTTCTTCATCTACTTCTTATTCATCTACGTCACCACTTTTTGCATCACGACACTTTACCGCATGTTTGCCGCACTTTCGCCTAGTATCGACGACGCTGTCCGATTCGCCGGTCTCGCTCTCAACCTTCTCATCATATACACCGGCTACGTTATCCCCAAACCAGACTTATTGACTAAATATATTTGGTTCGGATGGCTCTATTGGGTCAACCCCGTAGGGTACTCCTTCGAAGCGGTATTGACGAATGAGTTCTCTGATCGAATCATGGAGTGCGCCCCGGGTCAATTGGTACCTCAGGGACCGGGTGTTGACGCCGCGTATCAGGGATGCAGCTTGACGGGTGCGTCACCAAACTCGAACACCGTGTCTGGCGCGGACTATCTCGATGTGTCTTTCAGCTATTCGAGATCGAATCTCTGGCGCAACTTTGGTGTCCTTATTGCCTTCACGATTCTCTATCTTTTGGTGACGGTGATTGCAACCGAGACTGTCTCTTTTGTGCAGTCAGGTGGCGGTGCGCTGGTCTTTGCCAAGAACAAGCGTGCGAAACAGGCTGTAAAGGAAGAGGCTCCTGCCGACGAGGAGCAGGTCGTTGCGGGCGAGTCTACCTCAAGCTCTTCTGACACCGCTGCACACGAAGAGGAGACACTGGAGTCCATCTCGAGCAGTGAGAGTGTCTTTACCTGGAGCGATGTCGAATATACCGTTCCTTACCAGGGAGGCGAACGCAAGCTACTGAACAAAGTCAATGGATACGCAAAGCCAGGCGTCATGATTGCTTTGGTCGGTGCCTCTGGTGCTGGCAAGTCTACCCTACTCAACACTCTATCGCAACGCCAAACGAGTGGTGTGGTGTCTGGAGAGTTTCTTGTAGATGGCTTGGGCCTTGGAAAGTCTTTCCAACGAGGTACTGGTTTTTGTGAGCAGATGGATCTTCATGATGGCACTGCGACAATTCGCGAAGCCCTTGAATTCTCGGCTATTCTCCGTCAAGACAAGAAGATCCCTAGGCAGGAGAAGCTCGACTACGTCAACAAGATCATCGACCTACTTGAGCTGCAAGAGATTCAAGATGCACTGGTTTCGAGCTTAGGTGTCGAGCAAAAGAAGCGTCTGACGATCGGTGTCGAACTCGCCGCGAAACCCTCGCTACTTCTCTTCCTCGACGAGCCCACTAGTGGTCTCGACAGCAACTCCGCATACTCAATCGTTCAGTTTCTAAAGAAGCTCGCACAGGCAGGTCAAGCTATCCTTTGCACCATTCATCAGCCGAGCAGTGTGCTTATTCAGCAATTCGACATGATACTTGCCCTCAACCCCGGCGGAAACACATTCTACTTCGGACCCGTAGGCGAGAATGGCTCGGATGTAATCAAGTACTTTGGGGACCGCGGCGTAAAATGCCCACCGAGCAAGAACGTCGCAGAATTCATCCTAGAGACTGCGGCGAAGCCCATCAAACGCAAGGACGGTAGCAAGATCAACTGGAACGAGGAATGGCTCAACTCTGACAACAACGCGGCGATGCTCAAGGAAATTGAACGCATCAAGGCAGACCGCAGCAAGGCCGTTGCAAGCCAAAAACAGGATGGAGGCGCAGAGGAGGAGTCAGAGTTTGCGGCCTCTACATGGGAGCAAACCACCATGCTTACCAAACGTACCTTTACGCAATACTGGCGCGACCCTTCTTACCTCTACGGAAAACTCTTCGTCGCGGTCATCATCGGAATCTTCAACGGTTTCACCTTCTGGCAACTCGGCAACAGTGTCGGCGACCTGCAGAACCGCATGTTCAGTCCTTTCTTAATCATCCTCATCCCGCCCACCATTGTCAACGCCGTGGTACCCAAATTCTACCAAAACATGGCACTGTGGCAAGCACGAGAACTCCCATCGCGCATATACGGCTGGGTTGCATTCACCACTGCTCAAGTCGTTGCCGAAGTCCCTATCGCCATCGTATCCAGCGTGCTATACTTTGTGCTCTGGTATTTCCCCACCGGCATGCCAACAGACAGCGCATCATCCGGGTACGTTTTCTTGATGACGATGCTCTTCTTCATCTTCATCTCGTCATGGGGCCAGTGGATTTGCGCCTTCGCACCCAGCTTCACCGTCATTTCAAACGTCCTCCCGTTCTTCTTCGTCATGTTTGGTCTGTTCAACGGAATCGTACGCCCGTATGATATGATGCCTGCGTTCTGGAGATACTGGATCTACTACCTCAACCCATCCACGTACTGGATCGGCGGCGTTCTCTCAGCTACCTTAACCGGTATCCCAGTTCAGTGTCGGGAGAGCGAGACGGCCGTTTTCGACGCGCCCCCGGGCCAGACGTGCTCGTCTTATGCTGGTAGCTTTGCCTCGCAAGCGGCGGGATACCTTGTTAACCCCGATGCTACGACTGGGTGCCAGTACTGTCCTTATAGTGTTGGTGATGACTATCTTTCTACTCTCCACGTCAAGGCTAGCGACAAGTGGCGTAACTTTGGCATCTTTTTGGCGTTTTGCATTAGTAATTGGGCGTTGGTGTATTTTTTCATTTGGAGCATTCGCATCAAGGGGTGGAAGTTTGGGTTTGGGGCTTTTGGGAAGCTCAAGGGGAAGAAGAAGACGGATGGTTAGAAGGCGTAGATGATCGTTGTTCATGCTGCCAATGAAGACGAAGCGAAGTATTTGAAGATATGTTTCGATGATAGACTCAAAAGCGAAAAAGAAGTTAGAGATAGATATAATGACCAAGCTGAAATATCTACAAAATCAACAACCAACATCCCACATTCCTCTATCTCTCTCCCCCCCAACAAACTCAGCTCTTCTTTCCCTGCGCCACCTCATCAACCCACCCCACCCCGTCAAGCACCTTCCTCCACCCAAACTCCTCCCTCCACCCCAGCATCTCCTTCATCTTCCAATTACAAACCGGACTCTCCCTCCACCCCATGCTCCTTGTAATCTTCGTACCTGGACACATCCTCCCCAACCACTCCTCGATACCCCCCTCCCTCTCATGCACAGTACTCTCATCATTAACCGCATTAAAAACCTGATATCCCAACCCGTCCTTTTTCAAACAAGCATCCACCATCCCCCCCAAATCCCTTGCATCAGTATAACTCCACGCATGCACCTTGAACCTCTCGGGATACATCATATAATTTCTAAACTTCTCCTCATGCCGCTCCGGCTCGATAACCGCCGAAATACGCAAACAGTAAATATCGGTCCCAGGAAACCGTCTTGCGAAACTTGCGGCAAGCGTTTCCATGCAGAGTTTACTGGTGGCGTAGACGTCGCTGGGGGTTGTTGCCGTCGTCTCTGTGATGGGAAACTCGGCATAGTCTGCGTCGCCTTCGGCGTACGTGACACCGTAGCATGTTAGACTGCTCGCGAGGATAATCTTGCGAATGCCGAGTTTACACGCTGCTTCGAGGATGTTGTACGCGGAGAGGGTGTTGATGCGGAAGGTTTCGTTGTCCGGGACACGCATGGGTTGCGGGATGCCTGCGAAGTGGACGACAGCGGTGGGGGACTGGGGCGCGCTGGGGAAGGGTTCGGAGATGGTGAAGTGGCTGGAAAGGGAGTTGAAGGCTTGTGCGCCGTCGGTTAGGTCGGCTTTGAGGGTGTGGATTGGGGGGTTGGATGTGTTGGTATGGGAGGGGAGGGGCACGGTGTCGACGTTAAGGATTGTGTGGCCATGGGATTGGAGGTAGGATATTACGTGGCGGCCTGCTACCTAGGGGGTGGGGAGGAGGGTGTTAGTTGTGTGGTGGTGTGTAGGAGGATATATGTGACATGTATATCTTGAGATGGCTTTTGGACGAGTGAAAGAGGGATGAAGTGTCGATAGAATAAGAAAGTAAAGTCATGATATTATTCTGGTAGTAGAAGTATGAGAAAGGTACGTACCCCAGAACCACCCGTAAACACCACTCTCTGTCCCGATGAAGGCGTCGGAGCAGACATTGCAATAGAAAGTGTGAGCAAAGACTAGATGATGAGACTCTTACATATGCTTGTTGATATAGTCAAGGCCAAGTGGCTTATAAATACGTGGGCACTCCTGACGTACAAACAGCTTCACTATTTCAAGGTGGAGATATCAAGTCATCCCCCCGCAATACACTAACTTCGTATGCCACTCTTGGTAAGCCGAGCTTGGAGACCCCACTTTGCTTATATCGGTCCTTTCTTTTCCTTGCTTTACTAAATGTTTAAAGGTACACAAAGCCAATCGCGTCGGACAGAAGCTCACAGGAGCTTTAAAACGATGGCGGACAACGACTTAATCAGACCGTTAATGGTACATTCATTCATATCTATCGTTTGTAATGCTGCCATTGAATAGCACCATAGCCTCTTTGGCCGCGACCAGAACGTTCTAAGCGCCCATCTTATGCGGTCTGAGTACCGTAACCCCGGATCCTGTCCGCAAAGGCCCAGCTCTGGTTCTCCAGCTTCACATTCTCGTCCAGATCAACTCCATCCTTTGTGACGACGGCAATCGAGTATTTGTCCATACTCCTAGCGTCCCTGTAGAAGAGAACCTTCATGCACTCCTTAATCTTCTCGACAGCCTGCTCCCTGGTGACATTCTCCACCGCTGCCTCGTCTGGCAATATTGTCCTCAGAATTGGCTGAGCAAGATGTGCTCCGAAGCCGGTAGCCAGCGAAGGTGATGAGAAGGTGGTACCGAGAAGATCTGCACTTGCAAGGAAGGGCTTCTTCTCGCCATCCATGCCTACGATGAGCATGTGGTTCCACAGCGGGTCGAACTTTGATCGGCGGTTGTACATGACTTTGGCGAGGTAGGTGTGGAGGTTCTTTGCGTTGAGCGAGTTCTCGGATGAAGAGTAGTTCTCGCGAATGTCGAGCGAATTAAGCAAGCGATCGAGGTACTGCATGTCGGAGACGTCGCCGCCAAAGCCTACAACAACCTCGTCGTTGAACTTTCGTAGACGCTTGACGTCGGTGAAACGTGCGAGGGAACCATATGAAGCTATTTCCAACCGTCAGCCTAGATATCTGGTTTCGCTCCGTATCAGCCCATACCCAGGTTGTCCGCCGCAATGACTACGCCATCCTTGAACTTGGCCGCAAGCACCGAGGTTCCGGTCACAATGGGGCTCTGAGTGTGCTGGTTCGGCCCGGCAGCTGAGAAATGTGAGGGGTCATAGGCGCCGTATACATCGTCTCTGGGCTATGATAGAGTCATTAGTACTGCTGCTGTTTGATGCGGGCGGGTGACATACACGGCCCCAAGCCTGCGGGAGGTGGTTCATTGTGGGGACTGTTGGTGAAGCTGAAGGAGAGAGAGGGAGATGTATGTCGAATTGGCGGCGACGGTAAGACTCAGCGTGGGTTCAGAGGCGAGGTTGTTGTCACGATGCTCGTAGGCAGTCGGTGGTTGCGCAGCTCGCCCGCCAAGCAATGGCGGCTGGCCCAAGCTCCGTATACTGAGGTCAATTCAAGATGATCGTCTACAAGCATTGCGCACCAAACATGCTCGGAATTGACTACCCGGATAGTGACGAGGAAGAAGTCGTTCAGGTGACAAAGCCAGAGGTGAGACTCGTAAATGAGCTCAAGGGCCCGATCGCTACTAATATAGAGTTGACCAACATCCCTACAGCAGTTGCGCCCGCGCCAGAACCTCTTTCCGAATCTGCGTCCCTCCAACAGCCTTCTGCTTCCTCAGGCCCAGTGAATGGTCCCGCTCAAGGCCCGACAGTATCGCCGCCACCTACAGAAGATGATTCGCCAAACGATGCTGCTCCAGGCTCACCTTACACAACCACTCGCGCCTTGATCCAGAACCTCACACTACCTACCGTACCGAACTTTGATATACCGCCTTCACCGCCGGGATCGCCGCCTCAAAGAGCGACGAAGAAGTTTGCGCAATTCCTAGATCTCAAGAAAAAAGGACAGCACTTCAATCAACGTTTGGAAGGCTCCTCAGTGCTGCGCGATCCTGGACACTTGCGAAAGTTGCTGGACTTTGCGGGAGTCAGCGAGGAGGATGCATACGCTTCTACGCTATCAGATGGCGTTGCGATACCATCAGTCTTTCCGGAGTGGGCTTATGTGGAGGAATTAAAGGCCTCACAGAAGGACCTTGCGAAAGCAAAGGAGCAGGCCAAGTCTAAGGCGCCAAGAGAGGCTGTCGAATTCGTCTCTGCATCAGCCTCTACAGGAAAGCGCAAGGAATTAGAGCATAGGGGACGAGACGATGCGAGCTTGAAGAGCTCAAGATCTCCAAAGAGGATACGGTCAAAGTCGAAGGAGCGGAAGTAGAGGGAATGTACTTTCCGAAATAATGTACATTAGCGAAGATAGGATGTGTTTGAATTTACAATTCAAGATGTGAACGTCATCTTTATGGAAAGAGTGACTATGTCAGTCAAGGTATGCTCTTACCATACCAGCGCCAAGACATTAGCGCATGGAGCTCCAGGCATTCGAGCTCCGCGTACTACAGCTTCATCCCCGACAACAGAGCCGCCCCTTCAACTGACTACCCTCCCGAGTATTCGACAACAAAACCCTTGCAGCTTTTCCATATACCAACCCTACACACTTGCAATGGCAGCGCTCTACACCGGTGCACCTCCACAAGGCGGTCCAGGCTACTCATTCAAGCAAACCCCCACAACTGTCCCCTCCGGCGAGCGGCAACATGGTTTCTACCCGTATGTAATATCTGCTATGACCCCAAACCACATTTCCAACTGTATATAGGTACACGGACAACGGTGGTTCAACACTAGGCATCTCGGGCGCCGACTTCACCATCCTCGCAGGCGACACACGTTCCACCTCGGGCTACAACATCAACACACGATACGCACCCAAGCTATTCAAGATCGGTGGCGAAGGACCAGAAAACAAGGGTGCCAGGATCGTACTGTCAGTTGTCGGCTTTGCTGCAGACGGTGATGCGTTGAAGGAACGTCTCGATACCATTGTCAAGATGTACAAGTACCAGCATGGAAAGCCCATGTCCGTCTCGGCATGCGCACAACGACTCAGTCACATTCTCTACAACAAGCGATTCTTCCCTTACTACGTCCACGCTATCTTGGGTGGTCTTGATGAAGAGGGCAAGGGTGCGCTGTACTCGTACGACCCCGTCGGCAGCTACGAGAGGGAGCAGTGTAGGGCAGCTGGTGCGGCGGCATCTCTTATCATGCCTTTCCTAGACAACCAGGTCAACTTCAAGAACATGTACGAGCCCGGTAGCGGAACCGGTCACGAGCTCAAGTCGAAACAAGCACAGCCGCTGCCGCGGGATCATGTCGAGGATCTGGTACGGGATGCCTTTACCAGCGCAGTCGAGAGGCATATCGAGGTTGGTGATGGACTGCAGATGATGATCATCACAAAGGATGGCATAGCCGAGACCTTTACACCGCTCAAGAGAGACTAAGAGATTGCGATGGGTAAATTGCGGACGAGCATCTTCACGAATATGATGATTTCAAGTGCCGAACAAGATGTATGAATAACATAACAAGGTGCTAAATGATAATTGGGAACCGAGCCTTTCCATGATCAATGAGAAGTTTACACACATCTCACAATGTCTTCCATAATCGTTTCTGCTCTGTCATCCTTTCCTCTATCTCATGTGATTTTTGTCTTCTCTGCTCTATTGCGTGTTCACGTGCGTGTTCACGTACGTGTCCACATATCACCCCCATCACAAGCTTGCCGCATCGTCTTCACCTCATCCATACTCTACCCCCACACTACACCCAACTTCCTCTCTCACCATCCCATCCTCTTCAACCCACCCAAACAAGCATAAAAAATCCACTATTACAAACCACCCTCCTTAAAAAGGCAGAGGGTACAGTCACTCCAAGGGTCCGTTTTAGCAACCGCCCAAAACTCAATGTTACCCAAAGGGCCTACCCATTGTTATTTCATCTCGAATTTCAACTCTTGCTCTTTCTGTTTTGGTGGAACTCACATTACCCCAAGCGTAACTGTCAAAAACTAAACCAACTTCGAAAGACTACCAAAACGACAAGCAGACATCACATACGAATCAATCATGGGGGCGTAGATTTTATGTCATTGTGCTTTGTATACATATATCTCATCGCTCTCAAGCTTCATTAATCATGACACTTCTGTAGCGCTTGATATCAGGTCCTCTCGGTACTCTGATTCCCATCAATCGCTTACAAGTTGATGGCAGTCCTGAAGTTGTTGCCAGCGTAGATGGCATTGTCGCCGAGCTCCTCCTCGATACGGAGAATCTGGTTGAGCTTGGCGAGACGCTCAGATCGGGCTGGCGCACCGGTCTTGATCTGACCAGCTCGCAGACCGACGACAATGTCAGCGATGGTGACGTCTTCGGTCTCACCGGAACGGTGAGAAACCATGACACCCCAACCAGCACCGAAAGCGTCCTTGGCAGCCTGAATGGCCTCGGTGATGGTACCAATCTGGTTGACCTTCAGGAGGAGAGCATTGCAGGACTTGAGTTCGATGGCCTTCTTGATGAACTCAGGGTTGGTGACAGTCAGGTCATCACCGACAATCTGGAAGTCTGAAGTCTTGAAGAAGTAAGACCAAGCCTCCCAGTCATCCTCAGCGAAGGGGTCTTCGATGCTGACAATAGGGTACTTTGCGGCCAGGGACTTGTACAACTCGGCGAGTTGCTCGTAGCTGAGCCACTTGCTCTTGTCGCTGTCGGGGTTCTTGAAGTCGAGGTCGTACTTCTTCTCATCGGCCTTGTAGAACTCGCTGGATGCGACATCCATAGCGATTCTTGATCTTGCCAGTGGTATCCAGCCCTCCTCAATGGCCTTCATGATGAGGTCAAGAGCCTCCTCGGGGGTTTGAATATCCGGGGCGACACCACCCTCGTCACCAACGTTTCCGGCTGATTGTCCGTAGGTCTTCTTGGCAAGGGACTTGAGCTTATGGTAGACCTCAGCTCCTTGGCGCATAGCCTCGGAGAATGTGGGTGCCTCGCTGTGGCATGTTAGCGCGTGTCGTATTTGCATGACCAGGGTTCAGCTTACCAGGGAACAATCATGAATTCTTGGAAAGCAAGACGGCCACCGGCGTGTGAGCCACCGTTGAGGACGTTTTGGACTATAGAATCAGCATATTGTCATCAGACGAGATGCTAGGAACACCTACAGGGTACAGGGAGGACGTATGGTTTCTTGGTGCCAGCCAAGTCGGAAATGTGTGCGTAGAGAGGGACGCCCTTCTCAGCGGCTGCGGCCTTTGCGATGGCCATTGAGACACCAAGGATCGCGTTGGCGCCGAGGTTGGTCTTGTTCTTGGTGCCATCGAGCTTGTTGAGGAAAGCGTCTACGGCGGACTGGTCCTTGACGTCGAGCTTCTCCTTGATCAGAGCAGGGGCAATGGTGTCGTTGACGTTGGCGACAGCCTTGGTGACACCCTTACCGGCCCACTTGGACATGTCTCCATCGCGGAGCTCGCAAGCCTCGTGCGAGCCGGTTGAGGCACCAGAGGGGACAATGGCGCGATGCAGTCCAGTCTCGGTGACGATGTCGACCTCGACGGTGGGGTTACCCTATAAACATTAGGGATGAATTGATACTTTTCGATGAAATACACATACCCGAGAGTCGTAGACGGAGCGGGCGTGGATCTTTGTGATGGTCATGTTGGCTGATGCTGTTGAGGAGTCAATTGGGATGAGCTGGAGAGCGGTAACAGTGCAAGGCAGGAGTTATAGCTGCAGGTCGGAGCGCGGATCATCAAGTCCGGCCGCGGATAGAAAGCCAAGGAGAAAAATTGACCTACTAGTTGTATGTAAGAGATGAGCTCGGTGTTGTTTTGTTTGGGTGGGGTGTTCCAGAGCTTACAAGTCCAGCAAGGTTTGGAGGGGTCGTTCAGCATTCAGCCCCGCTATGACGCTGCTGCCTCATTGGCAGCCACGGTCTCTCTCGTAACGGCATGCATAAACATTATCGCAAAAGCATTCCATGTGGGAGGACGCGAATGTCCCGAGCAAAATATTTGGGGGGTACAATTCAACGGCACAATTGAACAGCTGTTCTTGGCGCCTTACGCCGTTCATGCACGGGTGATCTTCCCGCGCAGCTTCTTTCGTCACCCGTAGTGGCCTAGATGACACCGGAGCATCGAACGTGGCCACTCTCCCCAAAGAATACCAATTAAAGTTGGAAGGTGCAAAACAGCACTTCGCCTAGAGCGAAGCTAAATGGCTTGGCCGTGCTCAGGATGGCAGAGAGAGCTTCAGCACAGGGCACGTGGTGCGAGGAGGAAGCGGTCGCGAGCCATCCGGTGAATGTAGTGACTTGAGGTATTTTCCAAGGGTCCATGATCCTCCAGCTTTATAATGGACTTGACTGGCCAGGAAAGAAAGCCTGTGTTCGAGAGCATGGTACAAAAATAACAGGCGGTTAGCTATCAAACCAGACATGTCCAGCTTGCAGTGAGGCAACCAGGTAGAGAAGATTCAATGCGCATCCGCACGGTGATTTGCACGGCCGAGCATCCTGAAGATTTCCATCATGAGACGTTTCCAGGTCGTTCCAGGTCGTAGACAGGTAATGCAGCTCCAGGCAGTGTTATGGATGGGGTATTGCTCTGATATCTGTTCGATCTGTACCAAAGCCGATGACGCCTCACTCCTTATTGTGCCCTCGAGTACCATGTTACTCTCTCATGGGCGACCCTATACTTACGCTCTTGAACGAAGAAAAAGATGATTGCAGCTACAAGTCGACCCTTCACCAAGTGGTAGAGAAGTCGCCAAGACTCTACATGGCCCAAGCTTCAGCTACACGACTGCCCGCGACGCTGAGAGCTGCCTTCCGCCCATCCACATTCAGCAATTCCACTGAACCACCTTCTGCTTTTCTCTAACGCTGCTGCCGAGTTGAGAGTCTGACGCCATCTAAATCTCGGACCCCAATATTCAGTGCAGCCCTCCAAAACCACCTGCCGAGACACCTACACCCCCAACTACCACATCAACTTCGTCATCATGTAAGAGATATCGTCAAGACAAGCCTCCAGTTACTAACTCCTACGCAGGGAGGTTCTTCTAGGCATAACGGGCAAGGACTTTACCTTGATCGCCTCATCTAAAGCCGCCATGCGAGGCGCCACCATCCTAAAGGCTTCAGACGACAAAACCCGCGTTCTCAACACCCACACCTTGATGACGTTCTCTGGTGAAGCTGGTGACACTGGTACGATATATAGAAGCACCTTAAGTGTGAAATACCAGAGGTAGCTGACTGTGGTGCAGTTCAATTCGCCGAGTACATCCAAGCAAACGTACAGCTGTACTCCATGCGTAACAACATGGAGCTGTCGCCTGCTGCCACAGCCAACTTCGTCCGAGGCGAGCTTGCACAAGCGCTGAGATCACGGAAACCTTACACCGTCAACCTGCTGCTCGGAGGATACGACACTATTGCAGACAAACCTACATTGTACTGGATCGACTACTTGGCGAGTCAGGCATCGCTCCCGTATGCGGCACATGGTTATGCACAGTATGTCATTCTCGATCTCTAAAGTTCCCAAGCCGCCGTGTTCATGCTAATACGATTTAGGTACTACTGCCTCTCACTGCTCGACAAGCACCACCACCCCGACATCGACTACGAACAGGGCATCAAGATTCTCCGAATGTGCACAGAGGAGCTCAAGCGCCGCCTACCCATCGACTTCAAGGGCGTGCTAGTGAAGGTCATAACGAAGGATGGGATCAAGGACGTTGATTACGAGGACGATGTTAAGGTTGCGATCCCGTAGAAGGCGCATGGTTTGAGGGAAGCTGATGTACTATACGGCATAGAATTAACAGCCGGTATGAGACAGGCATGATGATTATGACGCCGAGGCATCAAAGATGATGCCATCGAACGATCAGAGATATCCGAAATAATGACAATCATACATGATGAGATCTGTCATGAACACCCGGGTGACATGAAATACTCGACATACCAGTGTATAGGCGTCACTGAATGCGCCAGACACTGCTTATCCACACTGTCAAGCAACTCACACAACGATCAAAATCGCCAAGATACCCTACATGATAGGCCTGGCCGTGCCCGGAGCCTTCTGCGAGTGCAGATACGCGTACTTGATGAGAACACGGCTTGTACGAGCCTATAGTCAAGGAATATGGCCAGACCATGGTGCAAGATTGCAACAAAGGCGACAGTTCAAACAAAGCAGCGCGTTTACGCAAATTTTCCACGCACACAAAAGTATGTTCTCCCAATAAATCGACACCGACATTCCATCGCCATCACTGAAGATGACCCAACGAAAAGCCAGCTTCCTACAGGAGTAAGTTCTTTCTCCGATCCCACGCCACCGTAGTGACTGGCAACTAAAAGACAGAGATGTTCTGATAGTCGTGGCTGGGATCGTGCAATTTTTGATCAAGGAACAGAAGAGGAGGACGAGGTTGCGCAGGCTTTTATTCTGCCACGCGTGCCAAGCCGGCAAATTGTCGGCACTAGCACGGACGTCGGGCACGGTTGGGAGGGGCATGAAGAGAACGGCGACGGCTGGAGCATCATCAGACCACAATACATCTTCGCACTTCACGTTGTGTGTCCTGCTTTTGATGTAGTCTTACAAGCAGCGACATTGTCACACCGCACATAGCTTACATTCACCTTTGCAAAGAACGTCGGAAACGAAGCAGCGCAATGCCAACTCCAGCTCAACAACACTACAGGCATGCGATGTGATGGTAAAGTGTGTGAACTAAGTTGTATTTTATTTCTTGGGGTAGCTGACGAATATGAGGCGTATCGCCTCTGGATAACGAAAGTACCGTTGCTCGAAGAGCCCCCCCACCACCTGACATGTGCTTGCCTAGTCGGACTTATTCGCAGCTATGTCACTATCTAGTTCTTGTAACCGTTCTCATATCCGTTCACCATGACCTCCTGTAGGCCCTTGGGGAATCCGTTGGCATGGCCGTTGGCGGTATCGTTGACGGCACCGTTACTCATGCCGTTCATCACCTTCTTCGAGTCGCGCATGGCGTCCTCTACGGGCTTGTCGTTCATAGTGTAGCCAGTGTCAGAGGCATCGACAAAGGCGTCGAGACCAGCACCATCGCGAGGGTACTCCTTCATCAGCTCCTTGTGTCGTCGCAGAGCCTTGTTCATCTCCTCTGCAGTGACGTCGTTCAAGAAGACACAGGTACCGATGGGGTTCGGTACGGCAGCGCGGAGCAAACCGTCACGAGTCTTCAGGATGGCCTTGGTGGCCTTGTCAAGCATGTCCTCGTCGAACAGCTCATGGTCCATAGACAGACCAGCCCTGGAGAACAGGTTCAACAACCTCCTATGTTCCTCATCGCTGAGCAGACCGCGCTGGTTGGCCAATGTGGCTGAGTATGCCATGTCGATCGAGATGGCATGACCGTGACGAAGAGGAACCTTAGGGGAAAGCTAGGAAGACGTTAGAAGAGTTTCATACACCAATAGCAACAATCTTACCTCATGGAGAGGACTCCAGGTGTGGCCGTAGGCAATGACACGGTCGAGACCAATCTCGTGTAGGTTGGGTGTCTCGAGCTTCAACATCTCGTGGATACCAGCACGGTTGATCTCATCCGCAGCCTGGAGGACTTCCTTGTCGTCACCCTCGCGACCGAAGCGCGAAGTGATCAGCTTCTCGCAGTACTTGTCAAGCAAGTCGAATGTTGGCTTGTGAGCGCAAGTTGAGATCTTGATCAACTCTGCGAAGCCATTTCGTACCTGACCCTCTGGGAGAGTCTTCAGGAACGAGAAATCCAAGAATGTGTGCATGGGGGCGTGGTATGCTCCCAGACGGTTCTTGTAGTTGCCGTAGTTGACGGCTACCTTGATGCTGACACTAGCATCGATCAGGCCAATGACCGTAGTAGGGATACGGATGAAGTTGGTGTTCCTTCGGTAGGCAGCGCAAGCAAATCTTCAATACGAATTAGCTCTATTCTTACAACGCAGTCAGGCCAGAGTGCCTTAGAGTTATATTTTACCCAGCAACATCAGTCACCAAACCACCTCCCTTAGTAGCGTTAGCATTTAGCAACCGACCAATTCGATCAAGCAACATACGACGACAAGTACAGGCTCCTTTCGGATGATACCAAATTCGGTCATGGAATCGACGATGCTGAGCAGGGTCTCCATTGACTTGGCCTTCTCACCAATCATGGTCTTGTGGATGGTCAAGGGAAGATTGTAGTGGTCAAAGTACTTTTGCATCTCATCGCCGTAGACGTTGTAGATGTTCAAGTCCATGACGGCCAGGCAACGACCCCAGCGCTCGTAACACTGAGCGAGGTTGTTGTTGGCGGGGTTGAAGACGCCATCAAGGAAGGTGAAGTCATATTCAATCTTCTCGTAGCCCTCGACGTGGAAGCCGTTCTTGGTCTCGACAACTGAAGCTTTGAGATCTGACATGTTGAAAGAGTTCGGAAAATGTGGTAATGAGATACGTTGAGTTCTGCAGGCTCAGGGTACGGACATGGCTATGCTATATAAACGGTACCAGGCCGATGTCATCGTCAACTACTAACATAGTCTACGGTCCACGCCGACTTTCAATTGGCTCACAGACGCCGGATGGCTCCAGAGAACGTCAAGCATACGCGTTATTCTCGTTCATGATGCGGCCAATCGCGGATTCCTTGTTGTTTGGACTTGGTACCACATCCTTTCGAGCCAGACTAGACTCGTACTGGGCAGCCATGATGAAATGACTCTAGGATCAGAGTCTTTCACGCGGGAAAACCCGGTTCCGCTACGTGGGGTATGCACTTTGTCCATGCAAATATGGGCTTTGCAGGCTTAGACAAAGGTGAATCATCGTCGTAGTCAGTATTCCGGCCAGGGACAAATCGGTGTAGCACAAGCCCAACCCCTTTAGTGTCGAAAATGGAGCCTCTCTTTGTGTGGAGAGATCACTCCAACTGCGGGGCAATCGTCCAAATCACACCATCCCCACTATACAATCTCCCACGGTTCCATGGGAGAAATCCTGCGGGAGCTGTTGAGGCAGGATTGCATTGGTGGGTACTATTGCCAGCGAGTAGTAACTCTTGTCATACGCATGCAGGGCTGATGGTGTAACATCGATATCTCTACAACGGCATGGCACTCTCAATGCCCTTGCCCCAGGACCAGGTGAGGGAAAAATGTGGCCTTCTTGCAAAATCCTTCGATCCTAGCTCCCGCCTCGGATAGATAAAGTTTAGAGCACCCTGGATCATTGGAGTTGATTGCCAGACAAGGGTAAGCGCACGCTGTCATAGCACGGCTCTGGTGTTTCCGCAACCGGTTAGCCGGCGCGGCCAGCTCTAGATCGTTGACGACAGGCACACTCAACTCAACGTCAAGACTGCATGTACGAGGAGATGCGCCAATGAAGCGCCCCACAACAAACATCGCGTATCCACATGGTACCGCGTAAAGGTCGCCGCAACCAGCGCCAAGGTCTTTTTCGTGACGCATAGACGGGAGTGTGGCATGCAAACGGCAGGATCCAACATCCCAACCATATTGGCATCCCACTCTATAACGAGCTTTTGCAGAAAAACAGAGTTCAAATCAAGTGCATTGCTAATTCGCAAACATAAGGGTTGATGACTAGACACATGCTGCTCGGAAACATGTGCATTGCTAGATCTGCCGACAGAACCAAGCGCCCTGTGTATACACGTATGCGTTCCTGCATGCATTTCGTCACTATCTTCAGAGCCCCGCACTAATCTCGACGCGTTGAGGGGCATTCTTTGATGGCTTGGACGCGTCGAGCTCATGACCGCCCGCACAACTCCGTATTACCATTGAACAACAACGACAATGGGTAGCTTCGATCAAAGCAAAGCATATGCCGCACAGGAGCAGGAGGGTACCTTCTTTGACGATGGACGCGAAATTGAGCTCCTGCACTTCATCTACTCACACCCCAACATTGAGAAGATCAGGAGCTCACCTGAAAACGTTCTAGCAGCCATTGATGAGTATGGAAGAACGAAGAAGTATCTCATGAACGTGGGAGAGGACAAGGGCCGCATTGTCACAGACTTGATTGCAGAAGTCAAGCCAAAGACTATGGTATGCAACTTTCTAGCGACGGTTGGCAGTGTCTAACAACAACCAGGTAGAACTGGGTGGCTACGTCGGCTACTCATGCATCCTCTTCGCAAATGCCGTACGCAAAGCAGGTGGCGAGCGATACTTCAGTTTCGAGCGCGACCCTGCGTTCGCTGCAGTTATTATGTCCTTGGTCGACCTTGCAGGTCTTACCGACCTTGTCAAAGTCGTAGTGGGATCAAGCGACGAAGGCATCGCGCGGCTTGTTAGCTCAGGTCAGTTAAAACATGTGGATCTCATGTTCCTGGATCATTACAAGCCTGCCTACACCACCGACCTGAAGCTCTGCGAGGAGCTCGGTCTTATCACAAAGGGCTCAGCACTAGCAGCCGACAATGTCATCAAGCCTGGAAACCCGCCCTATCTCAAATATGTAAGGTCCAGTGTTGAGGAGAAGGTCAAGGAGGCTGGAGAGGGCGGGCTGACCAACCTCAATGGCATCGCGGAAAAGAATGTCACGATGTACGAGAAGAAGTATGGGAAGGCCAAGTTCAGCGAGAGTAAGGGAAATCCAAATCTCAAATACGAGAGCACGCTGGTAAACAGTTATGAGCCCACTGGCGAACCTGTAAGTGGCTACCCACAATACTTCATGAACACGGACTGACTACCGCAGGACGGTATCGAAATCACACGATGCGTTGGCTGAGAAAGTCTCAATATCCTCAAAACATGTGCGACGCATTTCGACTATGCATTGATTTCAGTGCTGGTGGATTCATTGATTGATAATGGCATCGGACCCCAAGTAGCAGGCTCAAGACCATGTATGCTTCGATAGCCACCTAAAACATCAAAATACACGATAAAGATTTTTATTCTATCCGACAGGTCAACTTATCGCCAAGGTATGATTGTGAGGCTGCAAAAACGGCTGCCGTTGGAAAAGTGTTTTTTCCAACATCAATGAGACGTAGACCCACAACGACTCGTACGACAAAAAGATTCCTCAAACCTAGATTGCCGATCGCGGCCAGATAGGCTATTCAAGATCAAGTTCCACTGTATCTGATCGTCAGCAAGGCTCTGAAGCCCCTAGTGTTCCGAATGTCGTACATGATTGAAGTAACGATGACGTGTAGACTAGTGACGCCAGCGTGCATTACAAGACGGGCAATCTGTGGGAGGCAGCCGCTCGCACACCGATCACCCTCGCCTATGCACAGTGAATTGCGTGACTCCGAGCCGTCCCAGCCGCTAAATTACTTACTTGGAGCTTGCATTCTTCGGCCCTTCTAACTTACCTCGTAACGCCGTGGTGGTGTGGTGGGAACCGTCTGAGCGGTGCTGCGACAACAAGCGCCTAGGTCACAAGCTCCCCTTCCAACATCAACAGCAACGGCAGTGAGATGGCAGAGGGCAAGCAGGATGCCGTCGTGCCGTTTTACTACAGTCATGTGTGGAAAAATGTGCTTCTACTCGCTCTAAGCGCTCTCTGCGCGCCCATTTCAGCAGCCCTCGTGTTGGTTGCATACGGCGTGTCGAGGTTTGACGGCAAACGCGATGCGACTTTTTCAGAAGAAGACAAGAGACATGTTGCTGCAGCACAGCGACAGAAGACTGTGCTCGTTACTGGAGTGTCCATGACCAAGGGCTTGACAATTGCGCGCAATTTAGCCCAGCATACTCCTCATCGCATCATCGGTGCCGACATTTCCGCTCTGTCACCCGGTCGCTTTTCCAGCGCTATTTCGAAATATTACTGTCTGGAAACACCGAGTGGCGATGACGCAGAACCTTATATCGACTCGATCCTTACCATTATCCGGCGTGAGAAGGTCGACCTATGGATCAGCTGCTCTAGCGTCGTGGCAGCCGTAGAAGATGGCCAAGTCGTTCGTCTAGCAGAGCAGCAGGCAAAAGAGCAAGGCCGCCACTTTGAAGCCATTCAATTCCGCGAAGATGTTGTGGAAAAATTCCACGAGAAGGACAGGTTCATTGAGTACATTGAGTCGCTTGACCTCCCTATTCCGGAATCTCATCGCTGCACGAGTCCATATGAGGCGCTCGATGTACTCATGGGGGAGCTGCATAGAACCCCCACGAAATCTGGCAGGACAGCGCCTAGGAGGCATTTTATCATGAAACCAATTGGTGTGGACGACAAGGCGAGAAACAATATGATGACGTTGCTCCCTTTCAGGACACCAGATGCGACCGCCGAGTACATCAGGTCGCTCAACATCAGCAAAGAGAACCCATTTCAGCTACAGCAGTTTATCAAGGGCAAAGAATACTGTACGCATGCTCTTGTAATCCGCGGTAAAGTCAAAGCGTTTACCAGCTGCCCCAGCCTGGAACTGCTGATGCACTACGAGCCACTGCCTGCATCTTCCCCGTTGAGCCAGAAGATGCTCGAGTTCACAGAACGTGTCTGCCAAGATGGCGGAAAGACCTTCACCGGACACCTGAGTTTCGATTTCCTAGTCGAAGACGACGACAAGGGCGGTAACGCAAAGTTCTACCCCATTGAGTCCAACCCGCGAGCACACACTGCTGTCGTTCTGTTCGAGCAAACACCCGAAATGGCAGAAGCATACATGTCCATCTTCAACAGCCCGAATCCCCTGTCATCGAAATCAAAATCTGAGCCTGTCTACCCACGAAGACCGACACACAGCTACTACTGGATCGGACATGACCTCGTCTCTTTCGTAATTCTTCCTCTTCTCGATCTCTTGTCCGGCGCCACGACTCTCCAACGCGCATTCAAGCAGCTGGAGACTTTCTGGCATCATGTAGCGTACTGGAAAGATGGAACGTATACTTTTGATGATCCCATCCCGTTATTTATCCTGTATCATGTGTACTGGCCCGCGAAGTTCCTAGGTGCGCTTGTTAAGGGGAAGAGCTGGAGTCGTATTAATGTGAGCACTACAAAGATGTTCGAGGGGTGATGTATATGAGGTTCTGGCGGAGGTTTCCTAAACTAAAAATTGTTGTGAAGTATCACTCGTGAGGTATTGAAGTTGTTCAGAAGAGAGGTTTCCTGTTATCAACGTCGACATGAAGTATCACCCAGGAGGTATCCAAGTTGTTTCTGGAGGAGTTATGTAGCATTATCACGGCCTGGTAGCTAGCGGGGTCTTATGTAACTGAACGTATACTATTCGAGATTTATCTATGTATCCTGACACGCTATCTTTCATCCCACCCCTACTCAGCCGCCAGCACCACGTCTCCGCCAACTGCCGCTTCCTTCTCCTCCTCGGCCGCATACGCGGCCTTGAGGCCCTCCCAGTCACGGTCCCGCCGCAGCTGAGCGCGCTTGAGCTCTTCACCGCCCTCCCGGCCGATGAGGTCACGGATCATATCCGTGACGGCGCCCAGCTGCCCTACAGGCACCACCTTGGTCGAGAGTTGTGTGCCCAGCCCCTTTTCCTCGTCCTCCTTCTCTGCCCTCGTCTTCTCGCCTATCCGCATTTCGCGGAAGAGCTCACAGATGAGCGTGAAGTTGCTTGGTTCCTTCTCCTCGTCTACATGTGTGGCGTGTAGACTGCGGAGACGGTCACCAAGCAGCACCTTCTCTCGAATCGCCATGACAAGGGTGAAGGCGCGGCGGTAGAAGGAGAGGTAATCGAAGTTGTTGTGGACTTCGTTTGCGGCGAGTTCGGTGCGCATGGTGGTGAGGAGGTCAGCGTGGGTCTCGTCTTGGGACCAAAAGTCGGGTTTGTTGACCTTGGGCTTGGATTTCTTTCCCTTTCTCTTCTTGGGCTTTGGGGGAGATATCTTTGTGGTGAAGGATTTAAAGGCTTTGCGGAGATCTTCGAGACGGGTAAGTACTTCCTTGCTGTCTGCTACAGGAGTACTCTCTTCACGTTTGGTGTGTAGATAGTTGAAGACAGCATGGCGCCGGATCCATCGGTTCTCGTCTGTGGAATTTGTGGTGTAGAATTCGCGGATCTTCATCTCTAGTGGTAGATCTGGTATGAAGCCGTGATTCTTCTGCGCGCTTGAAGACATGTTCGGCATATGCTGGCTTTTGGTATTGCCATGGCGGTAATCGGAGGCAAAGGCACGACTTGAGACAGCGGTAGAGGATAAAAGAAACCGGCTGAAGAAGTCGTCGGGGCTTGTAGGACGATCGCCTTGGAAGATACGCTTCTCTCCCTGTGTCTTGATAAGGAACTCGAGGTCAGGCCATTCTAAGTCTAGGCCACCAATCTGGCGCGCGGCATTGTATAGGTGGGCAAGTGCATTGACGAACCACTGGGTCTTCACGATGGCCGCACCTTGGTAGGAGACATTGAAATGCCACATTGACATACCCGCGAGCGTAGCATGGAGTGTAACAAAAACACCTGCGGTCATTATTTGCTCTCCGTCCGGCCCTGTTTTCGACTTGATCAGTTCCTGCACCCATTCGAGTAGATGGGTGGCCGTTGCCAAGTATGTGTTACTGAACTTGACTTCCTCACTGGTGAAGTAGTCTGGCTTGTTATCATTCGCCCACATGCGGTCCTCAAACTCTATGTGGAGGCGGATGCAGTTGGAGACTTCCAGACCGTGTTCCCTCAAGTCGAACAACAGCTTACGGCTATCTGGATTTGTGATATCTATGACGTCGAGGATGATTTGTAGTCCAAGAGGGAGGTAGCTGCGGGAGGGAGACGGGTGCATTAGTATCTCCTCAGTAAAGTGATCCCATTTCGGCAGCTTAAGCTCACTCTTCCTGATCAAGTCATAGAAATGTATCCAGTTCGAAGCCCAATGCTTGTGGGGTTTGCCTTCTGCATCTAAAGGCCCTGGTGGCGCGTCCTTGCGGTGGTACCTTAAGAAGAGATATGTACCTTCATACGCGAAGAGATAGCGTACGTGGTGTACTTCAACTATGCCGTCTGCAGCTTGGGCGGGATGGTCATGAGGAGTGTTTAACTTCTTCTGCAGTGTATGCAAGAGGATGGGTAGCTCTCCTGGTCGCAATTCCAGCTCCTCGGTAATAGCGTTTACGTCCTGGTGGAGGTGACTCTGTACAAGGTCCGTCACCAGTCCTGCGGTGACTGCAGTGATCTCGCCGTTATGGTATGCATCCCAAGTATCTCGAACGACGAGGCGGAGGCGATTATAGTTGTAGAGAAAGCAAATGAGTGTATGCTCTGTCTGCAGTAGCGTTTCGGCTTCAGTCATAGGTTGTTCGTCGGGGTTCTTCTTCTTCGGCGGTACCGGAACCGGACGTGGCTGACTATCGTCCTCGACCTCGACATCCTCATCTTCTTCCTCGCGCATCTTCTTGAGTCGCTCGTTCTGTTCCTCGGCAACAGTATCTGGACCTCCGAAACGAAGAAGGTAGGTGACTGGACTCTTTTCTTTGGGCTCTTCGCTTCTGAACATCTTGGGGACAACAAGGCGACTCAGGGATGTCATGAATCCCTCGAGGTTCAAGTTAAAGTATGCATGCCCATCGTCTTCGGAGTTCTGGAAGCGATGGTACTCGGCCACTTCTTTGCGCGAGCGAATGGCGTCACTGAGGTCAAGCAAGCCAGACGTGTCATTGAGGGGAGTATTGGTAGACGCGATCGCCTCGACGAGCTGCTTCTGCTGTCCAATCGCCAGCCTGTAGCCCTTCTTGCCCTTGTTCTTCTGCGCTTTTGTGTTGATTATCTCTGCGACCTCGACCTCGCGCTGAATCGCCGTCTTTATGAGCCACTGTTCAAACTGATCAGTGTACGCCTTGTAGCGTCTGACTGTCTCAGGGAGCTCGTTCCTGCGGTAGGGATCCATTTACATGACAGCAGCGCGTGTGTGTTGGTGCCGATGGGTATTGATTGGTGTCAATTGGAAAGGTAAACAAAGAGCAGTGTAGTGCGTTTGATGCAGAGAATGCACAAACGACAGAGTAGGGGATTATATAGATTGCAGGGTCGCAAGTGCAAGCGTAGAGGTGCAACTGTCGCAGTGAATTCTCCTAAGCTTAGGTGAGGCGATTGGTAGTGGCGAATGTGCTAAGAGGTGAGAGAAGCGTAATTGCGCAATGGATAACCAAGGACGATAGGCAGACAATAGCTAAGATTTCACAACCCACCGCAACGCCCAAAGATCAAAGAGCTGTTGTTGATCTGTTTGTCTGTCCCCTGACATACGCAGCATGGCGTGTTGCCTAACAGAGGCCTGTACTGTGGCTCGTAGCTATAGGAACTGCAAGTAAGAGGCGCCACAGAAACCGCATCGCGAATTCGCGAAGAACGCATAGTTCACCTTTACCAGTGGCCCTCGAGAAGCCACTGTAACGGAGCAAATACTTGTTGCAATCTCTGGAATGATTGGAGGAACAGGCAAAGACATAGCGCTGCAATTGTTGATACAGTAGAGTTAAAAGATGCAAAGTGCAACTTACTTCCCTTCTTATAGCAACGCACGCCATCCTTTACCGACAGGCCTTTCAAGACCCAGATGATCACATAGCTGACCCATGTGATCCACACCCCAGAACCCCTTACTCGCTCCCTCCACATTCGTAGCTGCAGCTGACTGTCAACACGCGCACTCTCACTTCACGCAATCACTCGACGCAAACGGGAAAGCACACTTACCAACAAACCAAGGCAACCCAAAAGCCCCATCTTCAAACGCCTTACCCGTGTTCGCACTCAACGTCTTCTTCGCCGCCTCCTCCTTCATCCGCTCAATCACCGCCTTCGCCTCTTCGTCGCTACCCAACACCGTCTTAAGGATGGACAGCATATTCTCCGGCTGATTCGGATCATTCCATTGGACCCAGAAGTTATCCCAGAAAAGCGCAACGGCGCTCTCCAACTTCTGTGGATGGGACAGGGATAATGCGACCAGGGCACGTTGGACAGGCAGTGTGTTTGTAGGAAAGCCCGGCGGCGCATCCTGTAACATGGGCACGTTGAAGTGCTTTGACAAGCGCTGACGCTCATTTTCGATCCACTTGTCCTTGTCTGCGCTGCTGTTAGAATATGGACTCGGAAAATACACACCAGACAGCAGGCTTCTTCTTTTTCTCCTGACTTGCCCACTGGTCCTGACCGCATATACCCAAGAAACATGACAGGGAAAAATACCACATACTCTTCACCTTCAACGGCGGCGTATTGCCACACATTTTCATCAATCCGCCCAGTAAGATAGGCACATATGTGATCTCACATTGCTTGAACACAGGGGAGTTCTAACTCCTTGTTAGCACTGCATCACCTATCCCCTCTTACGCCTACATCCTCCCTCCCCCACCGGAAATATACCTTCAAGATGTAAAAAGCAATATATCCAAACGGCGATACGATATCCACATAAAACGTAATCTTTGGCTGCGCCATAGTTATCTGTTGCTTTCCGCTCTCTTATCTGAATCCCAATCGTAGTTCCTGTCCTGATACCCCAACTATACAAAAAAGATACACAAGCCTTGACTGCCTTCTTGAGATGAGTAAATCAAGGATTAACGCAGTGTCTGTCGTCGTTGAAAGACAAAAGCAAGGGTAAGCCGGATGCATCTATGATTACATAGCCGACCACCGATCGGGGACGGGGGAGGGGAGGCGCAAATAGCCGAGGCACGCGTTGAGGCGCTAGGAAAGCCTTGCCTGCCGTGTCGATCTGTGGATAGGCAGGTACTTGGGAATTATTTGCCGTTGGCAAGGTTTAATTCAGTGTCTATCAGACACGAACTTTTTATTTCCAGGAACATGTGGTTTGACAGTGTGAGAATGTGCTGGCTTGATACGCACATGAAAGCAAGTAGTATTAGTATCTATACTTCATCATACAGTTAGCAAGCCAACAGCAATTCGAAATCATTAAAAACTTTCGGGTCAACCATATTCTTGACTATATCACAACCACCAGCTGGTGCGCAAACTTGTATGAAATCTGTACTTGTGTTATACTTGCTATGCTCATGCGGAATCAAGGTTGTAAGACAACTTGGTATTCAATCTTTGGCTCAGTATGCAAGTGGATATGCACAATCGAAAAGACAGTGAGGGCGAGAGAAAAAATACCACAAAGAACGCCTTTAGGCCGTAATATGCATGCAACATCCTCCTACCAACCACCAGAAAAAGAAACTATCCAACCCCCAAACCTACTCCAACTAGAGAAAAGAACTACAACAACAAGAAGCCACAACAGCCACCCAATCCACCAATCTCACCAAACAACCCCCCTCCAATCAAAATCCCCATCAATATTCCTCCACATGCCCTCCCCAATCGCTCTCTGCCAGCCCATCATAACAGCCAGCAGCCTACAACTCGTACTACTAACCGTACAAATCACCGTATCGGCCTTTCCCAGCACCGCCAAATCCAGCAAGTACGCCCTTCCTACCAGCTCCCTCAGCTTCATAGCCTGCTCAGGGACAGGGCTATCAGCATTATTCACCTTACCAGTATCCTGTGCGTTACCGCCGGACTGGCCCAGCGAAAAGAAGACGTCGCGGTAGAAACCGCCTTCCCAGCCGGTGATCTCGTCGATCCAGTGGTTCTTCTTTGGTTCCTTTTGCGCGGCTTCGAGCGCGGTTTTTGTGGCGAGGACGATACGGTCTTGAGCGCGGATTGAGTTTGGTCCTAGTTCGGGGGAGTCGTAGACGTTGGGGTCATCGGAAGCGAGGATCATTTTTGAGGTGGTGTGACGGGCGGCGAGGGCGGGGGTGTTATCGGGGGAGGAGAAGAGGCTGCGCTTGATTTTGTGCTTGGACTTGAGACCGCCTTCGACAATTTCGATGTAGAGATTACGCGCGGTGTCAATGTAGCGGGTTAATGGGATGTAGTCTTTTTGGTATTGGAATTCCATGGGGTGTTTGTCGCCGTGGCGCACGTGCATGCCGATGCTGAGGCCGCCCTCACTCTTTACGGCACTGTAGAGTTCTTTGGATCGCTCCTCGACGTATGTTGCGTCTTCTGGGCGGATCTTGAAGAGTGCTTCGTAGCCGGTTCGGGCGAGACCGAAAATCTTGACTTGCCGCTGTACTTGCATCTTTGTTGGGTCCTCCCACTCCTCAGTGAATGAGTGGCCAAATGTAGACCCAGTTGTGGCGGCACTGGCAACAATGTGACGTGCGGTATGGGGGCAAGGAACCATGTGCGAAGGAGGAGGAGGGAGGCATTTCGCGGCAGGTGGAGGTTGGAAGAAGGACGAAAATCTACCATAGGGCCTAATGATGGTCAGTGTCAAGAGTGTGGTACTAGGGTTGGAATCAAAACGTACCAGCGAGTATCGTCGATGAAGAAGGCACGGTTCTCAGCTTTCGCCAAACCATACGCCAACCACATGTACATCAGCGTGTTGCCGAAGCCCGCGTCTTTCGTCTCCATAACGTAGGTCAAGGACTTGTCACAGACCTTGAGCCCCTCGGTAGAGATTCCATCTTTGATATCTTCATCCTCCACAAATCCCTTTGGTCGGCCACTCGCTTTCGAGGGTGGCAGCAGACCCTGTTCCTCCGCCTCTTGTATGTCAATGTAATATTGATCTTGCTGATTATAATTCAACATTCTCTTCACAAAACTCTGCTTCTGTGCATCCTGCCTGACCTGGTTGGACACCTCCATAGCCTGGTGGCAGACCTCGCGATACTGCGCCGGTTTCAATGGGAAACTAAGCTCCGCAGGTATTGATACTGTCCACCTCATCTTTCCCTTGGCATCCTGAAGTGCCAGAGCAACAGGCTCGTGCGGTAACGTGCTACCACCAACCATCTCCCAGTCCTCAGCGGCTTCCTCCTCAACATTGCCCACCGCAGCTTGCGAGGCCCCGTATATTTGCCCAAGCACAATCCAAACGATAAAGGAAACAACACAGAATCCTATGAGTAGCCGCTTCCACAGCTTTGAATAGGTCGTGTTGATACCCTTCTTTCCATGTTTCGGCAACAAGCTCGGAAGGCTCGGACTGGGCGGAGGCGATCTCGCGAGGAGTCCACGACGTGAAGGAGCCGAAGGAGAGAGAAACGCGCTCGACTTGGCAGAATGAGGCGGAGGGCTGAGTTGCGAGTATTGCGTGGTCGCCTGTATAGACAGGTTCGGATTTCGTCTAACGTGCATCTTGGAGAACTTCTTCGCAGCTTGGTTCAGCATGTCGAACGCCCCAAGACTAAACTATGGACCGAGCCGGCGTTGGCACTTGCAGGTAGGGTCTATTGACGTATATCGGCCAAGGTCGGGCGGCTTGCTGCAGTGCGAACGGTGCTACGGCGATGACGAAGCTTCTTGGTCCAAGTCGGTATGTGCAGGCAAGTAAACGTCACCTCTGTCCCTGCAGGGCAACCGTAACAAAAACAAGTAAATAGATGTAGCAAAGGAGCGGACGAAGGCACCGCCGTTCAAGATAAGCAAAAACAACTTTGAAAATAGAGCAAAGTAAAAAGAATGGACTCAATCCTTATTCCCCAACATGCAAATGAGACGAAGAGATAAAGAGAGAGAGGGGGGGAAAGAGAGAATAGGGAGTCTTTCAAGAAAGCCTGCGGCAAAAAGGTATCAAGAAGAGACGCGCCGCCCCTCTCGTCCTGGCGCAGCGCAAGTTTCACAACCGAGAAACAAAACGAAAGCCCTCAGTACGGCAATCCCACTAAGAGATTAATATCCCGTTTGAGAGAAAGAGAGCCCTACGCCGCAAGACCCGAGTTCCCTCTGGCCACTTTCACAAGCGAATCCCCCTCAAGACGCTGCAAGAACCGAGATAGGATCGGAGGTAAAATTGCGGGAGATCGCACTTGCTTCATCAAGCAAGGTTGGAACAGAAATACTCCAGGGCGCAAGAGGGGGGACCCCTCAGTTTGCCCTAAGCGTGCGGCAGGGCCATGGCGTCGTTGTTTCAGAATCGCATTTTCGTGTAGCGACATTGATGCGTTGGTGCGTCCGGCTCCGGCGCTAGTAGATCAGTCACCACATGATGGGTGACGACGAGCATCTTCAGCACCCAATGGCAGCCGAAAGATGTACTGACATCATCTAATACGAGTTTGGGATTGATAGAAAGTGGTCGTATCTGACGCACATCAGTATTTAAATAAAAGACTGTGCTATTCAAAGGCCTTCGTATGCACAATGACCCTCCGCGGTAATGCATTTTATACAAGCGGGCGTTCCGGTGATCGACCCGAGGTACGTAACCCCGACGCGCAAGGTATGTCTAAGCCGGATAGAGTAGCTACCAACAGTGTTCTATATCCATCCCATAGTGTAAGCCGGAAGAAATGCCTAAGCGGGTATCACAAGCAATTTGCAGCAACTTATAATCGTACTTTTGATAGAATACCATTAAAGGGCATTTCATTCAGGCGGTAAGACGGCACACCCGGGGATATATAGAAGCTACTAGATATAGCAGCTGCTATGCGCATGCCATAACCAAGGGAGTATCGCAGAAGTTATGTAAAAAAAGGGGGTATCAGATCGAAAGTCCCTCGGCACAGGAAAGAAGAGAGAAAATCAAGAAAGAAAGAAAAAAAGGTGGTAATGTACAAGCCGTCCGGGGCCGCAATCGCAAAATAGAAACAAGAAACTGCAGGAGGAAGCCGCGCGCCAGACCCTGCCCATGGACACATTTCCCATATGCAGTCGCGCTTTTCCGAGTGCCATTCCTGTGCCATTATTACTCCGTTCCCTAAACGCCTGTCGCTGTGCTGTTCCTCGGTGACCGAGGGTAGGCGGAGAATGGAAAATGTTGTAAAAGTACTGCGCCGTGTCACGCCGCCCGTGCTGACGTCTTATCTCATCTTCGTTACGATACTTCGTGTCGTTTTTCGCTGGCGTGAAATACAAGTCATAGCTCTGTCTCGCTCTGGCTGTGCAGACGAGTCGCTCAACTCTCCGTAACAGGTTTCAAGCTGCTTCGCCTGGTGGTCTTCTCAACACGACCGGTGATCATCTCATCGAGCATGCGCGTCATCTCCTCGATGTTCTTGCTGGAATGATTGGCTGGGAGGGGGAACGGGGCTGTAATACTAGTAGCAGGCGACGTTGATCCTCCTTTGGTGGGAATCATGCTAACTCCGCTACCATCGCTGGCACTGCGTCGGTAACCGGACGTGCGCCGGCTGCCCGGTGATTCACTTCCCACCTCATGCGCGTTGTCGTTCTTCTTGCGGGCGGACGTAAGGGCCGAAATCATTCGCTCCTTGTCTTCAAGCTGACCGCGAAGGTTCATGATCTCGTTATCCCTTTCAGCAAGGGCTGCAATCATGGTTCCTTCCTCGGTGCTGCCCACGAGTTTGTGCGACAGTGACATGGAGATGCGAGAGTGGCTTGCTCGGCGAGCGTGCAACAACCGCTTCTCAAGGGTCGCGATGTAACGGTTCTTATCCGCTAGATCAGCCTGCAGTGCTTGTATCTGCACCGCCTGGCTCGCAATGCCATCTCCGTTCTCACCAAAGGAGTCGTCCTCTTCAGAGCCGTCCATGTGTAGGTGTGGCGTTGCTTGGTTTCGACCGGGTACTTCGAGCGTGGCATGGCTTGCGGATGATCGGATGGAGCTCGTTCTCTCGATACCGGGGTGGGTGGTGCTCATGACGGAGCCACGCTGGAAGCTCATGGATGAAAATGACCGGCCATTGTTCACTCCCAGAGACTTGGAGCTCAGAATCAGCCTGTTGAGATGCTCGATTCGCTCCTTCAGCGCAGTTCTTGCCAGTTGCATCTCAAGCATCTGCTCTTCGTGCCGCTGCTTGTCCTCTAGTTCGCGCGCCTTCTCTTCTTCCTTGATGATTTTCAGCTCATCGTGTACCTCTTCCTTTGGCTCTTTAGTCTCCTTGCTCTTGCCTTCCGCGAGCTGTTTCTTCAGATCCTCGATCTCTAATCGGTAGCGGTCCAGCAAGGCTCGACTTCCTGCGTCTCCGGCGGCGCCCATGGAGTCGTCGGCCTTTTTGGCATGACTGACAATGTTGTTCTTAGCACGAGATGCGAACTTGAGGGTGTTGAGTGTCTCGCCCGTATGGCTGACTGCTGCGGCAACGCTTCCACTGGCTCCAACCTGGATCGTACATAGGATACTGACCAGCGAATTACCAGAAAGAGCAGGCTGGAGAAGTCGAGTGAGCTTGCTGTCTCTGTACGGCAAGTGCTTATCTCCCTTTCCCTTGTCCTTCTCTGCCTTGTCGGAGGCCAATCGTCCAATGACTGTACCCAAGGTGAGAAGACTCTTGTTGATGTGGGAACCCTCAGTACGCCTCTCCTTGCTGTCAGCAGCCTTTTCTGATCCAGCCAAATCAATCAGACTCAGCGTCGACACACGGACACCACCGGGAATGATAGCCGCTCGCTTCTCACTCGGAGTGGCTGCGGGGCCGGGAGCGCGTTCTCGGCTTTCGACGACAATCTGCACCACGGCATGACTTCGCGAACTGCGCGCGTTGAATTGAGTTCCTGCAACTTTACGGGAGTTGTCGCCACGGGCGATGACCCTCAGAAGTTGTGTGGGACTCTGCACGATTTCTTCCTTTAGTGGCGACGCATAAACGCCACGTTTGCTGTCCTCGCGCAGTTTGATCTCCTCGGTAGGTCCAGCCTGGCCATTCATACCAATGACGGGTCCAGCCAGCAGATCAATGATCTTCTCATTATAGATTTCAATATAGCTCACCCGAAGAAGAAACTCTCGCTGAGGCGTCTCTCGGATATAGGAGAAGATATCGGTAATAGCCAATGGTATAACACCAGGGTTTGTAGCAGTGCCCTGCATGGAAAATGTCTTGCCGGTTCCAGTCATGCCGTAAGCGAAAACGGTACCGTGGTAGCCCTCCATGACACGTCGGACGAGTCGCTTAGCTGCAGCATCGTATACGCGGGCGTTGTTGTCTTGGGGGTCGAATACGTTGTCTAAGTCACGGGATATTAGCTCCAATTTGGTCACCGTTTGTGGCGTTGTGTAAAAATACCATAAATGTAGTCTCCGCCCTCCTTGCCCTTGTAGGAGATGAGTGCGCGCTTGTTGTTGACTTCCCAATCTGCGTCGTGCTTGCCGTCTTTGGCGCCCGCGTCTGGCCGGACTCGTACACTGACAATGACGTTGCCCTTGCCGTCCTTGAGGGGCTTGCCGTCAGAACCACCATCTTCGCCATCTTCGAACGTGGTCGCGCTTGTCGTATAGGATCCTTGGGGAGAAGAATTGCGGCTCTGGGGTGGGGAAGGCAGGCTGAGATGGCCATTTTCGACCGTCACTGAGTCGGCACTGCCGTTGAGTAAACTCGGCGGTGAGAGAGGCGACCGTGGAAGTAAACCGCGTGCTCCACCAACATTGGACGTCCGTGGCTTGTTCAGACTGCTGTTGCGGGAGGGAACTGCGCCCTTTGAGACTGATGAAACGCGGCGATCGACCATTTCTCCACCTGGAGTCGAACTGGTCGAGAGGGGGCTGGTGGGATTTGCCCTTCCGCCGTGTCTAGGGGGCTGCGGAAACGAGCCGATGCTAACAGTCTTGCGCAGCGATTTTCCTGCAGGGAGTGACTTGCCGCGAGAATCGTCGGCGGGAAGTGAAGCAACAGAGGGCGAAGTGAGGTGCTTTGAAGTTGAACTTTGGCGGTTAGAGACGGCGGAGGAAGAGACGGCGCGGCTGGTGTTGGCAGCGCCTGGTAGTAGAGAAGCTCGCGTCGTCGTCGGACCGACATTAGAAGTCCTTGATTTCGCGACTGGCAGCGATGGCAAGGGTCCCGTAGGTGGAGCTATCGAGGGTCGCGATGGGCGCGGAAGCGAATTTGCTGACATTTTGGATGGGCTCTGGGCGCGTTCGTACGAGTGCTACCACGGCTTGGGGAGTTGCTGGCGATGCACGGATGGCCCGATCGCCTTTTCTTTTTCCAAGTCCTCTACGCCACTACACACATGTTCCGTGGCCGACTACTGGTCCTGACCAGAACTCAAATCGAGCATGCGGGGAGCAAGCTGCCGCAGCCGTTCTACTCGACGTCTTGTGGCTGCGTCAGTCTCGGACAGCACCTGGGCAGACAGGGACCTGGGCGCGGGAGAAGACGCCAGTGTAGCAGCAAGCGGGAAGGTGCAGTGGGTACTGCCGTTTGACGTCTGCGCGTAGGCTGCTTGTGCTTGCTGTGCTGTGCTTGCACGCAGTGCAAATGCAATGCAAACGGGGACGGGGGCGGGGTGGCTGAAGTTTTGGGAACGTGGACGCGGCGGTCACGGTGAAGATACGCGGAAACGCAGGGTCTTAGTTCACCGAGAGAAGAGTCAAGATGGCGTGGTGGGGAAAAAGGAGCGCTGATGGCTAATGGCTACTGTTTGCCTATTAGCCCCAAGCGTGCCAGGTGCTGCTCCCCTGTGCCTGCCTGTGCCTGCCTTGTCCGTTGACAAGGAGCCAAGCAGAGTGCCTGGTGTCTGCAGGGGCCCGAGGAAGGAGCGACCGAGTAAAATCCAGGGTCAGGCCAAGAGCCACCGACCAAAACTCCGTCCGAGCCAGGAACGACTGACGGTGAGCACGCAAACGAGTGGGAGCCGTGGACACGGCCGCGAGCACGAGCACGAGTAATCACTGCGCTGATGAGGGGGGGACGGGCCTGGTGATAAACAAAATAAAAGGGGGGGTGTCTATATATCGCGTGCAATGTCTTTTGTCCAACTGCCATCTGCCACGCCGACGGTGCGTGAACTGCATCCCCATGTTGCCCAGGTGCTGGGTGCCTTCTCTACCCACTAGAAAAAGTTGGGCCTATCTGCCGTACCAGATGAGCTACGCTTACTACAAAATGGGGCCACCCTACGACCAGACAAGTAAGGTCTACATCCGGCCAGTCAGCCCGCATACAAACGACGTTAGCCGCTACAGCCTCAGTCCAAGCGTACATATCCGCACCCACAGAAGACCCTTGCCCTGGCCGGTGGCCGGTTCGCGTAGCATTCCGGCTATACAGACAAATCTCGTGAATCCTATCTTCGCTTCGCCGTTGTTCTGTTGATCCTGTCCTGCAGAGGCAACCATGCCGACATTCCATATCAGCCTACCAGTATATCTGCTCCACATTTCTTTGCATCTCGGTCATCTACCGAATCATTCGCAATCTCCGCCTCGCAAAGCCAATCTCGACCCCAATTCCTGGTAGCATCCACCACTTCCAATCACTGACGCTCACTGTGCTTCGCGTGTTGGCGTGGGCGGCAACGGCGCCACTTGAACGCGGTGCGGCCTATCCTCCCGCAAGACTGCACTACAACGTTTACTTGCCGAGTACGAAGACACTACAGTGCTCAAAGACGTTTGGGGTGGCACTTGCCGATTTGCCATGGTCCACAAACGCAGGTACAGCCCCAATCACACGCGGGGAACCTGATATACTCTGTCGGAACATTACCAGCGCCGGTAATCGAATCTACTTAGCCGTAAAACTTCAAAAAGTGCCACCACAAGGCCACTGCATCGGGTACGGCCGACCACCATGTGCCACTAGAGTAGAGCGACCAAGCCCGTCCAAGTGGCATTGTCCCACATAGTAGGATATCACTGGTTGCATAACTCTACCGAGAGCTACCAAGTCCATCACAGACTACCCCACCCAAATAGACTCTGTCCAAACTTTGTTATAGCCAGATATTGCAGTCCCCACAGCCCGAGATCAATAGTTACTTCCAACGCCCCACAGAGCGCTACCCGGGAGAGTTGTACGCCAACCTCTTGCCAGCTAAAGCTGCCGGGAAATCCTACTGTACTAACGGCGCGGTGTGGCCCTGTGTACCGTCCTTCGCCGGCCAGATAGTGCAAGGCAATCATTCGCATAGTGACCATCCTGACGGGGAGCATGGCTAGGCCGACAATTTGGGCTCTCATTATTGCGCCGATCATTTGAGCAGGCTCGCACGAGAGTCGAGTAACGCGATGATAAGGGTTGCCGGACAGATGGTCTTGATTCAGTGGCTCAACAGCCCCATGACCTCGTTGGGAGCCGATAGCTTCTGCAACATCAGTGTGAGTGGACAGTATTCTAGACGGAAGACGAACTTCCATCTCCACAATACCTTCTCTAGAAGTAATGCGGATTCGGGGATCGTTCTCGTCTTGATCTAGTCCTGTTGTCGAACCTGGCGGTGTTGTAGAACGCATTAAATCTTCGATTGCGTCAATGGGGATTGTGATTACATCCGTGTCAGGTGGCTCAGTTGCTGGCGGCGTTTCCATCTGAACAACGGGAAGATTGAGTGGCACAGCGTTAGTAACCCGAGTGCCACCAACGTCTATCGCCTGGGCATCGTTCGGGCCGCTCCGTTCTGTACACTGCGAGGTACGTGGCGAAGCCCAACCAAGTAGCTCAAGAACTTTGTGGATAGAGTTTCGAACCAGAGCTGGTGACTCGCGCCGCATGCCGAGAGCAGTCAAGGCTCGGCTCCTACCATTTACGTCCCGGCTGGATATGTCGGGATTGTCAGGACGAAGTATGGATGACTCGACAGCTTCATATACGCAGGCATAGACCCAGCGTTCTAACGAAAGTCCAACGCATAATATAACAACGGGTGAGGTCAAGGCGGCCTTGATACAATCCATAGCCGAATCAGAGGCATTGTAATACAAGGAAAAAGGCCGCAGCGGAGATGAGCTGGAAAAGGGATTGAGAGAGCTCCATCGCGGAAGTAGTGCTCGAGCTGGTACCAGGCCGATGCGTTGTAGAGTTGCATGATAGAAGAATGGGTAGCATAGTCCTTCAAGACCCAAATAGAGACTAAACAAAGTAAGCATCAAGTCATGGTCTAAAATGTGAGACTAACGCATATTTCAGAACTTTCCTTATCTGCCGGAAGAAAGACTTTGTTCTTGAACCTGCCCGAGTTGCATAGAGCAGCCGTTCTATAGGCTGATACAAGACTGTGCTGTATATGATTGTTTGGATGTTCATGGTGGCAAGCATGCGAGAAGCAAAGCCTGCATAGATAACGGATGTTCCAGATTGCGCGTACTCGAAAGCAACAATCTGACCAAACGAGAGGGCATGGTGATAGCGAAACGTCTGTAGAAATTAGCACTGACGTTTATAGATTTCGGCAAGGTATGCACCAGGATCCTGTCTCCGATAGTTCCTATCCACCAAGTACACAGGTTCTCTGTGAGTGTGGTGACCAATGCGACTCCATTTCCTACTGTGTCCTCGGCTTCAAGCAGCTCGAAGCGCTCTTCACTGGAACCCGGAAGTCCATGGCTAGAAGAACGTCTTCGTTCCACTACACCTACTGATGCAAGTACATCATTCTGGGCACTTCTCAACTTCCTGCCATATTGCTGAGAGCGAGGATTGATTGGATTGCCGCGTTCATCATAGAGCTGGATGTAGTTGTGCGCCGAGGCTTCGTGATATCGCGCTGGAATCTCAGATTGGGACGACTCGAGTTGGATGTATTCTGAAGAAACTGAAGCCGACTGTGTGGGCTCGAAAGCTGATCGCCCCTAGCTCAATTGTTAGATATTCAGACATGTCGTCAGAAGTGACCATAGAGGGGTCCTACGAATGCGATCTTATCGAGGTAGGCTTGACGACCCATAATAAAAACGAATTGAAAAATAAACTCAACGGTACCAATTTCGAGTGATGTTTACAGCAACCCCGCACTGAACATGTAATATTGAAAGCATGTTGTTTGGTACGATTTGCGCCGGGACAGAGGCGGCAGTTGTGGTTCGGAAGACGCGCCTGGCCCAAACGTCAGCGCGTGGCAGCGGAACCAGCCCGTTAACTATCGATTAACTTTTTTCCCTCGAACATTTCGCGCCTTCCTCCACAACCCCGACCGAGCGCCTTCTATACCAACTCACAACATGTCGGCGCAAAGAAGTGCAGTAAAGACTACATACGAGGTCGATCGTACCATCCAACCTATTTACTCGGGTGGAAGTTTAGCATTGAGCCAAGATGGGCGCATTCTGGCCGCGAGCTTGGGTGAGGACGTCCTTTTGACCGACCTCACCAATGGGCAAGAGCTAGGCAGAGTTGAAGGAGACGGCGAGGCAATTACAGCGCTTATATGTAAGAATTAACCTTTCTGGCGACAACAATCGCTAATGCAATCCAGTAACGCCTTCGGCATCGCATCTCATTGTGTGCTCGCGCTCGCTCTCTATGCGCTTCTTTGCCCTGAATGCCTCAGATACTGAAGACGACACCATCGAACTCGAGCTTCTTCGTACTCTAAAACCGCATACATCTCCTGTGGTTACTTTAGCCACAGATCGCACCGGAACCTTGGTCGGAACCGGAGGCGCAGACGGTGTGGTCAAGGTCTGGGATATTCGCGGTGGTTACACCACACATACCTTTCACGGCCATGGTGGTGTTGTATCAGCGCTACACTTTTTCGAGGTAGAAGTAGCTGAGCGGGAAGATGCAACCGAAAACAACAAGAAGAGGAAGAGAAAGTCAAAGCAGGAAGATACAGAGTCCGACCAAGCTCAGGGCGAGAGCCAGATACAGTTTCGACTAGCGTCTGGTGCAGAAGATGGCAAGATACGGATATGGGACCTGCACAAGAGGAAGAGCGCTGCAGTGTTGGACTCACATGTTTCAGTGGTCCGTTCGCTGCACTATTCACCCCAAGAGAAGGTGCTCATATCCGGCAGCAGAGACAAGACTTTGATCATGTGGGACTCTCACAGGTGGAAGTCTCAGCGTACCTTGGCTGCACTCGAAGGTATCGAGAGCGCCGGTTTCATCGCAGATGGCAAGATTCTCTACTCTGGTGGAGAGCATGGTCGACTACGACTCTGGTCTGTGTCGAATGGACGGGAACTCACACGAGAGCAAGAGCCTGGCATTGAGACGGACGAGATTGTCAACATTCTCTACTACCCATCCCTACCGTACTTGATTACGGTACATGCCGATCAAGTGCTCAACTTCCACACCCTCAAATCTGCCGAATCTCTTGTTGTGGAAGAGACCATCGAACCCCTGCCAATCTTCCGACGCGTCTCTGGAACGCATGACGAAGTCATTGACATTGCATATGTTGGACGAGACAAGTCTCTATTAGCATTGAATACAAACTCGGAAGACATCCGGATAATTACGCTGAACGAGTCAGAGGGTGATGATGCGACCGAAGGAAGATACTTTGGTGCCGACGTGGGGTTGCTGAAAGGGCATGAAGACATTGTCATCTGTTTAGACGTGGATTGGTCTGGGCATTGGCTAGTCACTGGTGCAAAAGACAACACAGCTCGGTTATGGCGACTGGATCCTAAAAATGAGTCGTATACCTGTACTGCCGTACTCACTGGTCACGCCGAGTCGCTAGGAGCCATTGCTCTACCACATGCAGCTCCCCAGGAATCGTCAGCAGCCTTTACAGACCCGCTATCACACCCGCCAGCATATATTGTCACTGGGTCTCAAGACCGGACTGTAAAGCGATGGGATACCACAAAAGAAATGAAGGGCAAGCTACGAGCAAAGTATACCCGCAAAGCACACGACAAAGATATCAATGCAATCGACATTGATCCCTCAGGAACCCTCTTCGCATCCGCTTCCCAAGATCGCACAGTCAAAATCTACTCTTCCGCAGAAGGAGAAGCTATAGGTGTCCTCCGTGGCCACAAACGAGGTGTCTGGTCCGTGAAATTCGCACCTAAAGACTCTCAAGCCCCCAACTCTGGCAACAAAGGCTTGATCGCAACGGGCAGTGGAGACAAGACAGTCAAGGTCTGGAGTCTAGCAGACTACAGCTGTCTCCTCACTCTCGAAGGCCACTCCAACAGTGTCCTAAAGCTTTCATGGCTACCCTACCGCCCTGTCGACGCCCGCGACAAACGCGGTCCCCAACTCGCCTCCGCAGCCGGCGACGGCCTGGTAAAGATCTGGGACTCCATCTCGGGCGAAACAATGACAACGCTTGACAACCATACAGACCGCGTGTGGGCACTAGTATCGCACCCCACGACCGGTGTGCTGGTCTCAGGAGGCGGTGACAGCGTAATAACCTTCTGGCGCGACACAACTAGCACCACCCTCGAAGCGGCCACTGCCCAAGAAACCCAACGTGTAGAGCTCGACCAAAAACTCCAAAACTTCGTCTACGCCGGAAACTACCGCGAAGCAATCGTTCTAGCCCTCCAGATGGACCAACCAGCCCGGCTCTTCTCCCTCTTCAAATCAGTCGTAGAAACAGAATCTCCAGATTCCGACAGCCTGTCTGGTCTCGCCTCTGTCGACGACGTCATCGCTTCTCTTGCTGACGAGCAGTTGTACAAGCTTCTCCTTCGTCTGCGTGACTGGAACACTAATGTTCGGACAGCGCCTGTTGCGCAGAGGATTCTTTGGACCGTGGTTAAGAGTTTTCCGGCCGATAGACTGGCGGGGTTGAGGCCGAAGGGCAAGGTGGGGGCTAAGGGCAGCTTGAAGGATGTCTTGGATGCGATGAGGGTTTATTCCGAGAGGCATTATAGGCGCATTGAGGAATTGGTGGATGAGAGCTATTTGCTAGATTTCACACTGGGGGAGATGGATGAGATTGTGGGTGGCATAGGGGGCATGGGACTGTTGGGGGAGGGCATGGAGGGGGTGGTCGTTGAGTAGGTGGGAAGATAGATGTGTTTTGATGGTTTGTGGGATGAACCAGATTGCTGATAATGAAATCAGCTTGTTCAAGAGTTCAAAAGATCGAGTTATGACTCACGTGTACAAATGCAAGGTTCTCAGATAATGAAGAGAAGAAAACAGTTCGGTATATTACATGATTGTTCAATCTCACATTCATCAACGCGTCTACAGTCCGACGCGGATGTCTACTTATACACAGCCACCCAACCACGATACATCACAGACTACCCAACCCAACCCAGCTCAACCCTTCCTACCCTTCCCCTGCCCCTGCCCCTTCCTCTTCTCCCACACCATAAGATAGGCCTCCTTGGTAAACAGCGTCTCGGCCCTCTCCTTTTCGACATACAAATCCTGAATCCCATACCACTCCTCCCTCGCACGATCCTTGACCTGCACCCTCCACACTTTACTCTCCTGCTCACCCTCAACACTATCATCCTTCTTCTTAACCGCCTCGTGGGTGATATTCGCCACAAGATCATACCAGATGGGCTCACCGGGCGGGTACTCCTTTGGGTTGGGTTCAACGTACGGTGCCATATCGAGCGAGTGTACGGGGAAGGTGACGATGGTGGGGTTACGCTCTGAGACGAACTTGTTCTTGGAGAAGCGCTTGATGTTGAAGAGGAGGTAAGGGGGAAGCGGGTGGAGGAGACGGTATCGAACTCGATTCTTTGATTTCTCCTGGGGTGTGACACCGTTGTATTTCGCGAGGATATTAACCAGAGGCACCTGGGGGATAATGTTCTTCTCGAGGGCATCTTGGAACAGTGGTGCAGCGGGCAAGTCGAGGGTCAAGACGAGGAACCGTGTAATTTCCGTTTGAACGGCCGCATCCTCGAAGCGGAGGCGGTCACCGGCATCTGCGCGGGCGGTGATTTCTTGTTGTTCGATTTTGAGACGGCCTTGGAAGACTTTTTGGATGATGGAGCTCGAGGGCTTGGTGCGCGAGCCGCCGACTGCGAGGTGCAGGTTGTTGAGGAACCAGGAAAGGAAGTCGACAGGATCGGATTGGTTGGTTAGGGTGAAGCGTTTGGAGGAGCGGAGGGAGATTTCCTGGAGGAGTTCGTGAGGGGAGACGTGGGTTTTGAAGGCACGTGGGTTCCAGATTTTGCGCACGAGCGTGCTGAAGCGCTGGGCGAGCTGCGGTTTACCTGATAAGTCCTCTAGCATGAAGTAGTTGCGTAGTGGGACTACGTGTGACAGAGCTTGGATTACTACGTTGAAGTAGTCGTTGGCTTTGATGTTGTTCATGCCTACGAAACCCGGTATATACTCGCGATTCGAAAGGTCCCAGGATACTTTTGGCTCCTTGTCTAGCTTTGCGACTTCCTCCTTGCTCATGCGCGGGTCTACGACAAACTTGATGTCGTCTAGGGACTTTGACGTCACCTCGTAGCCTTCTGGTAACACGTACACCTTCTTCGTCTCCATATTGACGTAGACATGGTGGCCCTCCTCCAGCGCATGGAAGTATGCCTGTGACTTTGGCCCTCGGCCCTGGTAGTATTTCCCGCATACGAGACAGGCGTAGACGTTGATGTTGGAGAGCGTGACGGAACAGAGCTTCTCAAAGTCAAAGTCGAGAACCTTGCGGTTTATTGTGTCGAGATACAGATCTGCGTACCCAGCTTCTGGTGCTGTTTGGCGCTTCGGCGCAGCTATGGCGGGCTCGTCGTCTAGGTCGTCTGATGCGCCGGCTTCTGCGAGGTCCGCATCCTCTTGATCTTGCAGTCGTGGAGACATGACATGGCCATTGCTGGTCGCGCCGTTCGACTGTAGCTCTTCCATTTCTTCATCTTCAACTCTTGCTCGCTTCATTGCTGGTGAAGGCGCATCGTAGACTTCTTCGAGCGGCTCCAACGCCGGTCGCTTTGCCATTGTGGAATGTAGAGACTGCTGTAGCTTCCGGTGTTCGATTTCAAGTGTACACGGCTGAATGTATGTGAATTTCCGAAAAGGTTAGTTGTGGATCAAAAGTTATGGTCCAAAGTTGTAGGCATCTACGGTCACGGGGTCCGGTGAAATCATTGGCCGGGGAAGCTCCGTGCAAACACATCAAACACAGCTTCAACGCGGGCAGGGCGAGAAAAAAGTCGCGTCCAGGCACCACCAGCGAGCAACGCCACAACTCTTGAGATTACTCTCTTATTTGTTTACGACTGCTTCTAAGATACCCCCCCTTGCTGGTTTCGGAAATAATTGCAGCATGGTGAGTATTATGTATGTAACTACGACTGCCACTATTGCTAACGATATGACCAGTCCAACCCCACTCAGATCTTCGCAGAAGACGTGACCGAGGAGAAGGGCGAGAATGCGCGTCTCTCGGCCTTTGTAGGTGCGATCGCGGTCGGCGACCTGGTGAAGAGCACATTGGGCCCAAAGGGCATGGACAAGATATTACAGTCTGCGTAAGTCTACACTGCCCCGCCATGTGTAAACATTCCAACTCACGTATGTAAAGGTCTACGGGTGAAATTATGGTCACCAACGACGGTGCTACCATCCTGAAAGCGATTGCCCTCGACAACGCCGCTGCGAAAGTGCTAGTCAACATCTCCAAAGTCCAAGATGACGAGGTTGGCGACGGAACTACCTCAGTCACTGTTCTTGCCGCTGAACTGCTTCGCGAGGCGGAGAAGCTGGTCGACCAGAAGATCCACCCCCAGACTATCATCGAGGGATACAGGATAGCCAGCAATGCGGCGCTGAAGCAGCTGGAGAAGATTGCCGTAGACCACAGCAATGATGAGACGGCTTTCCGGAAAGATCTCGAGTCCATTGCCCGTACTACGCTGAGCTCCAAGGTTCTGTCCCAGGACCGAGAACAGTTTGCCAAGCTCGCAGTAGACGCCGTCCTCAAGCTGGGTGGATCGACCGACCTCACACACATTCAGATCATCAAGAAGGCGGGCGGAAAGCTCAAGGACTCATACCTCGACGAGGGCTTCATTCTCGACAAGAAGTTTGGTGTCAACCAGCCCAAGAGGATAGAGAATGCCAAGATTCTGGTTGCAAACACAGCCATGGATACGGACAAGATCAAGATCTTCGGCGCAAGAGTAAAGGTTGACTCAACTGGCAAGCTAGCCGAACTGGAGAAGGCTGAGCGTGAGAAGATGAAGGCCAAGGTTGAGCGTATCAAGGCACACGGCATCAACTGCTTCGTCAACCGACAGCTCATCTACAACTGGCCCGAGCAGCTGTTTGCGGATGCGGGCATCTGCTCCATTGAGCACGCCGACTTTGATGGCATTGAGCGATTGGCCCTTGTCACTGGTGGTGAGATTACGTCGACATTCGACCACCCTGAGAATGTCAAACTTGGCCACTGCGACTTGGTTGAAGAGGTCATCATTGGAGAGGATGTGCTGATCAGGTTCTCCGGTATCAATGCAGGACGAGCATGCACTATCGTTCTCCGTGGTGCTACTGAGCAACTACTCGATGAGGCCGAGCGGTCGCTACACGATGCGCTTGCAGTGCTGTCACAAACTATCAAGGAGCCAAGGACGACCCTTGGTGGTGGCTGCGCTGAGATGAACATGGCAAAAGCCGTAATGGAAGCTGCACAGAACGTGGCTGGCAAGAAGGCTATTGCCGTTGAATCCTTCTCCAAGGCTCTCCAACAACTCCCCACCATCTTGGCTGACAACGCCGGTTTTGACTCTAGCGACCTAGTCACACGGCTCCGCAAAGCAGTCTACTCAGGCTTGACCAGCTCGGGCTTAGATCTCCTGTCACCCGGAGGTGGCATTACAGACATGAGGGAGCTAGGCGTAATCGAGAGTTATAAGTTGAAGCGCGCCGTGGTGTCATCGGCCTCTGAAGCAGCAGAAGTGAGTTTTATACATGATGATCTTGTTCGTACATTTGACTGATATTTCACAGCTTCTTTTGCGAGTAGACAACATCATCCGAAGCGCACCGCGGAGACGTGAACGCATGTAAGGGTGAGGTGAGCAGAGCAAGCTTGGTGTTGCAACGCGTTCAGCACTAGATAGGGTGTAGATCACAACGACATGAATGCAGTCAGACACAAGCACAAGCATGAGTACTTGGTCTCCCTCTTCTCACCCGTTCCGGCGGACAGGCGCGGTACGAGGTGCGGAATAGGCAATACGGGACGCCCCTCTGCGCCTGCATGCGTCGGGCCTCCTGCAGGCTCCCGTGGACCAGTGAAGTTTGTATGCATGATGATAACACATGGTGGTCAATGAAATACTACGATGAATGTATCAATACAAATTCTTTGTGATTGAGCTTCCAGCTTCCATTCTTTTGAGTTTTGCTCCGATGGCGGGCGTCGGTGTTGCGGTCTAGCCCAGCCACTGAGGATTTGGCCGAACGGTTGGGGGGTAGGACCGCAACGCTACCGAGACGCTTGCCCGCACATCATGCTTGGTTTCATGTTGGTGTCTCACGTCTTGCCATGGCAGTGCCGATGTTTGTGACATCTGTGTGGGGCAACGGTCTGCGCACCCGAACAGGAAGCTTTGGACTCTGTGCTCTTGCACACGGTTACAGAGAGCAAGCTTGGAGGGCTTGTGTCTGGGGAATTTCATGCGATAGGCGGGGTGTAAGATGGTTCAGTGGCGGTGGGCGGTGGTGCCGATCGGACTTGCTGGCGCGCCATGGATGCGGGGTGTGGAATACTGCTCGCTTATGGCAGATGGCGTCCTGTAACTATGCTTGTCGGTGAATTTGAGGTTGGTTCAATTCAAGGTTTAAGCATACAAGTGAATTGCTGGCATGTCAAACTTCACATTCATGGGGACGTGGATGGTTCTCGCCTGCTACGGCGTGTTTCGAAACAGGAGGGAGTGTGCGAGAAGCGTACCGGTACATACGGTAGGGGCTGTGTGGTAGTGAGAGACGTTGGGGTTGGTGCGGCTTACTAGTCTCGGTCGCTCCCTTTCTTCTGACTGTGTTGGTGAAGGCACAACAACGATACGCGCACACGTCACACCCATTTTCTCTCCTGACGCCCCAGGTACCCTCATTGACCATTTTTCAAACTCGACGTCCGCCATCGTTACTTGTATCAATCTCACCATCTTTTTGGCGGTACCTGCGTATGACGGCGCCAAGTACTCCCACGGCAACGGTGCTAAAATAAGGGAAACAGGCGAGTGTGTCGACAGGGAGCTTAGTCGGTAGCCGGCTGACGAGGCCCAAGCCGGACCCCAGTTTACGGCGCACGTTCAGCTGTACGGTAGTCCCCGCGCCCTAATATCGAGTCAAAATCGCTGCCACAGGCATCTTCTCGCTCTCTTGAAGCACCCTCATCACCGCCCGCTCATGCTCCATCACCCTCGCCATCGCCGCCTCTCCCAGGCTTCTCACTAAACCAACATACGACCCGCAATGCCGCGTCCGCGCCGGCCGCCTGGTGCTGGCTCGGCGTTTACTACTCTCGCCCTCCTCCTCCTCGCCGGACTTGTGGTCGCTCAGCAGCAGCAGCCACTTGAAAATGACGTGCACAAGACGTCCCCCCGCGCCCAAGTCCATGTTGAGCATGCACGAATCATTCCACCACCACCACCGCCACCCCCCGTCCACAACCAACGGAGAACTAGCCAGAAGGATAAGCTAGGGGACGTGGCCGAGAAGCGTCGACCCTACACGCCCCTTCTAAGCCAGAATGTGCGCGCCATAGCAACCAAAGTTCCTTCTGCTCCAGCCATTAGTGCTGTCGGAGCCCATCCTGTCAGATATGCAGCCTCGGGAGGCCTCGTTCCCGGTGCGCGCTCTCTGCGGGATTGGGAGGTTGAGGACTTTGTTCTCTTGGCGACCGTCGATGGCCATATACATGCACGCGATCGCTACGATGGCAATGAGATTTGGGAGCTGACGGGCCGACCCATGTTGGAAACCATCTACAACGTATCCGAGGGCGACGTCGGTCCCCCACCTTTTGTATGGGTGGTTGAGCCCAGAGAAGACGGAGCTCTCTATCTTCTCTCGCCTGGGCCCCACCCACATCTCCAGCATCTGGGCGTCACGGTCAAGCAATTGGCTGAGAGTGCACCCTACTCGAGCGATGATCCGGAGCTTCCGGTTGTCTACAATGTGGAGAAGAAGACTTTTATGATTCTTGTCGATGCCGCGTCGGGCAAGGTCAAGCAGAGCTTCAGCCCCGGTGGCACCTTCCCCAACGACGACAGTTGCGCTCCGGAGTCCAAGAACTTCTTTGCCCGAGAACGCGACTGTCGCGGCGTCATCGACATTGGTCAGACCCAGTACATCATCACCATCCACAACAAGAAGACGAACGAGCACATCTGTACGCTCAAATACGCAGAGTGGAACCCCAACAGCAGAGACAGGGACCTGCAGTCACAGTACGACCAGACGCTCGACAAACAGTACATTTTCACAAAGGCTGATGGAGCGGTTTCCGCCTATGACTACAAGCGGCCCAGATCGGCCCAGGGGCGTCCAGTTTATACACATCAGCTGCCCGGTCCAGTGGCACGTGTATTCGACGTCGCCCGGCCTTTGAACGACCTGTCTTCAGAACCACCACTGGTTCTACTGCCCCAACCAACCGGACCAGTCCTCCACGAAGACAGACTTAACTACGTCGTCATCAATCAGACTGAGTCTGGAGCGTGGTATGCTTTGTCCGAAGCTAATTACCCCGCCGTCACCTCTGATGTGCCAGACGCACCTTGCTACAAGCAGAGCGAGGTAGTATACGACTGGGATGCTACCTACACTTTGCCGGATAAGAGCAGCCTCATTGGTGTTCACAGATTGGACTATAGGGTTCCCACTCAATATACACAGCTGCCAGCCATTCCCGCTCCGACGTACTATGAGACTGTCAACGAGCAAGTCACCTCAAACCCCCCAGAGACATCGCCTAGGGAACAACACCAGGCCCCGACCATCGACGCTCCGCCACAGGCACATGTTGAGGCGAAGTGGAATTATTCGTACTTTTACATTGTTGTTGTGCTATGTCTCCTCGGTGTTGGGGCTACCGCGAAGCCAACAATAGTCGAGTCTGCCCTGAGCTACTCGAAGAAATTGATGCATCTTAATAAGACCAAGCAGCCTCTTCCCCCATTTCACTCTTCCCCCACCTGAGAGCGAGAAGAAGGAAGAAAAGGTTTCGAGAGTACCTGATGCGGAAGACGTTACCGAGAAGGCAGCCGTGGAAACCCCAGAGACTGAAGTGAAGGTTGCCATTACGGAGGAAGTCAAGGAGAAGAAAATGGTTACCTTTGACATACCGGCTGATGAAGAGGAAGACCTGACGCCACTTTCAAGGACAACGACTGTCGATGTCGACTTGGAAACTGCCATTGAGACTACTACACCCGAAGTGCAGCTCAGCGGTGATGCTCAATCAATGGCTAACAGTATCGATGACGTTTCCCAAGACCCCGCAGCCCCTGCCACTCCCAAGAAGAAGAAGACTCACAGAGGCAGACGCGGTGGACGCAAGCTGAGCAAGAACCAGCAAAAGGAGGAGGACGAAGTCAACCGTATCGTGAATGCTGCTAAGCAGCTGGAAGTTGGTCCTCGCCTTCAGCCTGACGAGCTCACTGTGAGCGGCGGCGATGTGCAAAATGTGTCCGAGATCAAACGTATTGGCAAGTTGACCATCGACCAAGATCGACTTCTTGGAAACGGAAGCGGTGGTACATTCGTGTTTGAGGGCAAATGGAAGGTGTGTTGTGTCTTTGTATATGAGTATCGATTACATGCTAACGTTATTGTAGGAGGTCAAGGTGGCTGTCAAACGCATGCTACCACAATACTTCGGCCTTGCGGAGCAAGAGGTCAAGCTTCTTCAGAACAGCGATCCCCACCCTAACGTCATCCGGTACTTTGACGACGAGAGGGACGAGAACTTTCTCTACATCGCGGTCGAGCTTTGCCAAGCCAGTCTCTTCGACCTCTACAAGGACGGACGGCCATGTGAAGAACTCAGCGAGGCACACCAGCAATTGGTCAACAAGATTAGCGGCAAAGCTGCGCCTTGTTTGTATCAACTCGCTGCTGGTCTCAACCATCTCCACCACCTTCGCATCATTCACCGCGACATCAAGCCCCAGAACATTCTCATTGCACAGCCTCTGATCACCTCAAAGGATGACGTACGCCTGGTGATCTCCGACTTCGGGCTCTGTAAGACTCTTCCCGACAACGTTAGTACTCTTGTCGGAACGACGGGAAATGCGGGCACCGTTGGATGGAAAGCCCCCGAGCTCATTTCGCAACCCAAGGAACTGGCCAACGGAAGCTCTCAAGGCTTCTCCCGCGATTCGTCAAGTTCGACCGATCCAGTTGCACAGGGCGTCAAGCGAGCTGTGGACATCTTCTCCCTCGGCTGCGTCTTCTACTACGTTCTGACCGGTGGCTGCCACCCCTTCGATGACGAGGAGGGCTGGATGCAAATCCGCGAATACAACATCAAAAAGGAGAAGTCCAATCTCGATCGTCTCCTCCTCGGCGCTGACTCGGTTGAACCCCACCACCTCATCCAGTGGATGTTGAGACCCCGGCCAGAAGACCGTCCCACAGCCTTCCAAGTCATGAACCATCCTTTTTTCTGGGACGACCAAAAGCGCCTCGACTTCCTCTGTGACTGCTCCGACCACTGGGAGCGCGAACCCAGAGACCCGCCGTCGGATCACCTCGCTCGGCTTGAAGAGTACTCTCATGACGTTCTCGATCATAAGCGCAACTTCTTGGGAAAGCTCGATCAAGCCTTTATCAACTCGCTCGGTAAGCAGCGCAAGTACACGGGTGACAAGATGCTCGATCTGCTCCGTGCGCTGCGTAATAAAAAGAACCATTACGAGGATATGGAGGATACGGTCAAGGCAAAGGTGGGACCGCTGCCGGGGGGTTACCTCAGGTACTGGACGATCAAATTTCCGCAGCTGCTCATGAGCTGTTACGAGGCGGTGTTGGCATGTGATTTAGACCGGGAGCCGAGATTTAGGAAGTATTTTGAGAGTATGAAGTGAGAGTGGGAGTAGGGAGAGCGGTCGTTGGTGAGGGTGGAATCATTGCTAGCGAAGACTTTGAGGTATTAGGTAGATATCAGGAGCTTGACGAGATTGATTATCTCAACACTGCTGTTTGTTATCACTTATACAAATACATTCTTTTGTGAGACTTCTAAGAAAATTTCTTGGTATCATTCAAACATGACAGATCCCCTCCAGTGACAAGTATATTCTTCATGCCACCTGAGCTGTACTTTGTTCCTGCTCCTGCTGCTCCTCCCCAACCTCACCTTCCTCTTCTTTCTCCTGCCTCAAAGTACTCGTCGGCACCTCACTCTCTTGCCCCGCCTTTCGGAACACCGCCTGCATCCAACACCTATACATCTTCAGCCTCCTCTGTCTATTCACCAACATCCTCCTATCCACACCAATATGCGCCACCTGAAACGCCGGCCTGGGCGCATCCAAATCATTTACATCACAAACCATGCCCCCCTCCTTCTCCTCACCCACAACATCTGGATCCCTCAGTCCCAGCCCCTCCATCTTCTGCTCAATTTCCTCCTTGACCTCCTCCCCTACAACCTTTGTATCCGCCACATTCCCCACCTGTACGCTCTCCATCCTCTTCTTCGCAGCCGCGCCGCCCGCCCAAATATCCTCTAATTCACTCTGCTCGAAGAAATAAACCCTCGTGCCATCGCCCCTAACGTAGAAGTTCTCCTCCATATACCTCCCCTTTTTAAACCTGACCTGTGCTAAATCGCCGCGCCCGTAGTCACGAAATAGCACTTGACCACCGGGTTTAAGCACGCGCCAGATATTGCGGACGGCTTGGTCCCACTGCTCGGGCGCAAGTGCCGAGAAGATGAATATCATGAGAACGACATCTACGCTGTTTTCCGTGAGACCGGATGGTAAACCGGCGTTGTCAGATGTAGGCGGGGAAGCTACATCCCACACATCTGCTTGAATCCTTTTCCCGTCATCGTAAAGCTCATGACTGCGTATCAACTCGACAGCCTTTTTCGAAAAATCACAAGCATGGATCTTCAACCGTGGGTTCCGACTCCTCTCAAGGATGGGAAACGCGCTATTCCCCGCGCCAGCACCCACCTCCAAGAGCGTAGCCGCCGGTCCGTCCTCCCGCCCCAATTCCTCCAGAATCGGAAATTCCTGCGCTAGCCACTTCCTGTTCTTGAAGAAATTGGTTTTATTGTTCTTGTAGAATTGGTTCCACCATTTTTCCGGCTGCGCGTTGTAGCGTTGGCGGTCGAAGTCGTTGACAGGTGAGGCGCGCTGTGCGCTGTATTGAGATTCGGAGAAGGCGAGGTAGGAGTCGTCGACGGTTACGTGGTCCCAGGCGTTGAAGTCGAAGATGTTGTCGCCTTCTTCTAGGTAGCGCGAACCAAAGGTAAAGGGGTCGCTGCGTTTTTGGTTGTTGGTTGGGTCGTGGGAGCGGGAAGGGGGGAGGCGGTTGGGTTGGAGTGAGGCGGGGACGCCGTAGGCGTCGTTTTCCGTTGGTTCTGCTGTTGGTTGTGGTGGTGAGGTTTGTGTGGGGTTTTGAGAGGAGGTCTCAGGGGCTGATTCTGATGTGTTGGGTGTTGAGGTATGTGGGATAGGGTCAACTGTGACTGCGAAGCGCATGTGTTCCATGGCTTTTGACAATTGCTGTCTAGGTTGTTGTTTCCTCGATACGGAATTATCTGTTTGAAATCTTGAGTCGCCTGTCTCTTCCGCGCCCATAGAATTCGTCGTTTCCATATCTGCTGCCATGGTTTTTCGTAGATGTGATTTTTTTGGTCGTTACTGCGGGGGAACGAGGGGTGGATTTACAGAGGGGAAATATTCCTAACGCTAACATCCGAATAGGGACTAGATCAGCCGCAATTGCCCTGGATATGAGGGCGTCATGCCCGTAGAGCCGCAATCCTTAGCGCAAAAAGGTCGCTGTCCCATGTGAAAGCGCGACTTACTACCTGAGCTTGCTATATCTACGCCATCATGTCGCGGTGACACCTCGAAAAACTTCCCACCCACTCATTTCCTCTTCCAACCAACTCCAACCCACCCTGACCACCAACAATGGCCACCCTCAAAACCACCACTCGCGCCATCCTCCCCAAAACTACTCTCACGCGTCTCCCCCAACGGCGAACCTTTCTCCCCAACCCCTTCGACGCCCTCGCCAGCGCCACAAAACAACCCCCACCCCAAATCCTCACCGCCGTGCGCACGCTACCCTACCCCTCCGCACCCATCTACAGCATAATCGCCGACGTCCCCAACTACCAAACCTTCCTCCCCTACTGCCAACGTAGCGACACAACAAAATGGTCTGTGCCCGATAAACAGTACCACCGGCGCTGGCCCTCCGAAGCCGTTCTAACCACTGGTTTCGGCGGCCTGACGGAGAGTTTCACCAGTCGCATATATTGTATACCGGGGCGGTATGTGGAGAGTGTGGGAGGCGAGACGGAGACGTCGTTGAAAGGTGAGGATATTGCGCATCATTTTGAGGAGGAGGGGGGTAGGAAGATCGGAAGAGAGAGCGATAATGGGCTACTTACGCATTTGAGGAGTAAATGGACGGTGGAGGCTGTGCAGGATGATCAGACGCAGGTTAGTCTTGCTGTAGAGTTTGCGTTTGCGAATCCGATGTATGCGGCATTGAGTGGGGGTGTGGCGCCCAAAGTTGCCGAGTTTATGATTCGCGCGTTCGAGAAGAGGGTCGAGGAGTTGTTGGAGGGGGATAAGAGGTTGATTAGAGCCGGGTTGGGGGAGCTGGATGGGAGTCGGTTGAAGAGATAGGAGATAGTGTGGACTTGTACGTTACGAAGGATGGAAATGGATGCTTGACGGATAGGCTGCATAGAGTGCTCTAATCGAAACATGGCACAATGTAATGGAATGATTAATGTCGAAAACGTATTGAATTATTATTGAGTGTGTTGTACAATGTTAGCTCAACAAACGATCGCTATAAGAGCTGTGACGCGCGCAAAAGACACCATGCCATGCTACGCTATGCAAACAACAAACCGACCCTTAACTGAAGGTATCCCAGACCGCAATGTAATAGTAACGCCGTTCCTCGTATCCAAATCTTACACTCGTCCCTCTTACACACGTATTCTCATACCTCAACATTCCCTCAGCACCCCCTAACTATTTCCCTCAAGAATTCCCCTCAGAATACTAGCCCCAGGCCCAACAAGCGCATCCCTCAACTCCTTCTCCCCAACCACACTAGCAACCCTCCTATCTTCGACCACTACGCCCGGAAACGCCTTGCCCCTCCCGCGTCGACTCGGGGTACCAGCCCCGACATCCAACGAACCCGCCTTGCCCTCCACAGCCGACACCAAAGATAGCGTCTCCAAACTGCCCACAATATCGCGGAACTCGGTGCTGGTGAGCGGATGAAGAATGTTCTCGCGCTTGCACAGTACGGTGTAGGCTTCGAAGAGTTCTTTGATGGTGGGGGAAGTGGTGTGGGATCTTGATGGTGTGCTGAGGACGCTGTCGGCAGCTGAAGCGCGTTTCTGCTTTTCGATGGCGGAGAGAGAGCAGAGAACGGCTTTTTGTTGGAGGTTTAGGTTTCGGAGACGTTGGCTGGTGCCGTTGCTGAAGACTGCGGCTGTGATTTTGGCCATGTGGGCAATTGTTGCGCGTGGGGCTGTTTCGACTGTAAGGGAGGCTAGAGATGCGGAGATGACGTTGTTGAGGTCCTTTGTCTTGGTGGGGGAGCGTGGAGCTGACGATGCGAGGTTGATGTTTTCGACCAGTGGCGTTTTTGTTGGCGAGGGAGTGGGCGATGGTGTGATTTCACTGGCTTTTTTGATGTGTTGATCCCGGGTGTCGGCTTCAATCAGATCGATTGCTCGCCGGCAGATGTCAAAGGCTTTTCGAAGATCACCGGATTGTGCTGCAACCTTCTTGGAAAGAAACATGATGGCGGTGGGATGGATAAACGGCAATTGGCCTACGCCGGCTGGTAGGAGTGCCTTCAGTTTTGAAGTGATGACCGAGGAGATTTGTGCTGCGTTGTACGGAAGGAAAGGCAGTAGCTGAGGCTTGAGACCACGAGCCTTGAGTCGTGGGAGAAATCGATCTGTGAGGTCGAGCGCGTTCGCAATACCGACAAGTACCAGGCCAGACGACTTTTGGAGCGACCATTCAAAAATGTTGTAGAAGAGGTCGATGTCTAGTTCCAGGAGATGGTCCACTTCGTCCAGCGTAACCACATATGACGTCTTGCGTTGCATAAATAGATTCTTGAGTGTCTCCATTTCCTCGCCCTCCGCAACCTCAGTAATGTCCACAAACTCCTCCAAAAGTGTCCGGTACAAATCCACCGCATTCTTGACGCTCATGCAGTTGATGTAACCAGTTCTAACAGAGGCTTCCGATGATACTGTCCGGCAGACATCATTGACGAAAGCGCTCTTTCCAGTACCTGGCGGGCCAGAAACGTAGATGCATCCCGATTTGTGACTTTTCGTTCGCGTAGTGATGAAAGTCTGGAGCTCTTTTCTTTCCTGCTCTCTCCCGAATAGCGCTGTAGGTGCGGAACCCCTGGAGAAAACCTGGCGCGCTTCATTGTAGACTGTGGGTGCTGTATGTCGGGGAGTGCCTGGCGTGAGTGGTGTGCGGGGTGTCAATGGCCGTCCCGCAATAATGAGCCGATGTCTTGGCGTGACTGCGACCTTGCCGGCAAGAGCGTCACGATGTCGTGGTGTTGAAGGAGTAGGCGCAAACTTCTCCGGTATATCAACAAGCGCCTTCCGTGGAGAGTTTTCTTTTGATGGCGAAAGTGGAAGTCGTGTACCAGGCGCGCCATGTTTGGCAGGTGTCGAACCAGTCTTCCTGCCACGTCTTGTCGATGGCTTCTCCTCCGGCTCATCCACATCCATTGCATCGAGATCCCGCACATTTTGCTTCTTCGGAGTGACAAACGGGTTCTCATTTTCTCCCTCATCGTGAATGACAAACTGGCTCCGTTTCGCGCGAGTTGCGACGTTTAATTTTGATTCTGCAGAACGCGTTAGAGATGTGAATTCTAGAACATCACGGAAGGAGCGCCGTTTGGTCGTACCTGGAGTAGCTGCGTTTGCCGCACTGCGAGTCCTCTTTCCCAAAACAGTAGGAGCCATCTTTACTGTATTATGGGAAGTTGCGATGGGTGGTTTGCAGCGTGGAAGGTGGAATTGACGATGGTGGGAAGGAGTCGAGCTGAGGCACGTTAGTAGCAGGCGCCATGAACGCGACGCGTTAAGTGGCCTTAAAGCGGCATAGCGCTGCCGCGCACGTTAGCTGCACTAAGCCTGTTCGACCACCCCCTTCCACCCAACCAACTTTTGACATTCATCTGAAGTGGCATCGTAGAGCTTAGCGCGAAATCTTCGTGAACTCTGTACTCTTGGCCGCGTTCGATGCGCATCGCCATTACAGGGGTGCTTTACTTGGGCCCAAATCGACGTACGCGTCCATACTCAACCGGCATCTAAGCTACACCACTACAATACACCAATCCTGAGGTTGCCGAACCATGCCTGCCTGTATCGCATTCAACAAGATCAGATTCTGTTGAGCGCCCTGGAGAATTAACATGACGCGAATGACATGGCGTGTCATCTCTATCACGTGTTCTGGCATAATAGCTTCAGAGTGTTCCATCGCTCACCATAACGAACGTATAGTTAGAGCTTATCGAATATTATTCTCGGTTCATTTCAGCACTGGAAGCCAATAGTTTGGTACGATTTTTGCCAAACCGCTGAACGGAGCGCCATCCACCAACCATCTTACAGAAATCCTCCACGCCGTGCCATGCTGCAGGACATAAATGACGTTGGGTTGCTCAAGCGGCATTTGGGACGTCACAAGAGCTATGGAAAAGTCATGTTGTTTGCTTAGAACCCCCGCTGCGCCTTGTAACCACCTCCCAACAGTGCTCTTCTCGTCATCAGCACCTGTTGCATGTCTCCTGTCCATGGGCCGACCTGCAGGCAATGCCTAATTCTTCTCACCGCCACTATTGTTTGCGTAGTACAGCGGGGTCCCATGCTGTTGCGCCAATGCTGTGGTTGCACAAGAAGTAGGGCTGTTATCGAATGTGTAACATGGGTAAGAAGAACATCTGATGATATAAGTAATATGCCTCAGCCCATCCCATATTGTAGTCTCTAATCGGTATGCAGCCTGTCATCGTTCAGGTACAGTATTTCTATCTGTTCAGATGCAGCACTCATGATGGCTAGAATGGCCAATATCTTTGACTTTTTCCCGGCTGCTCATGCCCGTCGAAGGCCTGGGTTCAACGACATGTTTCACGCTCAGGTGCATCCTTACTCATTTGGCCCCTTAGCGCGAGCACCCCGATTCCCATACGAAGATGAACCGTTTGGTGAATTCCGCGATGTTGCGAGGATGATGGTGAGTTATCCTTACCCCTTGACTTGCCAACTTTCTGACCCACAATAGCCAGGCATCGAGGAGAGTCTTGAGTGTCTTTTCCACGAAGGTGTCATAGAACCAGGCGAGTTATCAACGATACTCGAACGACTTCAAGGCATACGCCACTGTCAGTGGGGTTTCAACGGCGACGGCCCAGAAACGTACTTGCTCGCACGAGAGTTGGAGAGAATATCGAGGAAACTACAACGAATGTATCATGACACTGGGATAGGCCATTTCTCGGCACTAGCAGACTATTTCATGTACATGGGGAGGAGCTTCCAAGTTGGACCGCGACACCGCCGATTGCGTACTATTCCTCAGCAACGACATAGGCCCTGGGGCTTTCTACCGCCGTACTTTGGCTACGATTATGATGATTGAACCTCGTTTCCAGGCGGCCATTTGATTTATCAGCTTGTTTCGCGGGCCGTAGATGACGAAATTGAATGCGCTGGGTCAACTCGGGCCTCGTAGCAATCGCTATCTCAGATACGACGTTGGAACCGATATGTCGTTGAGAGACTTGCTTGTTGTTCCACTACAGTCTCGATCTTCTCATTTTCGACAAGTAGCGACTGAAGATACAGTAGCTAGGCCAATGACACGCAACACTTGCCTTGACGGCGAGGCGAGTTAGGTTTGGAAGGGACCTGGAGCCTAACTACTGAAGGGTAACAGGGATGTAAAAATGTAGATAGCTTCGAGAAATCTTTCATTACACCAATGTGTCTCAATTACGTTCTGAATGCTTGATGTCTGGTCATAGATATTATCAATTCCTCCCAACATATCGTATACATCCTCCACAGTCATCTCTCACTTCTCTTCTTGCACTCCGTCAGTCTTTGCGTCATCTTCTGCCTTGCGATTTTCCCCTTCCACATCATCAGTCTTCGCGTCGTCATCTGCCTTGCCCTTCACCTCAGCCACCTCGTCAGTCTTCACGCCGTCCTCTGCATTGCGCTTCTTTCCTTCCGTATCATCAGTTTTGGTCTCGTCCTCAATCCGAGGCATCTTGGCTGCGGTCATCGGTTCAGAGTCATCTGCCTTGCGTTTCACACCATCTACCTTATCTGTCTTTGCGTCTTCTTCGATCGTGGGCATCTTGATCGCGGTCACCGATTCAGAGTCATCCGACTTGCGCTTTACCCCAGCTACGACGTTATCCGGGACCAGACCAAACGGAGGAATAACCTGAGGAGGAACAATCTTCTCCGGTACAGACTTGGGCGTCGACAGAGTGGGTGGACGCCCCGAACTACCATTCTTCATGAAGTTGACATGTTCAATAGCAACTGCATCCTCGCCGTCATATCCTCATCCTCAACATCCTCCACAATCTCACCCTCCTCTTCCGACTCTTCGGCAATGGCAATAGGTTTCCGCACATCGTACGTCTCACCATCCAGATCATGGAGCAGAAAGAGAGTGGTACTATTCGCCTCGCGCTCCTTCCTCTCCCTCTCCTTCTTCTCCGTCCTCCGCTGCGCCTTGTTCAGAGGCTTGGCAGCCGCCTTGAGCTTTCCAGCAGCCTTCTTTGCAGCCTTAGCGGCTTTCTTCGGCCCCAGATTATCTAGACTCATGGATTTCAGGGCGATGTAGCTGGCTCGTAGGTCCTCGGGTACTTTGACTTTGCGCTGTCCTAGTAGGTTCCAGAAGCGGTCTACCAGCTTCCGAGTTGGGAATAGCTCTTGGCGCATTTCGTTGAGCGCATCTTCTTGCACGACTTGCTTCTTTGCGGCTTCGCGGTTGCTGCGGATCGTCTCGTATGCTTTGTGGAGGTCGCGGCGCAGTAGCGCGTTGATGTGACAGACACGGTAGGCTTAGTCAGCGATCTCGGCGGCGGTCGCACCGCATTCGAGTCGGTTCTTGATGCGACCAGTGTCATTATCTTTGAGCTCTGGTTTGGTTTCCTTGGGTTTGGACGTAGGATCCTTGGCGGCGACGTTGGTAGAGGGCATTTTGGAGATATGGTTTGGTGTGGTGCGTGTTGGAATATTCGAGTGCTTGTGCAGCAGATAAACAGTCAAATGTTGGAATATGTCGCTAAGGTTGACGATTTAGAAAGTTTTGAGAGGAGAGCTAAGGTGCTGTTGTCGAATGACGATGTCTGCGTGGGAGTTGTTGTACAATACTAGCGCGCTTCTTCACGTTCACTAGCCCCACTTTAATGTTCCTTCTCTCTCACTTTGACGTAACAATAGCGCTGTGACTCATATATCGCGATGACGTGCTATTGGATAGAAGACGATTGTTTGAAGTTTATCGCAAATGTCGGTAGGAGCTTTTTGGTAAGACCATAATGCAGTGTCCAAGAATCACATATGGAAATCACAGCTATGTAACACTAATCTTGCCAAGTGAGATGATATATCAGATGAGGAGCATTTTCCAGGCTCTCTATAGTTTCTCTCCATCAACTATCAAGGGTTTTCCAATCCGGAAATCATAGATTACCAAAGTTTACACATTGCAAGGCGATCACCATATGGTCCTTCTCAAGGTCACAATGACCCTCCCCAACTATATGTGAAAGATGCTGTGTGTCATTGTTGTCTATTACATCAATTCTTTTTTTGACTAATTAACGAACAGTATCGCGTTTGCGTCTGAAAATTGTGGGGAAGTGTCTAGTGAAACCGGCATATGCTCTGTTCCGATCTCGGGAAGCAGTAGACCTATGGTCAGGCAACCATCTGCCGTGTGAGCCCCCCGCCGTTGTTTGTGCACGTGCAATCTCCACGTGCAGTTGGCTTGCTCATCTGTTTCCACTGTGCTCAAGACCTTTATATTGACCCCACCAGTGAACATCAACAGCGTTCACTGTCGGCCCTACAAAGGTTGCTATATATCTAACAACTGCCAAAACCCCAAGTCCCCTGAGGTCTACGCTGATACGACACATTCACGATGACCTCTCACGCCGTCATGTGCGAAGATATGCGCGCTCACTTCATGGCAGCTCTGATGGAAACTACAAGTACCTCGGAAAGTCAGGCGCACGCGATCAATTCGGCCGTGGATACAGCTTACCAGGAGATTTGTGTCATCGTCATGCAAAAGGTCATCCATAGTCTTCTAGACATTGGCAATGCATACAACGCATATTCCACCCAGGCCAAGATGGTTGAATTGCAGCTCAAATCCCACCGCGCCAACCCAGTTCCCAACGCCAAGGCAATCGAGACTTTCGAGAAGCTTTTGTCAGTCATTCAACAACACATGGCCGCCCACAAGGCTCATGGAATTGCATTCAAGGCCGGTCTGCGCAACCCAGCCCATGCCAACCCACAGGCCCTCCTGGACTTCATGGCTGATGACGGCAGGGGATACATGGCCATGACGACGGAATGGAACTCGAAGAGGTTCATGGTCATGAAATCAGGTGGTCCAGAGATTGCGACTGTGATGGGGAAGTTCTTGGAGAATCAGATTGGTGCCGTGAAGGGCCAAGGTCCAGAATTAGCAGCACGCATGAGCCAGTGGGACAAGGACGAGAAAAAGGGCAAGGCCAAAAAGAGCAAGAAGAACAAGAAGGGCAAGAAGGCCAGTGCAGAGGGAGAGTAATGTTCAAGCGTTCCACAAGACGGCCTGAAAAGGATACTAAGGGGTACATTCTAGAGCATGAACATGGACGGACGTTTTGGATGAGAGGACTAGAAGAGTACGTGTGTTCTGAGGGTGTGGAGAAATTCGGGATATCGGCGCCCAGAATGTACGAAGAAGCTCGGAAGCTTGGGACATGACTTTGAAAGAATGCCAAAAAATGCTTGTTCAAAAAAGTCCACATAATAATGATGTTTACTTTTGGTGGGTGCATTGCAGTACCGAGCCTGTTGTAGATCCCAGCAGAACCGAACTGCCTAATCGAACTGACGAAGGGTTTGCGCCGCCGATCGCTTCCTATCTGATCTCTAACGTGCGGCTGAACAACGCCATAAACCTTTCCTTTTCGAGAATTTCCAACACACTCATTCTGGATGCGCAGCGCTTGAGTGCTGTGGATGCAGGAATACTACGCGATGTGCATGAATGATGACGGCAAAGACGCTTCCGTTCATGTTGTGCTACTAGGCAGAAGTCAGTAGGTAGATGTGCATATAACATGGAGGAATCCACCTGCCGTTTCCAAGACATCACAATCATCCACTCTCTTTCCTATCCAATATGAAGTGTTATACTTCTCTTACGCTTTGCTTCGCTGCCATTGGTTCTTTCGCTGCAGCAAAGAACTCTTCTACCTCTGCTCACCAGCCGACTGTGAGCGCACCACATGCCAACCCATGGAAGGCATTGTCAAAGGCAGAGGTTGCGAGTGTAAATGAAATATTGCAGGAGAGTATGTTTTTGACGGGCAATCAAGGCTCAAGTCACGACAGTTACATGTAAAGTTGGCGTCCGAACACTTCTGTTCATCAATTAACATGCTCTTAGTGTCCAAATCTCCCTTTTACATCCTAACAAAACCGATGTCTTGCCTTTTCTTCACGGCAACTCCTCCGCACCCGGACGCTATGCTCGAGCCACAGTTCAGATCGGGGCCACCAATTCCTCCGACGGATACTGGCAGGAATACATGGTTGGCCCGCTAACAGCTGCGGATCCATCAACTGTCGAACCATTGACTTACCCATTCCAAAATTCGGAACCTGGAAAGACTGTTATGGATACTGCCGAATCTAACAACGAGTTTGGAATGTTCATCACACGGTTTGCCGAAGAACATGATGACATCTGGCAGAGATTGTTCAACAGCGTAAGCAATAGCTCATTTGGCCATTCAAGCAACAGTAACTCACATTAAAATAGTCTTTCATGGATGGACTTGTTGGCCTTCGACTTGGCGCCCCTAACTGGGACGAGGATGGTCGTGTCATCGCCTGGACGTCGGTGTTCTCTGACCCCGGCACCAACCTCAGCAGTGTAACGGTTCTCCCACATGGCTTTTCCATCAAGTTCGATCTTACAGGTCGCAACTGGGAAGACTGGAAGGTCATGGGCTGGTATTCACTCGGACAATTCTGGGAAACTGCAGATGAGTTCCGCGCCGTAATCAACGCCCCCGATTACCAGATCATGCCCCCGAGTGCGCAAGATGGCGATTGGTCTTCCACGGACCAGCGTGGTGAGCCCTGGCCTTTGGACGATCTCCCTCCCCCACAGCCCGTATCACAGGGACCACAGCGATTCAGGATTGACGAGGAAGAACAATACGCCACTTGGATGGACTTCAGCTTCTACCATACCGTTTCCCATGACATTGGCCTTTCTCTCCACAACATTCAATACAAGGGGAAGCGAATCATGTATGAGCTCTCTCTACAAGAGTCACTCACAGCCTACGCTGGTTCCGATCCCTTTGCTTCTCAAGCGAACTTCTTCGACACTACCACTGGAATGGGCTCTACACTGCAACCTCTCGTCAGAGGCTACGACTGCCCTGCGCATGCCACTTATCTGCCTGCGACCTGGACGCAAGTAAATGAAACGATGACCCAAAAGGACGCCATTTGCCTTTTCGAACACGATACCGCTTACCCAATCCGCCGACATTCCTATGCTGGGTCGTCTCCCCATACTAGTGTAGCAAAGAACATTGTGTTTGTCATGCGTACCATTGCTACCGTTGCCAACTACGACTTCATGATCGACTACAGCTTTGCCTACGACGGTGCCATCGAAGTCAATGCCCGTGCGTCTGGATTCATCAGTGCTGCATACTGGGACAACCAACCGGAATACGGTTTCCATATCCACGACTTCTTGTCCAGTAGCATCCATGACCACGTCCTGACTTTCAAAGCCGACTTTGACATCAATGGATTGAGCAACAGTGTGCAGGCAACGAAATTTGTACCGACGACCACAACCTATCCTTGGAGTCAAGGCCGCTTGCACAACACCTTCAAGGCCAACAGAACGTTCATCGCAGACGAGAGCGAGGCAAGCCTTGATTGGCACGACAATGACGCAGTCCTCTTCGCTATCGTCAACAAGGACACGCCGAACCGCTTCGGAGAGTATCCAGGTTACCGGTTCAAGAAGAACGCAGGAGTCAACCATCTCACGCAGACCAACTCGACGGGTACTGTCAACTCTGCCATATACGGAAACCACCACTTCTACATTACGCAACAAAAGGACACGGAGCCTCGAGCTGCAGACCCATTCAACAAGTTCAGGACAGCGGACCCACTCGTCAATTTTGGAACTTTCTTGGACGGCGAGAGCTTGGACCAGGAAGACGTGTACGTATTACCTTGCCTTTCCCTTCTCTGTAAATGACCATCCAGCTAACAATCGACAGTGTTCTCTGGTTCAACCTGGGCATGCACCACATGCCGCATACCGGCGATCTGCCCAACACCATGTTCAGTTCTGCACACTCGACCATGCGCTTCGAGCCCTTCAACTACCTCGAAGGCGACCCATCGGTGGCAACCAACCAGCAAGTGAGGATCGACTACGACACCTCAGGAAACGTCGAATACGTGGAGGAATTCGGAAAGATGGTTGCCAACGCGACCACAACCTGTCATTGAGTGCATACCAGCTTCTTGGTAAATGAGAGATGGAAAGGTATTCTTCTGTAGCTAGACATTCGTTTAATAAATTCTTGCACTCCTAACACGAGTTGCCCTTTTTACAAATACATTTTTGTTAATCTCGCTGGATTCTTCCTTAGCGGTTTCGATCCTTGCCACAACTGCTTGAAATTACATAACACAATCGGCTATTTTCGTCAAACCGAACAAGCAAATAAGGTATTTAGCGAAGACGTGGTTGAAAGCTGGGGCCGCAGCTAGTGTGGCCTATGGGTGCGCCACGTTTGACGAGAAAAGCTTGGGCGGGTAGAATGGCGGGAAGATTTCTAGCGTGAGGGGTAGTGGCTTTCCCCACCTTTTCGCCCCCGGGACCTTGCTTGCGTCTCTGTCAGCCAGCCTCGTGTCGTATAAAATGCTTGGCTGACCTAGAGGGCGCCTGCAAGATGCATGTCCAGGGTATATTGTTGGCCTGATCTCGTGTTGTACGCGAGGGTAATATGTATGCAGATATTGAGCTGGCTTGTGGAGCTGGTAACGTACATGGTGTTCTGTGACGAGGCATTTCGCCTCAGGGATGCATCGCAGCTGACTAGTTCGGTCATGCTGACTCATTTGAAAGAGCGTTCAGTCGAAGTATCGAGTTAAGTATAGGTAGAGCTGGTCCGGCTGATCTTTCACCTCTCCTGTTGCTAGTATTGCGTCTCCAAGACCACAGCTGCCAGGCAGACAAACCAGATGGACAGGTTACTGGTTGTCGAAAAGATATCTGAAGCAGGCAGTTGCTGCTGCACACCTTGAGTGCGACCGCTCAGACGAGGATGATTGGTTTGAGCCCCTCTCCCTCGTAAACTCTCCATCCATGATACCCTGAATATAGGCATCTCCTATGAATGTGTAGTGTTGCGTCGTCGTTTTATTGCTGGGATCAGGGTTATCCATTTTCCTCAGGATATAAGAGACTTTTCCTCCGGGCATCACAACAACAGAATCGCCAATTTCAGAGCCTCTGGGGCCCCATCCAATGTGCCCTCTCGATGTCGTGACAAAGTATCGTCCCGTGGATACCGCTTTGAAAGCACAGTTGATAGGAAAGGCCTTTGTATTTACCGTTTCATCATCGCTATCCATTTGTTTGGTCCAGCTTAGAAAAGTTGAGTGATCCTCTCCGCTTGAAAATCTCCTCCATTCATCGTTGTTGTCGCAGTCGTCGTAGATCATCCCTCCGATGAAGGCCTCTTGAAAAGCAGTCTCTCTTGAAAGATATAGCGACTTGTTGTACAGCTTCATCTGTTGACTAGATACTTCAGTCATTTTTTGCCATCTTGAGTAATTCTCTCTGAACTTGGACTTCGGATTGGAGGCTATCTCCGCAATGAAGCAGACAAACACACCCTTGCTGCACGCTCTGTTCATACTGGAAAGCTCATAGTCTGCGTGAGATCCCTTGCAAGTATCGTAAAACATTCTCTGTATAATATTCAGTCGATGCGATCGATTGTTACTTGCATCAGGGCTTAATGCAACTGTCCAGTCAGGCACAAAACTGGGTAGCTTCACAGCCCCAGCTCTGGACCCGTATTTGTAGCTTAACATGACAAAAGACCGTGTATGTTGAGTCCATGTATCGAAGAGACCAATAAAGACTTGGCTGGCTGGAAGATTGTAGTCCGGTTGTATCAATTTATCAGAGCACATTCCCAATATAGCATAGACCCTATCTCTTGGATCATGACATTTGCAGAGACGAAATCCATTGATCAACTTGGGGATGTTGTTGGAGCATCGAGATTGGTGTGTTTTGTTCAGGTACCAAATTGAATCGTGGGCTTCGGATCACGAGCTAACATAGGGAGTTTGGCCCATGCATGTGACACATCTTACCCAAAGGGCGCTGGGCATGGTGCAACATCCACTGATGTGTTTGTCGAATGTGTTGAGGAATGACTCCAGATCTGTTAACTCGACTTGTCGCTTCCCAAATTGAAGCACTATGTGGTTCGCAATCACATATTCTTGCACTGTCCACAGACGAGTAAACCAAGGAAAAGAGAAAAATCTAACCAGTGAGTTCAGTACAAATTCGTGAGCACAGTTCATTCCCTGAACCACGATGTGAGGTTCCAAGGTTGGATTGAGATGCAGAGATGGAATATAAGCCATAATCTCAATGAAATCCAGTGCTAGATTGCACCCTTTCCACATCTCATTCCGTATCTCTAGCCATTCGTCCCAGAGAAACACAACCACTGTTGACGCTAAACTGAAAATTTCACCCATCTGAGAGACCTGACTTGTTCGCTCGTCCATATCAGATTGATTGATGCAAAGTGCGTCGATCCAGAGAGTGCGCTCTCGGTCGTGATGTCGTAGATGAAACAGTGCAGCTTGGAGATTGACTGTCACAAGGACCTTTTGCCCGTTCAGACTAATCGGAATGGCTGCCCGAGGGTTCCCCCATGTGTACGAGAGTGCCTCAAATTGGGGGCAATCGTCGAGTGACACCAGGCTGAAGGTACAGTGAATGTCATTATCGAAGTCGACGTGCGGGTTAGGAAGTGCGAGAGAGATGAGATGGATTTCCCGATTATTTTCGTTGAGCGAAACGTAGTTACAGGTTGAACGTTGACTGTCCATGGCTTCGAGAGTGTTGAAGAGTACCTCAGGAGAGCGGTAAAGCTGAGGAGAAGTAACACCGAAAATATTGTACCGCCGATTGGCGGGATATAGGACCCTGCACAAGAAATGTCTGATAATAGAGACAGAATACAATGCTAATCTTTATAAAGCGAGACGGAGAAAGTGCTACGAAGGTAGGTGAAGGAAGTTACAGCTCATGAGGTAAAGAAGATGTAAGCTTGGGTTATTAACTACTTAGTTACTATGCTACAGATATTCGCGATTTCAGAGTGGAGACTGGTTAAGCAACCCCCCTCAGAGGTCTGACGTATTGCTTCCACACTCCGAGAAAAGCCCTACGATCAGCCTTACTCTGGAACCTGATCTCTAGCTCCGAGTAACCAAAGCGATTGATATTGCCGGCCCTTGAAGAAGTTGCTCCATCTCCATGAATACTCCCCTGGGACTTCATAGACCCATTGGACAATACCGAAACACCAGTTGTTGAGCGATTTGGCTGTGGCATCTCCATAGAGTCGTTGCGTTTTCGTGAGAAGATGGATGGACTCTTCGGCTGTTGTTCGGCACGTGCCGAAGATCTGCGGCGCTGGAAGAGCTTATCGCTCGTCCATCGCGATGGGTCCCTGGAAAAAACAAGTGTTAACTTGTCGCTCTCTTTTCTATAAGTTGACTCGGTTAGCCACTCAAATGCGTAATGTGGCTCCTCAACCCAATGGCCCTTGTCCTCCAGCGCGCTCGTGTAGAACAACAACACGAGGACTTCGAAAGTGGCAAGTCCGTCATCTCCTAAGCGTGTCACGGTACGATTCCAGAGCCGCAGATTTCGACCCCTACATTCGGTGGCGTGCAGGTTGGACGATATTGTTATGACAGGCCGATCGTACTTGAGTTCCGCGGGGTCTGCGCCGTTGTTCGTATAGAGTAGCGTTTGAAACTTCCCTGCTGGCTCGTAGCCTGTGAAAGTATACTTAATATCCGTATACTGCTTTTCCAGCTTTCCAAACGAGCCGCGTGGAAAGTCGATAGATACTGCGCCATCCGCGTAGGTAGTCGTGAGGGGTATGGACGGCCCGGTAGCGTGGAAATGCTGTTCGGTCCAGCTTCGCAGCTTACCGTCTTGGCTTGAGTGATACACTGCACGTATGGATATGCCAGTATCTTCTCTGTATCGCCATCTTAAATCGCAATCTCTGCTCTCGTGCCCATACTTCACAGATTTTCGCTCAACTTGAACAGTGAGACAGATACGCTTCCAGTCGAGTGCAGCTTTACCCAACGCAATAGTGACGAGGGATGTGCATGAGAGGCGGCTCCTAAAATGGTTTGGCATGGGGCTCTCAGGAGTGGTACCCTCTGTATTTGTACCTGGCTCTTGTACCGACGGTTGGGAATCAGGCGAGTAGCTTGTGCTACCTCTGGGCGAAGAGATGGAAGGAACTCTTTCAAAATCTTGCGAGGTGGAACTTCCCGTAGGGGAATTCATCCAATCGACCGAACCAAAGGAAGGGCTTGCATGAGGACTACCGGACAGTTGTGGAGACGGCAAGGGTGTGTTCGCATGAGGTCGTATAGTAGCAGAGGAACTGCTCATTTGGTGCTGCTCAAAGTCCGTGAAATTACCAGAGTGATCGGTATCAAGCGTATATGTCCGCAATGGCGCTGGCGGCATGTTGCGTACCGTCAGCTTCATCGCATCACTTGGCGCAAGGTGTGATCTCTTCTCAGCACCTGTTCGCTTTGCACGGTTTTCTTCGATCATGATAGCATCGTCAACCTGTCTTCGAAGCTGATATAATATAGCGGCCGTCTGAGCATCCCCACTTGGTGCTCCTGCGGGCGCATCGCCCAGTGACAAGGGCCGAGTGAGCCCTGATTCATGTGTGATACGCTCGTCTTCCACTTGTAACCAGCGGTCGAAGATTCTCCATTCGCTGAACAAAGGATGTTCATCTGGAGCGGGAAGTGCCAATGGAGTTCGTTCCGATGATAGTCCAAGCGTGTTCGTAGAGTAGGACCGACCTGCTAAGTGCATGGTACGAGAGGGCACAGCGTCGAGAAGCCGTTGGGTTTGCTTTGTTGCTTCGAGGTGAAGGCGCCTGAACACATTCGGTCAGTATGATAAAGCGTGGTAGAACGACTTAAACCTACAGTTGAAGGAAAGATATGCACATGTGAAGCGCTTGGTAATGACCAGTGATCTGTTTTCTCAGACCATCGATCTCTTTCTCCATTCCCATGTACCTGACCGTGTATAGGACCTTTCTAATGCCCATCTTCTTATCTACCAGGTGGTCTGCATATGGGTCAAGTGTTATCTCGCATCTCTTCAGGGTTGTTTCGAAGTCCTTGACAGGAAACGGCATCGGTTGGCCATATTGTCGCATGAGCTCACCCAGCTCTGTAAGACAGCAATGGAAAGTAGTAAATTCCTTCACAAGTGCAGTTACTTGCGCTTCGGAGTTCTCGTTTGCATCTGCGTGGATCAGCGCACTAATCCTTGCTAGGTAGTGGCAGATAGTGACATACCTTTAAAAGCGAGATAAACACGAGTGGAGATCTCTAATAACTTCAGCACATCGGATGGGCTGCAACCAAAGGCCATGTTAATTGGTTTGCGCCGCGCTCAGGCGCAATCTTGGTTGTGAGAGGACTACTCATGTACGAGAACTGCTTGCGCCCCACGAGAAGCAGCGTAGAGTGAAAGCCAGGGCCAAAGGAGAGAGAAAATACATTGCAAGTAGGACCCTCCTGAGCTTACTTCCATACTCTCAACGGGCGCTTGACAAGGCTATCCCAGAGCCAGACCGCCGCACATGGGGTGGCTCAGCATATTGCCTCTTCTCATGCTGCGAGCCAGGAATACACTGTTTCGTAGCCTTTACGAGACCACATGCAAGGCTAGCAACCGCAAGCTTATCGAAACATGGGAGAAAGTTCGTATGGATGCATGTGGCGGTGCCAAGATGGGATGCCCAACCGGGGATGGTGGCGTTTTACGTTCAATGAGAACGCACAGACCGCCACGTGGGGAAGCGAACGGCCATCGTGATCTGCCAGATGAGCTTGCCATCATTACCTAACACCTCGTGGCTTTCCCCCAGGTCTTGGAATAGGCTTCTATTTCGATCAGGCACACTGCTTTGATGAACCATAACTCCATGACATGATCTATTGACCAACATGTGTTCCTGATATTTCAGCTCAGATGTGGAAGTGCGGACAGCATAAAACCTCTAGCATTTACAGTGATTACGGCTCGTCTGAATACTACGCTTGAACTTCAGTGAAACTCCAATGCAATAGTCGACGCCACTAAGTTCATTTCGGCGACCAAGGCAGATTTGGATATGAGGGTAGCGAACCGAAGAGAGGCGCCAGTTCGCATTTGTACTATTACGTTGACCGGTTTGCCTTATTGCATCGGGCAGTGCAATATACCCTGACATATCGTATCCGATCATGCGCTTCGTGGTCGAGGCTGAAGCTTCTCGTCTGCGCAACATAAACGAAGCCATCCTGAGACACACCCCTTAGAGCACGCAACACGATACGTACCTGTAAATTATCTAGCGGAAGATAATTTCGCATTCCTTCAGACGAAGATACCAGGTCTATTGAAATTCCACGAAGATGGGTCTCCGGAATTGGGTCAAACGACCAATCAGAGGTCGTCAATTTGGTGTCGAGGACTTGACCGCGGGTGGAAGCGGCATTCCTGTAAGTTTCTCTTCCTCTAATCTCGGTGGTTCTGTGCATAACATTGGTATTGAAGCGGTTACCAGGAATCAAGGCGACGTCGGTGGACACTCGCGACAATCGATGCCGCTCCCTTCCAGGTATGGGTTGTCATAGTCGCCGGAATCGGCTTCTTGACAGACGCCTTCGGCCTCTTCGCGTTGAACGTAGTCACCCCCATGCTGGGATACGTGTACTGGCCTCATCATCTCGAAGGTGGTGTACCGTCAGTACCTTCATCTGTCAAGACTGCCATGATGTGCTCGACCCTAGTCGGTACAATGCTCGGTCAAATAGGCTTCGGCTTTGCTGCAGACCAACTCGGTCGACGAAAGATGTACGGGCTCGAGCTGGTGATCATTATCGTCGGTACAATGTTGCTTCTCATGAGTTCCAACGGCGAAAAGAACAGTATGGCTATCGGAGGTTGGGTGATTCCCTGGCGGGCTATTATGGGTAAGTGATTAGCTGGAAAGCATCCGTGAAAGCATACTGACTGAATACCAAGGAATTGGCATTGGCGCTGATTATCCCCTGAGTGCTGTATGTACACCCTTAGCATAACTGCATCATGACCCTCATTGTGATCTTAGGTCATCACAGCCGAATTTGCGCCTCGAAAACACCGGGCGCGAATGCTGAGCTGGGTGTTTTTCGCTCAGCCCATTGGACAACTGCTTGCAAACGTCCTGTCTTTCGCTGCAGTAGAGGCATACAAACCATGGATTGAGAAGAACGCTCAAACCTGCCAACTGAATGATCTGGAGTGCTTCCGAGCTATCGATCGACTATGGAGGCTGGTAGTAGGTATAGGAATTGTACCAGCTGTCATAGCATTGGCATTCCGATTCACTATCCCAGAAAGCCCGAGGTACAAACTGGATATACTGCAGAACACGAAGAGTACCGTCGAAGATACGGCTCACTATTTTGGTGCCCCAGAACTTGATTCTGAGCATGGGGAGGCTGAGATACTGCATACTCCCACCAATGCAGCCACACAAAGACCTATCTCGAGGTGTTCGTCCAACTCTTCTGAGGGTGCGCTCAATGACGTTATCGATAATAACAGCGGGCCTGAACATCGACTCAGTAATATAGACCTTCATCGTAACGCGGCAACGCCAGCTTATCTTCCACCGGGTGACCCCGAGTTTGTTCCTCCACTCGCTTCTTGGGCCGACGCAAAGAACTTATTTATCACTGAGAAGAACTGGCAGTATCTTCTGGGCACATCTCTGGCGTGGCTTTTCCTCGATTTTGCGTGTAGGTGAACCATCGAGTCGCTCTCGGGGATATGCTGACGCCGTGCTAGTCTACGGATTGGGACTCTCATCGCCACAAATCGTCAGTCATATCTGGCAGGGAGACGTTCAAGATCCATCATCAGTATACCAATCACTGAGTGATAACAGCAAACATACGTTGATCATGGTCTCGATCGGAACAGTTGTCGGTGGCTTGCTAATGGTTAAGGTCGTCAAGTACGTCTCACCAAAAGTGATCCAGTTCTGGGGATTTCTGGTACTCTTCGTGCTCTTCATTGTTACTGGAAGTGCTTGGACGAACCTGCTCGATAGCGATAGCAGCCGGTCCGGACTCATCGTTCTTTACGCGCTCAGCCACATCGCTTTCAACCTAGGACCGAACGTAACGACGTTTATCATACCTGCTGAGATATTTCCCACCAGATACCGCTGTACTTGCCATGGAATCGCTGCTGCTAGCGGAAAACTGGGCTCTTGGATCGTGCAGATCTTCTTAGCTTATGCGTTCCAATCCGACAAATCCAAGCCCGAGGACGATTTCGATTGGGAGCGTCAGAACTTCGGGCACATCTTGCAGGTGATGAGTGCTTTTATGGTGGCTGGTGCAGTAACGACGTATTTCCTGGTTCCAGAGACGAGGGACCACGATAATAAGAGCCGGACATTGGAGGTATTAGCATGCGGGAAGAAGGTCATCGATGAATTGAATAAACAACGGAAAAGAGAGGACGAGGAAGACTGAAGATCATTGTTAATAAGTAGCGTATTGGAAGCCGATATTCAATTGATGTGTATGCTTAATCTTCGTAGACGGATACCTTGTTTGAAACCTTCCATGCTTCAAACGCGTCCTGCCAAGGAGGGTCAAGGAAAAGTAGAACTGCAACCCCTCAGAGTAACCAAAGTTATGTATTTCCGGTAATTTAGACAAGATCTCAAGTGATACGCATCAAGTAGGGGTGGATTTGGAAGATCGCTGCGCCTTGCCACCATCGCGAATTCCAAGGTCGTGGCGCTATCAGCACCACACTATTGTGGTTTTCGAAATACCTTGAGCCGCCTGGATCTGGTTAGCTTGGTGCCCAAGAACATCAACTCCCATAGTAATTTGTTAGTAAATTAATGCAGCAGCCGTTTCCCACCTCCAGAAGCCCATGAAGCTAGTCCTGTACTCTAAATCGTTCGTGTATAGCGTTTTGTTTGTGTGGAGCTTGTTGCGAGCTCAATCTAGCTGCTGTTGGGATGCCGCCCAAGCGCCAGCGTAAGCCGAAGCAGCCATTCGATCAAGGCGTTAACCCGTCCTCCCAGAAGCGTAGAGCGCCAGCAACTAGACAAAATCCTACCCATTTAACGCCTAAACGTGTCCGCCGTGAGGCGCTGCCGTCGCCTCCAGCGACTGCCCCGCCGCGCCGTCAAAGCCCGTTGTCCGAGCCTGAGCTGCAAGCCACCCAAACAGCTGCCTCCGCGCAAGCTGAAGATATCGTTGGCGAGGATGAGGATACTTTCGAGGATGGAGATGGCGATCCGCTGCCTGAGGATGAGGATGAGATCGCTGCTAAGGGCGCTGCCGGTAGTGTTGAGGATGAGGGAGAGCCAGCGTACCGACGTCAAGAAGGCACTCCATGGCTGCCTCGCTCATCGCAAGCGCTAGAGGATGAGGTTAATCCTGTACTGCGCGTTAGGTGGAGGGCTTGCCTTGGTGGTGATATGGAGAAACACTTTATTCCTGAAGCTGCCGATAGCGAGCACGGCGTACGGCTGTACTCGCTGCATTTCGACGACCTATGGCAGTGGGTAGATGACGTTGTTGCAGAATTACGGCCAAAAAGAGCGAAGATCTCATCTGTTTGCACTGTTGTTTACCCAGCTAAGCAGGCCAAACGCGAGCGCGCGATAAAGCGATTGCGGCGAGGTGTTGATGCAACGTGGAATAGCTTTCAGCGCCTTGTTGTAGAGGTTGATAACTATGTCAGCGAGCCAGTAAACGTCGATTTCGAGCTCATCTTGGCTGAAATTCCAGGGGAGCAGCAGCCGTTGCCAACGGTTGTCGACGGTCCTCGTCGACGCACCGCAACGGTGATTCAAGAGGAGGGGCTTGCTGGTGTAATAGCAGCTGAACAAGCAGGTAGCGGGCATGCTATTGCTATCCGGGATAGATGGCGCTGTACAGATACCCATTGCGAGAACTATCCTTATTGCTGCTGGATGGCGCCAACAGCGAGGCAGCCAGCGCGCTTCGAAGATCACCTCTTTGTCAACGGCAACATTATCTCCATGTGGGCAAGAGCAATTACAGCGAGAAGGGCAACGTACGATGAGCCATCTGATGATGTACGGCTTGCAATTTTGAGAGCAAAGGACCTGCGGGTGCATGAGAAAACGCGCAAGTTGCGGGCGGCTGGAGATGGCGACGATGATATCAAAAGCTTAACAAAACTGCTCATCGTTGGACAGCTTGAGCGGATGAACAGGCAACCTCAACAGGAGTCTAACTTGCAGGCAGCTGCACCAACGATAACAAGAGCTGAGGTATCTAGTGCATCTCAGTGGGCGCCTATCCGATATGATCATGAGCAGGAGATTAACGAGCATACTAGTAATTTCTTTAACTACCTTAAGTTAAAATTTCCTACAGTTGGAGAGGACATTAACGAGCTTTATAAGACTCTTGTTATTGACGGAGCTATGGATATCAACCTCTTGATGCAGCCATCTGGTGATATCTTGAAGTTGTGGACGCAGCATTTCAAGCAGCCTCCTGGCTGGTTTTTCACGCTACAAAACACTGCAAAAGAATGGCAAGCTGGGTACCAGGGTCTCACAGATCGTAACTGGAGACGAGTCGAACGTTGTAAGAAAAGAGAAGAGATTGCGCGCAAGAAATTGGTGGTTGAACCGTCTAGCAGTGTTGTGGAGGATGATGGCGAGAATGCTTGAAGCTTAGTGGCCTGAGCGTTTTTGGTGACAGCGGCCCGTGCCCGCTATAGTGTTGAGGTTTTTCAGGCGTTTCAAATGCGCTGCAACAATAGTCTATTTGGATAGCCCTATGTACAACACTACAACGTTATGCGATTATAACAGGTTAACTTCCTAAGATAGTTCTATATGTATAGAAATAGCTCTTATTTTTTTAGAATTATTAAATCGCTTTTGTGGGTTGCGCATTAAGGTGTAATCGTTCGCATTTGTATGGTATCATCTACCTATAGAAACGTACTGTGGCATCCATTTAAAAGCACAATTAATAGGGATAGCCACACCTATGGAACCAGCTTCTGCAGTTAATATTACAGCACACCAGCTGCGCTGCATACTCAAGAAAGACCCCAAAGTCAATGAAGTTCTCCGCTTGCGCTGAATTCCTTTTCATCCACCCCTTGAGCTGCTTAAAGCTCTTCTCGATGGGGTTGAAATCTGGTGAGTATGGCGGCAGATACTCAAGGAGTACTCCAGCACTTTGGCAAAGCACCCGTACACGCTCTGATCGATGGATGGAGGCGTTATCAAGCACGATTACTGAGGCTGGCCCTGGGTGAGGATTGCAGAACGGCAGCACTTGAAACTCTAAGAAGTCTTCTAGGATCTCAGATGTAATCGCGCCTTGAAAGATCTTATAGCTTATGTAGCCATCTATCGTCATGGCTGGCAGCAGCGACCACCGTTCTGATCGCCTGAAGCTGTGTGATAGCTCCACCGGCTCCCCGATTGGAGACCAGCCATACTTGCGGTCGCCCGTACGCTCATTGCAGGCGCTCTCGTCCAACGCAACGATCTGCTCCGCCTTATAGTGTTGCGCCATCCTGGCAAGATAGAGGCGGCGGAGTGGCTCACTCTGCTCCTTTGCCCGCTTTGTTGCAAGCTTGCGAGACCATCTCATCTTCTCTAGCTCTCGGTAAACGCTCGCAAGGCTTATCCTAACGTCGTACTCGTCGTACAAGAAGTCCCTCATCTCATCCATGTATGCGCCCGGTGAGCCATTGAGGTATGCCTGAAGGCCTTCGCGCTGAGCTTGCCGGAGTATAGATGGCCGCCCAAGTCGAACGCAGCGCGGCGGATAAGGCACGCCCCAAAACTCTAAGCTCAACCTCAGCTTTGCTACTGTGTTACGGCTCGCACCTGTAGCTCTAGAGATGGCTCGATCACTTTCGCAGGCAGCAATTCGGTCGAGGATAGCCTGGAGAACAGCGGGCTGCAAGCGGTGGCCGGTGCCTGGCATCGCGATGAGATGGGCTCGAGAAAATTGCAACACCAAAAACGCGAGTCAGTAGAGGCGATCGCAGCAAACAATGAACTTCAAATACGTTGTGGGTGTTAGAAAGCGTGGCTGCATCGATTTACTAACAAATTACTATAGGAGTTGATGTTCTTGGCCACCAAGCCAACCAGATCCAGGTGGCTCAAGGTATTTCGAGAAACACCCATAACCATATTTAACACTAGCGCCCCTCTGGCCTGACGTCGTCTGAACTGTCGGATCCCCAGAACTTTTTGGCAATCTTTCAAAGCGTGATTTTGGCCTGCATGTTTTCGACGCATGGTACGATGCTGGAAAGACGAGTGTTTTCGACTTGGTCCGTGGCCTTGATCCGTGGCTCTGGTTAATGCTTTGTTTCTACTCCGCCGACAGCTCTTGGATACGCGCATCTTTGCGAACGTGATGAAGAAGACATTCAATAGTACATAGCTCCCAGTATTGTTCCAGACACACAAAAATGCTCTGATACAAGCTTATACATACCAAGTCGTCGCAAAACCCCACATTCCATCAATCTGCGACCGCGCCTACCCAGTGTCCTTCTCCCGCTCATCAGCTTCCTCCAACTCTAGAGGTTTCCGGCCCCATCTCCATCTCCAGTTCTCCACCTGCCGTTTAGTGGACTGATCAATGTACGGAAAAGCGCCGCCATACGGGCCAGGATACCACCTGATATGCCCCCATTGCGCCGGTACATCAATCATCTCCAAATTCTTGCAGCACCGCAGCATAACCATGATGGCTTGCCACCAAGCTCTGATGGGTATTGCGCTCCATCTGTATCGGTATTTTTCCAAAAGAGACAGAAACATCATGGCTGCTATGTCAAGCTCGCCAGGCAATTGCCTTTCCTGAGGCGGTTCTGCGGTGTCGCGGGCATTACGGACTAGAGTACTTGTAAGCAGCTGCTCCAGATCATAGGTTTCTTTGATATAAGATTACGCACTTTTCAGCATGTCTCTAATGCCGCTTAGACAAATAGAGTCGTACCAGAGGTGGAAAGACGCTCCTCGCCTCCAGATATCTCTGTTGCGCAATGCCTGTTGGCGAATGTAGTATAGCTAGAAACTCCGCTAGCTGACCTGCGCCGTCGGAGCAGTAGATTGTGAGAGGGTTCGTTTCAGCAGTGTCAGTTTTGGTTTCTAATGGCATCTTGGCCGAGGAAGTAGCTAACATCAAGAAATATGGATTGATCGAGCTACATACCAAGAAGGATGGAGTTTATGCAGAACTGAATTCATGACAAGGTGGGTCTTCACTGCCCCGGTTACTGAATGTATGTGGTATGCAAACTGTTAAACAACTAGAGCCAGAGCAGGCATTCAAGAGCATGTTGCCCAGCCCCTGCTATCACTGCGGCACCGCGGAAATGGAAAGTAAATCCGACGTATCTAGTAACCGGCTCTCTCGAGCGGCTTTTGTGAGGACAGTCGTGTGTGAAGGCATATCAGAGCCAGCGGTGCCCATAAGTGCAGTTCTACTACGGAGTACATATATTCGAAGACACATGAGAAGTGAGGAGCTTGTATGATGTTCCCCTACCCTGTGTTATTGTTTGCCCTCGATTCCGTGATGCTGCCGTGTGTCAAGCGCACTGTCACCGAGTTGTTCCACGCGCCACTCCGGCGATATCAGGTGAACCGTCACCTGCCCTGCACTTTCGGTTCGCGATGCAGATAAGAGTCTCTCTCTATCCTCTGATACGCATCGCAGTAGACTTCTCCCGCACTTCTAAAGTGAGAGAGGCAGGTAGAACGGCTGTTCCCGCTCAGAACACTCTTTCACCTCCTGTCAACAATCGCTGATTGGTCGCACTACGACTCTTTCTCGGTCACCTCGACAGTTGTACGCGCAATATACCGCACAGACCTTCGTCATACAGAAGCAGCACAGTAGCTGATCGATAAGCAATATAAGAAAGAGAAGCTGACCGGAGTTGAGTTTGCGACCCCTCCACACTACACTCTATCACGAATTCTACCACAGACTGCACCAACATCTATATACCATCTCAAATATGGCCTCTACCTCTAACACCCGCTCTGCCACCAACCGCACTGCCCGCGCTAGGAAACAGGTTATGTATATAGAAGTCTCTTCATCTGCCCCTTCGTCTGACCACGACGCCTCCGAGACCAACAATGACGCCTCCAACACCCACGGCGACGCCGCCTCTGAGACCTCTGAAGCCTACGATGGCATCCTAAACCCAGAGTCCAAACCCTTGCCCTCTGACGACGACGAGCCCACCTCCGACTATGAATCCAGTGTAGGTGTAAGCCTTGAAGTCCCCGTGGCCGCCTCGTCGTCACCCGTGGACACTTCCCTACCCGCACCGTCGTCCTCCATAGTTCAGCCATCCTCATCCAAAGATGAGGCCATGCCTACCTGGTATGCCTCAACGAACCCTGGAGATATGGCGACCTTCCTAGACACCATCTACTCTGGCGACGACGAAGTGGCCCAGAGCGTCACGTGTCTGCGATTCTCCGCGATCTTCGATACACCAACCGACTCCGGCTTGATCGAGTCTTTCGGTATCGACCCCAACAATATGGACTACAGTCCCCCACTGGAACACGAACGCGGCTTTCAGGCACGCATTTGTCGCAGGCTAAGGTTGCTGCTTCGAGCTGTCGATAAGCCTGAGGCCGAAAAGCTAGTGGTCTAGGTGAAGATCATATGTGAATTATTCCGCGATTGTGCTGCAACTAGCATCCTCATCCCCAAGGCGTGGATGGGCGAGAAGAAACAGTTTATGTAAACCTTTGCGCTGGGGGGTACTGAAACCGAGGAGAAAGGCACTGGGCTCATATTGCTTAGCGAGAAGAAGAATAGAATTGCCGGCAAACGCTTTCTCGAAAAACCATAAGATGTACGCGGTCTGAACGAACCACTAAACAGGTTGTTTGACGCATGATGGATTGGGGGTTGAGCTTCAGAGGTTAGGAGAAAGAAGGACTGGATAGATGCGTATACCCCTCACCATAGGTGATATTAAGCTTGTAACATAATGACAATGGAGGCAGACTTCAAATTCAGATAAATCCTCATTCTAACTACATCAGAACTACTGCATCTACTCCCAGAGAAGCTTAATCTTCATATACCAAGGACCCTTTGTCGTGCTCGCCGGTGTCTCCTCCGCAAGCACGCGATCCATACCCGTCTGCAGATCCACCTCCATGGGGTTATGAGCCCAAGTGTCACCCCATGACCAAATCCTGTGTATAAAGTAGAAGAGCAAGAACATAGGGATACCAACGTAAGCAGTGAAGAAGGAGCTTATGTTCCACTTCTCAGGCCAGAAGACGTCAAACCCGTTGATGAGACACAAGAAAGTGAAGGCGATGATGATGCTCCACGCACCCCACCTGCCAACAGGCGACTTGTATGGGAGATCCGTGACGTTCTGCGCCTCGCACGCTTTGCGGAAACGCAGGTAGATGATACCGCAGCAGATCCAGGAGATGAAACCGGACGTGTTTGTCAGGTTGACGAACCAGGTGAAGACGACGGCTGAGGAGCTTGCTACGTTGAGGTAGGCCAGGGCGCAGAAGAGCGACGAGGCGGTGACGGCCCAGTACGGAACTCCGGACTTTGTACACGACTTGAAGATGGAAGGCGCGTTTCCGGAAAGAGCGAGCGAGTATAGCGATCGCGAGGAGAGGAAGAGGAAGGAGTTGCCGGATGACCAGGCACTGATGATGATTCCGGCGTTGATGATGCTATCAAGGACGGGTATTCCAGCATTCTTGATACCAGCGACGAAAGGCGACGAGCCAGCACCGGCTCCACCGGATGTTATGCTAGGGTCATCTGAGCGGCAGATGACGCCAATGGCCAGGACGCTGCCGACGTAGAAGATCAGGAGACGGTAGATGTATCGGCGTGCGGCAATGGGGAGGTTTCGGCGAGGGGATACCATCTCGCCGCCTGTTACGACCAGGAGCTCTGGGGCAAAGGCGAAGGGGAACTAGCGCATGTGTTAGTAAGTAGAACTTGAGAAGTCATTCCAGTCGAACTTACAGCAGAGAGAACCACTGTCGATAGCAGCGCAATGAATCGACCAGTGTTACCCGATTCGAGATACGTGTTTGCCGCGCCAGGGTTCTTCCAGTACCGGAATCCCAGACGATCGTTGGACGGACCACCTCCCCAGAACAAGATGAACGAGAGGATCAGAAGTCCAACGATCATAACGACCTTTGTACCGGCGAACCAGAACTCCGTTTCTCCGTAAAATTTGACAGGGAAGCAGTTCAACGCCACAATGACAATAATCATGATCGTGATCCAGACTGCAATATTGACCGACGGATTCCAGTAGTCAATCACGAGACCAGCCGCTGTGATTTCGTAGGGAACTAAGATGCCGAGCGAGTAAAAGTACAGCCAACCAAGAGCGAAACCCATTGAGCGCGAGACATAGCGGTAGCCGTAGAGGTTCATGGAGGAGCCAGGAGTGGGGAGGTAGGCGGCGACTTCGATGATGCAGGTGACAACACAGAAGATCAGGAACGACATGAAGATGTATGCACCGAGGATGAAGGCTGGACCTCCACGGGCGAGAGTCTGACCCGAACCAACGAAGAGACCGGTGCCGATTGTGCCACCCAATGCAATCATCTGCGCATGGCTGTGTGGTTGTAAGCTCGCTGCAAATGTGATTTTTTTCTAGTAATAGACATACCGTGACTTCAACCCTCGCTGCGTAGTCTCATAACGATCATCAAAGATCTCGCCTTCAATGACCTCAGGACCAACAGCCGAGCTCCTCCTTCGACTGGCCGCATGTGGATCGTGTACGCCATAGTCCGCACCTTGACTCTTGACGCCCAGGTCCAAGTTCTTCTCAGACATGTTTGCTTTGCTCAATTGCACAGTCCCCGCGAGTTGTCGAGATAGCGAGCTAAGCTTAGGGAAAAGCTCAACAAAGGTAGTTCAGCGCGGCGACCGCATGGCTTATGAACCATACCTCCCAGAGAGACCCTTGCAGGCGCCATGGAGCCAGATAGGAAGCTTCCATGTGGGAGAATCGCATTATCCTTGCAAGGGTAACATTACTGGTTCAACGTGTGACCCAAGAGGATGCTTGCCGCACTAAAGCCATGGAGAAGCACCGAAGTCAGCCCTTGTGTGACATACAACCGCAACGCCAGCCCACTGAATTTTAAGTCACTCACGCCAAGTCCCCCATAGCGGTTCGGAGAAGACGATGCCAATTGATAGACTAACAGGGGTCACTGGGGCGGCGGAGATACGCACAAGCCGATAAGAAAGGACGACGTTTGAGAAATGCTAACAAGACGTGATAAGCTTCTTGCAAGGATAATACAGATAGCAGCTGGGTAGCTTGGCAAAACGGAGGAATTTTCGGTGCGGATAAACGGCGATGACACCACCAACGGCAACTACTGGATCTGGGGTTCGTTATACCTCCCCGTATAGAAGTTTAGTAGAGTAGATACGGACCGCGCCTACATTAACCCCGCATTCTAAAAAACCTCCAATCGTGGAGTGATCGTGACATGGAATCAAGCGTGCGCTCAGCCTCAATTGCGCACATAAGCCAAAGCTTAGGTATAGGAACGAGATACACGAGAGATACACAAGACAGTGTTGCGCGCAAGACGCCCAGTCAGGTCATCCATCGTTATCGCAATTCCCCGACAGGAACAGGCTAGATCGGGTTGAGATTAGCATCGAGCTAACCATACTTGGCAGTGACAGCTCCGCATCCATGCAGGCGTGTCCCTCATAATCATGCCTGTCGGTATCTTGTGGCGGATCTTGAACTGAATCGCTATCAAAATAGTTGTCAAGCGTCAAGGTTGGGGAGAATCATCATGTCGTATTAGAGCTATCGGGAAGAGGTCTATATACGCAGTGGGAGGAGAGAAGGAGCTAGGCCGTAAAGGTACTAGCGGGTAAATAGGTGGCTGCCTGGTTGCCCAAAGAGGAGCCAAGGGATAAGCCCTATGGCCGACAATAGTTACAGTAGCTGGCTCGCCTAGTGATAATGGGTCTGGTCCACCTCCTTCATTCACCAGAGTATAAAGGGAAGCAATGTGGACAGGACTAGTTGCTTTTGCGAACCAACCAGCTCAACATTCATCAACAATTCTTAGTCTACCAGCCATGTCAATTTTGATTTGATCTCTTCCTGGCCTAGCTTGATGCCGTTTTTGCGTCTAAATTAACATTGTAGTAGTGGCACGATGTAATCGCATACCCGTTGAGAAGGCACTATAGTGTAGGAAAAGTATGGCTGAGACCTAGAATATCCAGGCAGCGAGATATGTTCAATTGATACCAAATACTATCCACAAACACCATTGTCCGTCCCGATGTCCTCCAACGCGCTATACACTTTTAAGCCAATACTCCAAACACCTGGTATCCCCCCACCCTCACAATTCCAACAGCTTCTCGGGCTCCTGCATCATCTGAGCGGGCACGCAGCCCCATGAGCAGACGCTGACCTTCAGTGGTAGAAAGACACCATATCCAAAGCTCCAAAATTCAACCCACTCTGCCCTAGCAACCACGTAATCCCGGGAGCAGACGTGACATTGGCGAAAGGCACTGTATCCGCCCCTGCTGTTTTCATCTGCTCGGCGAAGGAACCCTTCTACCTCACGCGGCAGTCTGTATCGACCATTTCCAGAGACCAAGTTCCTAATGTCCTCTGGGGCAGCGTGTCGCAGTGCCTGATGAAGACTTGATGTAAGTAGGGGAAAGACCCTTGACGAGGATGCTGGCTTGAACCAGTATGATGACGGAACGCCATACGTGCCGCGACTGGTTTCGATGAGAATTGGGTATTGGTCCTGGCCAGAGGAAGGGAGGGAAGAGGACTTGGGAAACTGGGTGCCACACTGGTCGTAGTAGGTAACCAAGGTCCTGGCAATGTACTGTGGTGCATGTGCCATGACGTTCGGGTCATCAATGTCCCTTAAGTTGAGTGTGGGATGATGAGGATAGAGGCAGGTGTCTTTCTCCACTTCGCACTCACGAGCATCGTCGCCGCCATCGAAAGAGTTGGCCCAGGACTCATAGTACCGGATGCGCCAGATGGCCTGGTCGCGATCTTCGTACGTGTCCAGATTCTCATAGAGATGCGCAAGCTGTTTCCTTGCATCATCCCGTACACGGTCCAGGGGCAGGGCGTCCATGTCATAGAGGGTGCCTTCCTCTTGTGGGACATAGTCGCTGGTCCGGAATCGCGCGCAGGTCATAGGCTCCAGCAGATTGTTGCCCATGGTGGTAAGACGTTCTAGACCACCATAGGGCTGGAGTAGGCGGATAATATCAAATGGAAAATACTGAAGTTTATTCCTTGATACATCCAGAGCCTGCAGGTTCCGGAGGCGACGAATATCCTGTGGGAGTTCTTCAATCTGGTTCTCCCGCAGATAAAGACTCTTGAGAAACTCGATGTCGAACAGAGTGGGCGTGAGTGTCTGCAGCTTGTTCTTGTTCAGGACAATACGCAGCTCTGGCTCCAGTGACCTGAACTGACCCTCAGTGGGGAGCTCATTGTCGTAGACCGGGGGGTTCCTGATAACGTTCTTCAGATCGCCGATGCGCGTGATATCGCGATCTCCAAGGTCTTCATCCTCAAAGTTGTACTGTTCTTGATTGTTTGCCAAGCCTTCCTCAACCTGGTCGTTGAATGCCCGCTCTGTCGCAGATATTGTTATCCTAGGGTATCTCGAGACTCCGATCGCAGTCCTTTCTTCATGGATGTCGCCGACGTCAATTGCATCGTCGGTATCCGAAAAGGTGATGTTTAGAGCGAAAGGTGATTTGTGTGGGGGTGGAAGATCGTCGGAGCTGTCGGATGCGTCGCTGTGCATATATATACCCGAGTCAAAATTACGGGAGAATTTAGTCTTTTTTACCTCCGGAGTGGTGTGCGCAGACTCGCGGTTATCCCACCACGTGCCCTTCCGCTTGTTCTTGTATATGCGAGGCGACTGGTAATTGGTCACGTCCACGGATTCGCGCGAGTCATCGCTAGAGAATGTCGGGGGTGGCGAACTAGACTTTGAAGTGAAAGCGGAGTGCTGCGGCTCGAAGAAGGGGGGAAATGGGGACGAGTCCAAGGTGCTCATGTGAGGTGGTGAGGAGGGCGGAATAGCGTCGAGATCCATGGATTTGGCCATGACGGAAATTCAGAAGCTTAGTATTTACAGTGTATGCACGATATGAGTCAGAAATTGATCTGTTCGTTGCGCAACATTCGCGATGGAGCTGTGGTGGTGAGATGGGACGACGCGTTCCTCGGTTCGGGGACACGCGACCCCCACCGGCAAACCAGGGTCTTGATATGCCGTCATTTTCCGCGCACAGATAACGTTCGCACGTGCACTGTCCAAGTTCTGGGAAACAGGTAGAAGACAGTGGATGTTTTAGTATCGTCAGAAGCCGGTAGCGATTTCAATCTATATATATGTATTTTCAGGCTTGCTCTCACGATCAAAGGGTCTTGTTAGCAACTGTGGCCTACGCGCTGCAAGCAACTTTGAGCAATTGCACTAAACATTTGTTCAGGAGGATCACAGGCGCAGGCCCAGAGATCCCCTACAGATGCTGGAGAGCGCGTGATGAAGAACTCAGGGGTAGGAGATAACAATGAAATGGATATATCGTAAACATCAACTTGAAATGTCAGCCTTGAGCCGAGCCTTATAGTCCAGCCATGCGCCGAATCGCTACATTCGGTACCAGTCGTCCCCCCATGGCAATGTCTTTACCATCCAACGGCTCGCCCTTGGACATGGCCAGCTCGGTCATGACTTTGCCCATTTCCCTAGTTGGCGTCAAGTAGCTCTTGAAGAAAGGTCTCAACGAGGCCAACAAGGGTGTTTTGTACATTGGTTGTTTTGGTATGAATGGATGGATTTCCGGTTGTTGTCCCTCGTCCACTCCGGCCGGTCTCACATTAAATACCTTGAACATGGTATTTTGCTTGCCGAACTCAACCAGCGCAGACTCAATCTGCCCCTTGACTCGGCCGAACAGAGGCGTGAAAGTTCCTGGTGTCTGTGTAGCCCCTTCGCCGGAGACATGGACGAATGTAAATGGTGATTCGGGGTGGAGCGTAGAGAAGGCGTGTGCGGCGGCGAGAGGATAGTCGTGGGTGATGTCAAAGTACTGTCTGTCACCAATATTAGCCCAAGAGTCGCATGAAGACGCATAGCCGTGACGTACTCTTTGTTGACGGCGTTCTGGGATACACCCAGTGCCCAAACACAGCCATGAGCATCCTTGAGTTCATCCAGGAGCGTCTGGTCGTACTTGTTGAAGTCCTTATGAATGATGACCTTGGCTTTCTCGTGCCCTTCTGCCATCTTGACTGGTCGTCTGCTAAGGATCGATATGCGACTGATGCTCTCTTGCGCAAGCATGTTGTGGAGGACGGATGCGCCAACAAGGCCCGTTGCGCCAGTGAGGATAAGATGCATGACTGCTGCGATTGTGTTTCTTGATGTGCGATATGTTTACATGCGCCGTCTATGATTGATTTTATACTCCTGGTCTACTCTCTATTTGTGTGGGTTCATCGATCAGCGAATATCGTCGGGATTGACACCCTGTTTCCATGACATGGCATTCGTGCTATCTCCGCGCAGTCAGCTCTATAGCCCGGCGTATTTCGTGCGTTCTTCATCTTGTCATTCCCTGGCTGGAGATAAATGGTAGTTCCGATGATACTGTTGTGTCGGTGCCTAGAAGCCGCTCCGGCAATGGTCCGTTGTGCTGCGAAGCTAATACGGGGCTTGACTAAGCTGGGGGCTTCAGGTGCAAACCTTGGAACCCCAGCGTGTGCCCTGAAACGTCGCATCCAGAACATCAGTCGAGACTCCCTCTCGAAATAAACAGACGCACGTTTCTCGACCTGGCAAATTCCGGTAAAAGAAGCACATTCGACATGTACTATGCATACCGGCTTTGTGCTTTTGTGGCCTATGGCGAGTAGCCGTGGCGGGGGCGGCGATTCGTTTTGCCCGGCGGCGAGCCTGGCGACCAGGTCTAAAGCAGGCTCACTGACTGCCTGGCATGTGCTTTAACCTTCAGCACCAGGTGGGTTTTTTCGCATCCTGTTGGCTCACTTCCTTCCAGTCTTTCCATTCTTTCCAGTCGCTCCTTTGCTACTTTTCCTACTGTATGAAGTTTGCGCGACCATGACAACTACAGCCACAACCCAGGCAACGGCGGACCGTCGCGTCGTCCATTTGATTCTGCGTCATCTCTCCGATATGAAGTACAAAGACCGTAGACAGCGTGGACCGGACCAGCCCGTCGAATTCCTCGCAATTCGCCCGACACTTATGCCGTCGATCCTCGTGAACAAGTTGTGGGCCGAACAAGGCACGTCGATACTATGGAACAGCTACCCGCACCTTCCTGCTTTACGAGACATGGCAATCGATCGCCGACAGTGGTACGCGAACAAGGCAGAAAAACTCTTCGTGCTGGAACCGGCGGAAAGTGACGAAGGCCTAGCATACTTGGAGCAGCTGGACTGGCCGAATTTGAAGACCTTGGAACTCGAACTGGACTGGCAAAGACATGAGAAAGCGTTCAAGCCGATGCTACACGCTACACTGCAAGATCTGGAGCTTCATGGATTACAAACTGGGGGCTCTCAGTATATCGCTGGATCCATACTCCCTGCCTTGTCAGCCTCCTGCACCAACCTACGCAGCATATGCTTTGGCCCAGATATTGTCAAACACGAAGACCCCGTACACGACCAAAAGCTTCTCGATCTACTCGATTCCATACCTAGCATTACCGACGTGCGGATAAATAATGCTGGATTTTCTAGCAAGGACACATTGTTCAAATGGCTGAGCCAACGCCCAGGTTTGGAAACCTTACATATCGATCTTGATCCTGGTTTGCAACTACTGTCCTCGTTTACAGGTCGCAATGCATTGTCATCTCCTTTCTCTTCCCTCAAACGCCTGCACATCAAATGTTATCCCGAAATGGCACTCACTCTTGCATCCCACCTCCAGCATGTGGAAGAGGTGCTGCTCGACATTGCAAGGATACCTCACCACACCCAACAAAGTCACGATGTAAACATCCTTGATGATGTCTTGGGTGCATTCTCTCAATGCTCAGAGCTGCAGTCGTTTCAAGTGAACATCGGCCAACTTTCCCGCGATTTTCCGTCAGTCGTATCACACCCAGTTTTGTCTGGGATAGCCTTAGTGAAGCTCGCTACCGGCTGTTCTAAGCTCCGAGACATCAACCTGGTCGCTTCAGAGCCATCTGCGATCAATGGATCGATGATCTCCAAGCTTCAGTTCGAAGCCTTCACCAGAAAGCTGCCGAACCTCGTGAGTCTTACTCTGAAGCTCCACCCGCAAACGGCAATACGTCTGGAATCTACGGCGCTAGGAAGTCTTGGAAGAAACTGCCCTTTGCTCAAAATCTTGCGCCTCAAAGTCGCGTTACATCTGCCAGATTTGCAGTCACCAGGGAACCCCTCGTCCCCGCAGCCTGTCGAACCGTCCTCACATGACACATTGGAGGATGACAGTATCCCCAGGCGGCCGTCCATCGCCATCAATGGCCATCAGCGAGGCCCTTCACTCGACTTTGAACAGCTGGTGGAATCCAGTATACCGACCGGGCCGCTTTTCTCAAACCTCACATATCTTGCATTCGCACGTCCGCAATCGATACTATCAATAGCCAGCGATACCTATGCTGTCTCATCAAACTCGCAGTCCAGCTCCGCTCTCGACCCACTTTTAGAAGAAGACCTTGTTCGATCATGGGCTCGACCACTTGCTGTGCATTTTCCTCGCCTTGAAGTGCTTGAAACTTGGGGGGACTGGGCTGGGCAAGACAATGAGTCGTTGAACTACTTCTTACCGCGGGAAGAGCTGCTAGCGAGCACGTGGGAGTTTTTGAGTGGCGTAGAACAGGACTTGTGGGAAGATGGTGATGATGATGAACTTGACGAATCGACATGGGTAGAGCCTTCCACGGAACGATACAGCATCGTAAGCGCGGATTGGAACCTGGCCAGCTATGTCAATGAGTTCCCAGACGAAGATGATGTCGGAAGTGGCGTATACCTGGAGCCTTATGAAGAGGAGCCCGAAGGCATGATTACACCAGGACGGACACTAGGCAACGAGGAGGAAGCTTATTTTCGAGGCGCAGATGCCAAGTACGTTACTGCCTCAGGACCAGCAGCGCTTGCTGTCGCATCTGACGGTGTTAGCCATTGAGCAATGAGTTTACCCTTGATGAGAAACGCTACAAGTACACAACATTTCCTCCTATCCATATTAACACAGCTGCACAAACTTGATTTCGATACTTATACACGGCCAAACAGCGATTAGGTTTTCTAAACATGACATGACGCAAGACACATAAGAAACACTGGACATAGCGTAGACGGAATCCGGAGCTTTGCACGACAATTGGTTGTTATCTTTACTCTAGACTTGTAATGATTTCATTCGTCTGTACACATCTTGTTGCGTCTAAACAGTCCGGTTGTTCCCTTCTTAAGTACATGTTTGATGTTGTATGGCATGAAACCTATCCAATACAACTTTCACACTCACTCTTGCTTCCCCCATGTCTACCATGGCTGCCCTGTGCGCACTTATCTCATTTTGTTATTATTAATTACAACCATGTCGCGGATCTAGATCTAGAGAGACAATTTTGGTCCAGTGCGCAGATTAGACCATGTGTTCTCTAAACCTTCTATTAGCGCCACTCTTGGTCCTGAGGCCTAGGTTCGACCTGGGCAGGTACACGTACGGTTTCAAAATTCCAAAACACCCCAGTCCATTTTTGAGACCTCGATTACCGAGAGCCGGGACTGTTGAAATCTGGAACGGTACCTGTCCGTCTTTGGAATCCTGCGTGGTGCTACGCATATGAGGCTGTTGCGCGATCAGTTGGACGACTGGTGAAGTTGCGCGCTGCTTTCGCTTCCTACAACAAACACTGCTCGCACCATCCACCACCTCGGGAGGTGTTTAACCCCACCTCGGCGGCACTTCGAATCTACTGTATATCCCTCGCCTTCGGAGCCATCACGGTGACCTCAATTGTCCTCCCGCTTACCGCATCGGAAAATCCGTCGATCATTCATGCATCTCATCGCCGCTCCTGGTCTCCCGATTGTCCCCACACCATCCCACGACTCACGGCGGCGAAACAGCTACGGGTGGATCTACAAAACATATCATAATAATGTCGACTTCGTATTCATCAAGATGGTCACTCTGGAGCGCTATCTTACATATCCTCACACTCGTCGCATGCCTTCACGAAGCCTATGCGCTACCACAAGCGATGCTCACTCGCCAGTCAGATGTATCGCTCGACTCGCTCAATCTCCCCTCGTGTGCACTTTCGTGCTTCCTCAAGCATATACTCCACGATGGCTGTGTAGACGACACAGACTTTGATTGTCACTGTGCAGCAGGGAATCTTCTTCAGACAGCCTCGGCGTGCATATCACAAGGATGCGACAAGGCTGAGCAGGACGATGCCTTTGCAAAAGTATCACGGGGCTGCCAAGAAGTACTGAGGGATGGAGTCAGTCGGCAAGTGATCTTGGTGACCAGTGTATCGAGTAGAAAGGTAGAGACTCTTGGTCCGGATGTCACGTCATCCACCGTCGCAAACACAGTTCCAACTGTCACAGTCGCGACACGCACAGGTTCTCCAGCATGTCCAGGATGTACAGGATCTCCTTCGACCATACTATCACGGACAAAGACGAGCTCATTCCCGCAGCCTACAGATTCCGCCTTGGTCTCCCCCACACCCAGCGTCCCTCCCATGCGAGAAGCCACCCCGACACCAGTGTCTACAGACTCGCCTGTTCCTCCAATTTCGCAATCAGGCCTCCTCTCCGATGGCGCAAAAGCTGGACTAGCAGCCGGCTTCATGTTCATGCTGGTTTCCGCCTTCCTCGGTCTAGGCTGGTACATCCGGCGCCTGAAGAGGAAGTTGCGCGTTGTTCAGCAAATCGCGTCTAAGACACCCGACGATGCAGCATCAACGTATGGCGAGGAATTCAATCCAATGGAACCTATTCACCGAACCCGCCAACCAAGCTGGACACGAGGCAGTATTGGCAGCAGCAATGGCCCCATGAGCCCCTTCATCCCGCAATTGCGCAGCACCGAGGAAATCACCACGATGACTGCCAACTACGCCGGCGCCTCCAACGCGCCCTACCCACACGTCCTAAGCATCGTCATCGAGCAGGAAGAAGAAGATAGCAGCAGCATCAAAGAGCCTGTCCCCGGCCAGAAGGAGGGCCTTAGTGGGCCACTGGAGCTTGACGGTGCGCACACGGGTCTGTTTGAGATGCCTTTGGCTGTTACACCCAGGGGCAGCAGCATGGAGCAGGGACGTGATGGTCAGATTTGAGGAAGACAGCAGGATATCTCAAGTAGAATCCTCTCTATGTAACACTATTATATTCTACAACCCTACCTTTTAGAGGATTTTGGTAGAGATCAATCAACTGCTAAAGTATAGCAACCTACTACATTACATCATGCATTCACTCATATTTTGTATCTTCGTATCCATCAAAAACACTTTTTCATTGCCATATGCTAGCATCTATGACCTAGCTTGGGGCGCCAAAATGATTTCTTTCCTGTTATTCCAGATGGTCACAGGGTATCCTGAGGCCTACAATGCCATATCCACCCCTGTGTCGGTGTTGTGTATGGGCCTGAGGCCCTCAACGGCGCCACCTAATCGTGCGCCACAAAAAGTGGCGGATGTACCACCTGCATCCGCGGCTGACGACTTGGCCCTCCTGTCTTTGGTCTTGACCATGCTGGTAATCAGATTCGAAGTTGTACGGAAAAGAGTACTCGAAGAAGTCGGTTGCCTTGGGTGCAGCGGGGGCAGTCGCTGGGCGGTGGATGATCGCGGGCCGCGGAATGGGGGCTGGGACACGAGGATAGTATTTGGTTCCTGGGAGAGAAAGAGAAGAACCGCTAATCATCTTGGCTAATGTAGTGGTTTTGGAGTGTTTGTTTTGAGATAGCAAGATAGCAGTTCAAAGACGTTCTTGTAGGGGTTGACTTGTAGGGGTTGAAGATCTTCGTATCCTAGGGGAGAAGAGAGAGAGAGAGAGGATAGGAGAAGAGGGGTTTATATGTGGGAGTTGCATTGGGGGCGGGGGAGGTGAAGGGGAGTCTGCTGTGGGCTTAGTTTTGGGATCGTTGGCAAGTGAAAGGGTAGGTGAGTGAGAGGCGGGCGGTAAGCAGGCGCAGCAGCAGCTCGGTACAGAGATCGGTATTGCAAGGTTACCTACGGAGATGAATTTGGGACGCGTGTACAAATGGGAAGCACGTGCTGGACGCGGCAATGGGTGTAGCAGAACATACGCGCCATTATCAACACAACACCACAGTGGCGAATAGACGAATTGACAGTTACGTATACCCACCAAGGCAACAACAACAATAACAGCAACAATATCACCAGCTCGCTCACCCAAGTCCTAAGTCTCAAGTCCCACTCCAATCTCCCGGCCCTTCTTCCTCAAGCCCCAGACTACTGTCTGTGGAACCCAATGAAAAAGTAATCAAATCCCTGCCAAAGACAAAGACGCTTTTGTATTGCAAAAATTCAGGCCTCACCGCTTGCCGTTGGTGTCGACCGGAGCCGCCGAGTGACCTATATTCGGCAGTGGGACCAGCCCACTGTTGAGTAAAAATAAGTTGAGGGAAAAGAAGAAGAGAGAGGGGGATGGACTGTTTATATGCTCGCTAGCGTGGGCGCAGGTCCGAGGTTTTTCCGGGGCGCTAGTGGGGGAGTGAGAGAGGAGAGTGGAGCTGTGCGCTGGGTTGGGTCGGGGGTTTGCCGGATGAGTGCCTGGGGAGAGCGCATAGAGAGGGGGACGAGATGGGCGGGCTTGGTTGGTAAGGTTGGGTGTATGTTCTTGGTTGAGCTGGGTGTGCAGTGTGATTCGATAGCTACTAGCGAAGTTTCAGCTATCTTGTACGGTGTACATCTTGAGAGTATTCTGAGAGTGCAGACTTGCCTTTCGCTGTGTTGATATGAAGCTCTTGTCTGTATTCTTGGACTTTGACATGCCAAATGAGTCCTTGATCCATATCTGATCCCTCACACCGTGCCTGTGTAGAGCTAGACAAGAAGTGCTGTAGATCTTTTGCCATGCTCCTGATTGATTGCCATTTTGAGATAGCCATGTCCCTCTATGTATCACAGTCCGCAACAATCAATTAAGTGGGTCCTAGAAGGTTCAGATTGGATTGATTGATTACCGCTTTAAGCCTAGTAGTTACCTATAGGAGTTTAAGCCCTACCTAGATAGGTAAGTGGGTCTAGGAGAGTGACCGGATTGAATTGATTGTTGCGGAGTCTACTATGTATGGCCTCCAGTGTTGCCACTGATTTGCCAAGTCTATCCCAAGTGTTCATCCCTATCGCGCTGTTTGTTGCAGTCCCGTGTGTTGACAACCACCCAAGCTGACCCTCTTACCGCCATGTGACTGGTCCCGCTCACCTGCCCTTCATGACTCCGCACCTCATTCCATCAGCACCAATACAACGTGAATAGCTCTTTACGTGACTGCCACTGTGCGTCACTGCCTACCCCGCTCGGCGTTTGCGCTCGAGGCAGCATAAATACGTAGCTGGACTCACCCTCTAACTCCTTCTCCAAATCACCCCAATCTACAGTTCACAACAACACACAGTCAACACACCTGAACCAAACCAGACTTTTCCACACCTACAAGCTCAGGAACCGCAAGCATGAAGATCCTTACCACCCTCATCGTCCTGCCACTTCTGGCTGCAGCCGTCCCAGTCTACAAAGACGCCTCGACCGGTGAACCGTTCACTTCCCCCGACCTCGAGAAGCTCAGCGTCGACAAGCGCGAGGACAACTGCAACACTCACTGCCAGGTTCAGTGGGACAAGCTTCAGTCATGCAACTGGATGCCATCTTGCGCTCAGAGCTCTCATATCGACCAGTACCGACGCTCCTGGGTATGTCGTATCTCTTTCTCTTCCCGCTTGTGTAATCTTTGTACAGCTATGCTAACATTTTGGACAGGATCGCTGCTGCGCCCTGTGGTAAGGGTCACCCACCATGCAGTTGCGCGCCTTGAGCGTTCGACTGACGAAATGATCACCGGAGAAAAAAGAACATGCAACAAACTTTGGAGATGGAAGCTATCAGAACACTAAGATGAAATTTCATAACTCACTCTTGTGCTGGTAACTGGGCGGCGATTGACTCCGGGGAGGAGGTCATGAACTGTCTGACTTCACGTAGCACATACACAAACATCGGTCGAAGGGTCTCTCGATCGTGAGGCTCAAATCGTTTCCTCTCTTGATGATGTGAATGCGATTTTGTGATGTGCTGTGCGATTGCGCCTTTGAGCCTTTTGTGAACAGTAGATAGTGTTGCGCCGAGCTGTATGACACAGGCGTTTGACTCAAGGGGATGACTCAGTGCGCTTCAAGTCTCGCTGTGACGTGTTGATGTGATGGGAAATAGTAGACATGTTGAAGGTAAAGAAAATGTCTAAGATATAGTATCCTTTGATCATCGTAGGAAAGACACCAGATAAAAGACAGCAAGGAATGGAAGTGTAAATGAACATTCAAAGAGAGACTGCAACGTGAAGATCCGATCGTGACCTACCAATCTTTCACAACATTGACGCTCTTGAAGTACCCCCCTTGCATATACTTACTATTCAGCGCAGCAGCAACCTCAACCCCATCTACATACCCACAACCCACATCACATCTCCACCATAGCTTTATTAACCAGCCATGATAATGCAGCTCATCCTCCTTACCATCATCCTAGCCAGTCTAGCCGCCGCCGCAATACCCACCCAGCAACAATGCGCAGCAGCCGAGTCCTCATGCCACACTAGCTGCAGCTCCCTCCGAAACAACCTCAACATCTGTATTTGCAACACGCCTGGGGCGCCAGAAGACGCGTGCCACGATGCTCAGGTCGCTTATGTAAGATTCTTTAGTTTTGATTACCATTCCTGGACTGACTCTTTACCCAGACCAACTGCGCGGTCAAGAAGTGCGTTCAGCCTGAGCAACGCCGTGCTGATGATGTCGGGGATGTGCCGCGATGGGTTCTACAAGGTGGACGCGTTGTAGCTTATACCGAGAGTTGAGCAAGGAGAACATGAGAAAGAATTGTTGGAGGGTTGGTCGGAAGACATGTTGCTAGGGCCTCGGAGTATCTTCCCGGGGTATCAGCGGGGAGCGCGGTGTTGGAGCTGAGTCCCTGCAGTACTGGCTTGTGTTGATCTTCTCTAATTTGGCTCTTTTAATAAATATGTACCAGAAAATTCATCATCATCACTTCAGTTATGCGGTTGCATAGTATCCAGGTGTTGAGGGATGCTTGAGAGTAGGACCTCGGGACATGCGCATGCCCCTGCCTTATTGATAACATGGAGACCCTGATTCACATATCACGGGGATCGGGCGTGCTATTGATGGAAGTAGGGGTTGAAAGATACCCTTGGTAGGCCTTTGGGTCCTACTTTCTCACTCCAGAGCCACGAGATCTTCAAGCAACCTTGGAACTGATGGAAGTACCCTAAAATCTCAACAAGGCCTCTATGGCTACCTTGAATGCCATGTCATGCGGCGTCGTCGAGAGAAGCTCTCGTCGGTCCGTCTCGTCGTCGCCTTATTGGCCGGGAAGTCGCACGCGCCCGAAAAATCGATGACGCGACGTGGATGACGGGCTCGGGGCGCAGCCAAGCCAGAATCCTGTACGCGAGGCTTGTCGCTTTCTTCGGCATCGCAATTTCTGGCCACCGAGAGCGCGTTCGATCAGCTTCAGGACTCGGCGACTGGGCGTTCTCTCGGCGGATGTAATTGCTGGCGTGGTTTGCCGCGGCTCCTTTGCCCAACGCCACTGCAAGCGAACCTGGGACGCCTTACCATGAAATCATGTTTACGAGGTTTGGGACGTTGAGATAAAGGTATTATGCGGTGCCTTTTGCGATACGGAAATACCCCGTATATGTAGGGAGCATGTGGTAAGCCCGGGCCGTTGACAGGGGATGGAGGATGGCGTCTTCTTCTGGCATTCGTCCCGTGCTTCTCTAACGATCCAGCCGGGACAACAATCGATCCGCCCTGCGCCTCCACCACCGTCCGATGTGGGCCATGGCGCGAGGAAAATGGGCAGGGATGTAGGCCGTCGAAGACGTCTAACAAGACGTCGTCCCCCCGGCATTGTGCCGTTTACGCTGGGTACGGTTGAGGACATTGGCAACGTGTTTGCTTCCGCTATCTACTGCCATTCTTCTTTCTCGTCTTTACGTCGTTTTAGATTGCTTTCACTTTTCTTGGTTCGTGATACCCCTTTGCGTTTTATGTGAGGGCAGAAATGCAATCTTCGGTAATATAATCACAAAGGACTCCAACACCACGACCTATTCCTCAACCGACGGTCCACCCGGAGGCGGTTTCCAAACGCTCGACCGTACGCTCTTCCTAATACGAGCGCGCCTACGGCGGGGCAACTATTGCGACCATGGCGGGTGCAATTGTGAGACAGACATGGATCCTCACCAAGAAGACGCTGCTCGTCGTCTTTGTGCGCCAGTGGTTCTTCACGAGCGTTCGCGCATTCTGGGCGCCTATAATCTTTGTAGGTCCGGCCAGTCATTCGCGTCTGTACATTGGCTGACTATGCACGCAGATGTTCTTCATCACCTACGCAAAGAACTTCTTCGTCCCTCCCTCCGAGTACGGCATCGGCAACCCCTCACCCATTCGATCTTTCTCTAATGCGCTCAACGCTGCTGAAGGAGGCCGCGATAAGATCGTCTTCGTAAACAATGGATACACGGGTGGTGAGATTGATCAGGTCATTGGACAACTCTCAAATCAAGTTCGTGATGCGGGACTGCAGGCAATCACAATCGAACGAGACGTGGACCTGCTCACAACTTGTGAGAGCTCATTGCGTGGGGCTAGTAGCTGCTTTGGTGCCGCGGTTTTCCATTCCAGCCCGAACCAAGGACAAGGTCAGACTTGGAATTACACTCTGAGGTCTGATGGCGCTCTTGGAGAGACCATCTACGTAGGCCAGAAAGACAATGATGTTCAAATCTATGTCCTGCCCTTCCAACGGGCTATCGATCAAGCCATCGCCTCCGTTGACGGTACCCCCACTGTCCCTGACACCGATGAATACCCCTACACAGAACGAACACAGAAAGAGTACGATGAGAGGATTCGACAACTGTATATGGGGGCACTTATCAACATCATGGGCGCGGCTTTGTACATTGGTGTGTGCGGTGTGACGTACCAGTTGACAGGGCAGATGGCTGAAGAAAGAGAACGGGGGATATCACAGCTTGTAGAGGCAATGTCTCCAGCGAAGAAGGCATGGCATACACAGTTCGCACGCCTGTTGTCGATGCACTTTGCCTTTGATATCATCTACTTCCCAGCATGGGTAATCATGGGAGTCATTGTCTGGGGCCTGGCATTTCCAACATCCAGTGTCGTTATCCTAATTATCTTCCATATCCTTGCCGGTCTTTCGCTCACGAGCTTCTCCATCTTTGGTGCTGCCTTCTTCCGCAAGGCCCAGCTTTCAGGTATCACCATTGTTATCATCCCAATCCTGCTAGCCATCATTGCACAGGTCGCTGGGCCTTTTAGTACATCAGCTGTCTATGTCCTTAGTCTGCTCTTCCCGTCCATCAACTACGTCTTCTTTATCATCTGCGTTGCGCGCTTCGAGAGACAGCTTGTTGCCATGAACATGGTCAAAGCAGCACCCGCTTACGAAGACCACGTTTGGACTACTCCCGGTATCGTGTTCTGGGTCTTCGCCATCATACAGACTTTTGTATACCCTTTCCTGGGCGCTCTTGTTGAGCGATGGCTCTACGGCACCGTCTCAGCTGACAGGAAAACTACCACATCCTCCCCGGATCACAACATTATTTTGACCAACTTTTCGAAGCACTGGACGCCTAGTTGGTTCCGCAGAAATGTTCTGGCCAAGTTCGGGATCAAGCCTCCGGAGACGGTTATCGCTGTGGACGACTTCAGCATGAAGGCACGCAAGGGCCAGATCATGGTCTTACTTGGCGCAAACGGCAGCGGAAAGTCGACTACACTGGATGCCATTGCAGGTCTCAACTCCATCACTACTGGTGCCATTGAGATTGACGGAACTGGTGGCTTGGGACTTTGCCCTCAAAAGAACGTCATGTGGGACGAGTTGAATGTCTACGAGCACGTCCGAATCTTCAACCAGCTCAAGTCTACCGGAACATACGACAGCAAGGACACTATTGAGGATCTGATCCGTGCTTGTGACTTGGGCCATAAAATCAAGGCACAGTCCTCCACACTGTCAGGCGGTCAAAAGCGAAAACTTCAGTTGGCTATGATGTTTACAGGTGGCTCCAAGGTTTGCTGCGTAGATGAAGTCTCATCAGGTCTGGATCCTTTGTCGCGAAGGAAGATTTGGGAAATTCTTCTTGCCGAGCGTGGCGACCGCACCTTCCTCCTCACTACTCATTTCCTCGACGAGGCAGATGTCCTCGCAGATTACGTCGCCATACTTTCCCGTGGTGTACTCAAGACCAAGGGCACTTCGGTTCAGCTCAAGCATGAGGTCGGTGCCGGTTACCACGTTACGTACCCCAAGGACGCCCCGGTCAAGCCGCCGATGGACGCTATCAAGAAACCTGCTCCTTCGGATGGTATGGTTCAATACCAGTTTGCTAATGCGTTACCCGCTACGAAGTTTGTCGATGTATTGCGAGATCACGGTGTCAAGAACTACGACATTGTTGGCCCAACGCTCGAAGACGTCTTTCTCGCCAACGCCGAAGAAGTTAAGGAGTACAACCTGATGGACGCTGAACATGTGGAGAAAGACGGTATAACGGCGGCGAACAAGGACATCGCAGCCTCCGACCAGAACTCGGAAACTGAAAAGAAGCTTGAGATGGGTAAAGGCCATGGTACTGGGCTGTTCAAGCAAATGATTATTCTCGTTCAGAAACGCATTACTATTGTCAAGCGCAACTTCTGGCCGTATGTCTTTGCGCTACTGCTTCCCATCGTCGCAGCTGGCCTGGTCACGCTCTTCTTGAAGAACTACGAAGCCGTGGGCTGTGATCCAGGCGCTGCTGCCAACGACCCGACGGTCTTTTCGTTATCCAGCGTAAATGACATCCCGCTCATTCCTATCGGCCCTAGGAGCATCGTTGGCCCGGCTATCAACACCATTATCCAACGAACAGGCATCGCTGAAGAAAGTTTCTTCATCGTGGATACGTTGGACGAGTTTAACAACTACGTTGACACCCAATTCCGCAACATCACTCCTGGTGGTTTCTTCCTCAACCAAGATGGGCCACCTCTTATGGCGTACCTTGCGAGTGGTAGTGTCATTGGCGGTCTCATCACGCTCAATACTCTGGATAACATCGTCTTGAACATCTCTATCTCAACACAATATCAGCAGTTCGCTGTGCCTTTTGCCCCAGGCATGGGTAGCACGCTCCAGCTGATCTTGTACTTTGGCCTGGCTATGTGTGTCTACCCGGCATTGTTCGCATTGTATCCAACTCAAGAGCGTTTGAGGAATGTCCGCGCTTTACACTACAGTAATGGTATCCGTGCTGTACCTTTGTGGTTAGCGTACACGACTTTTGACTTCTTCTTCGTCCTTGTCATCGCTGCCATTACCACAGGAATATTCATAGGCGTAGGTCAACTCACTGTTCTCGACAGAATCGAAGCTAACATTTTCTCAGGCATCAAGTGCATGGTACGCGCCAGGCTATCTCTTCATTGTCTTCTTCCTGTATGGTCTATGCGCTACCCTCTTCGCCTACCTCATCTCGATCGTCGTGACGTCGCAGCTCGCGGCTTTCGCCTTCGCCGCTGGAGGAATGGTATCGCTCTACCTCATCTACTTCATCGGATACATGGCTATCCTCACATATGCTCCCGCATACGCTATCGATTCGTACATACAATACTTCCACTGGACGGTGTCGATCATATCGCCTTCTGCTAGCTTGCTGAGAACACAGCTGCTGTCCCTAAACTCGTTCAGCGTGCTGTGTAACGGCAATCAGATTCCAAGCTATCCCGGCGCTTTGAAGGTATACGGGGGTCCGATCCTATACCTCGTCGTCCAGATAATTGTCCTCTTCATTGCTCTTGTTTGGTGGGACTCTGGGTACAGACCAGCTTTCCTCAACCGTGAGAAAAGCCGCCAACAACACTCTGAGGAAGACGTCGACACCATCCCACCCGCTGTTGCCGCTGAAATTGCACGTGCAGAGCAAAGTAAAGACAGCCTTCGAGCGCTGCACCTTCAGAAGAAGTTCGGCTCCAATCACGCTGTCAACGACATCACCTTTGGCATCCCACAAGGCCAGGTCTTTGCCCTCCTCGGTCCCAACGGCGCAGGAAAGTCCTCAACTATCTCGCTCCTCCGCGGCGACATCCATCCTACTACCCACATCAACGGTGGCGGAGACGTCCTAATCGAAGACATTTCCATCATCAGCAAGCGAGCCGCGGCACGAGGTCACCTAGGCGTATGTCCACAATTTGATGCAATGGACTCAATGACGGTCACGGAGCACCTCTACTTCTACGCGCGTGCTCGCGGCGTGCCCTCCCCCAAAACCAGTGTCGACACCATCCTCCAAGCCACCAGTCTAGCGCGCTTTAGCGACCGTCTCGCCTCCAAACTCTCTGGCGGCAACAAGCGTAAACTCAGCCTCGGCATCGCTCTCATGGGCAACCCCTCCGTCCTCCTCCTCGACGAGCCTTCAAGCGGCATGGACGCAGCCGCCAAACGCGTAATGTGGCGTACACTCCTCGGTGTCGCTGCACCCGGTCGCGCCCTCCTCATCACCACGCATTCTATGGAAGAAGCGGATAAACTGGCTACCCGCGTGGGTATCATGAAGCGCAAGATGCTGGCGCTGGGCACGGTCAGTGATCTCGGTGAACAATACGGTGACGCGTGGGTTGTTCAACTTGTTCTGCGGTCTGCGCCTGAGACGACGGAGCAGGAAATGCAGGCTGTGAAGGAATGGGTCAAACGCAGGATTCCTGGTGTTCAGCTTGATAAGTGGGGGTCTAGAGGGGGTGGGCATGGGCAGTTGAGGTTCAAGGTTCTCAAGGCTGCGGCCGCGTCTTCTACGGCTCCGGCACATGAAGGACACATGGGTGGGAAGGTCACGGAGGAGGAGGTTCAGAGGGTCAATTCTGTTGGTGGTTCCGAGACAGCGGATATGGGTGGTATACCCGGTCTTATCCAGCTGCTGGAAACGCATCGTGAAGAGCTGGGTCTGGAGTATTATAGTGTATCCCCGACGACGCTCGATGAAGTTTTCCTGAGGGTTGTGGGTGAAGAAGAAGAGGAAGAGGCGGGCAAGAAGACGAAGAAGAGTGGTGGCTGGAGGAAGGTATTGCCGTTTGGGAAGAAAGTGTAGATAACTGGTCTGTGTTGAGGTGCATTGGGCTTTTACGGCGTTCGATACCAATTCATGATACGGATTATTAGGATGAGCATGGTAGTAATAAGTTTTCTTGTATGAATCGTGACTACATTGTTCGAGACGAATTGTTCATGCAGCCTTTGTATCTGTATGGTTCCAGTGTCTGTTTTTGTCTTGTGACATCCACGCTGGCTTCAGCCTGGACTGCAGCAGTGCTCTAATCGCCTGTATACTCTCGCAGTATGTTCCTATAGCAACTTACAGAGTCCCTTCCTCCCGGTAGTGGACTTGTCTATCTCCCTCATTCTTCAGCCTTTGTCCATGTTCTCGAACGCATTCCCCGCGTTATTCGTATAGCCTCGCCCGTCCATCTTCCATGTATTCCTTGTTATTCTTGCTTTCTAAGCGTTCAAACTAGCGATTTTTTCGATTGCGATTTTGCCGCGTTGATATAATCGTTTGAAGTATTTTGGATGTCCTAGTCTTCAACCCTTGCTCATGTTGTCAGTCACTTTATCCGCAGCAGCGCAATGTATTGTGTATATCCCTTGTCCTCCAATCACCTGTGTATGTCTGCCAAAGTTGTATCCTGCTCTCGCAGTAGTTTGCTCGATGAGCGAGGCGGGGGACAGGTAGGCATGGGTTCGTGCGCTCGGGTTTCGGGTCGATGGACGCGAGTGGGTAGGTTGGTTCGCACCGGTGCTTGATGGTAGGAGGATTGGTGGGGGAGGATGCTTTTGAGCTATGTAGTTTTTTTTTACTAGACTTATGTAATGTTTTCAGCGAGGTTGTCTGGTAGCTTTGGGGTTCTTCTGAGATGTCATTCGTGCTCACTGTTGTGATGGCCGTACAAGTCGACCCGAGGCACCCAAAGCTACCGCATCTAGAAGACTTCGAAAGATTATACCGACGAAGCAAATTTGCGATCGAGGAGAACTACCAGGACAGGGCGGTTAAGAATCTTGCTGCTACTGCAAGATGCATGGCATACTGCGTTTTTAGGAGCTGTAGATAAGTGCTAGCTCATGTCTCGAAGAGGTTCTAGAGGCGGGTGAAGATGTTGTGACTTGTTTGAGCGCGCTTTGCACGAGGGTTGAGTCTCTGCCAACGCTGCAGATGTGTCGTTCCTTGGTAGGCATATCGCTCTGTAATCGAGAAGATCATATAGGTTCTTGACTCCAGCCTTTTGTTGCTTAAGGACTTGTAGGGTCTTCAGTGATACCTCTGCGCTATCGTCAGCGTTGCCTTGCAATACTCTCCTTGGTCTGCATACATAGGTGCGTTCAGGTCTCTGTCCCTCGAATTCTTGAACTTGGCCCTTTGTCATGTATATTCTTTGAGTATCTCCAGCGGTGCCTCTGCATTATTTTCGTCGCCTCCTTGCAATTCTGTGCTTATTCTGCGTAGCTACACTTGCCCGGGTGGTGTTATGTCCCTTGACCTGCACTCAGGTATCCTGCATCTTATGCATCGGCATGCTTTCGTGTTCCTTTGACGCGGGGTATCTGCTTCGGGCTTTGATAAGCGGCGAAACAGTCTGCAGCGTATCTGGTGATGCTCGATGTCTTGTGGGTATAGGTAGGTTGGCACCCAAGTAGATCAGATTGGGGGCTGTAATAGCAAGATCTTGAGAAAGATTTTGTCATGTGAGAACGGATGGCATCATGGTGGTCCCATCTGCGTAGTGTCTTTGGTACAGGAGAACTGAAGTTCTTAGGCTTTATGTGTCATGTTAGAGCTGCCTATGAGTTTTTCTGTTGCACGAACAGACGTAAACGCTGGATGAACGACAAGAGAACTTTTCTCCTCAACGCGATTGATAGCGAGTCTTTGATAGCTTCTCTTTATTTCTCGATACAGTTCAGCAACCATTGGTGCGCTGGGAAGTAGCACCGGCTGTTGGGCAGACTAAGACCGAGAGCAGACGAGCGCTTCACATGTAGGAGTCGAGGGAACAATACACACAAGTAACTTGCTCAATCATTCAGCCCACAGGGTGAATAGGTACCTTGCTTCGTTTTTGGCCTTTGTCATGCAGCCAGAAAGAAGGGCGCGGATATGCGAAGAGACGCATCCGGGAGTACCTTGGCAGTCCACGGGGTCCTCACTGTGTTATGGTCTACCCAAAGCGGTTAGACTGGTTGATCTGGGTCGCGGCGCAGCGCCGGACTGCTGTCTATATAAAGGCTGCCTCTCCCTTCCATCCTTTCTTTTCTTCATTCATGCATCCATTTCAAGGGCGGCATGGTCGATGGGGACGGACGGTGGTGGCCGTTTTCACTTCAAGTTGGCGGTATTGCACCTCACCGATCAGCTTGTTGCGCGCGTCTGCCTTCGGGTGATGCGGCATCGGCACAATTTTTGTTTACACACATAACTATCTTTTCATCTTAGTATCTGGCTTGTCCAGTACTTTGAGGAAGGGACTAGTGGGCTTGCTTTAGCATGGAGCACTTCAGTGTACCCTAGGTACCTAAGAAGAGGGCTTGTGGTGCTCAAGTGAGACTTTGTGGGCTATATAGCGGCGAGCACATGGTGGGAGCCTTATTCATATAGCTTTGAGTATAGCAGTTTGTATTGCACCTGGTTCACTAGCTCTATTGCGCACTCACCGTTGCAGAGATTTTTCAGCTCACTCATGGTGAAGGACAATCTCAGACTATATAGAGCCTTTCACCACCTTCTAACCATCACCAGAACACCAATCTCTTGCCAATACACCCACATTCATTTTTATTTTTTTTACAAATTTACAAGCAATTAAGAACCCAATTGCATCTACCACTACCCCAAAATCCACCAAGACATAACCATCCTCCGTAATGGCTCCTCACCACCCTAAACCACACCCCAACACGCGTCTCTTCGGAGACAACCCTAAACTCGACCAGAAGGATGCCGTCCAGGAGGAGCGCAAGATTCGGGAGGAGATTGACGTACTCGAATGGAGGATCGAGAGACTCATAGCGGAGCCTGAGGGCCAGGCCAGGGTCAAAACCAAGGGCCAGCCTAAGGAGGAGACTCTCAAGGAGCTTGCGCAGCAGTTCGTGCAGTTGGAGAAGGCTCATCTGGAGGCGCTGAACCGGGTCCTTTCTGGACTTAGAGGTCGGCGGGGATAGAGGCAGGAAGATCCGGGGAGGGGAGGGAGGCGAGTGGAAAAGGAGGCAGTTTGAGTAGATGAATGAATACCACTTTTACACCCTGGCCTTGATCATGTGCACCACTTCTTATTCAAATATGCGGCCACCTCTCTGAATTTGTCACTTAGATACAAAAGATGCATCCCCCTCCTTTGAATGAGCTCCTCCACTTCTTTAATCATTTTCTGAACTGCTCTATCATATGCCAAGAATCTCAAGCAAGCCCGAAAGCTGCACCTAGCAGAAGAAGAATCTGCCTTCCCTCTCGCTTTGTGACTCCACTTTTCTAGCAGTATCAAGGAAAACGAGGCCCAAGCTCAATAGCTACCTAGAAACAATACATCTACTTTCTCCTCTTCAACAACTACCCCTACTAAGCTTTCCCCTTTAGACGCCGTCTTCAACAACACCGTCAATACGAGCCCAGAACAACTCGGGTATATTACCACATGGCTACAACATGTACGAGACGATCCGCCACCATTAAATGGCGTCGATCTTGTAGCTAGCGACCATGGAGGCTCTTTGCCTGCCTCTCCCAGAACCCCTAGAGACGTCGAAAAGTCTCCGCAGCGTCAAATCGACCTCGAGAACAACGCCGCCGACCAGGCAGTCGCCGCTACTGTCCGCAAGCTGCGAAAAGTCCCGAAGGTGTTCGAACAGACACCCACATCCAACAACGGCCATAAAACCTACAAAGTCACCATACAATGGGCCATGGTACAAATCGGAGAAGATCAGATCAGACACAACGACCGAGGTCCCTACAAGGCTCTGTTCGGGTGGGATCTACGTCATCGCGGAATGTCTTTTGGCCTGGACGGTCACATCCTGCTCTGGCTTATCCAAAGTTGCGCACCGGAGAGTTGTGAGTTCGACGCCTCCGTGTTTGAGTTGGAGGACGCATCACCACTATCAACTTGGTATTATTCAGGCCAGGCTGAGGCTACCGCTCGGCAGCATGAGTGAGCGGCTGGGTAGGATAGACCTGAGTAGCTGGACATCAGGAGCAGTGAACGATTGGGATGAGACCATGGGGTCAAGGCTTACACATACATCAAGCCATACAACGTGACTCAAGGCACTGAACCATTTCCTTCCCTTCTAAAACATGTCCTGTGCATATGAAAAGCTCTTGAATAGTTGGTTCTTGTAACAGATTGTCGCGCTGGCCGTAGATATCATCAAAAACAGGAACGACTGGAAGTCGGTAATGGCACTGGTGACAGCATTGCTCATTGGCAGTCGCTCAGGGCTTAAGGACTGGAGAAATACCCATCTTCTGGATTTTGCTACTCACTCTCTCAGAGTTCTATAGACTCTGCCCCTCGAAATTGATCACATTGCCGCCATTTTGTCATGCGACCAACTCCAGCTTCTCGTGAGTATCTTACTGTAAACGCCTCGAATATGCCGACCTCGTAATCAATCAAGATCATCACCCTACCATCTTGCTCATGATGACATAGTCTGCCGGGATAGTCTTTGTCCTAATAACCTTATCCTCTGGACTGCAGGTATCCTTGGTGTAACCCAATGCCTCGTATAACCTCTTCGCGCCCTTGTTTGTTGTGAACACGGTGAGCATCGTCTTCTCGATCTGGCACTCCCTGGCAACATTTTCGACAAAGCTAATGAGGCGGGAGCCAAGGCCCTGGCCGCGTAAATGATCATCGAGATGGATTTCGTAGATATAGAGAACCTCTCGGTCGTCGTTCGGGGGATCGTCGAAGTCGAACATGAAGGAAATGTAGCCAAGTACGGGGTTGTTATCATTACGAAGGGAATATTCTGCCGCTGGCTGGTTTGCGTCAGCATATTCTCAACTGGATTGCGTGGCTGTGCTCACCGTCTTCTCTCGAACTAGCAGAAATATCATGTCTGGTTTTTCCATCTCCTCGATTTTCTTAACCGAACTCCAACCCATAGATGAAGCCTGGTAGTGGTTTTTCGATGTATATTCGACAAGGGTAAGGCACGCTTCAAGCTCGCTATCGTCGAGCCCTACCAACTTAAGGTCGAATTGTAGGGACGACTCGTACGCGACCAGGCCGGACGCATCTTCTTGCAGCACCTTCTGCACCTTGGACGCCTGTATGTCGGAAAATAGCATTCTGATGGTATACAAGTGAGCGATGGCGACTATCGATGTGACTGAGATAGACAATGATGCACGTTGTGGTGGTCCTGAATCGCGTTGTGTAGGGGGACGCGTCGCGGGGCAGACCAGGCCTCTCTTGCCCGGGGATGCCGACAAAACCTCAACTCATGGCTTTTCCTCCAACGCCACTGCCATTATCGTCATTGGCTCCTTATACTCACAGCTCCCTCTAACAAGACATCGGGTATCAAGGAAAGTGCTTGGTGCTCTGTTCTGACGACAGGTTCAGCCACCGGTACCGTTCAAACAGTCCTGGAGAGGCTACAACCAACTTAGCTTAGCTCATTTTTCTACGTCAGCGTGCATCTGAAGAGTCTCATCCATTCCATCGACATTGTCTCATCACGTTCTTGCATCTCTAGATTCCAGAAATACTGATAAATACTGTCCGAGGGAATGCTGCGACGATATGCCACGGTAGCGTCCAAGCCTCCTTCCCGGCTGAGAGCACGAGGAAAGAGTCCTGTTGGCCTTGATCATGTACGTAACCTCGACAGATTAGGCAATATCGAGTGCTCATTTCCGTGCAGTTTATTCAGCGGCAGCGCGTGTTGGCGTTGTGGCGAGAGATCGTTCGGAGTACCTCCAACATTCCGGATGAGGCGGCGAGAAAAGACATGCGACAATTCGCAAGATTGGAATTCGAGCAACATCGTGAAGTAACTGATTTGGTATGTAGCTGTCTCTGAAGCACCGATTATCTGAACTAATCGCTTTGCAGGGCCATATTCGATATCTGATCTCGGTGTGGCTCTTTCTCCACCCCAAAGTCCTCCAATTCACCCACTAACTTCTGTCTAGTACGGAAAGACGCAATTCCAGACTATGAAAGGCACCCTCATCAACTCTGGAGTGCTTACTGAATAAACTTCTTGCTTTATTATCTCGAACATGTAGCTGGAGTCGTGTCTTTCGTTGCGCTTGATGCTTATTGGCTGGCTCCACGAGGGGCATTTTAGCGCATGCATCGCAGACCTCAAGACTGTCTTACTCCCCTAAACACCACTCAATAGTCATCCCCCAACCGCATTCTCTTTCAAGCCTTGTTCTTGATCTGATTTTCTGTCGTGGATTGCCGTGCAAGTCAGCCTTCTTGCTGTGGGGCATGTCCGGAGGAAAACTCTCGGCTTATTCGATCATGGCCTCCACTACTCAGAAGTCTGTATTGATCGTTGGTGCAGGCCCTGCAGGGCTAGCTGCTGCCAAGATCTTCAAACAGAATAATTATCTCGTTTCTGTCTATGAGAAAGCAGATCGTGTAGGTGGGATTTGGAGGGACAAGCATGGAGGACCAGGCGACAAATGCTGTCCGGAAATGCGGACAAATCTATCACGTTTCACAGTGGCCTTCTCTGACTTTTCCTGGAGATCAATAGATAGAGAAATCCCTGAATCTGCTCCAAATGCACCGATCAATCCACCTATGTTTCCCAAGGCATGGCAAGTGGGGCGTTACCTCGAGGCGTACGCAAAGATGTCTGGCATTGCCGAGAATGTGCTGCTCCAAAGGCACGTTGTCAATGCGTCGCTCCAAGAAGACAATACCTGGAAGATTGTGAGCGAAGACGGTTCCGGCCAGGTCCACTCGGACACATTCGACCGTCTGATCGTCGCCAGTGGCTTCTTCAACAGACCCGCTCGTTCTTTCGACCCCACAGCATCTAGAGACCATCCTCATATCCAGCACTCCTCGAAGTTTCGGGGCCTTTCCGAATTGGCTACTTCCGCTGGCAACGTCGTCGTCATTGGGGGTGGCATTAGCGGCTCAGAAGCTGCAGCGCAAGCTGCCTTTCAAATCTCCAACGCCAAACACTCCCCCAGCAAGGTCAAACCTGTCCACAGTCGCAGCCAGATCTACCACATAGTCAACAGGCCTTTCTATTGTCTCCATCGCTATCTTCCCCAGGATCCTCAAGCATCCGGCGAGGGGTTCAATCCAGCGCCAAAGTTTCTTCCCATCGACCTTATCCTGTACAATCTCTCACGGCGCGGGGCTGGCGAGATCTCGGCAGCAATCACTACCATACCACCTGAGAAGGCGCAAAAAGGGCACGACTTCCTACGAGCAAGTTTGGGAGGCGACCAAAGCGATGTGGGTCGACCGGAGCTGGTCTACAAAGAGGAGCAGACGCAACACCCTGGGTATACTGGTATAACCGACACGTACATGGAGTTTGTGCGCAGCGGAATCATTGTTCCGGTACGAGGATGGGTAGAGAATGTCAAACAGCAAGCGAATGGCGAGCTTCTCGACATCAACCTCCAACAATACGAGCCGTGGTATCATGCAACGGACAACGAGCCATCAGTACGGACCTACTCTTACGTTGTTCATAGGGATCTACTAACAAAACACAGGAAAAAAGCATAATCAGCGATGTGGTTGGTATTATCGAAGCAACAGGCTACAAAGCCGACCTTAACTGGCTCGACTCACGTGTCAGAGACCTGCTCGACGACGACGACGCTGCGCCGAATGCACGTATACCCTATCTTCTCTCGCGTGGATCGATACTCGCATCCCGGGTTCCTACAATCGGCTTTGTCGGTTTCTACGAAGGACCGTACTGGGGCGTCATGGAGCTCCAGGCTCAGTTCCTTGCGCAAACCTGGGCCAAACTCGAATCTACAAAGGCAATAGGCCTACCTGACCGCGAAATCTATAGAACCAATTCGACGAAAGACATGCGAGTCGCCATGAAAGAGAACCCTCTTCAGATTCCGCAATTCTGGATGGCAGACTACGTTGGCCTCATGGAGGAGTTTGCGCGGGAAACGAAAGTCACACGCGCCGATTCTGCGTTCAACGGCCAAACAGGCCCAGCCTTTCCCTCTCGATACCAAGGCGACGATGCTTCCCCGGAGGCTAAAGAAGTCGTCAAAGAGGTTACCGATGTCATCAAGGCGTCTAACGAGGAAGCCCTCTTCGTCGCAGCAGCTGTCTTCACAGGCATGCAAGGCATCTGGAATTTGACTCGCAAGATAGAATCACGCACCAACACCCCCCGGGGGCACTTTCAACGGAACAGCACACTTCCATCCACGCGAGCCCACCTCTCCCGCATACTACACCGCAGAATACCTATACGTTGAAGAGGGCACATTTACAATGGACACTGGTCTCTCTTTCCCCGCAACTCGAAGATACGCGTATCGTTACAACGAGGCCACCGATAAGATCACAGCATGGTTCGTGGATGAAGACAACGAAAGTGTCAGTACGCTGTTCAATACGTGGAACTTCTTCACCCCCGAAGACAAGACGAGTGGATGGATGGCTAAAGGACATCATTGGTGCGACCCGGATACCTACCGCAATACCTGCGAGTTCAAGTTCCGGGGAGCCAAGATTGATAAGTTCATGATAAGGTACCAGGTCGAAGGACCGAAGAAGGATTACTCGCATGAGAGCTGGTATGAGAGGCCTCAAGCAGTTGGGGTTGTAGCATAGATGTAAGCGCAGGGTACGAAAAGAAGCAATATATTTTCCAGATCAACAGATGAACTCGTAAAATATCCAGAGCTGCCCTAAACATTCTGAGTATATGCAGGCCCTTCTACACCACTTACAACCGTTCCACCACCTTCACCTCAACCATAAACTCTATCACCACCCCACTGGCGCACACAAAAATGGCTTCTCAACACACTCATCCAGTTGCTTCCTCTCTGGTTCCCTGCCTCCACCAACTGTCGACACAGGCCCGACCGAAGACTCCGTAACCGTACACGCAGGCGCTGTGGGCGAATGCGACGGCGTACACATATCGTAGCACCTATATTTCATCAGCATTAGCATCATAATATCTTCTCCTCCTCCATCACCTCCAACAAACCCATCACTCCGGAAAAAGAACACAATAAAGACTAAAGATAAACTCACCCCCCAAATCTCGTCCCCGTCCCCCCACAAGACGCGAGCGCATCGATACAAATCATCTGTCTGAAACAAGCTGTCGTTGTAGTGTTGATTTTACGGTTTTCGTGGAGGAGGAGGAGGAGGAGGAGGAGGGATGCGGGTGGCGTGATGGTCGGTGTCGTGGTTGGTTTCGTGGGGGAGGGGGCAGAGGAGGTGTGGATGGTGCTGGTGTGCGGGCATGCTGGCATTGTGAAGGTGGGTATGGCGCGCATGCCGGAGGCGCAGGCGATCCATGTTCAGGGATTGTTAGTGAGGGGAAGAGGTGGGGGAGGAGATGGCGTAGGATGAGATGGGTGGTAGGAGGGCAGGAAGATGTACCCGCCGTAGCTGAGTCCGCAGTCGGGTCGGGCGGGGTTGGCGAGGATGATGGGCATTGTGCTAAAGAGTAGGAAGGTAAGAGTAAGCTTCATGGTAGTTAGGAGGGCATGAGGCGTAGAGATGGTGTTGGTAGAGAGTCTGGTAGATCGAATGCTATAGATGTATCCGAGAGGAGAGCGTAACGACGGTTTGAATGTGAGAGCTTGCTGCGATAAGTTTAAAGCAGCTTAAAATATCTTCGTGATCCGGATATGAGTAGGATTGACTTCATCTACAAGATATGAGTTGCGGTGGCTTTACATGAGTCCAGTGCTTGCAGAGGTTGATTATATAGACGTCTTATTGCTAGATGTCGATCAGAAACTTACAGCTCTCTCGTGTCCCTCACACCCCTCCCCGTCCCATCGGTCGATCGAATGCAGATAACAGTCATGAAATCAATATTATGAATCCTTTCCTTGCATGCTCACCGACATGATGGCAAACACTAGATTACCATGCTCACAGCATGGTGTACTACGACCAGTAGCAATGGTCCTTGTAGAGCCATGCAGCATATGTTCGGATTCCGTACCCAGTTATGGGTAGGCTTGTGTCGATGCGAGGGGCTGAGTGATCACTGGCTCGAGCTAAGCTCAAGTCGCTGCATTCCGTGTATGAGACGGAAGATAGGCAGCATGAAATCACCAACAGATAGACTGATTATCACCCATGGGTGACGAACAGACAATACTACTGTGCATTCCTTAACGTATGCGACTGAGACATCACCAGGGGGGTTGGGAACCGTGTGGCGACGGAGTTTGCCATAGGACAATCATGGGGATGGATGCTACGTAGGATGAGACAGTTTGAAGCGAAAGTAACATCTTCTGACGGTCTTTGTTGACTGGCACCATCTGCATGGCAAGCGAGTCATCTTGGTGATAGTCTCCAAAGGCAGTGGAACGCGACGGGAAGCTGAAGCCCAAAACAGACATCAGTAGACAGCTGATGAATCCAATGGATATGCAGGAGAGGAGAGACAGTCATTGATTGATGGGGGTATCAAATACGTGAAATCACATCTTACACACCACCATCACGTTGAATAACCTATCCTTCCAACTGATTCGCCCCTTCATTCGCAAGCGTACTCGGATGTGTGGGCGGACCATCCATTCCCAAGCTCTTCAGGTCGGCCAGAAGTAGACGAAGATGGTCCTGCCGATTCTGATTACTACTCCAGGTGACGGCCTGCGAATAGTATAGGATGTCCCAAGCCTCGTCGCTGACGCTTTGCAGGAACGTGGGCAGGGTTCGTGCTTTTTGGTATGAGCGCCACAAGATGCGGCGGATATCGTCATTGGCGCCAATGTAGGCGAATTCGATAGCCTGGTTAAAGGACTTGAGGGCAGGCGCGATGTTGAACGGTGGCGGGAGATGAACGCGAAGGCGTTGAAGTGCGGCACTATGTTCGGGATCCTGGAGTGCGAAAGCCATGCGTTCTTTTAGGGTAGCGGTGCGACCGTCTTCTAGTTGGTAAGGATCAGGCGCGGTTTCGTGAACGATAGTTGTCAGGTCACCCGTCGGTTGCTTGGTCTCGGAGATGAGCTTTTGGATGTACATCAACTTTTCCATCAGTTTGGGATCCTCCATTATCTTGTCAACCTTGGCTTGCAGATCAGCAGGTATATCTTCCTCTTCCTCAGGCTCTAGTGGCTGTGAGGCCTTTGATTGCGCAAGCTTCTTTAGCTCTTCCGCCAGCTCTAATGGATCCATCTCACGCTCGAAGACGCCATCTTGGTTCTGTGCATCATCCGAATCCTCTTTTAGGGCTGCGTCGAGCTCGGCCTCGAGATCGGTGCCTGCCCCCAGCGACTTCATGACATCGCGCATCTGGTACAAAAGCTTGTCCACATCTTGCATGTCTTCTGGTGTCACCATAGCGAGGTCTTGGTCTGGAGCCTCGGCTTCTGTGATCGCTTCGTCTGTGTCTTTCTCGTACTCATCCCACTCTTTATCAAGCCCTGGGTAATTTTGGTCTTGTTGCATCGCGGCAATCTTCTTCTGCATGGCCTCGTTCTCTTCCAGCTTGGCCATGGCTTTGTGTAGTAACGCCTGGAACCCGGGGCTATCAATATCTTCCATTTCCGGCATCTTGTCGATGACTTCTTGTATGTCTGCCTTTGCATCACCGACATCTGGGTCGTTGACAAGGTCTTGCAATGCATCGTGTGTGGCCATTCGTAAGCCTGCATTGAACTCTTTACTCCCTGCTTCTGCCTCCAGAGCGTCCTGCTCTTCCATTGCCTGGAGCTCTTCCTTTGACTTGATGCCTGCCTTGAGTTCCCTCAGCTCTTCGGTCAATTCGGCAAAATTTGGATTCGTGAGCAGGCTGTCAACGAGGCGTCGATTCAATATCGCATCGTCGTAGTCGGGATTCTTCTGCGACTCCTCAATCATGGTGTACATTTCCTTATCTTTCTTCCGATCTTCTACTGTTGCGATTCGATCGATGAGACGTTGAGGTGTGCCTTTATCCAAGTCTTGCTCGTACCAGTTGATGACGGGTAGGTCATCGCGTTCGAGTTCGGCGTCGGACAGGGGACGCATGGCTTTATCCATTTTCTCGTCATCCTCAAAGATGGATGTTGACCTTTTGAGGCGATCTAGCAGCGACGGCTTCGATTCGGCGGTCGCATCTTGTTCTGGCTTCTTGGCTTTGGGTGATTTTGTCTGTTTCCCGCGGACCAGGTACAATGGGAGGGGGCGGGCCAATGGACACCGAATAGGCTGCGGTCGTGATAGAGCCCGTATGAGCGCCCTTGAAGGCACATATGGTCGTGAGATCGCCATGGCTACACTTTGTGGGGATATGGAATGGCGATGACGACGTGGTATTGTCTGAAGTTTTGGCGTCGCTGCAAACAGTGCAAACATCGTCTTGGCACCCCCGAGAACTCCGCAACGACCCCTGCACGTTTAGACTTCACGACTCTTCACTTCACGCTCCTCTGTCTAGCCCAAGTACCAGTCTTATCGGAATCTTTTGATCGTGAATGCCACAGAGATGCCGCAACGAGCCTGCACCTACCCAGATACCTGCGTATGCTGCCACCACCCTGAGCCAGTTGAGTAGGCATCCTTTTGCATCTGCAATACTTGAGTCGTGTTCTTTTGTCACACATGGTTCATGCTTCTATTCTTTCAGACGACTCTATCTTAGTGATTTTGAGAGTAATTAATTTGCTACTTTGACTGAGACATGCCGCGACACGACTAAGACTTTGGAAGCTTGGTACAATGGCTCATATCTAACCCATCTGTAGCTCTACTTGCTGCCTCTTCATCTCAATCCTCTCCTAGTATTTCATATCCACGACAACGGATGCTACAAGAGCAAGGACCAATGCTAGGGTTGAGGATATTCCTGCTTTGACCGTGCCATTCAACATCTTCCTTAATTGTCCCCCCTCAATCACCTCCGTAGTCACGTTCTTCCTACCCAGTGGTCTATTGATACCGTTGACATTGTCTGCCGATGCGATGGCTGGCCCAACGTTGAAGAAGTCTACTAGAACAAAGGTTGGCTGTCGCCCTAGTTCGTTGCCGCAGTTCAACAAGTGCGTGCCAAAGCCACCGGGTCCGTCCCAGGAGTTTGTATCGGCCACATTGCGAGCATCAGGCGTCTGAATTTCAAAAGCTTGCTGCCAATATAGCATGTGGTTCATCAAGAACAACTTGCCAGACTGGCGCATCTCGCTGATAGTCGTGGTGTTGGACGGTCGATCGGGTGTGCACGAGAACTCTGCTGGGTCCGTGACAGCGTATTGATTCTCCCAGACAAAGTCGAACTCGTTGAGGAGGTAGGGTGCGTTGGCTGCGTCTGGTTCTAATGGGTTGACGAAGCTGATGAGTCGCTCCCCTTTGTCGATCATATCTCCCAGGGTCGGCCAGGTCTTGTTGAACTCGCTGGATCGTGGAGGGGCTTGGTCGATGACTGGAGGAACGTATCCATAATGTGCGAGGTCGGCCTTTGAATACTCGGCTTCCAGCTCGACGGCCTCCACCGAATCCAGATTTACCAGCACTAGCGTGACGATTTCTCCAGGATTTGCATCCATCCAGACTCGTATTTCCCACAACCACTCATGTACCGGTCCAACATCAAACAATGCGCAGGAGGAATGGCACAGGCGCAACTCGCGGGCAGTCGTCTTAGGGTTCGAGGCGACGTGGACTTGTGCGCTTAGCAGCCGCACTCCCGCATTGAGCTGCATAGTCGTGTTGAAGAACTGGTTGCCAAAGGACGAGAAGCCGGTTGTTTCATCGCGCAGAAACGGGGAGTCGTGTGCCCCGAAATGGGTGACTTGGTCGTATGACTTGGAGCAGAGCTTCGGCGAGTTGTTGCATGCTGGTTCGGCCTGTGATAACCGAATGACGGCCAGCGCCAAAATGTATATGAGATTCATTGGTCCTGAGCTGACGGTGGTTTCAACAAAGAGTTGCAAAAGCGAAGTATCGCAATACTGAAAGGAAAGGAAGGATTGAAGGGATAGACAAAGGACAGAGACAAGCCACATTGTGAAGCCTCTGAGGTGAACGAAATACTAGGAATGCTATTGTCGACAAGTGACCAGTTCAATAGGCAAACCGCAGGCAGCAATACCATTGTGCAGGTGGTGAACCCTGATCTGTCACGCCCAGCCGCAGGGATAGAGAGCAATGTGAAGGGACAGCGCGCGCTACGTCACAGGTGTTTTCGCACGTACGCTCTCCGGCCTTCCATTGAATGGGGCCACGCGACGCACAGCGCATAGTGCGACTTTGATCTTACAGCCATTATTATAGGAGCAGTGATAAGATTCCTAACTTCCGCTATGAAATTCTTGAAGCGCAACCGAGGCTGACCATTTTGTCAACCACCATCACAGTGATCAGCCCGGCTCTTCAATACCACTAGTCAGCATTACATCCGATACTTCTTCATCAGGCAAACACGTAATGCCAGCATCTTGGGACCCGCTGCGCGGCCCGAGCTGCAACATGGCTCACCCGGAACGCAACATGTACTCCAACAAGGAGAGCTTCAAGGTGAACGCTGGTCTCTACTTCGACCAAAACACATCTGCTGATCCGCCCAGCGTCTTCCAAATCGGTGCGCCGGTCATCGACATGGACTTCAGCCTCCTGGTTCCACCTGTAGGTACTGTAGAGAAGCCCACAAGCGAGGAACTGGTGCACCGGCTGCTCAGTCCTCCTCCGCACGCCTTTCTACATGGTCTATTATCCATTCAGTGGGTCATAGGCTCTGTAGGTGCCGAGAACTTTGACTTTAGAGATAGTGATGAACGGTACGTGCTTGCCCAGGGCTCTGAGTTGCGGATACATGGAAAAGAACTAGGCTTACCAGCCGCGTACTTGGAATGGCTCTGTGGTGGCGAAGAGGATATGGAGGTTATGTCTTCCGATCAGGGTGTATGTTTGACATCCCAGTTCTTCAAGGGGCTTAGGAAGTAGTATCATTTACAGGCATTGGAGAGAACTATTCGTGTTAAATTCGATTTCTTCATCTACTACCCCATCTGTATCTTGGCCTTTAATTTGAAGGCGTGCCTCTCACTCCCCTTCCATCCTTCCCCCATCCTTCCCCCATCCTTCCTCAACCGTCTCTCCCTCTCGAACAGGGTCGTTGCCAGGGAGATGCGACTGGCACTTGACGTACATGAGCCATTGTGTATCGCAGTCAAGTCTTAGCTGCAGCGTAGCCTTTCGCTCCCGTCTCTCTCTCACTTCTTCTTCTCCTCTTCCTTGGCCTTGGCGGGTCAGAGGTTCTTTACACGTCGGGGTCTGATCCGAGGACGGGGCCTGTAAGTGCCACCACAACCGCTTTGCTTAGCTGAATCACTAACTAACATGCTTCCAGGACGGCCTCGTTCTCAGGTTCCTGCTAGGCGCGTCTGGAGCAGCTTCATGCTCCGGGCACGCCCGCGGGGACTGATCCGGAAGGATCGTAAGTAATCCCTCACTCCAGCATCACTGGCAGATGCACCAGCTAACTATGATCAGAGACTCCTGTTACTTGACAAACATGACCGCCTGTGACTGGGCTAAGAGTATGGCCGCTGCCATACAAGAAAAAGGAGAAAACAATTCTTATGCCCGCCGCGGGTCATCCAAGACATCAATAGACCTGCGGCGGGCATCGTTCTCCTCATCTTCGATGTGAGCCAGACTCCGCAACAATCAATCGATTGACATGATTGATTCCTATATAGGTTAAAGAATTACTTCATTAGGCAGCCTTTAACCTAGATAGGAATCAATCATGCCGATCCGATTGATTGTTGCGGAGTCTGATGTGAGCGCCGCATTACAACGACTCAACCACCAGCCATGCCCACCACCCCGAGGTCACCAATAGTCATATGAGGTGGTGGGCATAGCCCGCCTAGGCGAAAGAGAAACGATCGCACCTATTCACAAGAGGACGAGCGCAATAGACGGCGCTTAAGGGAGACTTTCCGGTCATCCGTCAGTAAAACCTCCGTGGAGATTATTGACAGGCCATTACGAACTTCATTGGAGATTATTGACAAACCATTTCGAACTTCCGTCCCAGCCGTTTGCCAGATTCCGCCTGGCGGTCACCGTATCGCCCGCAAAACCTAGGGCTCGTACATCAGCAGCAAAACAACAGCCGTTTCACCCAAAAGAGACAGGAAAAGCGTCTTTTTGTAGATAGTTGGGCCTTTGTCTTGAGACAAGTGTAGCGTCTACCCGAAAGCAACTACCACAACCCCTCGTTCGGCTCCAGGCCTAGTCACTATTACTATCGACAAGTACAACGTCTACCCCACTCATCATACCCGCCAATTCAAGACCATCAATAGCAAATGAGGTTTTGGGTATGCTATGGCATAATGTTCCACCCACACTAAGAGTCAAAACAACGATGCGTATCAGCAGCCGCATGACACACGTTATCGAGTACATAATGGGGATTCCGGGATAGGCAGCGCCTCAGGAGATAGCAGTCTTGGATGGATGAAGACAAGGACAGCAAGAACAAGGAGAACGCCAGGATGGACAAGCAAATGGTTAGATACAGGAGCAACTCGATGCACACAACCACGGACATTAGACCACCTATATGGCTGCTGATGACGGAGTCTGGCGAGGATGGGGCCAGTTCTCTCGAGGATTAGATACGTTGGTTGACCTGGACGGGCACTACCACCCGTCCAGGGCCTTTTGGCTCTAGCTCTCCCAGCTATCTCCTCAGGCAGAACTTTATAGGGGGGCTAGGGCCAAAAGGCTTTCCTGGCGGTTGGTAGTGCTCGTCTAGGACAATGAATGTGTCTTCTCGTATATCGCTTTTGATCTGCGTGCTTGTAACTTGAGCGTTGTGGTTACTTTGATTGTAGAAGAGAAGCTGGTATACGATACTATTGTGAACCGCTGGCTTTAGGTTGAAGGTAGTGTTTTCAAGACCTTGCTCATATATGCTATCCTGTCTAGACTATGGTTCTCGAGTTGCTCTTTTGACACAGTATCCTTAAGTGTTTCCATAGCAGCTTCTCGGGTTTTACTTAGAAGGTTCGGTAACTCAATTATTATCTCTCTTCGTTCCCAATATCCTGGTAGTCATCAGTGGTCCTGTAGGCTGAGATATAGGCTGCATAATAAGAGGTCCATCTTTGCATTCGTGTAATACTAGATATAGATCCGCCTTATGGGCAGTGTCTGCAGGTCTCCCTCAGAATCTAAGCATGTCAAGCATGCCTTCCACCGCTTGGTCCTGAGCACTACGCCTCGGACTTTAAAGCAGTCACCTTTCCAGTGGACCCCGACCAATCTCATGATTCAGGATGTTCCAAGTGAATTTGACAAGAGCACCGCAAGTCGTATGCGAGTGTCGCTGCCTTTGGACTTCATCGTAGTATTCCCAGAGCACTAGCATATAGCCCAGCAGCTTTCCATTATCATCCACCTCGCAAGCCCCGACTGGTTTCATGTCTTCTATCTGTATCGTTTCCTCCATGGTGCCTTACCAAGTATTGCGCTGTCTTGAACATGTCCGATAAGCGACGATCCACTTTGGCGCATCCCAGCCGACCATTGCGTATGCTCTTGCATCCCATACTAGTATTACTAGTGACCGATTCAATCCGATTTTGTCGAGCATAGCTAATCATTATGTGCCTTCGCACAGCGTATACTGCCATGATATCTGTTGCGGTAGAACGTAATTTCATGTATTGTGCTCTCGTGTTCTGTTGTTCGTGCTCTGCTCTCGACCAGGCAGCAGCAGGGTCTATTTACATGACGTATCCGTTATACAGCTAAGGTAAGAGGTGCTCAATAAAGTGAGGAAGCAGCACCAGACCACTAACACGTGATCTGCTTCTCCTCATAACCGTCACAATATCCCTTGAGCCTGCGCGAAAAGGCAAGTCCGAAGTCTGCACAACAAGCACAGCACAAGTCCAGCTTGCCTAAGCCAGCTTATGAATTCTCTCCGCATCTGAATCGGTGCGCATCCATGCTCGGCCAGAGGGCTTGTATGATGCCTTGCTGCGTGTGCCACATGCAGGTGCTCTTCTCGGATTCTTCCAGTCGCTTTCTCTCTCCTACAAGCTCGGCCAGCACCCGGATATGCGTCGTAATATACGGAGGAGACCTTGTTTACTTGTTGTGTGCTCACATGGGCCAGCGATCGTGCCTTAGGTGGCTTCTCTTCGACTGTGGCCTCACACTCCTGGATCCCGGCAGCAGAGGGCGCCAGTACTTTTAGCCCTTCCTTATTATGATTCCGGTGTATTTGAACCGAGAGGACGTATCGTGGTAGTTGTATCGCAGATGTAGCAGGCGTTAGAGACTATGGTCTCAAGCAGGGTGTAGTGGCTACAATAAGTTTCGTAGCGCGCCTGACTAGAACGCCGAAGGAGTCGCATACTGGTAACATATTAGTGCTTGTCTTTGGTCTATAGAAGTACTTCTTGAGATGGTCGTGGCGGCTGTGTAGAAGAAGTGCGACATTGGTGCCAGTAAGCAAAGCAAGCCGTGGCAGATACTATAACATGGCACGTGAGACTACGAGAGAAGGATATAGGGACTGTAGCCTACGTATAAGCTGTAGGTGTCCCATACCCATATAGATATCCGGTGTAGCTATCCAGTAGTGCTATTAGAGTGCCGCCGTGTAGGCGCTGGGAGGGTTATGAGGCGCGTCACGAAGTTGCAAAAAAAGAGTTTAGTAACTCAAAACACCACAACAGCAGCGTAAAAAGAGCAATGCACCACGCACAACAAAGCGTAGAGGTATTGCAGAATAACAGAATCGTTTATTACACCCGGCAAAAACAGATAAGCCAAGAATTTCTCAGCTCAAAAAGCAAAAAGTTCGGCTACCGGGCTCCTTGTTAGTCCTTATACATACCTGCCTGATAGCTTACATCTTTGTCCGGAACTGGAATCGAACCTCGCCGCTTGCCGGACCTTGAATAATACAGAAATTCCACTCACCTTCCCAAAGGAATGCTACATGTTCTTCCTGTAAACCGAAGTCTACCACTCTACCACTCGGCCATCCTCCGTAAAGGACAGTTGCATCGGGTGTCGGTTTCTTTGCGTTGATGGAATACTGACGCCTTAACTAAATTATAACCAACAACAAACATTGTACGCCACAACCTAAGCGAAAGCACCTTTTTGGGGTATTAGGTGACGGTGAGTAGACAGACAAAGCACAGTCCAATAGCGTAAGGCTGCCTACACTTGAACTAAGCATATGAACGCAGCGATACAGGTATACACGCCTTATTAGGTGCACCACCGGCCTTTTGTGTAGTCTAAGTGCGATTCTATGTACTACACTGTAGGCTCCGGACTCACAAGCTTACATATCCCACCTTCATCCTCTTTTGCTCCAAAAATAAAGCCATGCACATTAATTTACCGCATCATATGCCCAGCTTCTAATTGATGCCAGCCTATTCCAGCTTAAACCTTCGTCGAATTGCACAAAGATAAGAAATCATACGATACTTGCACAGAGGGATGTAATGGAATAACGCGCACAAAATAAGGACTTGAGAGGACTAAAGACTTGAGAAGACCAAGGACTCGAGAAGAACACAACACAGGAAACTTAATGCTTGCTTCTATATGGCTTTTGAGGGCAGTGGTGAATAGCTACAGTTGGACGGTCCCAAGGTTGACAGCGATAAACAAGCGCGCCGACGCCGTCTATACTCTAATGCGTATTCCTTGTCTCTAGATTGCTACATAATGTCTATAATGGTACTTCCCAGACTTCTGGAAATACTGCGGTTAAGAAAATCTAATGTTAGGATCGATTAGTATAGGTTGCATACAAAGATGCTATCAGTGACCTAAGACGAGTCTGCAGGCAAACAAAGCAGTGAGACATCAAATAGACATCAAATAGACATCCATCGCAAGAACGCGGTATATTTAAAGGTAGTACGAAAGAGAGCCTTCGGTTAAAAGCAGGAGAGTGAAAGATCCTGGGAGCTCAGGTGATTTGCTCCGCCACTGTTCCTCAACTTTACCACAGGCAGACAAGATTGCACCTGCTTACCTCACCTCTCACACTACTCTCCAAGAAGTCTCTTCGCTGCAAACACCACCATAGACATAAGAGCAGCAGGAGAAGAGCTCTATCTCGTCGGCATTGGCTACAAGACATTTCCCGAGTGCGCAAGGCGCTGCAAGAAGCTGACCGCGAAAAAAGATTCATAACGCCTTCTCATAAACGCCTAGATTAGGCTGAGCTTCCACAAGACCTGGAGAGCGGCGCGATCTGCTACAACGTGTGCAGCGGTAAGAACGAAGGTAATATTAGGCAGCCTCTCATCTTAGCGCGTCACTCACCTGAGCGAAGCTAGGCGGGACTATCGAGCTTAACCTCTTTCATATCTACGACAATAACACCCACTCTCTCCACAGCCAATACTCCTCCATTATATACTACAATGTCGATTCCCGTCTCATACATGCCTTATCCCCAGGCTCTCTTGACGCAGACTGTCCCCGCACCCACAACAGCTGCCTACCTGCAATCCACCTTCACCCCGACCGATCCCAGTATGACCACTGCCGGGCTTGCCAGTATGCACACAGTGACTACGGTTCCCACGGATGGAGGAACCGTTACCGCGACGATTACTATCCAAACCAATCCCTTGGTAGTGGCCATCATCACGATGGTTGGCCCAGGCTGGGAGTGGGCCTCGAACGGCATTACTATGAAAGAGACCTCGCCCATCTCTACATTCGCAACTTCGTCCTCCTACAATCCCGCGACCTTGCCCCTCTCCAAGATTGCGACATCATCATTCTCGACGCTTTTGACCTCAACCCTCTCCATGGCAGGGATTTCCTCGCACTCGCCAACCGCCACTCTTTCTTCAGTGACCAAGAGCACGGTGGAAACATCCCTTCACACAAGTACTGAGACACCACAGGCAAAGCCGCAGTCTGATATCTCCAGCAACTGGTAAGCATTTCTGTTTTGTTCTTCAAGTTTAAGCACTAATATAATAAAGGATCCATCGCGCTGGCATGTACGGTGGTATAATTGTTGGTGCAATTTTTGCTCTCATCATTATCCTCCTAGCAGTCCTCGCTTTGCGCCGTCGTGCTACCCGCAAGAAGGAGCTGGAGAGTCTCCGGCCTATCCGCCTGCAACCTTTGAGGCAATCCGGACTCCGCCGTAGCGACAACCCAGTATGGCCGCTCGCGCCTCCTGCCCCGAGGCAGACGTTCGGAGAAACGATCAGGGCATACGCAGCGGACAGTCGCGACACCAGTACTACATTCCGTCCGGTCCGCACTCTAAGCCAAACTGAGGCGATGATTAGGGACCGTATTGCGACCACAGGAAGGCCAGACCTTCCTCTCAGCGCAACACCCAGGATCTACAGGTAGTGGGGCTACAAGGGCTGAGAACTGCTGGGTGCAAGGATGTCGATAATGGGTAGTAGTTTCTTCAAGTAGATACTTAAAAAGTATGTCATAACCAAGCTGCAGTTGTGTAGGCTACAGGCTCTTCTCAATCGCACATATTGCTATGAATATGTCACCTGTGATGCATACCATGAGAGCTTTGTAGTCATGTTCCAACCTTAGGAACACCTAGTATGCCTATGCAGCCTTTTCTCGTCCTCCTCATAATCACATATAAACCATTTTGGTATCCAAAGGAGATAGAGGAGACGCACAGCGCCTGGAATTTCTGGTATTTAGTTAGGTTCGCAACTTCCGGGGTTTTGTTGAGGTGATGGATGACATCACGCACACCTGTCCGGTTCTCCGCTTCGCTACCATAAAACGCGATGTTCTTTCCGGATGCAGATCAACGCAGACAGTGGGTGGCATCCTATCAATAGATTTCACTTCTCCTCGTGACTCCTGCGGCTCTCCGTCCTGCGTGCTTATTCGGATTCAGTGAGAAGAAAGCGATGTGGCCTCCTTGACCGCGCTGCACTCCAACAGATGCCACGCACCTAACCCCCCAATCTTCGTTGACAATTCGATATTATTGTTAACCTCGTTAATACCAGACCTAGCCCGAGCCACACGCGATGCATGCCGATAAAGCCCTTATTTTCCGGTAGCTAGCATCTGATCATTGGCGTCTTACCCCACAGGTTCCGAGTGGTGTATGTGACTTAAGCCAAGGATTTCAGCACTTTCGGTCGTCACATCACCGCCTGGATCAGAGGCGCATACGCATAATGGGGACCTCTGAGTCTTTCAGAAGACTAATCAACAAGTTCTCGTCTAAATCATCGCTCCGAGCGGCCAACAACAACCAGTCCCACCTCGTCGCACCATCCTCATCGCCAGCTCAATCGCACCCAACGAAACACTTCCTCCTCCCAATAAACCCTGCGGAGGTATCAAAACACAAACATGACCACGTACCGAAGCATCTCCCCAAACACACTGATGGATGTAACGAAGTCCGATACTTCCTCTATACGGTGCTTACGGTGAGGACATTTGGTCTGACCAAGACCTGTCCGCAATGGGTCCTTGAGACCTGTTGGTCTTGGAAAGGGAAGGGATACGAGTTGCTTAATATGGATGATCATGCCCTACGAGAGATATGTCCGCTATTTCCCGGGTCTGCGCCTATTGATCCATCGCTTTACAAGGTCGAGGACTTCCCTCCCCCAGAAGTCAGGGAATTGATTGGAACAGCTCTCCTTGTGGCGATGCGCGAGTGCAAAGCTACTATGGACGTTCGCAGTGAACACATACAGCAAAGACTGGTGACAGAAAGGAAACGGGCGCTTACTCGCGTGACACCTATGCCTCCTCCAAACACACGTCGCATATCTGTCGACAGCGATCTTCGAGATCGGGTCAGTAGCTTTTCCTCTTTGCAGGATCCCTCCACTGCAAGGACATCCCCTCCTCCCTCTGCCCCAATCTCTTTAGGAGGACGACAATCAGTCATTACCGACACAGTGATTCCGGACTCGGCGCGAGAATACGGGAGACCCACGGTGCAGAGACAACCTCGACCGGATACGTTACCGACACCCAGGATAGAAGAGACCACGTCCAGATCGGGAGCTTCGATGTCTAGATTGGGCCTTGAGGTGCCTGAGCAACGTCCCATGAGAAGCTACAATAGCGTCCCACGTCAGTTACGAAATTGCCTGAGTGATCTATCAGCTTCCCAGCAAGATCAGGGAACGAGAAACGTTCAAGCGCAGCCACAGTTACTATTGGGCAGACTACCTGTTGCTCCTACCGTATCTGGGTACAACAACATAACCACATCTAATGCGGATAGCAACGTGCGTCAACAGGTGTACATGACCAGCCGGCAACCAAACGAGCGGCAAATCAACCAGCCATCGAGATATCGCGTCCAGAAAAGCTCAATAGACGATTTACCTTCCCAAGCTCACCGGCAATACAACGTTGGCGATCTAAGAGGCCCGGGGTCGCAAACTCGCAAACAATCCCACATGAGATTCCCTTACAGCGTTCAAGAGCGGCAATCTCCCCAGCCCTTCGCTGGGCGGCAGGAACGTGCCCCTTCGCGAGCAGCATCGGTCCCAGATACTAATCTTAGTTGTCGCACATACGCAGAAAGGCTACGGCCGTCCACTTCGACGTCTATCCATATTCACATACCACCCTATCCTAACCCTGAAGTTATTCAACATACCATCGCAAACGAGGACATGTACATGAGCCAAAGAAGCCGTCAAAAACGCCATCCATCGCTAGCAACATCGAATTTCCCTCCAGAATCTCTGGAGACTAGGGCGCAAACTCACGCCCAATGGCAAGGCAAGAGGGTCCTTGCGAGCGCAGCAAGGCTTCGACAGCGACAAGATCAAGTCAGATCGCCTGCCCCGATACAACACAACGATCAAGCAGACGTGGGAGAATGGAACAGAGCACAAGCTACGGATCTACATCGCCTAGCAGAACACCGCGAACGGATCGAGAAGATAATAGCCCCTGGCAAAGAGGTGGACGGAGTCGTGCGAGGATCGGGCGGCAGGCAGACGTGCTACCAGATGATTGAGCAGAAGTTAAAGCAGAATCAAAGACCGCAAAGAGGCACAGTAGGAGAACAGCACCATGAGAAATGGATGAGATAAATTTGGCGTTAGTCTTTGGCGCTGTTGTTCGAATTCGGCTCCTGCCCAGGTGGTGATGATAAAATTAATGTACAACTCAATATTGCGACTAAAAGCATTGCAGCTTGCGCGCTCACAGCAAGAGGTGGTGATGATTAGGGTGATGCGTCTCGATTAGGTAAGGCGTGAGTTCCCCGCATGTGAACATCGCGTGGCAGCAGCATCGATTTTCCAATCCACCATCATGGGAAAGTTGGCGCAATTGCTACGCGGGAAGAAAACTAAAATTAGCGTTCCTGACATTCAAGTACGCTCAGTCGCAACTATCGTTCACACAAAATCTGATTTTTCCGTAGTGTACAACCCTTCGCGGCAAGTTTCTGGACCTGCCAGGCGAGATCCGCAACCAGATCTACTCATATATCATCTATCCCGACTTGCATTCGGTAACCATTGCAAATTGCGCCATACCTGAGCATCTCGCTGCATCGGTACTCCATCTTCCTCTCTTCCGCACTAGTCACCAGATCCGGGCAGAAGCCCTGTCCTACCTCTGCGCCAACATTCCTTTAAGAATCCTTGGTGTCCGGACCGCGAACGTCTTTTTTTCCTGGGCAGGGAGCGCTGTGTCGGATATCAAGTCCCTTACCATCGCCCAAGTGGTGCTTGATGTCCGTAGGGACAACGTGGACAAGTTCTTCGAGGTACTGGACACAATGCATGGGTTGGTGGAGGTGAGACTAGAGATTGTGGAAAAGTTTGAGACTTTGGAAAAATGCAAAGAGAATGTAGAGTTCATGAGGCGTATCAAAACACTAGAAGAAAGAGGCGTTCATGTATGGGTAGGGTCTACTAATGGACTACGTGGTCTCTAAACAGAGGTGTGTGTGAATTGGGCTTTTAGAGAATATGATTGTTTCATATTTCTTCCTTTAATATTACCTCGCCGTGGTAGATAGTCTAAAGCCTCGTGTATTACAGTTGAACAGCACGTCGATTCCAACTATACGCTCACGTAACCTATTGTGGCTTCGGCCTTATCATAACATGACTCTCATCCGTCCCCGAAGATCCATACTTTGCCAAATCGAAAGTAACGACCTCCACGGTCTGGAACCCCATCTTCGTATACAGCCGTCTTCCCACCGGCGAAGACTCTAGGAAACTAGGTAGTTGCGCTTCATCCGCTCTTTTAGTACCCCAACCCACGAGCAAGGCACCTGCGCCTCTGCGTTGATGATGCGGATTTGTTACTAGAAGATGCAAGACTACGTGATATTAGTGCCGCTCCCTCGGATAATCATGCAAAACTCACAGTAGAAAGGCTTAGTCCCCATATACTGCTTCCTAACCCTACTCAAGAAAGCCCAGAAGTCAACCAATGCCGGATTCTCCTTGTCCTTCTCATCTGGCCCCGGGCACATCTTCTTGACTTGTTCTTCCGTTTTCTCTTCTGTGTTGATGCGCCACTTGGCGCATGCGATCATCTTGCCATCGAGTTCTGTGTCGATGACTTTCAGAAACACGAGATCAGGCTCCTCTTTCAACGACTGGATTTGTCGGTCAATGATCTTCTGTCTGTAATCGGCAGGGGATGGGTTGGGCGAGAGAAAAGCAGTGATGCCGCCGCCGTCTTGAAATGCAGCGAGTTGGATATCGACGAAAGCTTCGAAGTCGGAAGGGTCTGTGATGCGGTGTACTTCGAGTGGCATGTTGGCGAGTTGGAGGGCGGTGCAGTCTTTGGTGTGTGATTCAACGGTTTCAAGAATCAAGAGGAAACTTTGAGCACTGGAACCCCGATATCTTATCACCAGTGTTGCCTTGGAGTTCAACGCAAAGGGCGCTTGCACCTTCCGTTTTGAGCGACAGCGGGGCGGTTTTCAGGTCCACATCTTCTAAGGCACACCACCATCTGCGCCCTTTTCACCCATTTTTCAACTCATGAGCCCTGCAAATTTTCTGAATTGACACGATAGACGGTTGTCAGCGATGCCCTTTCTGCGCTGCGCTGCGCAGGTCTGGGAAAAGACACTACCCATACGGGCATAGATCGGCAGACCATGGCACTCAAGGTTGTCAGTAATCAATATCTCATCAATATTGTTGTTTGATTTGTTTGATTCGGAGCCAACCAACTAACCAACAGTTAGCCACTGTATTTCTGTCAATCAATCAACCAATCTTGAGAACAAAATGTTGATAGGATTGGTGTTGTTTGATAGTAAGCGAGGGAGGGGGATACCTAGGTGAGGCCTCTGGGATAGCTGCTCAACGACGAATTCTTAGTGTTGGATCTTGCTTACTAAGCCTACTCGCGTGTAAGTTATATGACCTAGGTTCCATCCCATCTCTCACTCACTCCAGGCTAGTACGTACGAGGCTTAGCGCCCACAACGCTAGCTGGCAGAGACATAGATCTCAATTCCTGTAGCACAATACACAACACGATTCACACATGTTCTATTCCTAGTGCTACTGACATCAGGCTTATAACATTTAACAACACCTTACTTTCTCGCGGCTCCGGCTTACTTTTAGCCTTATCCATGCCCTCTATACCAGCAAAACGCAAGCCCGAGGCTGCCGAAGAAGCTGATACTCCCTTCAAGCGAGCACAACGTACGCGCAAACCTACGCTCAAGGCGCTGTTGGGTGACGGCAGCCAGCCAACCCAGCCGATAGAGCTGCCAGAAAGTACGCCGGATCCGCCTACAGAGCCGCCTACAGAAGTTATCGAGCCGCCCACACGGGCTATTGAACCGCCATGTAAGCCTGTACAACAACCCGAGGAGCGCCCTCGGCGGGCATCACCACTGCCTATTTTGGCTGCCTCACAAGCCTCTCGGCTCACTGATGAGCCAGCCTGGGAGTCGCAGTTAATGTTTGATAAGCCAGAGGACTCTATTGTACAGCCTTTAGCTTTCTCTAGCGCTGCCACTGAGGCTTCGGTGGAGGAGGATAGCGCTGTGAGCGTCGATTTTCGCGACTTTGAGGGCGTCGATTGGTCGCGATTAAAGGGGTTTGTCGCGCCGCTGAGCACTCCACGAGGCAAGGCAAGCTGGATTTTTCAACACGGCTGGCGTGTCTGGAAGGAGGGTACTCACCACCCAGATGAGTTGTACTTTGTGTGCAAGTACTGTCATATTCATAAGCTACCTAATGGTGTACACCGAGTAACGAAGTCAACCACTGCCGCCAACGGGCACCTCCAGCTTGATAAACCTGGTCATCGGCTCAGCAAAGATGGTCCAATCCTAAGCAAACCTCTCCGCAAACATGGACAACAATCACTTCGTCAGGCAGCTCTAAGCGGTGTCAAATTTAGTCTAGAGGCGTACAAGACTATAGGAAACTTCGACGTACAAGAATTTCGGCAGGCAGCTGCGCTCTGGCTGGTCGACAACAACAGACCACTCCGCGAGTTTGAGACGCCGGCTTTTCGCAAGATGATCAGGCTTGCTAATCCTGAGGCAGAGGCGGCGTTATGGAGGTCTCATAACAGCGTGTCAGCGTTCGTGATGAGGTTGTACAGTTGGCTACGGCCTCAGGTGGTGCGCGCGTTGGCTGAAGCCGAGAGCAAGGTACATATAAGCTTCGATGGGTGGACGACAAAAGGCGGCAAACGTGGCTTCTTTTCTGTAGTTGCTCACTACGCCAACAGTAAGGGCGCGATAGTTGACCTACCCATCGCGCTGCCGCAGCTGGTGGGTGCCCACACTGGTGAGGCGATAGCTGACGCTGTAACCAAAATCCTGCAATCCTTCAGCATTAATCGCAGCAAACTCGGCTACTTTGTGCTCGATAACGCTTACAATAACGACACCGCTGTTAACAAACTCGCCGCGATGTACCACTTTTCTGCCTCCGATCGCCGCCTCCGCTGCGCTTGCCACATACTTAACCTTGTTGGCCAAACGATTATGTTCGGGAGGGATGCTGACGCGTATAACAACGCCCTGGAGAACACAAAGATGGAGGATTTTTACATGAAGGAGTGGCGGAAAGGAGGACCGCTTGGCGTGTATCTTGATATTATCAACTACATCAACACGCCGAAGCAGTGGAGTATTTTTGAAGATTGCCAACGCGAGGCAGTTAACAGCATGCCCACAGGCGCCAGCGGCGGCACTCGCGAGCCAATTAAGCCGTGTGTTACACGTTGGAACAGCTATTACGACTGCTTTAAGCGCGGAGTTCAGCTCCAACAAGCTATCAACGCATACGCCACGTACCACATTCGCGAGACTGAACAGGCTGACGAACAGGCAGCTATTAGAGGAAACAAGCTGCCTGATGTGCCGCGGTGGATGAGGTCAGACGGCCTTACGGCGGCTGACTGGGCGGTGATTACTGAGTACATGGCGATACTGCAGCCGCTCAAGTTTGCTACAGATCGCCTCCAAGGCCGCGGCAAGTGTGGCCGTTTTGGCGCACTCTACGAGGTCATCCCAGTATTTGAGAGTGTGATAACTGAGCTGGATGCACGCCTTCGGCCATACGAATCGGTCAACCACGAGCCATCTGAGGCGCCCGAAGATCACATCCCGATCAACCTGCGAGCCGCGAGGCGAAAAGCGAGCAATTACTTTACTAAGATCCTCCAAAGTCCCATTTACTACGCAGCTACGGCACTACATCCACGATATAAAACATACTCTAAGCGCTTCTGGCGCGACAAACCTACACAATTGAGCACCGCGCACGCGAAGTTTCTGCGGGTTTGGGCTGCCTACAAGCCTGCCGCTGCTGCCACAACACCAACCCCTGCGCCAAAACCTACCATGAGCAGCTTTGACGACGCTATCGACGCTATACTAGATGAGGACGGCGAGCATACATTGGAGGTGGAGGATGAGTACGATAGCTGGTTAAAAGAGCCTATGTGGACGTCTGATCAACACAAGGAGGGTCCAACAGCTGTACAGTACTGGTTATCGTTGAAGCCGAAGTATCCACATCTTTCACGATTGGCGATCGACGTGTTGACTATACCCGCCTCCAGCTCTGATTGTGAGCGCGTTTTTGCGGGAACTGGCGATATAATTGAGCCACAAAGGCGGAAAATTGGCGCGCAGTTACTGGCTGCTTTGGTGTGCTTGCAACGGTGGACTCGTGCAGGTTTTACAACACCAAGCACGACAACAGCAGCAAAGCATACTGATGAGGAGCTCACGGAAGAGTTTGCGATAGGAACGTGGGAAGAGCCGCCTGCAGAATTGTCATAGAAACGTCCCTTCAGAACCTTAAGTCTATCAATATTCAATCAATCAACCAACCAAAAATTGGCTCTTCAGTCTCATCAACTCAAACAAACAAACTGTAGCCCTAAGAAATGAGCCAGTCAATCAACATCTACGCCTCAAATGTTGGTTGTTTTGTTTGTTGACTTCTCTGATGGCACTGCACTGCATCCTACCTACCCAACAGCCACACTATCTACGCATTACTGGATATACGGGATAAACACTATGATTACCTCTGGCTCTGATCAGCCGTGCTCATATCCTTGGGACTGGATGTTGCAACAAAGCATATGAGGCGCAGCCTTGGCGTCTGGACAAGCGCACCAAGCCTCGGACGCCAGATGCATCGTCATTACCCGAGCGACTCTGGAAACACGGTCCTACCCTCGGAATCTTGGCTACCGTGGGTTTGGAACAGACCACGGCCTCACTTATGAAACGCAATATGATACGAGAACCGGAGACCTGGTACGGGCTGCTGAAACACCCACAGAATACAGACACGCCGTGACAGAAGTCAATGCCATGAGCCATGACCTCAATGGCGCAACACGAATCCACGTGTTGTAGTATGAGCCTTGGTTTCGCAGCGCGCGCTTAAAGGATTGCGCCACAGAGATGGTACAATTGACAGGGCTAGATCGCCTCATGAGCTGCGACGAATGTCAAAAAAGAAGGAAGCGGATCACGGAACTGATGCCTAACTAGTAGAAACTTCGCCAAGTACCTCAGATCGATCATCCCGTGCCGTTCCTACCGCCTCTCCGCCCGTCGCATCCATGTCACACATCAACCACCTACCTCGGCACTTGGAGTCGCAGGACTTGTCCAGGCATGCCGAAACAACTGATGTCCTCTTGCGGTTATGTCTCCTAGCACGACACCAATCCCGTTCACGGATGAGCTCAGGTTGATATCCAAAGATGGATGGACCTTGTTCTCACGACGCATCTGGCTGCCAATACAGGTTCTCTACAGAATTCTGCATGAGCTCGCGGTCTATTTCCACAGTACGTGGAAACATGACAGGTAGGTGTACAGTGTTTGAAGGGCTTGGAGCTTTACAATATCCTCGGCAGTGACCGCGTGATAGATAGGTGGGTTGGCTTATAATAAGGTAGACAGGCTGCCACTCTCAATTCGACAATCAGCCTTTTAATCATCTCTTCTTCTCCTTCTCACAATACCCACTTCGCAGTTATCTCTTATAATAAGCATCGCATACTCTTCTCCACACACCATCTCACACTCCCACAAGCATATCATCATGAAGTCCGTTCTCTTCTTCCTGCCAGCCACTACCCTGGCCGCCCTCACGTCCATCACACAGAACGATGTAACAAACGGCAGTGGCTGCAAGGCAATGACTATCCTCTTCGCCCGTGGCACAACAGAACTGGGCAACATGGGCAGCGTGGCAGGACCACCTTTCGTCAGTGCCGTCGGCGCAATGATGGGAGCCAGCAACGTCGCCGTACAAGGCATCGCCTACCCAGCTGATGTCCCGGGTTTTCTTGTCGGTGGCGACGCAGGAGGCAGCAAGTTGATGGCGACCATGGTCGGTCAGGTCAGGGCCGCATGCCCAGACACCACATTGGTCATGGCAGGCTACTCGTAAGTCATTTCCTCCCACCCGACCTCCTTAGGACAAGTCTCTAACAAAATCACAGTCAAGGAGGCCAACTCGTACACAACGCCGCCTCTATGCTTAGCGCCGCAGACACAGCCTTTGTCTCCAGCTCCGTTATCTTCGGTGACCCAAACAACGGCAAGCCTGTTGGTAATGTCGCTGCTGCAGACACCAAAATCATCTGTGCAACTGGCGACCTCATTTGCGCTGGCCAGGCTGTTATCCTGCCACCGCATCTGTCGTATGGCGCGAACGCGGGTCAGGCGGCTAATTTTGTTGTCGGCAAGATGGCGGCGGCGAAGGCGAAGCGTGACCTGCTACCTGGTCTTGCTCCTGAGCGGGTGGCCAAGTTTTATGTTTCGTAGATGCTGAGGATCAAGGGACAAGGATTGGATAGGTTGGGATGAGATTGCTCGCCTTGATATGGATGGGGTTTCCTTTGTCCAGGTCATGTACAATATTATGGTCGATGAGATGAATGGCTGCAGGCTCAGCTTAATGTATACATACATGTATCTGGGACGCTTGATCGTTCCCTCATGACATATAATTTGAATTCGTTATAGTACTAATAAATGATTCACACATAATTTGTGGGGGATAGTGGGTGCTGGAAGAATTGAAGGATTGAACTGAGGTTGTATTGTCTGAGTCTACAAACTGTATATGTAGGTGGGTGACCGTCAACAGCGCTAGTCCCAGATAGGCATCGGTCCATTACAAAGGTAAGTTGCGACTACAGGAGCAGAGCAGGAGAGACCCCAAACCGTGACATAATTCCACATTACAGTCTCTCTATTCCACACATCCTACTATCACGCAAATTCCTATTCCTATTCCTATCCTTACTTTTAAAGACACAATCGCTATGACCCCTACTAACCCTTCTACCCGTACTTAGATCGCATAACGTACCAAAGAACACATAAATTCTGAGACTAGAAAAATCAACGTTACGCGTTTCGTCACAGCGAACGACTCGCCTACGCGAAACAGAACGTGTTTGACTGCATGGACCACATAGACCCCAGGTCCCCTACTCTACCAGTACCGGAGAGTGCCGCTGTAATCAATGGTTTGTACGACTTTTTTGCCTAAAGCGGGATGCATTTGTTCGGGTTGAAAAGACGTCAGTCAAGCAGTGACTGTGGATTGGAAAGACCGCCACACGGACAACCACACCACCCACCTTATCCCAGGCACCCCCTAACTAACCGGCACAAAAACCCTATCAACATCCGGCCCCCACCCACCATCCACACCCACCAGCTTTATTTCATTCCCCTCGCTCTTCAAATCCACATGGACAACCGAACTCCCCGGCTCACTCCCTCCACTCGGCAAAAACGCCGCCTTCTGCGCCTTGCCATTGACCACCACACTCGCATATCTCTGTCCATCATCGCCATTCCTATGCTTGATTCTCAGCGTCGTGCGCCCCGCAACATCACTTTGCGCATTCGCAATCGTCACGCCGCCGACCGTGGGTCCCCCAATGTAGCCAGCTGCTGACCCGCCAGAGCAACCTGAACACGAAATCGTTTTCGCGCCGTTGGAAAGCGTGGCTGATTCACCTTCGTAGGCGTTTTCTGTGGGCCCGGCGGATGACGCGCCCGTGCTGGGGTCCAAGATCCAGTTCACAGCATTCTTCATGGATGCCGTGGTGCCGGAGAGGGTGAGCGGCAGCCAGATATAAGTACTCCGCATGAGGTTAGACGACACCCAGCGGTCGCCCATGTACATGAAATTGTTGTTTCCAAGCGGGAGGACGAAAGTCGTTTGTGAAGCATAAGTATTAGAACCCGAGTCTGCGAATTTCTGCCATGAGGACCAGGGGCCGGAGAGCGAGGTGGCGGTGCTGTAGTAGTTGTCGTTGGGGTTCCAACCGGAGAGTTGGGACGCGAACATGAAGTAAACTCCCGACCGCTTGATTAGGGCGGGTGCTTCGTATTTTTCTTTCCAGGTGTAGATGTTTTTTGTTATGTTGAGGTAGGTGTCTGAGAGGCCGTTTATGCGGAGGCCATTCTCACGCTGGGGGGGTGTTAGTTGAGATGGAGCTGTGGGCTGGTGAGAGGGGGGTACGTACGTCTTCGGTGAGGAGGTAACCTTTGCCGTCGTCGTCGACGAAGACTCCGGAATCTCGGCTTTGGAAGCCCAAGGGTTGCTCGCTACGCACGTAGGTGTATTTTCCGCAGACGGTGTCGCCTATTGCTACGCCGATCTTTGCTTCTTTGTAATCGGAACTGTCGATGTGCATCCACAGTAGATACTTGCCGGTTTGCTTATTGTGCATGATCTTTGGCCTTTCAATTACACGGTTGGGGCCTAGGTCACCGGATGAGGTACGTGAGAGTAGAGCACCTTCGTAAGTCCATTCTACAAGATTGGTAGACGAGTAACAGTTCACGTTCTGGAATGCAGAGCCATTAGTCTTGTCCTCTCCGACCCTTGCCTGTATGTGAGCATAATTCGGGTCTGTATCATAGTAGTGTAGCTAAGGCTCACCAATACCACTTATTGCTATCTTTGATGATGCCACCGCCGTGGGCTTGGATGTGTTGACCAGTGTTTGTCTAACGTTATGTCAGCGGTCGTAGATACAGGGATAGTATAGGGACATACCGCAGTCCAAGTCGCTCCCGGTACAATCTGAAGCGATGCATTCACGACTGAAGCCAGCAAGGCCGACGTTGCGATATTAAGAAAACGCATCATGATTTTGTATTTGGGAGATCACGATGCAGCTCACGACCATCGACGCATGAGCACAGGGACTGAGATATACTTCCTCATGGTCTAAAAGTACTAGCTTAATGCCTGTCCATGTAACTTAAGGTGTCGATCGTCTATTGATGGAAATCCCATCGTCCCCGGACGGTGTCACGGGTAAACACCATGTTTCAATAGCATCAGCGGCGTAAGGATAACGGGGACAAGGATGCATTAACAAATTGCGGAGGACCATCCGCGCACCGTGCAAGGAGAGTCCTGTCCCGAACGATGTGTATGGCCACCCTAACAAACTCTCTCTTGCGGAGGGTATTAAACCGATGGCCGAGCACGAGCTTACCAGACACGCACTTGTGGTAAGGATGAAGCTTGCGGAAGCTTGTATACAGTAGGAAGAATATCCGATGCGGGGATCATGTTGGGTGTCTGTCTTGTAGGGATCTGTATTGTTTGTATATTGAAGCTTGGAATTGAAGTAGAGTAGTGCCAGCGTGACTCGCTCAATGAAGAAGTTGGGGATGCTGTGTACCTGCGTGCGGGATAGTCTGCCGTCATCAACTGCAACCCTTGAACGACGCTTATTTGGCGCCGAACTGCCGAGGAATCACTGGTAAGTCGACTGGGGATCTACCAGATCAATTCTGCCGCCAGCTGCTTGTATACCCATATGGCTTCGTCACTCACAGGGAGCAATTTGGTACCTGCTCGTTATAATCTCGTTGCTGCATTGCCTACCCATGTATAATTGATGCTCTTCGTGGTCGTCTATTACGCATGAGCTTCTCCGGTGTGTTCCTTCATCCGCCGGAGCTTGGCGACAACGTGCTGTGTATGTTGTCGATCTGGGCTGCCTCATCAGGGTATGCGATGGTGTCCTCGTACTTGCCCTGCGGCGCAATCTATCTTTGGAAGCCCCCGCAAGAGCTGCAGGGAACTATGTTGTGACCGAAGCGGCTCTACACGATGCCAGAAGAAGCCGTCATGATGCTGGTGGGCAATGCGCTTCGTACCTTGTGACGCCGCTCTCCTGCTTGCTCGAGCTCTGGGATCACCGAAGCACCCGTTGCCTGGTCTCTCGTGGCTTGAGAATCAATATTGATGAGCCCCTGTCGCTGTACTGTCCCGTAGTAGCCTCTCTGTGATGCAGGAGGATGGTAGGAAGGTGATGCAGTGTATGGTAGTTAAGCTTGCTGCAGCAGCTCCTCGGTGGCTGGCATGGTTGGCTGAGCATGCAGAGATCTGGGCAACGGCAGAGGCTGCGACGATGGTTCCCCTGCTGCAGCGACCTCGTTTCTCAAGCTATCAGGGTCAGAAATGGTCGCTGGGGGTGCTGTTGCCATCTGCACGCAGCGCAGCCGTTCGTGAGGCTCTAGGCAAGCTATCGCGTCGGCCGCAGAGCCTCGCGGATTGCGCGTGCGCCAACCCAAGGAGCATCATGGAGTCTTCACATCCATATGAAGATATACTGCAACCGTCGTAGCTGGATAGAATTGATGCTGTAAGTAATATCCGCGTACTCCGAAGATCTCAAGACGTTTTGTTGTGGAGTGGTGGGTGGTGGGGGTCCTGGTGAGAGAGGGCAATACTCAACACCAAGCAGATCATCGCGACTTTTGGTGTGGCCCAGCCATCATGCTGGCCAGCCCCAACGCCACCCCTCAACAGCGTTTTCATGCCTCAAGATTAGGCTCTGCTTGTAGAGGAGACTTGTGGCATCTTCAGAATACTTCATTATTTGCTGCTCGTCGCTTCATCGCCTCGTGGTGGCCTCTTGGGCTGCTGAGGTTTGGCAGCTTCTCTTACCCCACACGCCCACAAAGGAGTGGCACGATGCGCAGAGTCCTAGAGAAGCTTCTCATGGGTATTCTCATCCTCTGCATATGTATCGTGTGCTCTTGTAGGCTCGTCGGCCTCCTGGGCTGCTGAGCTTTCGGCACCTTCCCTCACTTCCTCACCCCAACACGCCCGCATGAGGGTCATACGATGCCTGAAGCCCTGTAAGAGCTTTTCATGTTACTCTTGAGCCCTATCACAAGCATTGTGTACTTTTGCAGAGTTTGTCGGCGTCCTTAAAGGCGGCCGGGGGTCGACCGGGTGGACATCTACCTCTGCCAACACCCCCACACCCCAGAGACATGGCCAACAACAGCCTGAGGGACATAATAGTCACTCTGGTAAGTGCCTCGTGCGTTTCTGCACCCTCTCGTATGCGCATGGCTATCTGCTAACATGCTGAGCAGACCACCCTGACGAGGAGCAAAGGCGGGCATGAACGTCAGCCCGCTCTGCATACTCACCATGGCTGCGATGGCGATGACGATACGAAGGCGAATACCATGTCCGATACCCCATTTGCATCGACGAGCAACGATACCTCACGCACCTCCGCACCGCCGATACGAGCTCCGACAGCTTCATGACCGCCGCACCTGGGTGACATAATCTATTTGACAGTCTGAATACGCACCAAATAGGCGTACCTGGCGCATACAGGGACGTTTAGACACGACTATGTCAAGTATTTCATGTCACCCGGGTAGCCGTATACGATCGCCGCAGTTGCCGTCCCTGCATCATACCAAACCTTCCCGGGCACATCCATACAATATGATGCTTCGGCCAGGATAAGGTGGCGGTGTAGGGTATACCGGAAGGCTGTCTGTGTACTCGGATGAGGTCTTGTCTTGGAAGGCGGACGATGAAGCAAGTCCCTTTTGCACAGGAAGCCGCGACCACGTAGCTCGCACGCAACACCAACAGGAACATTGTTTCATGATACCGACGTCGCATTATCCGATATAAATCAGGCTTCCTTGCAGCTGCCGCGACGTTCGAATGCATATCCGCCAGGCTGTGGGCAGACCTCAACGTCCTGACAAGCCTCATGACGCTTGTTCGGGCATGCCGATACCCCCCACAGCGCATGCAGCGCTTGTGTGGACAACGACACAATACCCGGTGTCTCTGCTAACGGTGTCGCTTGACTAACGCTCATCACCTCATACGGGTACCTCTGCGATAATCTTCGGAATCGTATGTCATACAACTTGAGGCAATGAGCTGCCGTCGCAGCCAATGGACGAGCACTGGAAGGGAAGTATGATCCATCTCATTGTCGTAAAGTCAATCTCCATCTTCGACGTCAATCACCTCTTGTCGCAGACAATCAGTCTTCAGTCATCTCGCTAAACCTCAACTTCTTTGTCTGATGTTTTCTTTGTCGACGGCCTGTTATGGGTACATGAAATGGTCTTCATACTTCCACAACCACAAATGCTCAATGTACATTCTCACTTCCCACTGTCACCCAGTATTGTTGTGACTGATGACAGTATAAGAGGCACACTGGGCTAACTCGCACCCTTGTCATCGAAGGGTTGAAGAAGCCACATGGTCTTTCTCTAGGTTTGGCAAAGATGGGCAATTTGCTAAACGGGTATGGTGCGGGCCAACCTACCCCAATGCTGGAAAGGTCATGTAGGTTTGTCCCGATGTGATGGTAAGGCTCTGCCAGTCCTCATGGAACGTCGGCTGTTGGGTGATTCCAATGCTGGAGTGCTGTGGTGGGGAGTCTTGTGCTTGAGTATGCGTGGTTCACGTTGCCTGTACGTTTGGCATGCATGACGATGCTTGCCACAAAACAGGTCATGCCTTCGACACGCATATGTGTGGCATGTATGACAGGTAAGGCGATGCAGGTATTGGGATGAGGAGTCCCATGACAGTGGCAAGATGGTGTCAAGCCATATCCTCCCTTGCCGGCCTCTCGCATGCCCCTAGCGGCTCCAACCGAATGCTACTGGGCGCTACCAACATCAACCGCTCTCGATGTAACGGTCACATTAAGTCTGATCTTGGTCTTCATAGATCTGGACTGACAAGCAGTGCACTCTCATAGCCCTGTGCTCAACAAGTCGGCCTCAAAAAAGGTCGGACATCTTGATCGACGACTAACAGCGATGGCAAACCTATGTCTGTGTCAGACATGGGCGTTGTGCTTAGTGTCTCTAACAGCTTTGACCACCGTCGAATTCGATTGCGTTTGGATTCGCCCTTGGATCCTTATGCTGTGCTGGGTATCGGAATCGTTATTTCTCTTCGGACAATGCACCTCTGCGGATGCGGCAAAGGACTTGGCGCAGTTGCAGAAAATGCGGCGAATTACCTCATGAAAAGTCCTCTATGGGCATGTACGGCCTTTATCCGCGGATGTATTCCGGGATGTTCCGAGCTTCCAAATTCCAGGTAGACCTTGTCGACTTTGTTCCCGGACTCGCATTCCAGGATTATCCGAACTGGCATCTGGCATGCCTCGGGAATATTTTCGACTGATCTCGACGCAAAAATTCCTTACCGCATGATCACCCTGGGTCTCTGCTCATCGAAAGCAGGCCCAGTGTGATGCATTGTGTTCCAATTCTTTACGCCTCGTCGTCTCCGCCTTCTCTTCCGTCTTTTTCCGTCTCTTTTTCGCTCATGTTTCTTTCGTCCATCCCCTCCTAGTTCTCTTTCGTCTTTCTTTTTGTCTTTTTTTTCCTTGACCTATGCCCATGGCAAGCTCAGCCCTAACGGTTTCCGGCTTTTCAAAACTCGTCATTGCTTCCCACATATCCTTTTCTTCCGTCTCTTTCATTCCATGCCTCGTCATCGCCAACGCTTTGTCCTGCTATGCAGTACTGGGCGCCCCACATGCAATGCTTCACGCGGAGGTGTGCATTGGTTTGTGCTTGGGTGGCCGTCATGCATTGCAAGAGAAAGGCTTCAGCGATCTTAGAGAGTGATCGTGATATAGGACATGACATGTTCCGGGTATCCGACGTATTGAAAGTCTTTCCTAATGTTCGGCAATCATCAGTTGTCCGGAGCTCTTTCAACATGTCGTTGAGCGTATTGAACTCCTTATAAGTCTAATGACCTGGCCAGTATACGTGTATAAGTCGCTTGAGATGTGACAGCTTCGCTCGGGGGTATGCGTCCAAACATACCCTAATGATGCGATGGATCTTGGCTGGTACGAAAATGACCTTGGTATTGAGATGTCAGTTCAGTGTTCAATGTACTTCCATCGAGGATGTCATGATCTTTAGACATGGGGGTTTGTAGTCTAAGGTCTTGACTTACTCGATGCTGTAATATCCACAGTCCGCAACAATCAATTAAGTGGGTCCTAGAAGGTTCAGATTGGATTGATTGATTACCGCTTTAAGCCTAGTAGTTACCTATAGGAGTTTAAGCCCTACCTAGATAGGTAAGTGGGTCTAGGAGAGTGACCGGATTGAATTGATTGTTGCGGAGTCTAGTAATATCATCGTCTAAGACGCTAGCTGTATATTGTGGCTGACGTATATGCCCTCGATGTGTATCAGGCAAGATGAAAGGTATATCGTCTTGTCTGAGTGAGAGATTCTATTCCGATGAATCGTTGGGAGCGATCCGTGGTGTGACGAGCCCCTTCTTCTGTGGTCTCTACAGAACGTCTGCTTTGGCCGGAGACGAGTGACAAAGCAGACATCTGTAGTAGACCCTCTTAATACATCGATATACTGCACCGCCATGTTGCCATTGTGGATGTCAGATACGAACATTTCGAGTGCGGTTGTTTTGGGGGAACATCGTCAGTCAGTGTGATGCCGCCTGAACTCCGGCCTTCATGCACGTATGTCCTGCCTCCCGATGTGCTCCATGCTTTGTCGTAAGAGATGGTGTTGTTTTCTATCATGAGGTGGTCTTGTGGGCTGCAGATTCGTCTGACCCTGAGATCACAGCTCATGCAGGTGAATAGCAAGAGAACAGTCTTGATGGAGACACTCGAGCTTCTGATATTGGAATAGGGATACGTATACGATGTCGTTGTCTTCAGTATGTGAGACTGGGGCGTTTCGTCATTAAAATATGGCTACCGGTGGATCTATACGGATTACCGGCGATGCGTCGTTATAGTGCCCTGTTCGAAAGCTTCATGTCTGGGCATGGCCGGATAAGTTCGCTTGATCTTGATTCCAGAGACTATCAGACCTATCAGTTCGTTGAGGTTAGCTTAGAGAAGTATACTTGGAAGGCGAAGACGTACTCAAGAGTTGATGTATGGGTCTTGCCGTGTGAGACAGTGTAAAGCCGCACAAGAAGATGCTCTGAACTGGCTACATAGTATGTCCGGCACTGCTCGCATGTGCTGTGCCTAGTCGTTTGGTGTGGGTAGGCGATGGCCGTCTTACTCTACCACTGTCGACTGGTGTATTAAGTGCAGAATTGTCGCATGTAGCTCTTGGAAGCCCATCTCTGCCGCGTCTCCGCACAACGATTATGAAGGTGTGCCATATTGAACGGACGTTCAGTTCCAGCGATTTGGGAACAAAAGCTTCGCGCCCATCTTCTAGGGGGCGTCTTTGTCTAAGCTAGAGCGGATCTCTATCAAGGCCTAAGGGTGCCGTTGCTGGATAGCTGCGGCACTTGTTGCACTTGTTGCACTTGTCGCACCTGGTTATTAGGTTTTGCTATCCTGCACAGGTTCCTCCGGTGTTCTCGTACCTAGTAGGGCTGTCAGTGTCGGCATACGAGGGTGTAAGTTTATCAAAGGAGGTGCTAGTCGGACAGGCGCCTTCTACAGGATCGGTTCGAGGATTGATTGGGGTCTGAGCATATCCAGTCGTCGGGCTCTAATATGCGAGATTCGTGATTATTCTTAGACCGGAAGCATAAGCGCATCTAGCCATGCATCTCTAGTGTACGGAGCGCGTACTCATTCGATGAAGACCGGAGGTACAGGAATATCGGCAATGAGGTCAACCATGCATGTGCGCATCTAGCTACCTGCTCTTGATATGCAAGGTGCGCACTCCCTCTGGAAGAAGCACAAGTATGAGGGCCCTATCATCGATCACGGATATGCGAGGCGCGTACTTATTGATGAAAGAGCAAGGGTATAAGCGTGATCCAGCCACATGCAGACTCCGCAACAATCAATCGGATCGGCATGATTGATTCCTATCTAGGTTAAAGGCTGCCTAATAAAGTAACTCTTTAACCTATATAGGAATCAATCATGTCGATCGATTGATTGTTGCGGAGTCTGGCCACATGCTCCTGATGTACAAGGAACTTGGTCATTCTTAAGGAGCATAAGCATAAGGACCTTCATTTATTGTTCGAATGATGTTATTCGCATGCGGCTGTGGTCGTATCACCGAGGTGTAAGCGCATAGGCTGTTCGAACGCGACTCGTGTGTTGGGCAGAGGAATCCTGATATACTTGTCCACGTTAGCAAGGTTCTTGGATAGACAGTACGTCTGCTTGAGATGCAGGATACACCTCCAGGTTTCGGCCTCTACCTTTGTAGTATTGTCCAGTACCTTAAGCCGGGTTTACAAGGCAGAGCTTGAAGCTATACGCCTCTTCCTATGTGAGCAATCTCCTCAGATT